CCTTTGAAGTAAACCTTTAAAAGGTGCATTCCGGGCCTGGCGCGGTGGCGCAGTGGTTGGGGTCCTCACCTTGCACGCCCGGGATCCTATATGGGCGCCTGTTCTATCCCTGCGGTCCCGCTTCCCTTCCAGCTCCCTGCCTGTGGCCTGGGAAAGCAGTCGAGGACGGCCCAAAGCTTTGGGACCCTGCACCTGTGGGGGAGACCTGGAAGAAGTTCCTGGCTCCTGGCTTCAGATCGGCATAGCATTGGCCGTTGTGCTCACTTGGGGAGTGAATCATCGGATGTAAGATCTTTCTCACTGTCTCTCCTCCTCTCTGTATATCTGACTTTCCAAGAAATAAATAAATCCTAAAAAAAAAAAAAAGCTCGCTTTTGGGCCCAGCGCAGTAGCTTAGTGGCAGAAGTCCTAGCCTTGCACGTACCAGGATCTCATATGGGCTTTGGTTCTAATCCTAGTGTTCCACTTCCCATCCAAGATCCCTGCTTGTGACCTGGGAAAGCAGTCAAGGATGGCCCAAACCTTAGAATCCTGCACCTTTCTGGGAGACCCCGAAAAAGCTCCTGGCTCCTGGCCACGGATTGGCTCACCTCTGGCCATTGCAGCTGCTTGGGGAGTGAATCATCAGGTGGAAGATTTTCCTCTGTGCCTCTCCTCCTCTCTGTATGTCTGACTTTCCAATAAAAATAAGTAAATCGTAAAAAATGCTCCCTTTTCAGGACTAACATTTGAAAGAGTAATACTGGAGTGCCATTGTTCTAGTGCTAGCTATGTTTCTTATTCCAGATTCCTGCTAATGCAGACCCTCAAAGGTAAAAGGTAATGGCTCGACCAGGGAAGCCTGGCTTACATTTCAGGCGTCCGGGTTCCTGACCCGGCTCAGGCTTTTGCTGGCGCTTACAGTGGATGGAAAATCCTTTCGCTCTCTGTTGTGTGTGCTTCTCTGCCTTTCAGGTAATTACTATTTTTAACATATTCCCTCTCCAATTTTCTCTGAATTTCTGAGTGTGCTGCCTCCCATTCTCTAAAATAACTTTTCAGTTTCTTTTTGCAAGGCTTTGCTTCCATATTTTGGTCAAAGCTGTGGATACTCGTTCAAAACACACACACAGCACAGTTTCTCCAACAGCAAACATGTTTTTTCAGGGAAAAGGAAATTTATATGGGAAAATTCCAGGCAAGGGGCAGGGGCGGTAAATCCATCTAATTCATCATTAAGCAAAGAACATTTCAGTCTGAAGCACTATTTTATTGTTTCTGAATTTCCCTAAAACCAAAGCTTCTCATTGTGGTTTTATATCTTGCCAGATATTGGTAATAATACATGTCACTTTGAGGCATGATAATCTGGTTGAAAAATCTTGTCATTTGACAATTTACCTTTCTCTTGTATATGCAACACACATATGTATTTCTGTTGAACATTATATGTTGAATGAGAAGCTGAATTCCAATGTCTGAATCCAATGATTTTCTTTCTCATCAAACACTAAAAACAATTGCCCTTCTGCATGTATATATAATAACATCTTTTCACAGTTCTATCCATATTTTTAAAATAAAATTTTTTAAAGTTTTTTTTTTTTTATTATTGGAAAGGCGGATATACAGAGAGGAGAGACAGAGAGGAAGATCTTCCATCCGATGATTCACTCCCCAAGTGAGCACAAGGGCCAATGCTATGCCAATCTAAAGCCAGGAGCATCTTGCGGGTCTCCCACGCGGGTGCAGGTTCCCAAAGCTTTTGGGCTGTCCTCCACTGCTTTCCCAGGCCACAGGCAGGGAGCTGGAAGGGAAGCGGGGCTGCTGGGATTAGAACCGGCGCCCATATGGGATCCTGGGCGTGCAAGGCGAGGACTTAACCACTTGCGCCACCGCGCTGGGCCCAAAATAAATTTTTTTAAAATATCATATTTGGAGTAGACTTTTGATGTAGTGGTTAAATTGCTGCTTGGGAGGCCAGGATCCCTCATCAGTGCTCTCACACACGCTTTTTCTAAATCAGCCTCCTGGTAATTTGCATCCTGGGAGGCACCAGATGCTATTTGGATCCCAGACACGCACATAGGAGACCAGTTGGTGTTGCAGGCTCCTGGCTGTGCCTTTAGCAGGTGTTAGGGGCATGAGTTAGTAGATGGAAGGTCTTTCTTGGTCTATTTCTTACTTTTTGTTTTTTAAATGATATAGAATATATAAAGATAATTAAAAGAATGGAAATGTATGCCATTGTAGAAATCATGTTAGTTTGCTTATAACAAGTTGTTAATGATTAATCTGAAAAAAGAAAACCAAGGAATTGGGAGGAGAAAGCAAAATAGGAAGGAGGGAGACAGGACTAGGAAGAGACTTCCTGTTAAATGAGGAAACCTCTGACAGCTCCTTTAAAGGAAGGGAGAAGGTGAGAGTTTCTGTTGTATGGTAATAAGGGTGAAATGAACTTGAACACATTACAAGTTATATTCCCTTCAAGCACTGAGCAGTATAAAAACCTTCCTATTTTCATGTCACTTTACCACCTATTATCCCAAAGCTTAATTACTGGGATTCCTGAAACTCTTTGTTTCAAAATATCAACATCCCCCGTTTCCTTAAAAAAAAAAAAAAGAAAAGAAAGAGAGAGATTTTATTTTTTTTAATTGGAAAGGAAGATTTACAGAGAGAAGGGGAGACAGAGAGAAAGTTCTTCCATCCACTGGTTCACTCCCCAAGTGGTCAAACAGCTGGATCTGAGCCCATCTGAAGCCATGAACCAGGTGCCTCCTCCAGGTCTCCCACTTGCTTACAGGGTTCCAAGGTTCTGGGCCATCCTCTAGCTCAGGCCACTAAGAGTGATCTGGATGGGAAATGGGGCAGCTGGGACATGAACTGATGCCCACACAAGATCCTAGCGGTTGCAAGACAAGGATTTAACCACTAGGCCACTGTGCTGGGCCCAATACCAATATTCTTTAACAATTGCTCTTTATTATGAATAGTCAGCTGCTTACACATTTATGAATAAAAAATATTCTGAAAATGAATATATCAAATTCTTTCAAGGTGTACAATAAGCTACTTCATTACTACCTAGCTTAAAGGTTTTATTTTTTACTTTTCTTAGGTTACAGGATATATTTTTAAATTGCCTGGTTTACTCTGGCTCTCTCCCAAGTCCTGGAGAAATACATTTTTAATTTTTTACTTTATATAAGTGGCACAAAAGGAGTTCTGAGATGCACTGAGGTGAAATGAAAAATACAATTAAAGTATTTTATTATTTTTTATAACACATTTTAATTTACAATATAGCCAAAGGCTATATTAGAAATTGAGAGCACAATGGCAAGTCTCTCTTGGACATTCAATGTTATCTCTTATTGTTTAAAGATTTATTTTATTTTTGTTAGAAAGTCAGACATACAGGCAAGAGGAAAGACAGACTGGAATTCTGCCATCCCAGGGTTCACTCTCCAAGTAGCCACAATGACTAGAGCTCAGCCAATCAAAGCCAGGAGCCAGGAGCCTCCTCCAGATCTCCCACGCTGGTGCAGGGTCCCAAGGCTTTGAGCTGTCCTCGACTGCTTTCCCAGGCCACAAGCAGGGAGCTGGATGGGAAGTGGAGCTGCCGGGATTAGAACCGGCACCCATATGGGATCCTGGCGTGTTCAAGAGGAGGACTTTAGCCGCTAGTCCACCGTGCTGGGCCCCTTAGTATGTTATCTTAACCTCAAACGCTGTATAAGACTCTAGTTCATCATTCACTATAATAAAGGGTATTAACTTTATAAAACATTAATTATTTCACTTTGACCACTTTCTCCGACTTTCACACACCTTTGCCAACAATGCTGTGAAAATCTGAATAAAGATGAACACAAACACACATTTGATCCATAGGGTGTAACAATATTTTCTACGAATTCTCTAAATAGTACATATATTAACTATTAATATTTTAATTTAACATTATTTAAAATCTCATTTCATTTCATTATTGGAAAAAACGCTAAAACAATTGCCTACTCACGTATCGTCGAAAATGTTGGCTAAAGATACACACTTCAATAAAAAAAAATCCATATGGCCATTATCCAACAATAGAAATTGGAAATCTGAACGCAAATACACAATGTAGATGTTGAAATATATGCAACATGTATGTTGCTTGGTCAATTTTTAATATTATCTAATGGATATTTTATATGTTAATGCACACAGGTCTATTCATGCCTACTGATTATTCATATTAGCCCAACATTATGGTTTTGTAGTACTCTGCAAAATGCTGCCCTGCCTGAGGGCCACCGAGCAGAAACCTGGAAAGCTCTGACTCTATTTCTTCTGAATTCCCCCTTTTTCCGTTACGCCTTGTTTTTGCTGACGTATTAAGCTGAATTAATAGACACCCCCACCACACCATTTCAAACACACACACACCCAAGTCACTACTTTGTAAAGCGAGGTCCTCGGCTAAGATAAAGTGCGTCTGCGGTTGGGCTGCCAACCCCGTTTCCCAGTTAGCATTCTGATAACATCTACCAGGCCTCAGTTATCGTCCCTTTTGCCTGTCTGCCTTCCCGTCCTTCATTCCTTCCTTCTTTATTTTTTTCTCTGAAGATTTATTTGTTTGAAAGTGTTACACAGCAAGAATTTTCCATCTATGTTTCACTTTCCGAATGCACTTACCCAGAGCCAGGAGCTGCTTCAGAGTCTTAAAATGGATGCAGGGGCTCGAAGGACCTGGGTCATCCTCTGAGGCTTTCTCAGACCTGTTAGCAGCGAGCTCGGTGGGACGAAGGCAAGCTGGGATTCGAACCCACAAGCACGACGCCCAGGTTCACTGCGTCAGGCTGCGTGTCCCTTCACCCGGAAGGCAAAGCAAGGGGGCGTGGCCAAAGTGCGTTGTTCTCGCGAGACGAGATTTGCGACAGAAGGTTGAGTGTCGCCTCGGCGATCATTGTCCACATTAGTTCCTGGTGGGTTAAGCGGAGGACCGTCGACCTGCCATGCACAGAGCAAGTATGGACATACAGAGGGCTTCCCTCGTCCCTCCAGACCCAGAGAGTCTGAAAAGGGAACTTCAGCTACAGGTCACCCCAACTGAATTAAAGTTTCTTGACACTGCGGCCGGGAAGGTGTACCGGCTTCCCATTACTCTACACAACCTTGGCCGGACCAACCAGAAGATACGCTTTCAAGAGCCACTGAAGCCGCAGGTGACACAGCGAAGGGTGTGGGGAACAGAATCGCAACAAGCGGGCTCGGGGGAGAGGGGAGCGGGTTTCTCAAAAAGCCTAAAGACCCTGGTACCTAATTTCTTCCGGGAGGGAGCAGGGGAAGGATGGTATGCAGGCTCTGCGACTTAGAGTGTGCACCTGCCCGCTGCTGTGTCTCCCTTTGTTTTGTTGTTGTGTTTTCCCTTTTGTTAGAAGTGAGGAGATGTGTAGCACAAGGTGAAGAAAAGCTGATCTGGAACTTTCCTGTTTCCTCATCCTACGTTTGGAAATAAAGGTTTCCAGGACCATCTGTGGCAACCCCCAATCTGTACATATCTTCCTGAATCTGTAGTTCCTTAAGTAAAATGAGAACAAATGGTTGTTAATAAAGTGTATGGTAATTGCATCAGTGTAGGATTGGTAGAAAGATTTATTATTTTATGTTTCACCAACTATTTTTTGAGCACCTACTATGTAAACCTCAATAGATGTGAGGAATACCCGGACGTTCATACCTTGGCTTGATAGGACTTGGACTCTTAATGAGGGCATTTATTACGGGTCTGATCCTCATCAAAAAGAATGTTTTGACTTGCTGAACTTACTTTGAAACTTTAAAACCCCTTACTGTGTTATTTTCCAGTTCTGTGCGTGAATGGATGGAAATTAATTAGTTCATTACAACCTGTTCTCAGGGACACTTTTAATTTAGAAACTATGATATGTAAGCAACAAATGAAGCTTCCTGATGAGATATTGCTAATGCTAAATTGCATTGAACACAGCTAGAATTATATGTGCAGAAATAAAACAATGTCATAGAATTTTAATATTTAAATTATATGTACATAGAAAGGACTGGTAATGATTAATAGGGCAATGAATAAAGAAATTTCATGTTTTGTTTTCTGCTTTTAAAAAAATAATGTACTGTGCCTGCAACAAAATGCACATACATCAGAAGTAAAGCTTGACAAATGCACACATGGAAACACATCCAGGAAGCTGCATTATGCATCAAATCAGAAAATAAATGCAAAACATCAGAATGTCACCATTTTTTCTTCCCTGCAGTTCCTGGAGTCTTTCTGCCATGAAAGTCACCACTATTTTGATTTATAACACTAGAGGCTAGTGTTACCTGTTCATGACTGCCATATAAGTGAAATGATTTTGTTTTTGAATTCTTTTACAAAAGGCTCTTTTTTACTTTTTTTTTTTTTATAAAAAGGTTTCTAACTGTTCTTTACTTGCAAAAGACCTTTTATTCTCCTGGGTAACTGTAAAACTAGGGGAAAATCTACTATTTTGTTGCTTTATCAAGTATGTGATGAATAATTTCATGTCTATCTGAAAACATTTTCTTTTGCAGTTCAAACTGTCAGAAATTAAGGCAAGTATATAAAAATTCCTGGATGTGTAAAAACACAATTTTATGGATATCCACAGCACACCTGTATATATGATTTCAGTAGGATAAGAAAAAAAAATAATACTTTGGTTTGTAGTTAGAGTTGAATGGGAAAAGAAACAGACTACAAGTCTTGACAGTGATAAGACAATTGCTAAATATCTTCACATAATTAGAAACCAATATCATTGTGACGTCTTCTATGTTGAAAGACCTTGATATACACCCTTAATTCTTTATTGGCATAAGGGGAATCAAGGCAAAATGGATTAAAAAAAGTTCAACAGTTTTCTTGGAAGAAGTAAAACATAAACACAAGCAACCATGTAAGGATATTGTCATCATTATTCTAAGTAATTAGAATATTATTCTTTTATAAAATTTATTTTTTATTTGAAAGGTAGAGAAGAGACAGAGAAATCTTCCATCAGGTACTTTGTGCCCCAAATGGTTGCAAAGACCGGAGCTGAGCAGAGCTAAAGCCAGGAGCCTGGAGCTTCTTTCTAGTCTCCCATGAGAGACCCAAGGACTTGAGCCATCCTCGGTTCTTTGCCAGGTCGTAAGTAGGGAGCTACATCAGAAGTGGAAGATGCAAGGACATGAATTGGTGGCTCTATAGAATGCCAGCACTGCAGGCTGAAACTTAGCCTGCTATGCCACAGCACAGGCTTCTAAATGAATTATTCTTTTAGCATAAAACAATGCACTGCTGCACTACTTCCCAATGAAGATTTGTTCATTATGTAGTATACTTAGCCAAGCTAGGATGGCTGCAACATCAAGAGTTGATAGAATCTTAGGGAACCACCATGTTATACATGGTCTGTCATGGACCAAAATATTATAATGTGACACTTGACTGATTTCCTTTTCCCCCTCTGCCTCAAGAACCTGCATTAAGCATATGTATTAAGCACCTACTACACTTGATCTTAGCCAAAAGGCCGAGAAGCGATATTGTTAAGCACCTACTTTGCTTGATGTGCACACATGTATAAAATCTGCCTGCAGGGAAGGTGGAGCCGAGAGTCTTATGCTGGATTTCCAGCGCCATTCTTCAGGCTTGCCAACACTATCCATCCAATTGTGTTTTGCAGATTGATATATTCCCCACTTTGGTGATGCCACTCTTAATCATAATTTCTGTCTCTGATAGCCCAGCCTCCTTTTACTTTTCAATCCATATCGTCATCCTCCTGACCTGCTAGAATCACCACTGTACAAATCCCATCTATCTATTAAGGTTAACATTTTTGCTAAAAAGTTTTATCATGTTACTCCAAACTATTTCTGCCTTACTTAATACCAATTTATCTGCAGACATTTCTTATACTTTGATGACTCTTGGTAAAAAATTAGCTTTGCGGGCCCGGAGCGGTGGCGCAAGTGGTTAAAGGTCCTCGCCTTGCACGCCCAGGATCCCATATGGGCGCCGGTTCTAATCCCGGCGGCCCCGCTTCCCTTCCAGCTCCGTGCCTGTGGCCTGGGAAAGCAGTGGAGGACGGCCCAAAGCTTTGGGACCCTGCACCCGCGTGGGAGACCCGGAAGAGGTTCCTGGCTTCGGATTGGCATAGCATCGGCCGTTGTACTCACTTGGGGAGTGAATCATCGGACGGAAGATCTTCCTCTCTGTCTCTCCTCTCTGTATATCCGCCTTTCCAATTAAAAAAAAAAAAAAATTAGCTTTGCCTAAAACATCAGTTCATAAAATGGCTAAAAGTAGTATAGAAATCACCTGTCATTAGGATCTCTGAGTAATTAATTTCAGCATAGCCAACATTATTATTGATTGAGAACTCTTTGCTCAGTGGGTCTTATGTATTAACTGTCTTTGGTAAGCTGTTTTGCTTATTTTTGCTTATGTTTGTGTCTGAGAAATTCCCACACCCATTCTGTTCACCTCATTTGTTTCTTCTTCATTGTATGCATCCATCTTCTAATGGAAGCACAAGTACACATCTTTTCATGAATTTTGATGCTACTTAAGTCTGCATCATTCACACAGCACTCATGGAGTAAGTAGCCTGCTTCCTTAAGAGAGATCGTATATTCAAGTCAGAGACACTTTCCAGTTTCTTTGGTGTTGGCTTTCACATCTCCTTTTTCACCTCTGGTTTCATTAACTTAGGTCTTCTTTTTTAGATTAGTTAGATCAATGTCTTATCAATTTTGTATATTTTTTCAAAACCAAACTTTTCATTTCACTGATTTTTTTTTAAAGATTTATTTATTTTTATTGGAAAGTCAGATATACGGAGAGGAGGAGAGACAGAGAGAAAGATCTTCAATCCGATGATTCACTCCCCAAGTGAGCGCAACGGCCAATGCTATGCCAATCTAAAGCCAGGAGCATCTTGCGGGTCTCCCACGCGGGTGCAGGTTCCCAAAGCTTTTGGGCTGTCCTCCACTGCTTTCCCAGGCCACAGGCAGGGAGCTGGATGGGAAGTGGAGCTGCCAGGATTAGAACCGGCACCCATATGGCATCCCGGGTGTTCAAGGCGAGGACTTTAGCCGCTAGGCCACGCCACCGGGCCCATGTATCCCTTAAGTGTTGATATGTAGAATTTTATTTTTCATTTCTTTTAATTTTTTTTTAATTTACTTTTTTTTTGGAAAGGCAGGTTTACAGAGAGAAGCAGAGAAAAAGAGAATGATCTTCCATCTGCTGGTTCACTTGCAGGGTCCCAAAGCTTTGGGACATCCTCCACTGCTTCCCCAGGGTAAAAGCAGACAGCAAGGTGGGAAGTGGAACAGCTGGGTCACAAACTGGCACTTATATGGAATCCTGGCATATGCAAGCAAAGATTTAGTCACTGAGCCATCAGGCCAGGCCCTGAAGGAGTTTTAAATTTTCATGTTGACTTTTCTATGACTCACTTTTCATTCAGAAACACAACCATGCATTTATATATTTTCTAGAGTTTCTTTTATAATAATTCCCACCTTCTTTCCTTTGCTGTCAGGAAACATCTATGATATGATTTCAAACTTTTTAAAAATTTATTGAGACTTGTTTTATGGCATATTATATGATCTATCCTAGAGAATGTTCCATGCACTAGGAAAAAGGTTTTGTGTTCTGCAGCTGTGTGACGACATAGTCTATAGATACTTATTAGGTCCATTTGATTTATAATGTAGACTAGCTGTGTTGTTTATTTTTTTAAGCTGTATTGCTTCTTTGTTGATATTTTGTCCTGCATGATCAGTCTGTTGGTGAAAGTGGGGTGTTAAAGCCCACAATTATTATTATTATATTAGAGCTTATGTCTACCTTTATATCCACCAGCATTTGTAGTATAAAATGTGGTGCATATACATTTACTATAGTCACATCTTCTAGCGAATTGATCTCTTAGTAATTACCTAATGATCGTCTTTGTCTCTTCTAATAGCTTTTTTCCTAAAGTCTGTTTTGTCTGATGTAACCTTCTCACTCTTCACTTTTGATTTCTATATGATTAGAATGTTCCATTTTTTCATTTTCAGTATGTGTATTTTTTTTTATCATTGAAGTGTGTGTCTTGTAGGCAGTAAATAGATTGCCTTTTTTGCTTTTTTATCCATTCAAGCACTCTATACCTTTTAATTGAAGAATTTAGTTCACTTATATTCAAGATTATTATTAGTAAGCAATGGCTTAGCCCAGCCGTTTTCCTATAAATATCTCTATTGTTCGTTTTGAATCTCCTTTGTTGTTTTATTACAGAATTTCTGCTTTTACATTCTTTCATGATGTTGATTATCTTTGTCTGTTTCTTTTTTTTTTTTTTTTTTTAAGATTTATTTTTATTATTTTTTCATTAGAAAGGCGGATATACAGAGAGGAGAGACAGAGAGGAAGATCTTCCGTCCGATGATTCACTCCCCAAGTGAGCGCAACGGGCCGATACTATGCCGATCCGAAGCCAGGAGCCTCTTCCGGGTCTCCCACACGGGTGCAGATTCCCAAAGCTTTGGGCTGTCCTCGACTGCTTTCCCAGGGCACAGGCAGGGAGCTGGAAGGGAAGCGGGGCTGCCGGGATTAGAACCGGCGCCCATATGGGATCCTGGGCGTGCAAGGCGAGGACCTTTAACCACTTGCGCCACCGCTCCGGGCCCTATCTTTGTCTGTTTCTATGTTTAGTACATCAAGTATCATTTTGTGAGTCTGGCTGAGTGGTGACAGATTATTAGTTTTTGCTTGTCTTTATTTCACCTTCATTTATGAATGAGGGCTTCCCTGGGAAGATATTCCAGGTTTGCAGTTCTTTTGTTTTGGTTTACTGTATATTTCCATTTTTTTCCTATCCTATAGAGTTTCTGTTGAGAATTGTGATGTCAATTCGGGACAGTTCCTTTAAATGTGATCTGATATTTCTCTTTTAGAAATGTTAAGATATTTATTTCTACTTTTCAAGTTTGACTATAATGTGTTGTGGTAAAGATATTTTCTGAACATGGTTATTTTGGGGTTCTATGTACTTTCTGAATCTGTAGCCCATTTCTTTCTCCAAATTTGGACATTTTCTATTATTACACTGAATGAATTTCCTCGGCCAACAGAGATTCCTAAGACTCACGTCTTTGGTCACTTAATGGTAAACTGTACATCCTGAACACTATTCGATTTCCTCTGCCTCCTCCTCCTCCTCCTCTTCTTTTCCTTCTCTCTCCGTCTTCTCCTCCTCCTCTTCATTCATTCATTCTTCTTCTTCTGACTTTGATCCTTGTTAAGACTGCATTCTACACTGGATATTATTTCTTCTATTCTGAATATGTACTGGATATTATTTCTTCTGTCTTACCAAATCTGTTGTTATAGCTTTTCACTGCATTTTTCATTTGACTTGTTGAATACTTCATTTCTATATTTCTGTCTCTGCATAATTTATTATCCATGTCATGAACTGATTTCCTTTTTCCTTTGTTTCTCTGTGTTTAGGACCTTCACAATAGCTCTTTTTAATTCTTTTTCAAGCATTTCATCAGTTCCTGCATTGTCATAATCAATGTTAATATTTTAATGTATTTCTTTTAGGGAGTCATTACCTTCATTGTTCATTTTTGTGTATATGTTTCTATGTTGATTTTTGTGTTTCTGGAGAATCTGATATTACTATCTTCTCTGGGGATTTTTTTTTTTAATAAAAGATCATTTAAGAATGTTTTTGGAATTGTGCCTTGGGGCTCAGAGAAATACCTGAAGTTTACATTGAGTTACTTGTATGATGACGGGTCAGGATGCTCTGGACACTGTCTATGGATAAGGCCGAGTCCATGGTGACACCCAGAATGGATGTGTTGGAGTGTCTCTAGCTAGAGACAGTGTTGAGAGTGATGTTGGAGCTAGTTAGTGTGTTCACAGTTCCAATCCTTTTCTGTGCTGTGGCAAACCAACTGATTCATAGCCTAGCATGACTTCATGGTGATAGTATGCCTCACCATCACAGGTGAGTGAATGGTACAGATCAACCAAGTCACTCCACAATGCATACCTTACCTTTCCCAAAATCTGCCCTCAGCATTCGGGTATCTGCCATCAGCATTCGGGTATCTGCCATCAGATTGGGCAGGTACATGGGACCCCAACCATAAGCAGAGAAGCTATTAATCAGGGGACCTGCACCCAGAACTCCCATAGTCACAGGGTATAAGAGATCTGCTTTCTGCTCTGCAGGCTGCCCTATGCCTAACCCCAGGGTCCTCTGGCAGTAGTGGCGCTCTCAGCTGTTTCCTGAGTCAGGACGGTGTTCAGGTGTGACTCTGCCACAGAAAATTGACACTGGAGCCAGTGGGAACTGTGGAATTATCTCTCAGGCTGCCAATAGAGGAAACTGTGGCCACATCCTCTCAATTTACCCTGATAAGATGGTATTTCCCAGCCAAAAAGACTTGTTTTAATAACATACAATCTTATCTACAGTATTTTCTTATAAGAAATTAAGATGTATAATTGAAACCTTTCTCTCCCCTTGAAGTTCAAACTGATTTTGAACAGTCTGGACAAAGAACTTGCATCTGGCCTTCAAATGACTGCTACGGTGGAATATCATCCAGATAAAAATATAGACATTTCTGATCAACTACATATTACAATAGGAAATAAAACAATAACAATTCCTCTGATTGGGTATGTATATTTTATATATCATGGTGACATTTTGAACACTTTTCAAAAAAATAAAGTCAAAGTAATGTTCTGTATTTTTTTTTACTTGTATCTATAGTTCCATTACAATTGAATCCAAAGGACAAATTTTTAGAATATTATAGTATTTGTAACAAATGAAAATATTGTTCTTTTTCTCTTGAGTAAGATAACTTTGAAGCATTGCACAATTATTTCGCACTATACATTTCAAGTATTATGTTAACTTCCCTATTTTTTAAATGATGGATATGTTTGGCTTAAAAAAAAATACTACTATTTTGTGTTTGGGTGAAAAATAGGATGATAATGTAAGTATAATATGAAACAAGTGAATGTGTTAGAAATTTATTTCAGACAAATTGTTCATTTGACCAGGATGAGTGATGATTCGTTTGAGGTTTTTTTTTTATAGTAAGAAAAAATGCACTTTTCTGTTTATAGTGAAATTGATTATTAAAATTAAAGTCAGAATTTATATTCATATATATGTAAATTTATGAAATATATGTGCTTTGCTTACCTCAGGAAAAAATTGTTTTGCTGATGCTATTATTTTCTCTATTTGTCCATCACCTACAGAATTAATATTGGAATATTTCTGCTTATTACATGCTACACTAACCATATGCCTTTTTATAATTTCTCCCATGTCATTCCATTTATGTAACCTTATTAAAATCTGCAATTATTGTGGCTGTGTTAAGAGTTTCTAATTTTTCTTTTTGTCACTGATGTATTGGTTACTCAGTGGCACATTTTTTCATGGTGCCATAATTTGTTGTTGATGTTGTTGTTGTTGTTGATGTGGTTGTTCTGACTCATACCAGTTTTTGACCTTGTTTCTTGGCTTCTCACTTATGGAAATGTATAGTGATAGAGTACTGGGGCTATCATATGCAGATGTGGGGCAACAATGGAACATGCATCCCTGCTTTCAGATGAAAGATGGATTCCCAATGAAGCTGTTGGAAATGTATAGACAATGGGATGCTGGACTGTCTGACATTGTCTGTACCAACAATGTCAGGGTACACTTAAGTAAAAGACTAATATAATTTTGATTCCTTATGAAGGACTACACCATTGTAGTAAAATGGGGGAAAATCTGTTGGGGGGGGGGGGAATCCCAGCCTATACGAAATTGTACCACATAATTCAGATTTCAAAATAAAAATATATTAAAAAAAGAATTTCTAATTTATTAGACCATATAACTCTACATAGGAATCAAACAGTTGACTCCATGATAGGAGAGGAATAAGCACATTACACATATTCAATATGTATTTAGAATTGTAACTAGAGCTATTTTTTGGTACATTTTACGCTTGAAACGCCCATGACTGACACTGAACTTTACTTTCTAAAAAAAATCATATATGCAGAGAAGATTTAAAGTGTTTAAACAGAAATTTTGTCTTATTCCCAGAATGTGTGCCCTTTCTCATTTATTCTCACTTTTTGCAGCACTCTTTCTTTGTGATGGGCAGTACTGAAGGAAGAAATATTTGAGGGAGGTGGGCAGGGAGTTGATGGTATGTCATTCTGAAGAAAACTCGGATGATTAAAGATTCGCATGCATTTTTAAGAAAGGGAACAGATCCTTTGTGTGTTTGCCCTAGCAGTAATATTTTACAAAACTACAGAATAAAATTGACATTGATACTATCTAGCAATCTTATTAAGATTGCCACAGTTTAGCTAGATTTGCATGTGTGTGTGTTTTTATGTGAGTCCACATGTCAATGTTGTTGAAATTTCATGTATTATTAAATTCTATATACTTTTATCAGTTAAGTATATTCTTGTATACACCATCATAGTTAAGACGCTTAACACTCCAGTGTTACCTGTTACTTTGTTGTAACTGCATGTGCCTCCCTTCTGCCTTAAAGCTATCAACTCTAAACTGTGGGAGTGGAATATCTGCTTCCCATCTCTGATACCTTATCTTCTCAAATGCATTGTAGAAATTGAATCATATAATAGGTCACCTGTTGCTTTTTATTTTGTACTTTAAAGAATAATGAGAATCTTTCTCATCTATCTCTCTGCTTCATGCACACTGATAGCCAGGTAGCTGTCATCTATGTATCTGTCATCTTTCATCATCTTTCATCATTATCTTCATCAGTAATAGTTGCATTTATATCTATATAGATAGATAAATAGATAAAGAGGTCCTTTCAAATTTTTGAAGTTTTTTAAAATTTTTTTTTAAATTTTTAATTAGAAAGTCAGATATACAAAGAGGAGGAGAGACAGAGAGGAAGATCTTCCATCTGATGATTCACTCCCCAACAGAGCCAGGAGCCAGGAGCTTCTTCCAGATCTCCCACACAGGTGCAGGGTCCCAAAACCTTGGGATGTCCTCAACTGCATTCCCAAGCCACAAGCAGGGAGCTGGATGGGAAGCTGGGCTGCCGGGTCTAGAACAGGCATCCATATGGGATCCCAGCCTGCAAGGCGAGGACTTTAACCACAATGCTATCGTGCTGGGCCCTCAGATTTTAAAGGGGAATTGATACTATGAAAAAACTATACATGAATTTAAAACTTTTTGTGCTAAAATAAACTTGTTTTAGTTTTGTTTTCCACGAATTTTATGAAATACCCTTCTATACAGAGGTATGTATGTGTGTTTCTCTTTGTCCAAGTAGTATTAAAATTCATTTATGCTTGCAACCAGAAAAAATAACTTGAAAAAAATGGGAGTAAAGATACATAGTACAATGTATCTTCATTTCTCCAATGATAATCTCCATCTCTACTCCCACATAAAAAATGGACTCCCAATGAAACTACATCTTAACAATAGGGTGTTAGACTTGCTAGCATTGTCTATAGCTACAATGTGAGGATGCACCTAAATAACAGAATGATGAATTTTTGACTGTTTTTGAAGGACTATGCAATAAGTTTATAAGAATAATTATTTGAAGCTTAGGAAAATAAACTAGTCTCGCCAACATCAAATCCAGATGATTTCCTTAGGTAAATGATTTAAGTTTTTTGAATTCTTGACTTTTCATTTGTAATATAGAAATGATAATGATATTTCCATAGGTTCTGAGAAATTTTTAGTAGCAGACATAATAATATACCGGAGAGTAGTCTGTAAATTATAAATTACTATCCACATCTAAAATGGATGTACCCTTTGCAAAGTACATAAAAGATGATAAAGGATTTTTTTAAAAATGCATGAAAACAGATGCTATAATATGTTACAGTGTACCCTTCGAACTAAGAACATATATGAAATGTGAATTCTATTATATTTTTACATAGATTTATTTTAGATACCAAATAGTGTGGTATTGTATCATTATCTTTAAATCCCCCAGATTCTGCATCATTCAATCCCACTTTATTTTTTTAAAATTCATCATTAATTTTTAAAGAGTATGGAAAGAGGTTTAGGTTTAGATGGAGATTCCAAGAAAACTCCATGTTCTAATGTAGATAAATAGGAAGCATTTCAAGATACAGATTGAAGAAAAAGTACATATTTACTCAGCTGCATAAAGTAAGATTTCCTTGTTAAAAATGTGTCTCATAGTTTTTCTTTCATATGTTTGTTTCATAATTCTTTTGATCAGAAAATTTATCATCAACCTTTCTATAAGGAGATGGCGCTTTTAAGGACTTAAAAGAAAAGTGCCTATACATATGTTTCTCTATAGATTTTATTAGGACATTTTCATAGTTTCTAAAATTAGTTACATGGTTCCCATTTCTCCTTCCCTAGGTTAATTCCAACCTGTCAGTTGGAAGTTCAGTCTGAAGTTCATTTTGGCACATTGGTTGCAAATAGTAAAGTATATACTAAAGAGATTAATATCTTCAACCGTGGCAGAGCTGCAGGTAAATACTTGCTATACACTCACAATTTTAGAAGAGATAGTATTATTTAAAATGTATAATGCCATGTAATTCATAGATTCTCTGACTCATCAAAACTTTCTACTCTGGAGGTAAGTCAAAACCTAAGGAAATTTAAAAGTGTAATTGCAAAGCAGTCACATGAACCTATCTTGTTCATGACCCTGATTAACACAGTTTGATTCTCAGAAGACTGGTGATCTCCTTGAGGTTTAAATGTAGTATGGCATCACAGAGGTGGAAATCCTTGGGAGTCTTTTATTAGGGAGTGAAGCCTGGTGCATCTCGTTACTGTTACACTCAATGAAACTTTGGAAAACAAAGGAAGAAAAAAATGCCGAAGATATGTGATGTTTTGTTTTCTATAGCATCCTATTAAACTGCAGACTCTAGTCACCCTGGCATCTTATAGATGGTTTAAATCAAAATTCTCCTTCATAGGTAATCTATGAAGTTTTGGAGGGGAGGCAGTGGTCAACATAAATATGTGTCCTTCATCCAATATCTCTGTTACTTCTCTAGAAAAAGTAGAAAAACCACATTCAAAAAGCACACAGACTTGTCCAAAGGACTATTTATGTCATTCATAGTTGTAGGTGACATTACATCTTATTTGCTCTCAGAGTTTATCATTGTACAAGTCTGTTTATTTTACATGACTTATTAACATTTTTTTTATGTCAGTGCTATCTTCTTGGGAAGACAAAGCAAAAAAACAAAACAAAATTTTAATTTTTCTGTGACCCTCCTTCATTATTGTAAATTGAGAGGTGATTAATAACATCAGGTTCTGGAGTGATGTTGGCCAGGAGCCAAATCTAGCCTGTACATTTTACTAGCTGAGAGATTCCAAACCAAGAATTTATTCTTTCCTGAATATTTATGCTTCACATGTTAGAGAAAAATATAATTTCTTCCTCCTTGAATAAAATGGTGAATGTTGCTTATTGTTGAGTTATTATTTTTCTGCCACATCTCTTCTATTTCCTTTTGTGTACTGTCGTCCTATACATATGTGGTGCTTTAAAGCTAAGTGTTCTAAGTTTTATTCACTGGATTCCATTCCCTACCCCTCCCCAGACTGTCCCCTTTTCTATTATTCATTGAGTGTCACTGTTATGGTTCTTGGTAAATCAGGAAGCTGGCTAAATCTTTGACATCTGTCTTTTTTCACCATCTATCCCCTTACAGTGTCAGTCAATAGATATATCTGTACACTTCCTCATTAAGTCAGCAATACCGTTTTCTCTGCTCCATCACCACTTCATTGTAGCAGGCCATCCTAGCATACGACATCAACCTAACTTATTTTTTAGAAGTCACCTGCTATGTACTTTTAGTTCATTTACTCACACATTAGCCAATGTCATCTAGGAAGAGCTAATGCATCACGCAAGTTCCAGTTATAACATTGTTTTTTTCAGTGACCCTCTTCTCGGCATGATCTTGCTCCTGCTTTATCAATTAAAAATGAAATAAATTAATAGTAATTCCTCGTATTAAAGTTATGTAAGACATAGGATCATTAACCTGCTTGCTATTTTTATATAACTAGAGGATTAAACAGTGTTCTTTAGGCTTCTGGGTTCCTGTGTGATAAATTTTTGAAACACTTAAACTTTCCTGTAAAATTTTATGTAAATGTTTAGAATATAGAAACTAATTCACTGACTCAGCCTTCACCGAAAAGACTTTTCTCAAGAATTGATCCAATAATACTTATTTTAATTGGATATAATTCTATAGATTATTTTCAGTTTCACCAAAGAAAAAACCCTTACACATGATGCTATCTTTTCTGTACAATGATTGAATTAAATTTTGCTGCTGTGAATTTGTCTTTTCCATCAAGTCATCAATACGTTTCAATGATATATTTTCAGTACCTTTATTCTAATATTATACAATTTATATTAAAATATTAATTTTGGAAGATATAAAACAGATTTAGAAACTACTGAATTGGGAATTTGAAAAATTATTTGTGTTGGCATTCTTTAAAAATATTATTTAATAATAGTAAGGCAGCTTGTGATATTCCATTTGTTGGACATATTTTGATTTCTTCATGATGGGCTGTGTATGAGATGGGGAGGTACCAGAGAATAAAGGAAGGTAGTGTCTGATCTTCATGTTTACATATTCTAATGTCAGCACCAAACATTATCATAAATTATTAATTTTTTCTATATTTATAATAATAAATTATTAAAATCTCTGTTTCATATGGCATTGAATTTTGAAACCCAACCCCTTTGTCCTAATCCTGTGTTATGGATAAATTTATCTCTAGGAAAGTGATGGTCACTGTAGTAGTCAGCCTTGTGGTTATAAACATTCAAGTGAAAATTTCCGTGCTATTAGTTACTACCTATAAAAGTTATCGGTTGCTATTCATCGAGCCACCCCAGACCTTTGGATCTTAAAGCAGCAAATTTTAGTTGTTCGTATGCATGTAGACTGATTGTTCTATTTTAAGCTGAGGCAATTGGGATGGTTCTGTTTCTTAGTATTTGTGGGTGAGCTGGGCAACTTTGCTTCATATTTCCTCATTCTGGAAAATTCCTCATAAATGGAATGCAACTGCTTAGGATAAACTATTCCAACTTCCCTTGGAAAAAGTGCATCCCGGTTACAAACGGCATGCTTCCAACTCCACCCACATGTTGTTGGTTTTAAGTAAGTCATAGGTTGAAATCTGAACTCAATTGTTGCAAAATTTAATTTGTACTGGGCCCAGCGTGATGGCGCAGTGGTTAAGGTCCTTGCCTTGCACGCCCGGGATCCCATATGGGCGCCGGTTCTAATCCCGGCGGCCCCACTTCCCATTCTGCTCCCTGCCTGTGGCCTGGGAAAGCAGTCGAGGACAGCCCAAAGCTTTGGGACCCTGCACCTGCATGGGAGACCCGGAAGAGGCTCCTGGCTTCGGATCGGCATAGCATTGGCCATTGCGCTCACATGGAGAGTGAATCATCGGATGGAAGATCTTCCTCTCTGTCTCTCCTCTCTGTATATCCACCTTTCCAATAAAAAAATAAAATAAATCTTAAAAAAAATTTAATTTGTATTTAACAGGCTAAAAGAAAATTCAAAGAAGGGTTAGAATTGCTGGGTTAGGGAAATGGTCAATAATCTAGACTGCATTAGTTGTATAACTTTAGATATTTCATTCAACATTTCCAAGTTTATATTTTATTATTTATAAATGGTGTTAATGACTGAATCAACATCAAAGAATCATATGATTAAATAGCATCTGTAAAACTATTTGTATAATTGGTTTAAAGTAAACAATATATTGTACCTGTGATGAGAGCTGAGTCCCAACATTATCTTTACAAGGTGACTCAGAGACTTGATTCACAATGATTGCTGTTATTCTTAATCAGAACAGCCATTCTGCAATGTAGATTTGTCTTTCACTAAAAGTACGAATTCAAAGTCATAATAATATAAATATAACTTATTTACTTTGTTCTCTTTAGGTAAATTTAACACACAATACAATGGAGAATTGCCCATCGTTATCCTTCCAACCATTGGCATCGTGCAGCCTAAGTCATCAATGACTATCAAAATTGATTTCTGTGCAGATAAGGCCAGAAATGTAGATGAAATTGCAATGTGAGTGTGTACTGTTTTTGTTAACTCTGATATGAATTTCAATGATTTTATGTTTCGTATTCCATATGCATTTTTGCTACCTTCTTCATTCTTTCATTCAAAATTAATTGATTGATTTTTCTGTTTGCCGAACACTGGGGTCTTAGAAAAGGGAAGAACAGGAGGATGGCATATGGGTACACATACCGTGTGCAAGGAGGTATTATTGATAATGGGTTAAAACAGTGATTTTCACTAGATCAGGTAACAGAATTGGACTCTTACAGGTAAAAGGACAATATTATATCATTGAAGGAGACATGATACATGGTAGATGCAAGAAAACAGAGGTAAGGAATGATGGGGAATGAGCAGAAAAAAATAGAAAACACAGTATCCAGTAAGGGACATTGTAGGACAGTGTTGTTGTATACCTCATTTCATTAAAGAATGCGCAATAAATATAATGTGTCAAAAGTATTTTAAAATTGAAATGGAATATATCAAAATCTGTCTTACATATTAAAGTTAAATGATGTGTTGTAAAACTGCTTTAAATTTTATCTGTGTGTGTATTCCTACTTTGCAATGTAAAATAAATTTCCTATTGAAGGTTACAGTCATAAATGTATTAGAAATTATTGCAAATCCTGATGGGGGTAAAGTCTCAAGGAAGTTTTAACATTGGAATATCCTGAGTGGTTTGCATTGTAGATAGTTCATGCATGTAATACTCTGCAAATCAGATTAGGGGAGTACAAAGATGGCGTGAGCAGCCTGGCTGGAAGTTGTAACAGTGAAGCAACATGAAAATGATAAAGTCCTGAGTTAAGGTAAAAAAAATAGGAAAATTGGGGAAGTGTGAAGACTGAAGATATATTAAGGAGGAGGTATAATTAGATTTGGTGACTGTAGTAAAGAAATTCAGAGAAGGCACAGGTCGGTGTGGGGATTAATTTGCACTTTAGGATCCCTGGTGAAGCTAATTAGAGCCTATGAGATGTATGAAATGCATTTGTTTTGATCCCTAGAATGAAATTTCATTTATGTGTGTTAAGTCGAGGATCATCAGTATGTAACTAGCGGATGAAACAAGTAAATGTTGATAGTAACTCTAAGGGTGAAGAGTAAAAAATGGAAGACTAGGAGAGAAGCATAACTGTGGAGTTTACAAAAGAGCCAAGTTTTAGAAGAATGAGAAGGACCTGATTGGGTTAAAGGGTAGATCAGAAAAGAATATTTTCAAGGAAGCTTAAAAAGTAGAATAAACACGTGGTATCAAGAGTGGCTAGGGTTACAGGATATACTATGAAATTAAATCTTAGGTGGTTGTTTGGGGGAGGTAATTTTTTTGTATCTCTTGGGACTATATTGAAAATGTCACAGGAAGGATAAGTTTTGGGAAGTCACTGAACAACAGAATTGGAACTCATCTGAGAAGTGGTACTTTTTTTCTGAGATGTAGTGGTTTTTGGGAAGATACTTAATTCATCAGATATGGTTCTTTGCTGTGATACCTTACACTGTACAGAATTGAGTCACTAGAAAGAGATTGGTTACTGAATTGGAAGGCACAGGGGTTAGGAAAAAAGCTCAAGGGGCTAATGATATGGCTTAGTATATAAATTTATGCCTGTGATCCTGGCATCCTTTATGGGTGTCTGTTTGGGTACTGGCTGTTTCACTTTTGATCCAGCTTTCGGCTGTGGCCTGGGAACGTAATGGAGGATGGCCAAATTATTTTTGCTCCTGCACCCACATGGCTTCTGGCTTTGGATTGGCTCAGCTCTGGCCACTGCAGCCATCTGGGGAGTGAACCAGCAGATGAAGGAAGGTTCTCTCTCTCTCTCTCTGCCTCTCTCTCTCTCGATCTCTCTTCTCTCTGTAATTCTGCTTTACAAATAGAAATAAATAATAAAAAACCCTCAAACTCATAAAACTAAAGTTAATACTTGCATCATCTAACTGGCATAATTAATGATATAGACATATAATTGAATTCTTACTGAAGTCTATTCATGAGACTTTTTCCAACTTTATGAATTTCTATAGATTATGAATTAGGTTACACAAATATCATTTCACTATGTAGTTTGAGATACTCAGAAGGACTTAATAACTTCTACCACTTATATGAAGAAAATTACTGTTATTGCTGGATTTTAATTATTTGATTTTACAAAATTTCTGTGTATTCAGATTATTATTAGAAGAAAGTAAATAGAATTCTTATTCAAATATATGAGTATATGTGTATAACATTTTCTTGCAGACTGAATTTAGATCGTCGTCCTGCTGCAGTCTTAAATATCAAAGCTCATGTGGTTGAGCAGATTATTGAATTGTTAAATATAAATGATGGCTCAAAGTTGGAATGTATACAATTTGGCTCTATTTTCTTTGGAACATCAAAAATAGAACATGCAGTTTTATTCAATAATAGTCCAGAACCCATAAATTGGGTGGCCATAATGCAAGATGACTCCGTTGGAGAAGAATTGGTAAGTAAATAGGACAGCAGAAGTAGATCAGATATCATCTCAAACCCATTGTGTTGAATCTTCAAAAAATCATTTTTGATAACCACTTTCAGTAACCACTAAGCTGTTTATTCTGAATGTATTTAACATTGGTTGATAAAATTTATTCCATGTATATCCAAAGGTAGTAAATAAAGCTAAAATTTATACTAAGAAATGTTTGAAAGAAGCAAGACAAGTCCTCCCTATCAATCAGTGGTGGATTGTTGGGGTTTCTCTTCTCATCAGTCTTTCAATACCTCTTTAAAGTTTATGATTTGGTCAGATTCACTCATATGTGCACCTTTTATTTAAGCACAGATATTCTATAATTTTTATATTATGAAATTTTAGTAATTATTTTTTGTGATCTCTTCTTAAAATATTTTGGTTTGCCTGAACAGTCTTTTGTTTATGATTTTACGTTACAGGGTACAAATATTCTACAAAGAACCGATGTGGCTTTGAATAATCTCACCTACTTGCGCAAAATAAAGGACATAGATGTTACAGATTTTATCTCCTGTGTTCCTAATGAAGGAAATTTACAACCTTACGAAAAGATTATAATTACACTTTGTTTCAGCCCAAAGTAAGCAAAATTTATCCCATTGTATGTAAATTATTAATAGAAAGCCTATTCACCACATGTTATTCAGATTTGCTCTAATATTGTCAGTAAACCTGCCAGAAGGCACATATTAGATGCTTCTTGTTATGGTTCAGTATATTTTTCATATGGTTAATATTTGCAGTGTCTCTAAACATGATTCTAAACACTTCAGGTTAAATTAAACATTCCCTCTAGATCCTTTTGAAAATATGCTTTGATAAAGTACAAGTTTAGAATTGTTTTGAATACTAGCCCCAAACCAACTTGTGGAGTCAACACCTTATTTGTCCCTGCAGGAATAGTCAGGTGCCTTCAGTACAAGATGTCTTCAAAAAGTTTATATTCAGCACTCAAACTTCTCTTCAATCCATTTTCTAAAAAACTTCTTGACGCACCCTGTTATATTCTAGATGACTCCGTATAAGGTGTAGTTCTCCTGGCCATGCAAACTCCTTGCTGGCAAAATATTATGAATATTAAACCTACAGTACTTGCTGGAATCAACTAAACTTGATTGCTAGCAATTTTGCCAAAAATATTTTTATAGATTTCTGTGTACTTGTGAAGAACCTAGGCGTTTTCTGCCTTTTGTGATTCTGCCTTAATGGCTTGGCTGGGGGCTGTGTGAACCTCAGGCCTGATAGTCTACGTGACACCCGGCAGGACACCTGGCAGGTCACGTAGGCAGACCACTCCTCAGGAAGGAGGTACCTGGTGTTTGATAAGATTCACAGCCCAATAGCTTATCAATTTGTACTTTTTGCAAATTGCTTGTTTCAAACCCACCAATAGAAGCCTACTAAATCATGACTGTATAATTAATAGCCTGAAATGTATAAGAACTGGGGGGCTTGGGCTCTCGGGCCTTCCCTTGGCTCTTCTGGCTCGCGTTTCTTTTGTCCTCCTTGTGGATCCTTGCAGCCTCGGCTGCGGCTGCCCCTCCCCCGCCCAGCCATGCTGGGCTGGGGGAGGTGGCTGGGTTACCTAGGCTAACCTGAATAAACCACCTTTTTGCCTCAGCACCAACTTCAGATTTGATGATTATCTGGGGGTTTCAAAAAACCGGCACAACACTTGAGTTTGTTATTTAGTTTGATATTAAACTTCAAATATATAATAGCACAAGGACCTTGGTATGAATAAATGATCAACCAAACTGCAGATAGACTTATTTTTCCTGGAGGATAATGTTTAATGTACTTTTGTACCAACAGACTCAATTGTTGGCAGCAACAATTGACTAGTTTTGCTTAGTTATGTTTTCATTTATGAGGTTAATTAATCAAGTAATTGTTCTATTCATGCAATCTATACATTTGTTTGCAAGAGGGAAAGAGAGGAGAGAGCACTGGTGTCTACTGGTTCACTCCTCAAGTGCCTGCAGTAGCTGGGATTGGGCAGTGCTGAAGCTAGAAGCTGGAAATTCAGTGCAGACCTTGCAAATGGGATGCAGGTATTCATCTAGTTGAGTCCTCAATACTGCCTCCCTGGGGTTTGAATTAGCAAGAAAATAGAATCCAGAGCCAGAGTAGGAGTTGTACTCAGATTCCCTAGTATTAACTGCTAGAGTTAAGTCCACCCCAACAGCTGCATTTGTAATAACAGTTTCTTTCAGGAAGTTTTTTTTTGATGGACTTATAATATTTCATTTAATAGACAAGATTAGAATATTTCAGATATTCTTTTCCATGGCAGCATGTTAGTTATTGTATTTAAGCGTCTATCCTGAGCTCACTGGTACATGGTTTGAAGTTCTAAATGTATATTGAACCATCATTTGTATTCCTATTTAATATTAAAATTCAGTATTTAGCGAACGTATTTGAGTGTCCATTGCTAGCAGAGCTGATTTACTGATCAGGCAAGTAAAGATGTTCAAAAGGCATGCCAATAGTGTGAGTCATTTCTATCTTTAATCATAACTCCTTTCTTCTTAGCTTTCCCTCCCTTCTCTCCTTCGATAAGATTTAACTATTACCAAATCTTGTTCTCTGAATTACTTCTTTTCCCTGAAGAAGAATGAATATGGTGATATGCATTTAGAGTGCTTGAGGTAGACAAATATGTATGTACCTCAATTGCTCCAGGGTTAAGATGGACTAACACAGAGAGTTGAATAGAGTCTCTTGCCAGCAATGAATTTTTCTTTGGAAGAATCCTTTATGGAGAAAATTCAATTTCAGCTAGATCTTAATGACTTTGGATATTTAAATCACTCTTATTGAGATAAACTCTTTTTCTGAGCTTTACACTCTGAACTTCTCTGGGAAAATCTCTTTGTTAAGTAATGTTAGAAAATGGATCATAGTTACATGCTTATCTCTTAACTTTTTATTTGCTTGCATAGATCTAAAGATTGAGTTGATGCTTTTCATTAAGAGGTGACAAGATGTATCATCTCTGCTTTAAAAATAACTGATCATATTTTATGCAGGCTAATCATTGATGGCAAAAAGAATGTTGATCCTTCACACAGGCAGGACTATGCTGTCTTTTTGAGATTTGAGTTTGTAGGAAGTAAAGACGGATTTTTGAGAGATGATAACTATAAAATATTCAAAAGTAAGTACAAAATCATGAAATTAATAGCTTGAATAATTTAACATTTTGAATATAAGTATATGTAGAGGCAATTTAATAAAAGCATATAATCGTTAAATGAAAATGCAAACATTCAACAGACTTTAAAATGTCATCTATAACATGTTAAAAATGAAATCAACAATGGGATCATTTATACAACGATCACTTTAACTATTTATTTATTATTTTATTTGAAAGGCAAATGCATCCACACACAGAAAGGGACAGGGAGATGGGTAATAGCAAGCACTGGGTAAGTATCTGTTGCCTCCCAGGATATGTTAGTAGGAAGCTAGATCAGAAGCTGAGTCGCTGGGACTCAAATAGATACTCTGATATGGGATGCAGATGTCCGAAGAAATGACTTAATAATCCATTGCACTACAGTATTTGCATCTTAATTTAAAATTTTTAAATGCCAATAGAAAAAAATGCCAGTAGATTAATATGATTTAGAGGTAAAGAATGGGGAAAAACTTTTTCTGTGCATGCCTAGCTTTTCTATTAAGGAATGATATAGGACAAATGATACATTTTATTTCTATCAGACTGTCAGCTATCTTAGAACTTACATATAGAAGCAGTCAAAGAATAAGAGCTGGACTTATGGCAAACAGGGTGAAAAACCCCCATTATAGAATTAGGAAAAGATGTTTGGTAGGCCAAATGTCAAGAAGCATTATACTTTTTACATTCTCAGATAATATCAGGTTGATTAAGATGAGGAAATACTGATAGAGCATTTGGAGTACAGTTTAAAAAGACAGGTCAAACAAGAAATAAAGAAATTACAGATGAGAGATCAAATCCAGAAAAACGAGCTGCTGCAAAGAGGAATAGGTGTTCCCTGGATGCTAATGAAGTTAAGAATCATGAAAATTTTCATGTCAGCACAGGTGACATTAAACAGAACCTAATTGTGTTCCTAGGGTAGAAATTCATTTTACTACTGTTAAGGTCATAGTTTGTGGCACTGAACTATTTCTGATGAACATTACGTTCATATAATGGACATGTGTATGGATCTCACGGGTTAATCTAGCAGGGATAACTAAAAATATAGGTACTAGTTTTGCCTTGAAGGTAATTTAGAATATGAAATTGGCCAATGAGAGTTCATTAAAGAAATGTGAACCCTGAGGGGCAGGGGTAGAGTGGGCAATTATTTCACTCAGTTGGAGCCTATACACAGTTCCTAGTTTATTTCTGATGCATCAAAACCTTCATACTTTATTCTTGCCCAGCTTATTTCTATTGTCCATTATTTCACTCATTTTTTTTTCCATGTACACCTGGATCTCGGCCCATTTCCATAGTTCCTTTATGGAACAATTTCTAGTACTATTAAATTCATTTTTCAATATATGCTGGGTTACCAACAGGAAGTCTATTGTGTTGGGGGAAAAAATATAAAACCATGCTAAAAGATTTTGCTTTACCTCTATAACCACTAAGCCAAATGATTCAAGATGTTTAGCATTCTTACTGTATTTTTTCTTTCCGTTTCTCCCAATTCTGATGACTTACACACTTTCCATGCACTCCTCTAGCCTCCAATCTATACTGCTTCCTCTTCATTATGACCTGTCACATTGAATGCTTAGTAGACATTTTCATTAGCACATATTCTAGCTATCTGAAACTAATATATCCAAGACAGAATTCCTGGTTTTCCACAGCATTTCACTCATGCAGTCTTTCCCGCCTTAAGAACTGCAATTCTATCACTTCTGAATAAAGAGCTTAGTTTCACCCTTTATCATTAGTTCACTTTCCTGCACTTTATACAATTTATCAGTAAACTTTAACTTTACCAAATAATTTAGATACCAAAATTGTATCTATAAATTCCACAATGTTTTCACCATTTTTTTCTGCTCCTCTGCTGTAACCATATTTGTTTCCTCAGGATTTTTTTTTGGGGGGGGGTGGTGTCAGGAAGTCCCCACCTTAGAATTTTTGAACCTGCTATTCACTTTGCCTAGAAGACACTTTTAACAGATTTCACATGATTTTATTCTAGTTTCCCTTTAAATATTTTCTCAAATACCTCCCAATAGGAGACCTCTTTTTGAACATTTCTGCATAAAATAGCCTCCTCAAGACCTTGTACTGCAGCTATCCTACTCTGCTTTACCTTTACTCATAACATTTATCTTTTTAAAATGCTGTATATTTTTTTACTTATGGGTTTATTATCAATGTCATCTTACTAGCATATAATGTCTGTGAGAGGGTAGTCCCTGATAGCTAAGGCCTAGAAGAGTACTTGGCATAGAGAAGGTACTTAGTAGTGACTTTTATATAAGAAGAATAAATAAGTTACTCAGTTCCTATCTGGTCTTTCATATGACACTATTTGGGCTAAGGAAATGTATTCTGGATTTGCCAAACGCTTTTTCCATTAAGTAGATACCGCCATTTTGCAGGTGATCGGTTTCAGAAAGTGGAATTAGCACTGACAGGTACAGGATTTCCTGTTGCTTTACATTTTGATCCAGCAAGAATCCTTGATTTTGAACCTTGTTTATTGGGTGAACATTCAGATATCCTCTGTGTTATGCAAAATCAATCCAAATTACTTCCTGTGAAGTACCTCTTTGAAAAAGTCGCGCATTTCAAAGTTGATCCAGAAAAGGGTAAGATTGATCAAGGCTGTATTCAGGTAAGATCATATTTTGCTTTTACATTGTTTCAAAGATCTTGAGGTTTGCTCAAAATGAAATGCAGAGGGCTAAAGCTACATTTGTTCTACCAAAATTGTATAAATTGTATGTCTTCAGTAGTCTATGTATGAATACTTTTCTATTACTACTGATGTGGAACTTATAATGGTTTCTTATAAATTCTTTTTATAACATCAGGGAAAGTATTTGTCACTGTAAGGAATTTAAAAATACAGAACAGCTCTAAACATTTTTTTTAAAAAAAGATTTATTTGAAATGCAGAGTTAGAGAGAGAGAAAAAAAGAGAAAGAGAGAGAGTGCTACTCTGTAAGTCTTTCAGCATATGTTTTGGTGTTCTGGCAGGCAGTTTACAAGTGTTTATCCTCAAAGTCAGGAGAGATTAGAACTCTCCCAAGTCTTTATTCAGCAAATAGAAAATCTTTCAAATGTGTTTAGTAATATCAGTTCTGTGAATGTGTCAGAGAATAGCATATGATTATTTTACTGATGTTTTTATTTTTATTTATTTTAATTTTATTTATTTATCTATTTTTTATTGGAAAGTCAGATATACAGAGAGGCGAGACAGAGAGAAGATCTTCCATCCCCTGATTCACTCCCCAAGCGGCAACAATGGCTGGAGCTGAGCCAATCTAAAGCCAGGAGCCAGAAGCCTATTCTGCGTCTCCCAGGCGGGTGCAGGGTCCCAAAGGCTTTGGGCCATCCTCGACTGCTTTCCCAGGCCATAAGGAGGGAGCTGGATGAGAAGCAGGGCCGCTGGAATTAGAACTGACGACCATATGGGATCCCGGGCATTCAAGGCGAGGACATTAGCCACTGGGCTACCACATGGAGTCCTTATTTTTGTATATTAATTTAAATCATTTTATTAACTTTTTAGCCTTAAATTATGATGCCACCTCAGATTGTTGTGTTGTTCAACAGGGGCTGCATTTGTATCTATATTCATATTTATATCCGTATCTAATGTATTCAAGGGAATACTTGGCCTCATTAGGCTCTGCAGCTAGTTATCAGACCAAATAAGTCAATAATAAATCAACAAATCAATGCTGTGTGTTTCTAAAATACTTTCATATCACTGTGGTACACTAGCTTTCCTTGAAATTTTGTATTTTTTCAGATTTGCTTTTTTTTCTAGCACTACCATATTCTTTTTCCTTTTTTTTTTAGAATATCAAGTGTTCATTTGTCCCACATCAGATTGGAATCTTTAAAGTGAAGCAGCCGATAGCAATTATTGGTCCAGTTGTAGATGAAAATTCAAAGACAATATCAATGAAAATTTTTCATCATATATATTTAGATTTCAGCAGCATTTGTAAAGCTTGCACAAAAAATGTAGTGATGAAAATGAATCCTGGTATGCTATTTTGTGATACTCATCTAATTTTGATGTTGTTATTATAAATTAAGGGTTATTTTAACATGCTAAGATAATTCACTCATTTTCAACTTTTGGCATGGATTAAAGTCATGTGGAAGGCTTGTTCAAACAGGTATCAGTGAACTACAGCTCAATATTAATTACTATAATGTCTATTTTAGAGTCTAATTATTTTTGTTTGTACCATAGCATCCAGAAGTTACTGATGCTGCCATTCTGAAGATTTTACCCATTGAATAACACTGACTCCTTCACCTATTCAGTTTATTAAATACACTAATGGCTTTATACTTTATTTCTCTATTTCCTTACATGGGTTTATAGTACAATCTAGTTTTCATCATTCCATGGATTTTCTTGTTGTGGTGTTGCCTAACCCTCTGTCACCTTTCATATACCAATCATATTAAATCATTAATATACAATTGACATTAGCTTATAAACACTTCAGTTTCATATAGGTCAGCATAAATCCTTCAAGTTATCAATGTTTTGTTTTTATGCTTCCATTTTTTTCTGCATTATTTTGCTAAATTGTTTTGTGTGGGTCCATATATTAAGTCTTTCCTATTTTCTCAATGTGTTTGTGTATTTAGAATATAAATTAGCAATTAGCTAGTAAATTAATTCATGAATATTATTTGGAAAACAAATTAAAAATATTATATGCAAACAATTTTCAATTCTTTAAAAGGTATATCACCTTTCGTCAGTAATCCTATTGGAAAATATGTGGCCGAAGACTTGGTGAAAAGCAAGAATCCTGTACCTGTAGCCACGCTTAGGTCGGCCATGACACGCCTTCATCAGCACCACACAAATGAAGGGGCAGTGACTAAAGCACTGATAGCGTATCCCAATGATCGAACCGCAAGCATCAGGCCGGGAGACCCACATAAAAATTTCAGGTAACAGGCAATATTAAAAATCGTTAAGTTAGAAAAGCATAGTGATCAACGTGTTGTGTGAAAGTCTGACCAGATGTTGCTGTGAAAAGATAATGATTATAATATAATAATAATAATAATATTTACTAATGTTTTATACGGAGTAACGTTCCTTTGAGTGCTGTTTAATTTGGTTTATTTAACTCCTCATCACCTTTGCTGTCAGGAAATTTATGATATAAGAAATGATCTTTTGAAAGAAATATTGGCAAGCATAGAAGAATGTTAGAGATAATCACTTTTGGAAATATAGCAAGTCTTCAAAATAGCTATTTTCATTAAGTATGGTTGGCAGACTGAATGTATCTAAAACAAAATTAAATTGTGGAAAAATGTCATTGTCATTCTACTTACCATTTTTGTTCCTCTCACACTCCATATTTCCAAAAACTCCCCAAACTGAACTAAAATCTCTAGTTAGAATCATAAAGGGCAATAAACCTCTATTTAAATTTATCCAAATCTGAGCGTTATCCAGACCTCTAATTATCTTGGTAGTTGTTTGTGTGAAGTGACCCAGGTACTCCACCTTATCTAGGTCTTGAGCTCAGGAATGGCTTTTGCACATTTGAGACTGAAGTAGGTCGTCTTTTCTACCTCTTTCATCCTATTGGTGAGGCTCTCTGACACCTTTTTATTTTGCTCTATTATTTAGTTAAAGTATTTCAGTTTGGATGTTTTATTGTTTCTATCTCTGTTATGGCATATTCCTTAAATTCCTTGAGTTCAAGCTGTTGTTTCTCACTGTCTCTGAAGAGCTTTATAGTGATTTTTTTTGTGTTCTTTGTCTGGAAGATCCTCGATGTCTTCTTCATCCTATAGCTCTAATATTGAGGTGGTCTGTTGCTCATTTTTGAAGGACACATTGGCTTCCTCATTTATTTTGCGTGTTGTTTCTGTTTCCCTTTCCATGGCCTTTCAGATCTGTGGGCTTTCTTTTCCAGCCAGTTTTTGTCTTTACATTGTGCTTGTAGCTTCCCGATTTGTGTGTAGGGGGCTTGGGCCTCAGTCTCTGCAGTCAGTGGTGACCTGCCTGCAGCTGCTTGGGCCGTGTTTCTGTCTAGTTCTGCCTGCAGTCTATGCAGCAAACGGGAAGCCTGCTTAAATGTGCCACCAGGGGGTTCCTTTTGCAGGTGTGCAGGCCCCTGCAGGTGTTAATGAGGTGTTGGATCTAGGCTGCTGGGTCTTAAGGCTCACCAGATGAATGAGTCTGAGCTTTCCTTGGATTTCACTCAGTTGATCCTGACCCAGTCTCTGCCTTCCTGGGATCCAGCCACCCCCTCCTAGTTGGCGCCCTTATCTCTCCAGGGATTTGGGGTAAAAGCCCTCTGGGTGTGAGATAGATAATCTCTTCCTTCCTGAGTCCCGCCCTCGGCCAGCTCAACTTTCCAATGGCTGGCTCCTCAGCAGCGGGTGTGTCCTGTCTGGGGTGCAATGGATTTGGTGGTGCTATGAGCTAACCCAGCCTTGCTTCCCCTCACCAATTTTATCCTATGGCTCTTTGCCTCACACTGTCTCTTTGGGGTGACTCCCACTGTGAATTCCCTTTGTTCTGGCTCCAAATTCACCAATCCTTTATGGATTGGGGTGTCCTCCTGTAACTCGCCTGGGTGGGCTCACATTCCTTTTGGGCTGCTGGCTGCAACCTGCGTTTTCAGCAGCTATTCTTTGTCCATACATCTTCGCCTCTCCGGTGACCTCCAGAGAGCTTGTCACCCAGTCTGGCAATTTTCTGTTTCTAGCTCCGCTCCCCACCTGACTTTGTCTTGTGTCTCTCTTTGCACTCTAGGCTACCTTCCTACCCCGACTGGCCATCTTTTGTCACACCTCTAATTATTTCTAATTTCGATTATAGTAGTATGAAAGCAGCTAACTTTTAAGAAGCACTGCTCAAATCCAGATCAAGTTTCTTAAAGTCCTATTTTTAACCTAGAAACTTCCTATTTTGCGCTTGACAAATTCCTCAAGGATGGGGTTTGTGTAAGTGCCAGTATATTGTAGTGACCAGTGGAAAAATATTGTGTCTCTCTCTATTCCTGCATACAATGTCTTGATACAGAATGGTATGTCAGGGAAAGGATTAATATATCTTAGCCATCATCATATTCCTAACAAGCCTTGGCTAGGAGGCACTCTGTAAATTCAAAATGAATAAATGTTTATATGTAAATATTAACATGATTTTTCTTATGTTTTAGGACAATTTTCACAAAAATTCCAAGATATAACTATCTGGATCCTGATTTTGCATATACTGATTTTGAAAAATTTGTAAAGAAAGCAAATGAAGACTACTATATAAATTATATCAGAGACACAAGAGCTCTACGCCTAAAGAAACAAGTGGAGGGGTAAAAGTTCAATTCCTTAAGTATTGTGCATGGTGTCTACAGGGCCAGAATTGTTTCATTTTTTTCTCTGTTTCTTCCTTTATTTCCTTTTAAAATTTATACTACATTTTAATATATGTTTAAAGCAAAACATTGAACTAATGAAACTATAGTTTTTTTTTTCTTTAATACGTTTTAATTTGGGGATGCCTTAGGTTTCTTAGAAAAAGAGTCTGAGATAGGGATTTGAGTGCGTGTGTTTGACAGACAATGTGCACTTAGGAGCAATCTGTAGAGACAAGGAACAGAATGCCACAGAGGAGAGGACTGGGAACATTGCATTTCGAATACAATCTGCATTTGTCCTGATGCCTGAGTCTCTTGAACATAAATTTTACCATATAGTCGTTCCTGCCTTGACTACAAAAGGCATTGTGTTTTGTATTCCATAACAATCATTGATTGTGACTGTCCCTGAGTGTGGTAGAATGGTGTATATATAAATATATATATACAACTTCCTTGATGAGATGTTTAAGGAGGGAGGTTTGATAGCAAAAGGTAATTTTCTATAGATGAATGCACTGATCTTCTTAGGCATATTTGAGTGGGGGCAGCAGAAACTTCCAGTATGGAGAACAGCTGAATTTGCAGATGTGTTTGGTGAAAGACCTTGCTTCAATTACATATTATTATCATTATTTTTGGCATAGGGAATGTGTTTATTCATGTAACGATTCAGACATAGGTCTACAACCAGGATCAGGGTTAAAATCACCCATGCCTTCAGTAATGGAAATACGTGCGGAGAGACCTTCCAAGGATCGTCCTCCAACTACAGCTAAAGGATTGCTGAGCACCACAAAAATGGCCTCCAAGGAGGCAGAGTCACTGAACAGAAAGGTACTTTACATTTCATTATATCATAAGAATTCTGAAAACATCTTTTGCTAAAATTGAATGATTAATGTTGGAAAAATTGATTCTCATAGGTTCTCAAAAGACTTAAATCACACCCATCCACACCACAAGAAAAACGTGATTGTAGTTTACGTTTGACACCAAAACAGATTCATCAAGTAATTGTTGGTAAGAATATATATTTTTAAATAGTCTTGGTTCTTATAGACAGGCATATGTAAGCATAATTTATATTCCATAAATTTACCAGCTTAAAATATGTAAATCTATAAATCTTAGTAAATTTATAGAACTAGGCAACTACCCTCACACTTAAGAAGGCTACAATTACACACATAACCATATGCAATTTATTTCCTCTTTCTAGCTCCAGCCCTAAGTGACCACTAATCAACTTTCCATCTCTGTAAGATTTGCCTGATTTGAAACTTCACGTAAATGGAACCATACAATATATGGTCTCTCATATTTTGCTCCTCAGCATGATATTTTTGAGACTCATCCAATTGATAATATGTGTGACTATTTTGGTCTTTAAATAAAGGCTATATATACACACACACACAAACAAACACATATATAAACATACACACACATATATGGCATTCCGTTTTAAGGATATATCATATTTGGTTTTCCCATCTCCTAGTTGACAGACCTTTTAGCTGTTTCCTGTTTGAGGCTATGATAAATAATGCTGATCTCAACATCCAATAAATTTTTAACATAGTTTCATCTCCTTGGGTTAAATTCCTCAATGGAATTGCGGGGATGTATGCTAAGTGTATCTCTAAGTTTTTAAAAGAACTTTGGAAATGTTTTTCACAATGATTGCATCAAGTCACAATCCTACCAGCAATGAATAAATGTTAACATTTCTCCACATTCTGACCAATACTTCTTATTATAGGTATTATAGGTATTATAGGTATTACCTCACGTGGATTTAATTTGCACTTGTCTAGGATGATAAACATTTATTTTCCTTAATTAAAAGATGTATCTGCTTTAATCCTATATCATTTTAGAGGAAACATCTTTTAATTCCTTTGCTCATTTTCTAAAAATTTGAATATTTTATTTTTGTTATAAAGTTATGAGAATATTATGAATTATGAGTCCTTTATCAAATACATTCTTCCCAAACATTTTCTCTATGCTATGGCCCCATAGGTTTTGTATGATTCCTTGGTCTGTCTTGTTTCCAGATCTTGATTTTTAAAATTTCTGGTTCTTCATTCTATTAGTTTTCTGAATCAGTATTGAGATTTCAGGTCACAATTTTGGCCTTACCAAAAAGTAAGATCATTATGATCTGCTGAGATTATTATTACTTTGACAATATTTATATGAATAGAATTTTATTTTCCACCTTTTTTTTTTTCCAATTAAAGATAACCTTCTCCCACTGCAGGAGGTAGCACCTCTGCACCGTGGTGTTGGTCATAGACAGCAGCAGCCTCCTTCAACTAACACTCTGCAGGCAGATATAAGTAACAACTTTCAGTGTTCCACAACACAGTGAAATGACTGTTCGTTCACACCAGTATGTTGTACACATAGTGTATGAAGAACTAGAAAAGAGAAGCTGCTAGAAGTTAAAAAGTAGAAAAGCTAGCCACCTGGTTTCATACTGTATGTAAATGTTGAAACATTTTACTAAACTCTTCATAAAACATTAACATGGTAGGTTCGGATTCAGATTCATCCATTCCAATTCAAGATATTAATCCAGGAAAAATGAAAGTATATGTTGAAGCAAATAATTGTGTAATAGTGTTTACAGAAACCTTAATTATAACAGCCAGCAACTGAAAACAACCCAAATGAAAACCAACAGGTGATCACATAGACAGATAAAAACATCATTATGGTACATATACACACAGAATTACACAATGGAATACTATGAGAACGCTGTTTAAAATTTCACAGATTATAAATATAAAAGATGTTTATTTTGATGCAAAAATTTGACATTTTTATGTATGAGTCTTCAAAAGCATGTGGAAATGCATATGATTAAAAAGCTATGAATAGATTTCAGAATTTGCTACAGAATGAAAACTGATCTATAGTGACATAAAGAAGTTATATGGTGGGCCCAGTGCTATAGCGTAGCAGTAAAGTTTCTTGCCTTGAGTGCGCCAGGATCCCATATGGGCGCCGGTTCTAATCCAGGCAGCTCCACTTCCCATCCAGCTCCCTGCTTGTGGCCTGGGAAAGCAGTAGGGGACGGCCCAAAGCTTTGGGATCCCTTACCTGCATGGGAGACCCAGAAGAGGCTCCTGGCTTCTGATTGGCTCAGCTCCATCCATTGCAACCACTTTGGGAGTGAACAATTTGACAGAAGATCTTCTCTCTGTCTCTCCTCTCTGTACATCTGCCTTCCCAACAAAAATAATTAAATCTTTAAAAAATATATATATATAAAAAGAAGTTATGTGGCTATTTGGAAAGTCAAATGGAAAGTGGATGGTAGGGAGGAAACCTAAAGAGCAAGTAACAACTTTGTGCAGTAATGAATTCACTCTGTGTTTTGGTTCTTTCACAGGTGAGCACATATGTCAACACTAATACATTTCTATACTTTAAGTATATTCAGGTTATGTTAAATAAAACTAAGTTAAGATGTTAAGAAAAAGACAGGGCAAGGTGTAAGTATGAAAATTGTTATAATGTAAAACCTTTTGCATTTAGAGGGGAAAACCTGAACCAAGAGAAAATTACTGATTTTTAGAAATTCTAAATAAGTGGAAAAAATGATTGTACTGATGAACAAGGTCATTTGTGTATTGAAAATTAATGTGCTAACATAAATTGTAAAGAGTTCTTAGTATAATTTCCCACAGTTGGAATATATTTATATCTTAACTAATTTTAGCTAATGATTTCCAAATATAAAATTATGGCCATTTGTATTAAAGATTTATTAATTTCTGATGTTATTGTAAGTATTTTTCTGTATCACATTTATATAACTGGAGTGACAAAATATTTTTTAAAAAGTTAAAATATTGAAGAAAGTATTGAACACATTTGCCAACATTAATCTGGAAAACTTACTTTTTATTTTTCAGGGCCTTCTGTCCTTAACTTTGGAAATGTCTGTATCAATTCCTCAAATACTGGTCTACTTCATGTTATTAATATGCTACATATGTATATTTTGATCCATTTAGATGTTAATTTAGATGAGCTTCAAAAAACCAAACAGTTTTCATTTGTAATTCCACCTACGTCCAGTGTTAATATTTCAATGATATTTGAGTCTTCTACCACTGGAAAGTTTTGGAAGTAAGATTTAGTTTTGAATTTTTTTGCTTGAGTCAAGGAGTCTTTCATGGAGAAATGTATTCAGTTGTCTCAATAACTGCAATGTAGCCTATATTTGATGCCAAAGCATGCAAACTATGTGTGCATCAGTTTGTAGACTTATAGATTCATATTTCACAGTCAGTATAATTCTTTCATGAATATTTTGAAATATTACATATTGAATCATCTGATTGAACTTCAAAAATTTCATTGAAAATGGAATAAAAACATCAGTTTGTTTTGTTGCAAATGTTTTGAACTTACTGTATTGCGATGTACTTTTTTCGTGAGCTTTTTGAAGAGCTCTCGAAATTGGTAATCAATAGAATAAATGTTTTCACAGTTTTGTGTTGAAATCTCCAATCACAAATATCGATTATTAGTTGAAATTATGTGATTTACTGTGTTACAGATCATTCACCTTTCTGGTAAACAGAATACCCAGTGGGCACATCCTAGTGATGGCAGTTGTCCAGCCAGTGCAACTTGAGCTGTCTTCTAATGAGATAGTATTGAAATCACAAGGTTTCCTGGTGCAAGCATGTTTTCGGGAGACACTTGAGTTGTTTAATCGTCAGAATTATTCAGCTAAATTTAAATGGCTACCAGTAAACTCAAAAAGTGGGATGTCTTTTTCTATTCGACCAGCTTCCGGTAATGGCATATTCTGTTTGATTTAGGCATTCATTTATTAATTCATTCATGTGTTTAGGCATTAGTCAGTTTTATACTGTGCACCGGTACTAAGATTATAGAAGTAAATTAGATACTGTCATAGCGATGTTTATTTCTAGATATCTGAAAACAGTTTTAAACTGTGGATCATTTACTGGTCACAATGAATAGTAGGTAGAACAGACAAATTAACAGAGAAGAAGTGGGATGGAGGGGAGGAGAGGGAAATGTTTTAAGACTGATTCTGGCCCCCTGGGTTGTGTGGCCTGAGGCGTCTGAACTTGGCAGTTAAGGCTAGCAGGCTAGAGATCAAGAATAGAGTTAATGGTGCAAATCCATTAACTATGGATCCAAAGGGATTTTGAAAACAAAATAAATTTTTCCTCAGAAGATCCCAGTCTTCCAAGATTTTCAGTTTACTGCTTGAAGCCCACATATATTAGGGGGTATGATCTAAATATTGGTAAAGTTACTGATGATAATCCTTATAAAATATGTACATCTCAAATCATCACATTACATACCTTAAATATATACCCTTTGTAAATTAAATATATTGTCTACTTGTTTAAATGTGAGTCATATCTTTAGAAAAAACCTGAGCCCACATTCTGAACAAATTGAAAATAAGATTATTAACGATACTGATTTTCAAAGCAATTTTTGTTTAGTTTTAGCTTAATGATGATAATATGGTTTGAAATGACTTCTATTTTCTGTGTGATAGGTCTATTTATTTATCTGAAAGGCTGAATTACAGAGAAAGGGACACATACACACACACACACACACACAGAATGTTCCATCCTCTATTTCTGTCCCCAAGTGGCCCCAATGGTTTGGGCTGGACCACGTCAAAGCCAGGAGCTTGGAACTCCATCCTGAGTTCCCAAGTGGGTGGCAGGATCTCAAGCACTTGGACAATCTTTCATTCATTTCCCAGGTGCATTAGAAGGAAGCTGGATCAGAAATGGTTTAGCTAGGGCTCTAATCAACCCTCATAATGAGATGCTGCCATTGTAGCCAGCAGCTTAACGTGATATGCCACAATAGGAGTCCAGAGAGTGATATCTTTGGAAGGATTTATAAATTATTTATAGTTAATATTTAATATAGCTAGCAAAGATCAATTAATAAAATTAAGAATAGTTTTATAAAACTATTAAATCATGAAAATTTTAATCAATAAAAATATTTGGGGCCCAACATGATAGCTTAGTGGCTAAATCCTTGCCTTGCATGCACCAGGATTCTATATGGGCACCAGTTCATATTCTGGCTACTCCACTTCCCATCTAGCTCCTTGCTTCTGGCCTGGGAAAACAGAAGAGGATTGCCTCTTGGACAGTGTCCCAACTGGTGGAATATCTTTCTCCCTGTATCTCCTTTTCTCTGTAAATCTGCCTTTCCATTAAAAACTAAAATAAATCCTTAAAACAATTTGAGATTTACTGTTTTTTATTTTACTCGGCATTAGCATCATTTTTAACCTCATTTCTATCATTCTCTGGGATCTGTAATTGCAAATAATATACCTGCTGCTAAACGAACTCTGGTAACTGCTAAGCTTTGACTTAATCCAGTAGTCTGCCAAATATAGCAAACATTATAGGAATGGGCTGTGGAGAACTTGATGAGGACATAAAATACCGTTTATTGAAATAAAATAGTAAATTAGAAGTGATAAAGATGATATATATATATACACTTTTTTTGGTACGTGTTATGCCTTCCCAGCTAGGTGAAAAGATGCCAGTATTTTGTGTCTGCAGTGAATCATGTGGGACTGTACAACTAGTTGACACTCAGTACTGCATGAATGGTGCATAAAAAAAAGAAAAAAAATAACGCCCAGAAATAAGAATTAAATTTTGCGGTCAACTAAACATGATTTCAAAACTTAACTTGGTTTCTTCCTCGTTTTCTCATGAAAAAAGTATTACCGTATGTAACACTAGCTTGCTCCAGTGGCTTTCCCTAGGTGTTCACTCGACATAATACACTGTGTCAGCTCTCTTTGTGTAGTTGCTTACTTCAGATGTGGCCATTGCCACACCAGGAGGTAGATAGGTAGGCACGTCTGTCCATTCAGTCTCCTGTGCCCCTGAATATCCTGAAGCAAGAATTTCTAATTTATTATATCCATGATATATCCTTACTTTTACTCTCAGGATGTTGACAGATTCAAGTGGATAAACGGACTCAATACCAAGTGTAATGAGTACTATATAAATTCTCAATAAACTTGAACTATAACAATATATTGATTACTGATAATTACATCACAGTTGCATTTCCTTACAAACAAAAGTATCTCACAAGGAAAAATTAAAAACAAACATACTTCCTCCCTCCAAAGGTCAGATGTGTGTGATGTTAGTCAATATTTCAGAATATTGAGAAAGCACATGGAGGGTCAATTTGGTCATGAATTATAACTTATTTCCTACCGTTTACATGTGAAGACATAATACTAGAATGTTTGCTTCATTGATAATTTTCTATTGTTTTTTCAAACATTGCTCTACTTTTGTCATATCTTTTCATTGCTTACTGACATTGGAAAGTAAAATGTGCATTATAGATTTTAATTAGACCTTAAATACTGTGTTCATTTACTAATCTTTCACTTGCTGTTTCCCCATTTTTGAAACTTAAATTTATTATTTAAGGAAGTGTATATATATATATATATATATATTTATTTATTTATTTATTTGAAAGGCAGAGTGTTAGAAAAAGAGAAGGGGAGAAAGAGGAGAAAATTTCTCCAGCTATTGATTCACTTAAGTTTCCGAAGTAGCTGGCGACCAGACTGAAACTAGAACCCACAACTATACCTGGGTCTCCTGCATTCCAGCACATGTTAGGCCAGCTCTTATTTTTACATTGACAGAAGCAAATATAAAGCTGTAGTAAATATATTATTTTCTCTTTATATTCTCTCTAGGCACGGTAGAAGCATACTGCTCCCTGATGTGTGAAGTATTATGGCAACCGAGTTACAGTTCTTCGGATAAGGGAGAATTTCATCTGCATGTCTCCGAAGGAAACACATCGATACTGAAATGTGTTGCACGTGTAATTATTTCACATGAATGTGATTTTTATTTTGAGGGCTATAAATTAGTTGTATGTTTCTAGAGTTGTATATGTACATATTTGTGTAAAAACCAATTTTCATATAACTTATTGTCTTAGCTCCTTTATGTCATTACTATGATGACTATTATAATTGGAAGACTTTCAAAAAAGAGTTATGCAAACTAGAATTAACCCAGAATTCATGTATTTTTTGCCATTAGTATTGTTGCATCCTATTCAAAACCATAATATCATGGAAATCACTTGAAATTATTTATTTCATGAGCACCAAAAAAAAAATTTTGGGGGGGCCTATTCTCTTGCATTGTTCATAGTCTAATAGAATTTAATAATTCACTATGATGTGGATCATGCAATTTACATAGCAAAAATATAGGCCACACATTTTTTATAGAATATGACCCAGCACCATAGCCTGGTGGCTAAATCCTCACCTTGTACACCCGAGATCCCATGTGGGTGCCGGTTCATGTCCCAGCTGCTCCATTTCCCATCCAGCTCCCTTCTTGTGACCTGGGAAAGCAGTCGAGGACGGCCCAAAGCTTTGTGACCCTACATCCACATGGGAGGCCCAGAAGAAGCTCCTGGCTTTGGATCAGCCACTTGGGGAGTGAACCAGTTGATGGACAGTGTTTCTGTCTCTCCGCTCTGTGAATCTGGCTTTCCAATAAAAAATTTTTAGAATGGACTTAGAATAACAAAATGGAGTATAACACAACCCCCAAAGCCTTAACTTCATTCTCAGTCATCAAGAACTATGCTTCACTTGCAATACTAATTTCCCTTCCAGTATTATTAGAAATTTAATACACACCAGATGCTGTTTTGCTAAGTCACATCCAAAGCTTCCCACATATTTCAGTTGCTAAGAAGTTTATAGCATTAAGGCCCACAAAATTCATCCACTTTGGTGATTGTAAGTTACAGTCAAAACATAGTAGGATCTTTACCCTGCTCCAAGCTTGAAATATGTAGGGCTGTACTGCCTTTCATTACGCATAACTGCCTTTCCTTCTGTATAAATTATTTATCATTAAAGAAAACATCTTTGGAGTATAATACAAAGAATGCTTCATTATAAATCATGAATTATAAATCACTCACTTTGTCTTAAACTGATACTACCTTTGTAACCCAATTGTGGATCACCCTGATCAAGAAATGAAACATGTTTAGTACTGCAAAAGACCTCCCCTGCCCCTACCAAGCCACATTTCCACTTGCTATGTACCCCTTTCAAGGTCAGCATTGTATTTACAGTAAGAGAATGAATTAATTTAAAAATTTTATATAATTAGAATCCTATTTCTCCTGTAGTTATTTTCTTTGTGTTTTTGCATTGAACTTCACATTTTTATGTTTTGCATTTCACAAGTACTTTATACATCCTTTGATTAAAATGTAATAACTATACATATTTATGGAGCACAATGTGACATTTTAAGATGTTGATACAGCATATACTGATGAAATCACAGTAACTAGCATCATTGCCTTACGTTTGAGGTTTCAAGGTCTTCTCTCCTAGTTCTCATACAGCACATTCTGGCTATCATGAAGCGTAGCAATTCTACTGTGTGGCAGAATATTAAACATAGTCCTTTCCTCTATCTAAAACCTTCCAGCATCTGTTTTACAACATTCCACTATACTCTCTCTGCTCATCCTTTTTGACCACCAGAAATCACTATCTTAGGGCTTTTTAATTAAAACTAAAGTAAAAAAAAAAATTACAGGGCTTGTTTTTTATGTTTACCATATTGAATGAGTAATAAAGTGGGGATGATAATTTTTCTTTCAGTAAGCATATATTTGATTAGCATGTATTTATAATTCAATATTATGAATGAAACATTTTACTTAAAAGTATTTTTCCCTTTCCTACTCTCATTATTAGGTTGGTCCTACTAAAGTCACATTTTTGGAACCAAGGATACTCTTCAATAATTGTCCTCAAGGTTTAACAACTTGGAGGAAAGCCATTCTTCATAATGTAGGACCAAATCATGGTTATTACAAGGTACAATGGAATGTTGTTCATTTTTTATTTGAATCATATTACATTATGCTTAAATTCATTTCTGTGCCAAATATCCCAGGAAATTTATATCTTATTCCCTAATAATAGATTTTTCCTACTTTTAAAATGTTTAATATGAAAACTTATTGAATACAGTTCATCTAATATTGGATTTTAACTTTGTCTAAACATTGTTTATTGTGTCTCTTATTTGTTTCATTTTTCCTCTTCTACTTCTCTTTCTGTCACTTTTTTTCTTTATTTGGTTTTATTGAAAAAACACAATATTTGAAATAAATTGAAATGCTCATTATTAATATTATACTTCATATTTAATTCAATAATTTTCCTTTCTGTTTGCACCATACAATCAGTACTGTTATGGTAGCAACTGGCACCTATATTGATGCCATTCTAAGGATATTCTACAAGTATTTATGGTTGTTGCTCTGCATTTAACTTGAAACGGGGTCAGAATGACAATATTTTTTTCCTCAAAAAAATATATATTAAATCACCTGCTGCCCTGAATAGTGGTAACATGAGGATATTTCAAGACATTCATGGAAAATAGAATTGAAAAATAAATGAATTTTTAGTTGAAAATTTTTTTGAAATCCATCCACAGTTTTCCCACACTAAACATTCTTCACTAGGTGAAGACCTCTTGAAAAGATTAGTGTTTCAGATTTTTCATTTGATTTTTCTGTTATCATGTGCCACACCAACACTGCCCAACACAAGTACACGAGGAGACTATTTTGTATTCTACAGCATCAGCACTAGTTCTGATTTAGTCTGTTCCTCTTATTTCAAATGATCTTGGTCAATTCTCCTAGAAAATTGTTCTGGCTTAAAGCATGATAAATGGCCTAAATTGGCTTTTTGACAAGCCGTGCCGTAAGTCTTTAATAAGCTGCTTGTAAGTTTTTGAAGATTAGAACAATAGATTTAATGTTAGGCTTTCTTTCGTGAAATAATTAAAAGGGGTTACTTAATCATACTGCTTCCCACTAACTTCGCTTTCAGTGTTAGGATCCAGAAAAGGCAAAATGTCAAACTAGGGTGTTGTCATTTTCTTTAGTGGTTATATCATCCTTGTAAATTTTACAGTTTTGCAAGCACTCCAGGCAACACATTTCATTTTTCTATTTGAATTGGAAGGGACTACTACCGAAAGTACTCCTTGGTGAATTTGAGCTGTGATTCCTTGCTGTAGCTCAAAATACTGATGCATCTAGTAATTTAAAACCCTATTACAGTAAGATCTTGTGTCCTGTCTATAGGATTCTCTAGTTAATAGTGTGTAAGCTCTCCTATGAAATCTTTCAAATGGCAATGTTCAAAGATAACATAGCATTTGTGCAAATGTTTGATTATAGGTTTGTGAGGAGAGCCTTTTACCTATCGTTGACATTGTTCCATCAGAAGGAATAATTCCATTTGGGGGAATAACTATTCTCAATATTTCCTGTAAACCCGTCACTGCAGAAAGGTTTGATACTAGAGCAAAGGTACGTGTATACACATGTGTTTTTTATATCTAATATATGACTAAGTTTGTTTGATTGTTTAAAGTATTTATCGTAGCAGATATACTGCCATAAAATGCACATATGATTATTTTTGGAAATTTTTTTTTAGTTATGTTTTCTATTCATAGTGGCTTTTAAAGTTATGATTACTAAAAACTAGTTTTTAAATTTTCTATTATTTTCTTAAAATTTAATTAACTCTGAAAATGTATACTCTTTGGGGATCTAAAAAGTAAGTAACCTTGATGCCTGGCACCGTGGCACAGTGGTAGTAAACCCCATTCTGTGGCAGTGGCATCCCATCGTGGTGCCAGTCTGAGTCCCTGGTGTTTCATTTGTGATCCATGTCCCTGATAATGCACCTGGAAAACAACATAAGATTGGTCAGGTCACTGGGCCCCTGCATGGATGTGACAGAGCAAGAACAAGCATATGGCTCCAGGATTCAGCCTGGTCTAGCTCCAGTTTTTGTGGAAATTTGAGGAGTGAACCAATGGATGGAATATTTCTCCCTATAACTCTGCCTTTCAAAAAATTAAGTATTTTTTAAAAGCAGCATTATGTGCATTACCTAATATAAAATTGAATAGTATAACTTGGAGGATATTTGCTGAAAATATTTTAAAGAATTGTTTTTTTGAAAGGCATAGTAACAGGGAAAGGAAGAGAGAGAGAGAATCTTTCATATCCTTCTCTCAAATGGTCACAGGATCGAGGGGAGGACCAAATTTAGACTAGGATCCCAGAACTCCATCCAAGCATAGCATTATCCACTGTGTTCCCAGGCCCATTATCAGGAAGAACCAGAAGTGGAATATCCAGGATTTGAACCCAAACTCTAAATGGGTAGAGCATCTCAAGTGGCAGTTTATCTTGCAATGTTACAACATTCATGTAAACATTCATTTTTCTTAGGAATATCAGTTCCACAAAAGAATATACATAATGCTAACTTCTGAAATAGCTGTTGTAGGTTTAGGTGCTGTTATTTTAAAATTAGAAAATGTTGTGTAAACGAAATACAATATTTATTTCAGCAATTTCTGATTTTATTGTAATGTGGTTTCTAAAAAGTTTTTTTTTTGTTTTGTTTCTCCACACTAAGGTTGCTATTCGTCATGCAAATGTCATAGATCTTAGGATTGGTGGATCTGTGGAGATTCCTGACGTGGAGATCAGGCCTGTGAGTAGGGGATCCATTGTGGTCAGTTTATAAATGCGGTGACTTTTATTAGTTAATATATTGTTAGCCATCCCAGTTATGTACAGAGTGTCTCACTACATTGTAATTGATACAGTGACTTTTCATATCCAGTCAATACTTGACTATTTTTATATATGTACAAAACATTAAGTTTTCAATATACATTTTGTATTTGATAAATTTTACATAATAGAACAGGATTGATAGCCTGTTTGTTAAAGTCCTCAGCTTGTGTACACCAGCATCCCATATGGGTGCCGGTTCGTGTCCCAACTGCTCCACTTCCCATCCGGGTCCCTGCTTGTAATCTGGGAAAACAGTCAAGAATAACCCAAAGCCTTTGGACCATGCACCCACATGGGACACTCGGAAAAAGCTCTAGGCTCCTGGCTTTGGATCAGCTCAGCTCCGGCAGGCCATTGTGGCTGCTTGGGGAGTGAATGAGCTGATGGAAGATCTTCATCTCTCTCCTTTTCTTTGTAAATCTAACATTCCAATAAAAATAAATAAACCTTAAAAAAGAAAAAAGAGGTGAAGGTTTCACAATTACTTGGATTCTGTCATTAATTACATATGGGAGATAGGTGGAGGAGGGAAACTTGATTAATTTTCATAGAGTTCTGACTTACAGTTGTTAATTTCCTTGACAATAATTAAAATTTTATTTTGTAGTTTACTTTAAAATTACTCTAATTTATGATTATTATTCATCTTTTAATTTTAGAATATGTTTGATTTTAATGGCACCTACATTGGTTCTACCCATATTATACCATTTGTAGTAAAGAACAGAGGTATGACACCTGTCCGAGTGGAATTCAACTTAGAAAACATCCGATATTTTTCAATGAATCTTAAAGATAAAGCAGGTACCTATTTTATACTTGAATGATAATGTTGTAAAAGCAAAATATTTCTTATGTTCCTATGGTGTAATTCTTAAATATAATATATATAAAATTTAAGTCAAAGACCATTATGTTTAAATATGTACTTATTTGAAAATCAGGGTTACAAGGAGAAATCTTCCATGCACTAGTTATTACTGGTGTTAGTCATTCAATATTTTTTGCAAATATTCTATGGAGAGTATATATTTAACCATTAGTTATTTGTATGTTAAATTAGATGTAAGGAAAACATGCCTTACATTAACAGCCTGTTATTTCTTTCCTGCATCTTTTTCAATGGATTACTCTTAATTATTCCACAGAGCTACTCTATAAAGTGCCTTTCCATAGTTCAGCATTCACACTCAAGCTTCAAGCCTTTGCTTTAAGATACTGCACCAACCTTTGATATCATACCTGCTCCAGAGAATATTCTTATTAATTAAAAAAAAAACTTATGAGCTTCTTCCCAGATATTTCAGTAATTGCACCTATACATGTTTTTGTTTTTTCTTTTGTCTTTAGTAAAATCAACAAATCCTAAAGCTCCATACATATATTCTTTGGAGTTAGAGGAGAGTTCATCAGCGGAATGTGATCTGATATTTTCCCCCGAAGTAGTAAGTTCAGCTTTTTATCTTACTCATTCTCCTGAAAAGTATCAGTACTGTACATAATACTGACAAAGAACCTGTCAAAGACTACCTAAGTTCTGCTTACAATCTGTCTTTGTCTTATTTATGAACCTGTTTGAATATAGCCCATCATTTATTGAAATGATTGCTAGTGGGGCCTGGCTTGTGCTTGTGCTCTCAGGAGGTACAGAGGGGGAAAAAAAAAAAGGACGAATGATCTTATGCCATTTTTATGACCTGCTAAAAATTCAAGATATGACATGCTGTGAAGATGAGAGAAATTTGGGCTAAAATAATCACTTATATTTAAGCTCTGACGTGTCTTGTTCTCTTCCTCTTTCTTCTTCTCTCCTCCCCTTGCTCTTCTGTTTCTCCTTCTCCTCCTGCTCTTTCTTGAATAGTGTGTGTTGTATGGTTACCATTCTTGGAGTTATTACCTGAAATTGCCAAAGACATTTGTGGAATATCTAAGAGGGCTTCCACTGATACTGGTTATACTTATTTTGCCCCCCCCCCATGTTTAGTTAGTTTTTTAAAGACAGCAAAACAAATAGTGAACAAAATTAAAGACAAACTCTTTAAAAGGACGTAGCTGGTTAAGTTTCACATGCTGTCTCTGGGACCTTTGCTTCACAGGTTCCACAATAAAAGTGCCAAGGAGAGGACTGTCTGGTCATGATATGAAAAGGCAGATTGCTATTGCCTTCTAAACATGGGTCACATTTCTATTTAGCGGAGTATAACATTATTTTAAAACTTTTTAAATTGCAAGCATAGCTAAATTGATGATTTATATCCCGTAGATATAGAATAGAATTAATGGAACAAAATATTTAATACCAAAATACTTTACTAGATCCTATCAGATAGTATAAATCAATTTTCCATAATAATACTTTTACTAAAGATAAAATCCTATTTTAGGAACAATGATACCTGTTCTTTAACTTACTGAAGTAAGGGGCAGGGAATTTAAGGGTGTGAGGACAAATTCAGGTGCTAGAAATCAATATAGGTTTTATCATTCTTTTGTTTTAAAGATTTATTTATTTTTATTGGAAAGTCAGATATACAGAGAGGAGGAGAGACAAAGAGGAAGATCTTCCATCCGATGATTCACTCCCCAAGTAACCACAACAGCTGGTGCTGTGCCAATCCAAAGCTGGGAACCAGGAACCTCTTCTCGATCTCCCATGCAGGTTCAGGGTCCCAAGGCTTTGGGCCATCCTCTACTGCTTTCCCAGGCCACAAGCAGGGAGCTGGATGGGAAGTAGAGATGCCAGGATTAGAACCGGTGCCCATGTGGGATCCTGTACGTTCAAGGCGAGAACTTTAGCCACTAGGCCACGCTGCCGGGTCCGATTTTTATCATTCTTAAGTGCAACATATCACTTGGAAATATGGTTTGTTGATTTGGGCACATATGACTCATGTGTACTGATGTTGTTTGTAACAATCATTCTTCTACCTTTTTCAGTTTTAGACAAATCCAGCAAAAGAGATAGCAGATGCCTTTTTGACAATAAAGCAAATGAAAATTCTTTAATAGATAAGATTCAGTGTTCTCAGATGAATTCTATATTATCATGAATTTCAAATGATAAATTTGTATGGATGTGGTGTTGTCATGAATGATATTCAGATAAACACAGTTTAGTAAGTTTGACAATGAGGAACTTTTTTCTCTTTTGGAAAATCATCTTAAGGATTTTTTTTTTCTCTTTGATCTAGTTTAGGCTATCAAACATTGTCAAAACAGAAACATTATTTAACTTTATTTTTTAAATTTTCAATGAATGATTTTTAATGCATGAGATACTGCAAATATATTGCAAAATTTGTTGAATAATATAGTCTTTCATTTGCCCATAAAATTTGAAAAGAAAAAAATAATTAACAAGTTGCTTTGGTGTGTTTCCTAGGATGTTCTTAATTTTGCTGGTATTTTAGATTCTTCCCATGACTACTTATCTCTGATACCCTATGTGTACATTTTGTTAGCATCAATTTACATTTTATGTTTTAAAAATGTATATATTTTATTTTTGAGAGAGAGCGAAGGAAGAGCCTACTGGTTTGCTCCTGAAATGCCTGTAATAGCTGGGGCTAGGCAGGGAGGAAGCCAGGAGCCTGAGACTCAATAAGAGTTTCCCATGTGGTTGAGCCATCACCCGCTGCTTCCCTGGGTACCCATGTGCAGGAAGCTGGAATTAGAAGCAAACTCATGATTCAAACTCAGCCACACTATGATGGGGTGCAAGGATCTCAGGCAGCTTATTAACTGCTATGCTAAATGCCCACTATTTCTTATTAACAGAAATTTAAATATTGTGTAACAATGATGTTATCTGTTTGATTACTTTGGTCTACTGCCAAACTTAAATATAAAATTTAGAAGTGAAGAAAGTCTGAGTGAATCACACCCTAAATCCTAATGGTTAATAATGACACTGGCAGTATTGTGATTTGTCTATTTCTCTGTCTATCCTTTTATATACCTCTATGTCTATATTTTTTGCATTTTTAAGTTTCAAGAAATAATTTATCATCTATTTAACTCATTTTTATTGATTATGTCTGTTAAAGTATCATTAATTCTTTTTGTTTTGGTAAATAATTTCTGACATTCTGCACAATCATCTTGCAGATGCATAGAGAGGCAAACACAGACACAAACTTTTCAATAAAGAAAAAAGCCCTGAGTTTAGTACACCAATTTAATCCATGTATTTTAATTTATGTTAAGACTGAATTACAGCCTTTTCATAATTCTGTATTATGATTTTATATTTTCATATACAATGGAAATGTATAGAAAAATTTTACTCAAGGGTCACTGATATGTAAGGGTCACAAAATATGTAATTTATCAAATTTCTTACATTACTTCTTGGGAGAATAAATATGTATCATAATATTTTTATTCCCCTTCAATATTTAACAATATCAATGATTAGAAGTTTATCCATCTGTTAATATTTAAATTATGGCTCTTCCAAGAGACTATATTCTGATTACAAAATGAAAATACATATATTTACAGTTCTATAGAGAGCCATACTTTGCTTAAAATTGTAAATCATTCGACATTGACCAGATGTTATGAACAGAGATTTACTGAGCATATTGGAGCGTAATTCAGTCTAATGATGAGAATCTCCTATAAAATCCTGCAGAGACAGCACACCTGTGAGAACTTGCTCCATAAGTTTGCATCAGAAAGGCAGATTTATTATCTAGTCTCTAGTCATTTCAAATGCCCTCCATTGTATTTATAGCTAGAAGTCGTCGGCCTTTTTGTGTATGTATGAATGTAAATAAACAAAGGTTGCTCTCTTGGTTAACCTACCGTATAACAGAGAAATGAGATTTCAGCAAAACAAGATTGATTTATTCCTAGCTATAACCCTTAAACTACACCAGGTTTGAACACAATTGAAGAGAAATGTGGGCAATTACACTTTCATTTGACACCCTTGATGGAATTGGTTCCTTTAAGTCAGACACCTCCTTGCTGTGTTCACCATTCATATGTGTTTTTGTTCAGTGTCTAGAGTTGTACTTCCCTTGTATATGTCAGTCACTACCCCGCATGCAGTTACTTCAAGTTGAGCTGCTTTTTAGTGACATTCTGTGAAGCTATCTGATGCTCTTATATTTGCTGCTTTACATTTGAACTGCAGTTGTTAAATATGACAGAGAATTGTTCAGACTTTATTTTTTTCCATTAACCGTTGTCTGCCTTTGAAGGCTAAACAACCCTTTAGTTAAATCTTTCATAACAGTTATTGAGTACTTTCAATTATTCTTACAGGAAACCAAGGATAATCTTGTAAGGATAATCTTGTAAGGATGAAAAGAGAAGACATTTGAATGGCAGCTGTTTCTAATTAATAGGCATTTCTGTCTACTAGCCCTGGCTTAGAAAATGCAATACTTTGCACACCAGAATGCATTCTTTCACTTTGTCTTCGAACCACTGTATCTGGAAAAGGGCTCAGACTAGCAGACACAACATAACTCTCAAATTTTGTTTCTTCATTAGATACTTCAGTAGTTTCATTAATTATAAGCTAATCTTTTTTAATCTTAATTTTTCTGTAAATGTTAGTCATATTCTTTCAATTTTCCTTAGGGAATATGTCTTTCATGAAGAAGAATTCATGGAAACTTGATTTTGTGTTCTGTGTAATCATAGGGATTCTTTGGGTAGATATTTTCTATGCAAATTGTGAGCATGTGAGATGAAGAGAAGACAAATGGAGTACAAATTTCCACATATACACAACTGTAAATTAACTCATCTTTGTGAATTTACCACACTATTTGAAATATATACATATATATGCTTGTGTTTCAAAAGATAGAAGGGTTTATTAGAAAAGTTTTAAATAAGAGGAAGTTAAAGACTGTAATTACTACGATTGAACTATCTTGATAATCACCATCATCATCAAAAGCAACATCAGGGTCAGCACTGTGGTACAATCGGTTTTGACACCACCTGCAATATTTTGGTCCTATAATTGTGCCAGTTTAAGTCCTAGCTGCTCCACTTCTGAGCTGGCTCCTAGCTACCAAGCCTGGGAAAGCAACAGAGGATGCCCCAATTGCCTTGCCCTATGCACCTGTGTAGGAGATACTGGAAGAAGCGCCTTACCTCTGACTGGCCCAGCCCTAGTTATTGTAGCCTTTTGAAGGGTGAACCAACAGATGGAAGATTCTCTCTCTTCATTTGCCCGCTCCATCTCTTTCCCCTTCTCTCTCCGTGTGTGTAATTTTGTATTTTTAAACAGATAATAAATCTTAAAATCATACATTCTTAAATGAAGTCCACCGTCATACTCTGTGTTGAACCTTTGTCATAATTCCAACTTTGCAGTCTTTATCCCTTTTGATCCAGCATTAAACTCCATCACAGTCAAGATTCAGTGAAAATCATCAGAACTGAATTCATCGTAACTCAGATCATCCTTTACTCCTGTCATCATCCAAAAGTAGGATCACTTGTGAATAGATTCTCATCCCTGTCAGCTCTGATTCCCCCTCACATCTAACATTCTTTTCTGCCTTTACTATCCTCTAGGCTCCTATACTTCCATAAAGCATCCATGTTTCTCTGGGCTTCTTTTTCCTTTATGCTTTGCTTTTACTAGGAATATGGCTATCTTACTGGACCTGCTTTCATGTAAACTTTCCCTTTTTATTTAAAAGAGTTACACAGAGGGAGAGACAGAGTAGGATCTTTCATATGCAGCTTCACTTCTCAAGTGTCGACAATGACCAGCACTGTGCCAAACTGAAGTCAGGAGCCAGGAACTTCATCTAAGTCTCCCATGTGAGTGGTAGGGCCCAAACCTTAGGACCATCTTCCACTGCTTTTTGCATGGTGTTAGCAGGGAGCAGGATCAAAAGTGGAGCAGCCAGGCCACAAACCACCAATATAATGAGATGTCAGCACTGCAGAAAGTGGCTTTATCCACTATACTGCAATGTCCCTACTGTGGATCATGGTACAAGTCTAGAAGTGATGATTTCTGGAAGCCTTGCTCCTTGCATTGTGTTTTTTTGTTTTTTGTTTTTTAGATAATTCTTACCTGTTAAACATGCCTAAGTACAAACTTCACATTACTTGAGTTTTCCGCTTCTTTTTTTTTTTTTAAAGATTTACTTATTTATTACAAAGATATACAGAGAGGAGGAATAGGATCCCTGCGCGTTCAAGGTGAGGACTTTAGCCACTAGGCCACGCCGCCGGGCCCGAGTTTTCTGCTTCTGAGCACAGCAGTATCTGAACAAAGGCTTGGTCAATAACAACCATTCTAAAATTTATGTAAATTTATTCAAAAATTTAAATTATTTACAATTTTTATGTGAAAGGTAGAGTTACAGAGAGAGCGATAAAAATCTTCCCTCTTCTGATTCTCTACCCAAATGATGACCTGGCCGGAGCTGACCCAATCCAAAGCCAAGAATCAGAGGCTTCTTCTGGGTCTCCCACATGGGTTCAGGATCTGAGGTCTTGGGTCATTCTTGACTGCTTTTCCAGGCCACAAGCAGGGAGCTGGATGGGAAGTAGAGCAGAGGGGACATGAGCTGGTACCCATATGGGATCCCGGGGCTTGTAGATAGATGATTAATCAAGAGAGCTATCATGCTGGCCACAGTCAGAACCTTTCACTTTTGCAATAATTTGGGTGTCACTATGGAGGTGTATCCAAGACTGAACTTTCAGCTTCTTGCCTTAATATTTCTATTGATCTCTCCCTTGATTACCCTCAATATATTCTGTTGGGAACCCAGTGCCTTCAGCATTCAGATAAAGATGACAGCTTGAGGTATATACTTTTAACATATTATTTGACTCTAAAATGTAGTCCACATTATATGGAAAAAACATTAAAATAGTAGCCTGAAAATAATATTTCCTTGATCCACCATATCCAAGATTATAAATCAGCAAATTCAACCAATCACAGAATAAAAATACTGAATACATACTGTATACATTTTTGGCTCTTGTCATTATTTTCAAAATAACATGTTATATTAAATTTTGTATGGTATTTATGTTTTATTATATATTATAAACAATCTGGAGAAATTACCTGATTTGTAGGGAAGGGTTATGCAGCTTATATGAAATATTATCTCATTTTCTGTAAGTACATAAGAATTCATGAATTTTGATGTTTACAAAGTTTCTGGAAGCAGGACCTTTGAAGAGTGGCTGTAAGTGTTGTTAAAACAGGTATGATAGATAATTCTGATATATACTAATATTCAAAATTATAGTGCTCATTTCGGCAGCACATATACAAAAAATATTCAAAATTAGAAAAATAACTAATGAGAAGAGAGAAGCTAGAAAATGATACTTAAAATACAGCTACTTGTTGGTGGCTAAATAGGAAGAGATCCCAGAAGACATAAGACCAAGTTATGTCTGTTGCTTTTTCCTTTGGATCTGCAATATCAAAACAGATTGAATTTGTACATGACATGCTACATTTTTATGCAGTTTACTCCTTGGCATCCATGTGCTGCTGCCACTGCAAAAAATACATTATCAAGGGAAGGAACTTGCTCTGTTTTGTCAAAGGAAAGGAAATATCTATTAAAGTAATACATGCTACTGTGTTTTATGTTTCTGTAATTCTGTTATAAGAACAAAGTGTTTATATAAGATCTTATAACAAGTGAAGGAATTGGCAGCAGTAGGGCCAGCTAAAGTTAAAATCAAAGAAAATGAAACCTCAAAATGTTTCTTGTCTATTCTAGCCAGTGCTATGTTGAAAAGAAGCAGTGAGTGAAATGTGCCACCAAATGTTCCGCCAAAAAAGGCTGATGGGACTAGTAAACAAGTTTAGTAAAGTTGCAGAATACAAAATCAACTTTAAAAAAATCAGTTGCAGGCTTTGGCTTCTTGGTACAGCAGATTAAACTGCCAGTTGTGACACTGGCATCCCATATCTGAGTGCCAACAATTCTACTTCCCAGCCAGGTTCATGTTAATTTGCCTGGGAAGGCAGCAGAAAAATTATTCCATCTGCTGGTTTACTCCTCAAATGGTTGCAACAACCAGAACTGGAGGAGCCAGAAACCCCATGAGGGTCTCCACTGGCGGGTAGGGACCAAAGTTCATCCTTCACTGCTTCTTCAGGTACATGTGTTAACAGGAAGCTGGATGTGAAGCAGAGCAGTGGGATTTTGAATCTGTACTCTGGTATGGGATGCTGACACCCTCACAAGCAGCATCTTAACCTTCTGCTCCAAAATGCTGGCTCTAAAACTTTTGTATAATTTGCATGAAGAGAAATTATTTTTAAATGTATTTCTTTTTAAACCTACAGAAAGAAATCAAGTCTTGGTTTTATAAAATGTAATTTAAATGTCACAAGATAATTTTATTTTTGCAAACCAATTTCATAAAATAGCATTTGCCAAATCACAGCAAAATCAATCAGAGGTATAATGCACTTTTTCATCTCACAGGTGGAAGCATATGAATTTTTCATTCCAACACAAATTAATTCTTTCAAAAATTTACAAGTTTGTACGGAACATTTGTCAAAGACTCTTTTAGTGTCAAAAAAAGCTCTACACTTCCGACCATGTCATGTTCAAGTTACAGGTATGTAATGGGAAACAGTCAACTGATGTGTGCAAGTCAAAGATTTATAAAATAATTAAACATCTAAATGTTTAAGATTATAATTGTTTTCAAAAATGGAAATATTATAAAATAAAATTATGTGATTCCTCTGTGTTGCTTGAATTATGAATCTGTGAGATTAAATATTGATAGTAGCACAGATATATTTTTAGGCAGTTGACTTTTGCTAAAAATAAAGAAGAGAATAAGAAATTGATTTGTTAATTTATTGCATGAGAAGCTCTTAAGTGATTAAGACAAAATATACATCATCAAAACGCATTGAAAAGGATGTGAAATATTAACAAGGCCAATTAAGAACTACTTTTATTCCAAAGTGATCAGTTGCTAAATACTAAGTCCATGCAAGAAAAATCAAACTAAAATTTGGAATTGTTTCTTGACTGCCTATTCACTTTCTAACAGTCAGGGATACAACTAATGTAGTCTGCAAACTGTACTTTTGAAAAGTCCAGCAATTTGTTTTCCTTTTGTTTTTATATTAGATTAAATTCATATAAATTCTAAGATAATTATCAAGTGTCATGTCGGTTAATTGCACATGACATATCATAAGAGACGTCTCATTGATGTAGAATGTACATTCTACATTATTTCATTCTCACTTAAAACCCAGAATTAATACTTCCCAGTTTCTTTGGAGGCTCTGAGAAGTTCAAGTTTTCTTCTCCTTTTTTTTTTTTAAATATCTTGTCTTGGAAAAGAAGATAATCTGTGTAATCTTTTTTTCCAAATTAGGTCAATTGTATTTCAGAATAATCCATTTACATTTATCTTTTCCTACTTAATGTAAATATTTCCCAGGGTTTTATGTTTACGTTTATTCATTTGTCAATAGATGTCTTTTTCAATTTAATGGCAATTTCTACTTTTTTCTCTGTAAAAAGTGTATTCACAAGTGCCTAGGCCTTTATATTCATTAGTATTTCATGAATATATTTACTCTCCTGTCACAGTATTGGAAACTCCATTGACAATATCCAGCACCGAATTTGTATTTGCAGTATCTATAAATGAGATGAACTTTCAAAAGAAAATCACAAAAACTCAGGTATGAATTGAGAAGTGATACAGTTTATAACTATTTTATGATTATGGTTTTTAGCTTACTTAGTTGTTTATTCTGAAGTGTTAGTGGTTTTAATTATTCCACATTATTAACTTTCCTCCAAACATTTGTGGCACTTGGAATAAGAATACTTGTACAACTTGTATATTTGTGTATCTGTAAGCATTTATCTAAATTTCTTGTATCTATTTGTCATCTCCACCTAATATCTTTAATCTACTCAGTGAAGGTGTATTTCAGTCTCTCTCTTCTTTAATCTTCATCACTCCTTTCTCTGATAGTAAAGAAAAAAATAATGCCTCTTATTATTTACAATTTACTTATGTTCCAACTTGACAACTGCTAGTACATTTACTGTACTGGAGTACAGCATTTATGTAGGAGGGAGACACAAATGCCTTTGGAAAACTTGATGCAGGATCTGAAGATCAGTCTAGTAGTTAAGATAGTAGCTCCTCTTATTACAGTGTGTGAGTTCAAGTCCTAACTATGGCTCCTGATTTCCATTTCCTGGTAATGTGTGCTCTGGGAGGCGGTGGTGGTGTCTCAAGAACTGGGGTCCCTGTAACACATGCAGGAGACCTGTGTTGTGTTCCAGAACCAAACTCTTGAGTGACCTAGCCTAAGTCACTGTGGGCATATGGGGAGTGAACCTATGGATGGGAGTTCTGTCTTTGTCCCTATCTCATTATTTCTCTTCTTTGTGTGTCTCTCTGCTTATAATATATTTTAAAGGATAATGGAAATTTCCCATATACTTTTAAAAGTTCATTTGTACAGTTCTTTTTTGTCATTAGCATTGTACTTTCCATTAAAAAAAAAAACCTGTCTTTCAAATCTATTTGTGTTAATTCTTCCTCACCCTAACTAGACTCTAGGCATTTAAATCAATCATATGCTTGCTTTTGTCATCTGTAAATTTTATATTTGTTTCTTTATGTATTTAGTTTTGGAAGGCAGACAGAGAAAGATGTCTTCCATCCCTTGATTCACTTGTCAAATGGCTGCAACAGGCAGGGTGGCCCAGGCTGAATCCAGGAGCCAGGAACTGCAACCAGGTCCCTCACTTGGTGGCAGGGGAACAAGAATATGAATCATCTTCCTATGTCCTCCCAGGTGCATTAACCAAAAGCCGGATTAAACCAGAGTAGCATGGAAGTAAACCAGCCCTTAAATATGAGGAGTGTGTTCTGATGGCAGCCCTGAATCTAGTATTTTTAATGCAGTTTACTACAGATCACAGTCCACCTTGGGGTTTCTGCCATATTGGTTGTCCATTTCCTTATGATTTACACAAATTTAAATTTACTCTTTGCAGTGTACAGATCTGTTAGGTTTTGAAAAATTATTAGAGTAGTGTACTTACTCTTTCAATGCTATGAAGAACAGTTTAGGCTCCTTTGTGTGATTCCTTTCCAAAATATTATTCCTTCTACTAACATTTGGCAACAGTAGGTTTTGTTTTTCTGTAATATTGCTTTTCCAGCATGTCAAATAAATATAAGTATAATGTATGTACTCATTTGTATCTGATATCTCTCACTTAAAAAGTATGTTTAATATCTATCCGTGTTTTACATAAATTAGCATATGCATATTTTATCACTGGATTTTATTCAGTTGCATGAATGTACCATAATGCATTTATATCCATCCTTTACCTTAAATGAATCCTGTGGATTTGGGGGGTTACTTGTTTGTTTTCCTAGTGTTTGAACAAAGCTGTTCTGTAATGGATGCATATGTTTTCAGTTCAGTCAAGTAAATGTTTAGCAATGACATTGCTGGATCAAATGGTATGATTAACATTTATATAAACTGACCTGCTGTCTTCCAAACTGAATGTATATTTTTATTCTGACCATAAATGAATAAGGAGTTTTATTACTCTCCAGCTTCATTAACCAACACAAGTAGATTCATTTTGTTGTTGTTGTTTTACTTTGGTCTCTATTTTTGTAGATATTTTATACATTCCTCAACAGACTGAACATATTTTCATATTTGGTTGTCTGATGTAATTTTAAAGCCTTTAATCTATAATTACCATTTTAATCATTTAACTTGTTGCATAGGTCCAAACTTGTGCTATAGAAATACAACTGATTTTTAATAACATATTACAATTTTCAAATACTTCATCTTTTGTGTTAAAAGGATCTTGTGATTAAAAATATATCAACACAAAGTGTGAAATGGATTTTGGATTTAAGCAGTGCTGAAAAACTTTGCAAAGATGGTATATTCCAGTTTAGTGCACTGTCTGGGACACTGGTACCAGAAGAAACGTTTAATATTTCCATTTTTTTCTGCCCAAGTAAGTACTTTTCTCCTGTACTTGTTAAAATGTAAATTTATCTTTTTTGTTTTACCATGAAAAAAAACATGCTCTTATTTATCTGAGTAAATATATATATATAATTGTGTCTTATTGATATCATTTTTGTGTCTTAAAATATTTGACAAAGATGGTATCTAAGGTGTACATCAATACACTTTGATACATATACATCATTTAATTAGTACCACAAATTAATACACATTTTCTTTATCAGTGTTAGATCTCCATAATTTGTTTTTTGCAAATGAAATTTAGTGTTCCTTTACTAATATATTCCCATTCCTCCCACACCCAAAGTTATGCACAATGATACTTGTTCTCTGCTCTCGTGAGTTCAATATTTTAGGTTCTAGGCAAGTAAGGCTGTATTGTGCTTACCATTTTGTGTCTAGCTTCTTTCCCTTAAGATGATTGTTCTCTAGGTTCACCCTGCAAATAGCACTATTTCCTTTTTTTCTATTACTGAATGTTTGGTACAGGCATGCATGTCACATTTCTTTACTCATTCAGTTGTCTTTGGCTACGTGCTGTTTTCCATAATTTGGTCATTGTGGATAAGGCTGCAATGAATATGGGAGTGCAAATATATTTTCAATATAGAGATTTTGTTACATTTGATTACGCATATGGAAGTAGAATTACTAGATCATATCATAACATTATGTTTAATTTTTTGAGGATCCTCCATAAGGTTTTCCAAGTACCAATTGACATTCCCATCAACAATGTACCAGTTTTACTTTTTCTTCACATGACACCCATTCTAACCCTATGCATTATATTATCTCCTTATGGTTTGGATTTGAAAGTCACAGATATATTTGGTGCTGAGTACCTTTTGCATACCTGTTGGTGCTTTGTGTGCTATATTTTGAAAACTAAATTTTCAGGTCTTTTGCCCATGTTTTGATTGGAGTACTTTTTGAAGTACTCTCATATAACTTACACATCAGATGAGAGAAAGGCATCTCTCTTTTTATTTTGAAGATTTATTTATTTTTATTGCAAAATCAAATATACAGAGAGGAGGAGAGACAGAGAGGAAGATCTTCCATCTGATAATTCACTCCCCAACTGACCACAATGGCCAGAGCTGTGCTGATCTGAAGCCAGGAGCCAGGAGCTTCTTCCAGGTCTCCCACATGGGTGCAGGGTTGCAAGGCTTTGGGTCATCCTCAACTGCTTTCCCAGGCCACAGGCAGGGAGCTAGATAGGAAGTGGAGCTGCCTGAATTAAAACTGGTGCCCGTATGGGATCCTGGCATGTCAAGGCGAGGACTTTAGCTACTAGGCCACTGTGCCGGGCCCTAAAAGACATCTGTTTGTTTTCCAAGAAATATTATTGATCCAAAGTACACTGGAGTAACATAAGGAATCTCCTTTCTTCTGTACTCCAGAAATCTTACAAATTTCTGAAACCAGGTCTGAAACCTGGAGGTCTGAAACCAGAAAACAATCCCCAAGTAACCTTTTCAAAATCTAAACTTGAAATAAGTCTCAAATTCCTGCTAAAGTCTAAAATCTCCCCCAAATAATTTTAACAATATAAATAAATATTAAATTCCTTTAATGAATCTGCAATGTCTTTTTTTCTTTTTATTATTTTTTTAAACTACATTTTTTATAACATTATATTATGTGACACAGTTTTATTAAATTAAATTACACAAATTCCATTTTGACTCATGCAGCATCATAGTCAAGCGCATTCTCATCCTCTTCTCTGATGAAACCACAGTTGCTTCAATCCCTGTCGAGTCACACTAGTCTGTCATTTTTGCTTTCCAAGATATATGCTTGAATTCTCCACCATCAGCTCAATTTTCTTCTTCCATAAGATCCTATGCTTGGGACTCTGGCTGTGAAAGATGTTGACTGTTTACTGAGATAGGATCCATCCTCAATAATTAACTTGCGGATTGCTGCGTTGAGGCCAGTTCTCCATGGCAGACAGCCGTTTCTCATATTCACCAGCCTTGCAAGAATTCCCTTCCCAATAGGTTAACTTAACCGGTTGTCCTTGACAGCCTTTCCTAAATTTAATAATCTGGGAGAAAGCACTTTATCTTCACCTCAACTTATCCTTTTATCTGCCATTTCTCAGTAGATCTTTATAGCAATTCTCTGACCTCATCTTAATACTTTATATACTAATGAAATGAGCAACTTCACTCACAGAAGAGAAAGCATGTGCTTTTTAAGTCTTGTTCCACTGACCTCTCGGTGTGTACTTATTTTCTCAAAATAATCAACATCTGCTTTAAGTATACTTGTTTCATTTCTAAGCAGGGTACACTTTAACATACTTTTATGTTTATATAGCAACTCTTTATCTTGTTTCTCAGCAGGATAAATTCAGTCTCTGGTTCATCTATTTTACCCCATAGAACTAAAATAATATAGTACACTCTAATATTTATTAGACTAAATTATGCAAATACTTTTCTGTATATAAACTGATGCATAATTTTTTTTCAATAGAAAAGACTGCAAAATACGTGGCTAATATTCCTATATATTTAAATGATAATCCTATTCACTATCGAATTTTATGTCTGACTGGAGAGGTAAAATCACCCACGTTATTGTTTGACCCACCATTTATATTTTTCACTCCTGTTCCTTTGGATGTAACAACTGTAATGGAGATTAAGATTTTACCCCAGAGCTATTTCAGGTAAATACTTAATAGGAATTTAGCACATCATATTTATATATGTATTTTTGTTTGTTTCTTAAGAGGTACAAATAATGTCTGGCTCCTAAATGTACATTAAAATGAAAAAAAAAAACTGTGGGTTATCTCACAATTTTTATATTACCTTACTGAAAATTTGCAGCCTTTTTTTCCATTGCTCTGCATATAAAAAGTCAAAATCGCTGATATAGGAAGACAGCATCAGTTAGATTCACAAGTAGTCCTTGTAAGCTGCCCTAAGCGATTCAGTTATTGAAAGTATTTTACAACAAATACTTACGTATTTAGATATTCTGTGATGATGAAGTATATGACACTCAGCTAATGAGACAGTTGTGTTAGGAATCTTAGAAACAAAATATTGAAATAAATTTAATGTGAAGCAAGTAGAGAAAGGTATCACTTATTAATATCTTCCATGTAAAGCAAAAACAACCAAAAAGCAAAACATTTTTTCAAGTTAGAACTATATGCCCATTTGTAAGCACAGTTTGATTATATATTGGGCTATAATTATTTTTATCAAAAAACATTGCTTAGTATGTGAATTAAGGTTTAACTCGCTCAGTTTCTAAATTAATATGTAAAGGTACTGATTTTAAAACTACTTCCGCTCAAAAGCTGGATCTTGTAAGATGCAATATATAGAATAAGGCAAATATTGAAGGAATGGAAGAGATGTTCTAAGCTAACTCTGCTTGTTATAAACACATGGTAAAACCCATAGCACTAATGACTTATCCAATTTCACATAGCTATTCAGCAACTTCACTGTTTTTAGTTTTGTTTTTTATATTTTTATTGAATGTGTTATAGATTTGATTAATCAAATTGAAATTTTAGTTGCATTTTCTCTTTAATTAGCTGGTTAGTTTTCACAACAATTAAAATACTAGAGAATATGAGTCATATTTGTTAATACTTTAATATTTATTATAGGCCTGTACATATATAATAAAGTAGTATGCTCAAATATTTATTAATCACTAAAAATTAGAAGTAGTAATTTGATTTTAAAGTGGATATTACAAATTATAATATAATCACAAATATTTTATACCAAATATTTCATATATATTATTAAACATGAATGTTAGTGTAATTTTTAATAGAGATTGGGAAATTATTCTTTATATATCTATGCAAGTGCTTAATACTACTGAAATTTAAACACGTGTACCTACATAAATATTTGTTGAGATTATTTAGTCTTCATTCACTAAATTTGTCTCACAGTGCTAATTTTTGCCAGATTCTTGTCAGAATATAGAACAGTATTATTTTTGAACAATAATATTTATTTAACATTTATGGTTAAAATATTGCTTTTCATCAAGTGTTCTTTTCTTTTTTAATCCTCAAAGAACAAAAGGAACATTTGATCATCTCAAGTGGTTCTTGGTTAGCTTTACACATTGCAAATCTTATATTGCTATCTAAAAATAAGACTTAATATAAAGATGTCTTCAATAATTCTTTGTATTATAAATCTTTGTTGTTTTGACATTAATTTAAAAAAAGTATTTGAACCCAATTATTTATAAGCAATTTAAACTAAAAACACCTTTTTAAAATTTTGAACAGACATTCAGTTATAAATGTCCAGATTCCAACAGCAGAGCTTCTTGTTGATGATGAGTATAGCGAAGTTTACCCTCTATCTGTGGATTTTCCGAAAGGGGCAGTCATCACAGGCTCTCCCTGTGGAGTCAATGATGAACTCCTCTGCCTGCTTCGCTTCAAATCATCTACACCTGTATCGTTTTTCATCAACCTTTTTTTCTATGATGACAAAGGCAACTGGTAAGACACCTAAATTTTGATTCTCTTAAATCTGACAATGAAGAATAATAGGTTTATATTCTGTATCATTCTTTAATGTTAAAAGGAGAGGCATCTGATATAAGCACTTTGGACATAAACATTTCTTTAATGTTCCAATTGGCAAGTTTTCTCTCTCTCAGTGAAATAGCATAATCATGCTTACCAGTGTGTATTCTGGACCAAGGCTGCCTGCGATCAAAACCTGGATTTTCTAACTTTACTTTTGAGTCTGTGTTTCCTCCTCTATGAAGTGAAGAAAATTGCAGAATCTATCTCAAGTGTCATCATGAAAAGCTCATTGAGTTAATATTTGTTGAGTAATTGAACAAAAGCTGGGCCATGCTCTGCTGCTTTCTTAGGCCACAAGCAGGAAGCTGGATGGTAAGTGGAGCAGCTGGGATATGAACCACTGCCCGCGTTGGATCTTGGAGCATGCAAGGCGATGATTTAACCACTAGGCTAAAGCACCAGGCCCAGAAACAGAATCTTAATAAATATAGTAGATGTAAAATAAAATGATAATATTTCTCATGGTGGTTGATGTATTTTTGACAGGTCATTACAATATTGCACATGATTTTTGAAAGTGAGAAAGTATGAATAATTATCAGACTATCACAGAGATTTAATCTGGTGCTTCAGAATTTCATCTATAATAATATTTAACCAGAGAAGCATGAGAGTTTGTCTTCACTAATGATTAATAAATAGAAATGTGATTAGAATTCATTATTCATGAGCTAATTAGTACAGGAGTGAACGGTGAGACCTTTCCTCACCTTATTTAATAAATTATATGTATTCACCATGTCATTCAATATCAAGATATGAAATGTTGGTGAGAGACGGGATGTCCAAGTGGTCTTTATAATTCAGATTTCTTATTAATTGGTATGAAATAAAAATTTCTATGAAATATTAGAAAACATGACTATATTTTAATATTTGAAGGACTATAGTGAGGGTTAAGATTGGGGATTTTATTTTTTTGTGGTTTCATTGTAATTTTAATTTGTATATCCTTAATGATTAATTATGCTCAGCATCTCTAATTGTGCTTTTAAAAATATTTCCCTTTAAATTGTATTTTATTTTTACATTTTTAAAAATTATTTTTACAATCTTGACATAATTAGGGTAAAAATGTTCAAGTACTGCAGGAAAATAGGTAAGACAATTAGTTCCGTATTGTTTCCTTAATATATCTGCTGTAAAAGGAGATTTTAAGGGAGAAGCCCCCCCCCCAGTCTCCCACCCACCCCAGGTCCAGATGTGGGGCATGCTCCGAGGGTCTTGTTCAAGTGATTTTGATAGTTCAGCAGTTCTGAATTGCTGCCTCTCTGACCACTCCAAGCACGATGCAGTCGTTGGAGAATCCACTGATTGATGTAGTCCATCATATAGTCTCTGCTTGCCCAGTATTTTCATTGCCAACATATAGCTGAGGTGGTTGATCGATTTGTTCTGTCCTCTGTCTTTTGATGGTTCTGAGTCTGGAAGCTCAATTGGGGGATCCCCAAAGAAACTTTGTCTGAGGTGTTCCCAGACCAGATTCTTGTATGTGCTAGCAAGTACAGGGCCCAGTACAGTCCATCGCCCCGATCAGCTGGCGGTTGCAATTGCTGGGTTGGTTCTGTTTCCATCCCTGTCTTCCAGTGGAACAAATGGGTGTTAGCAGTCCAGCCTGGTTCTGCCCAGTACATACTTGGCCCTCACATAAACCAGTGGGAGCTACAGCCCAGCTGGAGCGACCTACAAGAACCCCCACCAGGCCCGCCCCCTACCCTGGTTTGCCAGCATGTGTGGCAGAATAGTCCAGTCTGTCCCACATCCCATTTGGGGATTTTATTTTATTTTGTGTTGCTCCTGAATAGGAGTTTTACAGTTGCAGTTTTCCAGATGTGAGATGGGCTGCTGGGTTGTGTCTCTGGGTAGTCTTGGGTAATGACATCCAAGGCTAGATATAATTTTTAAGGAATTTTTTTTTAAAAAATGAGTACATTAATTCTGAGACATCTGCAAGTCTAAATATTGCTGCGTGCTTAACCACACATATTTGCAATTTGTGTTCTCAGAGCATATTTAATAGTGAAATTCACAGTGTTTTAAAAACTTTACAAGTAAATACTTTTTAAAAGATTTACTTATTTGAAAGAACTAAACAAGGAGAGAGGGACACACAGACACACACACACACACACACACAGAAAGAGAGAGAGAGAGAGAGAGCTTCCAAATACTGGTTCACTTCCCAGATGGCTAAAATGGCCAGCAGAGAGCCAACCTGGAGCCATGAGTTAGGAGTTTATTCTGGGTGTCCTATGTGGGTGCAGTGACCCAACCACGTGACCTATCTTTTTCTGGTTTTCCCAGACCGTTAGCAAGGAGCGGGATTGGAAACAGCAGCCAGAACACAAATCAGTGCCCATTTGGAATTCTGGTATCGCAGGCGACAGCTTTACCCACTATGACACAGTGCCACCCCTAAAAGAAAATATCATAAAATCATTAAAATACATGAAGTAACTAGCAAAAGCAAAGTAAAAGGAAATGTGATAAGTAATTCATGTTTTCACCATTGAAAGCAGCTTAAGTACTTAAATCTTTGTGTTTACTGCAGTTAAAAATTGCATTTTGTTTAAATACATTATTTTTACTTTTAGGTTTCCAATCCCAGTTAGTGCCACAGCAGAAAACTGCATTCTTACCCTTTACCCATTTATGGCAACACATCTTGATAAGCACAAAATTGTCTTAAAGAGTGGTAAGTCACATGTGACAGATTTCTAATTCTTACTGTATTATTTATAATTGACATCGCAAAAATAATATCCAAGCTGAACACCCACTTCTGACATTTTCTTATCCTTCTATGTACTCTGTTTCTGCGGATTTACCTACATTTTATTCAATGCCCAGTTCAGAAACTTGAGTGCTATCCCCTGACCAGTGTCTTCTCTCTTGCAACCATTTCCATTCCATCAATTCATTTCACTTGTTTCCCCTTCCATTGCAATCAGACAGATTTAAACTACCATAATGTCTTGTTTGGATCAATGAAAAAAAGTCTTTTTAACTCATTGTCATTATCTTCTATGAATTATCTGTTACATTGTGGCCACAGTATTCTTTACAAACTGAAAAACTAATCCTCTAGTTCCCAGATAGTTTTGCAGGGAACACCATGAGTAGTATGATGGAGCCTCTCAGACTCCACATGACATAACCCAGGATAATGGGTTCATTCTCATTTCTGGACATTGTTTTTTCTGTGCTCAACCACATTAGACTTCTAACATATAGAACTTAATTGACAGGAGAATCTTCCCTACCATATCCCCCATACAGCTACAAAAGATCCTTGCCTCTACATACAGGGATTTTGGGTTTCACTTACATATTGCCACAGCTTTGTGCAATTTCCCTGTGACAGCCCTTACCCCCTTTGGTCTAACCGGCCTATTACATTTACCCTTATTGGGTGTTGATCACTAATGAAATCTGTGAGAGGAGAAATTGTCTGTCCTTTTCACTCTGTGTCTACAGTGTCTTATACAGTGTCTGGCAGACAAAAATTAATTCAGCATTATATAATGGACATCTGAATTTTGGATAAGAACGGCCTCTCTTAATTATGCATTTCAATAAGTGGTTGAACTAAATGTGAAAGTGTGTAATCTGAGCACCAAAAATAGCATTTAAAAACAACTTATGGAATAATCCAATTGGGGCAGGGAAAGATAGAGAAAGAAAACAAAAATAATCCTATTGTCACACTTGAATGTTATTCTAAGTACTGGCGATTGAGTGTAGGAGAATTTTAAATTGTAATACAAAATAATAACAACAGCAGTCGGATGAATGGTAACACAGACTGAATGAAAATTCTCTTCTGTGTTCTAACCCCACAATTTTCGTCATGGTTTATCTTTAATACTTGGATCCAAAAATGTCTACTTTTATTGAACGTCTTTATTAAATGATTTAAATCTGCATGCCAAGAGAGTAACAGGATACTATAAATATTCATTTTATCTCTTTAAGAGGGCTGTATTTGGAAGCCATAGACTATAAATACCTAGAAGAGATTATTAGAACTACCATTTCATTACTGTTTTAACTGTGGTTAGCATTACTTCATCACTCCTTGATGTTAGTGAGATACCGTATATATCTCACTTTACAGATTAAGAGTCTGAATAATGTAGAAGTTGGGCAGCTAGTTTTGGGGTTCTAAGTACATTTGTGAGATTTACACACTTAGATACTATACTCTATTTATGATGTATCAATAAAGGTGAAATTTTAACTGTATTCATTATATTCAAAAGAAAGTTTGCATTACTAATTTGCTGTATCTTGCATGCATCATTAAAATATGAGAATCATTAACTTTAATTCAAAGGATAGTGGTAAGGCTTTTGCTTAACTGCACAGGCAATGCCTTTCTGAACAGAACTAGATGACAAAGGCCTATAAATTGCACATTAAAAAAAAAGAAAGAATTTATTTAACTTGAAAGAGAAGAGAGAGAAATCTTCCACCCACTGACTCACTCCCTAAATGGTCACAATGGCCAGAAGCTGGGGACCAGGAGCTTCTTCCGGGTCACTCACGTAGGTGTTGAGGCAATTTACCACTGCCCTCCAAGGCAATCAGCATAAAGTTGGATCAGAGATGAAGCAGCTGTAACTGGAACTAGGGCCCCTGTGGGATGCTAGCGCCACAGGTAGAGGGCTATCCTGATATGCCACCTTGGTGGCCCTTACATATTTGTTTTTAACATCTGTCCTTGATATATCTATTTGATTTCCTTGGTATGCACTGCCAAGGTTAGATGCAGATTCCTGTTGTTGCAATTTCTGATGCATGTATTTGATTAGCAGTTCTGGGGTTTTAAATCTGTTTGAACGGTATCAGTTCATAATCAAAGTGGTTTGCATTTCAGAGAATTAACTAGGGAGTAATTTGTTGGTTATCCTTTTGAACGTCTTATTTTGAACATAGTATGTAATAATTCTGTATTTGAAGGTGAGGAAAAATGTAAAATAGTTTTATATTCCTTAATAGTGTGAAATTGAGCACTGTTCATTCTGTTTTTTAACTGTACCATAACAGTTGCCTTATCAAATGAATTTCATTTAACTTGGAAAACCGTATAATCTTTTATGCTGTCTTTTTTCTAATTTTTCATTTGATGTACAATGGATCTTTAGATATTATTTCTCTTTGTTTTCACATACATATATGAAAATCAGATCAAATAGTTTGATAGTGAATTCCTTAAGTGTTTATTTCATTTGTTGTGACTCAATTTGTCAATTACAGATAAATGTCGGATTCCTATGAGGCATAGAGGCAGTGCTTTTCTTCCTGCCTTGGACTGCAAAGTATGCTCTCCATCTTTAGTTAAAATGGCAGCCACTGCTACTAGATTTATTGATGCTGAACCTACACATGGAAATCTATTTGTTGGTATGTGGCAAACTCATAGTGTTACTCTAAATTCAACCTGTGACATGATCTGCTTACCATAATTTAAAGTTAGACTTTTCCAGGTGACAGAAAATCTATGATGAAAGCCAAGAATTTGTCATTAGTCTTGACTAAGTCACCTGCTTTGACATTGCTCTTCAATGACCAATACCAGAAGTTCTGGGAATGTTCTCATATACCCATTATGACAAAAAGAAAATGAAACTGTTTTAATGAAAAGTGTGACTTTAAAATATCTCTGCTGAGTTTCTCATTATGGATCTAATGCATATAGAGTAAATTGACTCAGAATATCTAAAGAATATGGACTATCTTGTAGTAATAGACTATTTGACTATTGCAGATGAAAATAGGTAAGCACTTTATGGCCAAGTAAACCATTTTTTTTCCTATGAATATTAATTCTAGGATTGGAAATTATGCCAGAAAACATGAGCTTAAATAAATGTGAGTCAAAAAAGAAAGAAAATGATAAGTCTAAGGAAAAGGAATTAAAAAATGAACAGTTCTTTTCTCCTGAAAAAGGAACACAGGCATATGACTTCATTCAGAAGGTTGTAGATGCAACCCAGATCTGGTTCAGTCTCTTTGGCTGGCCTGAAGGACCCCACCTGCTTTCTATCCCAGAGACAATAAGAAGGTAAGCAACGGGTTACTCTAAATTCTTTCTATTATATCATGCTGTAAACTATAATCTATTAATTGCGATCCTTTTAAGTAAAACACAATATTACATAATTTACATAATTTACCTAGAATTAATAAGTTATTAGATAACTTATAGACACATAAAAATGCTTTTGTATGCATGGACTTTCTGGTTTCCTACAAACATCCGATACAACTACTAAAGTTTTCTGAACTTCAGTTTCCTCGTCTGTGAAATAAGAAAACATAAACCATGGGTAGGAAAAGCTTTTTTATACTAGAAAATTTTGGAAACCACACACAGTTCTAGGGAAGTAAAGTAACATCTCTCTACTGCAGAATCTAGTCAGAAGACAGATGTGGTATTGAGCAAACAGGTAGGGCTCACTTTTCTTTCTGTCATCTCTTTGACAGTACTTTTACCTCTCATCTTTCATGTGTTGTTTTTACCACATAAACAGTAATGTCTAAAATAATTAAACTGCTTTGGTTATATCAAGTCACTGAATTTCTGTAATAATTCAAGCAGAAATTTGGGCTCATTAACTGTTGTGCTCTTGTAGTCGTACAGGATTCTGAGAAGTTTTCTTCTCAGCACTTGAGTAAATTCCTGCCATCACAGGGAGAATATTCATCTTTATAGTTACTAGTTATAGCTGCATCTAAACAGTTACTCCTTAATCAGAAATAGTCCAATGAAGCTAAGTGTATATTTTTCCTATATGTTATCTTTGAAAGTTTTTTTTAATAAAAATTTTTGTAAAATGTTTGTATTAATTTGTACTCACACAAACAACCATGACTATTGTGCCTTTAAATCTTAAGAAATGTTTAATATTATCAGTCTTATTTGATTGTTGTGAGTTATTATTTGATTGTTGTGATTTGAATTGGCATTTTGCTGTTATTAAGAAAAATTTTGCTGCTCCTTGTTCATTTGGATATACTGTGCTTAAAATTTCTATGTTAATTTTCTTCTCATTTACAGCTTGAGTCCTCCCTTCCCCCTTTTCTTCTGCTTATTTATTTGTAGAAATTTTGTGTATTTTTCATTGATACCTTTGTTGGGTTTTGTGTAAAAGCAGTTTCTCAACAATCAATATTATCTTGTAATTTTGTTTTCCAAAAACATTTTGCAGTGATCTCACATCAGAAATATATATTTTTTTCTAATTTATATATATACCAATTTAGGAATGATGATTACTTCTATCTTCTCTTTATGAAGTCTTTCCCTCAGACATAAAGATATCCTCCTTTGTTATTTCTAGAAGCTTTGTTGTTTATTCTTTCATGCTTGATATTCAATCCTCCTGGAATTTGCTTTTGAGCACAGTATGAGATAAAGGTCAAATTTCTTTTTCCCTACTTTTCAATCCCAATTGACTTGCTATCACTAATGGCATTTATCCAAGAGATCCAATACTGCTTGATGTGCGGTTTATGCGATTGACTCAATACCATTTCAGAAAAATGCCATTGTTCCTACCTCTCCATTCTCCAATGCATCTTTTCTGATAAATCAGGCATTCATTCCAGAGAATTTCAAATAGCTTGTGAAAAATGGAATTAAGTTTATTTTGTCATAATTTGTAATGCATGCCTAGTGCTTTCATAATTTGTATTTTCACAATTTCTTACATATGATTGTGAATTTGTGTAACTTACCCATTTGATTAAGTTATATGATCTTATTCTATTCATACTTCATTTTGTTTAGAAGAATAAGTGAACTTTGTTGTCCTCTTTTTCTTAGGTATTTATGTCATTTTCATTTTTGCACAAATGTTAATATAGCTTGGAAATTTCCACCAAAAGGCAAAATAAAAGCACTTTGCTGGTATTTTGATTGTTGTTGAGCTTTGTCACTATTTTAGAAAGAAGTGACATCTTTAAAACATTGCTTTAAAAAAAATGGCGCATACTACAATTTTTCTTGGGTCTTTTAAATTTTTTCTCTTTGATAAATGTCTTAGTGGGGAGTATTTCTTGTATATCAAATAAATTTATTCATAAGTGTTTGATATTGACTAGTGTATGTTTATTTTTCCCATATGCTACATATAATATGTATAAAGTTGATAATGCTTTTATTAGACTAACTCATTTAGGGAATTGAATAATCCTAATTATTTGTAGATTTTGTCATGTTTTTTAAAAATACATCAACTGAAAATAATGGATTTTTTTTCCTTTACTAATTCTTACACTTTTGATTTCTTTTACTTGCTTAGTGCTCTTGCTAGGAAAAAAAAATATATATGTGTGTGTATGTATATATATATATATATATATATATTTAATATGTGTCCTTCTCCTAACCTTGATCTTAGGAAGAAAATTTTTCTATTTTATTTTTTCCTTTTAAAGATTTGTTTATTTATTTTTAAAAGAGTTAGAAAGAGAGAGAAAGATCAACAGAAAGACATAATTATCTTCCATCTGCTAGTTCACTGTCAAGGGGCCAAAATAGTCAAGTCTGGACCAAGCCAAAGCCAGAAGCCAGGAGATTTATCTGGGTTTCCTACCTGGGTGGTAGGGGCCCTCTGCTGCTTTCTCAGGTAGTTAGTAAGGAGCAGGATCAGAAGTGGAGCAGCTGAGACAGGAACAGGTCAGGTGCATATATGGAATACTGTTTTTGCAGGAGGCCAGTTCACCTGCTACATCGACAATATGGCCTCAGAAAGAAAATGAGCTTCCCTCAATTCTTCCCATAGAAAACACTTATTAGAATTTTCTTTTTTAAAACTTTTCTTTTTTAAACTTCTAATAGTACAGTGTGTTCATGATGAATAAGTATTTAGTTTTAAATAATAGTTTTCTCTAGATTTGGATTTATCCATATTGTGTATCTTATATGTAATATATTACTTTCATTCCATCCACATAATTGATTTCCAATGTGATTGCCTTAACAAAGGTTGCCTTGAAGCTTAACAAAAGTGATTTTGCAGTTGATATTTAGCATAATGTCAGCATTTCTGTTGAATTTTAAAATTTCTTTATAGAACAGCATTTAATAAATTATTTTAAGCATTCTAGCATAAAATATTATATATTTTATATCAATTGAATCTTATTTTCTATTAAATAATTAAAACAAAATTCCTTATTGTATTCTCAAATAATATAGGTACTTACTGATTTTTAAAATTGCAAAAAAATTACTCAAATTTATTTGTTTAAATGTTTACTTATATTTGTATTTTCATCTACTCTTTTAAAATTCAACTTTATGACTTTTAGGCTGTTAACCAAGTGCTTAAAATTGGCATTTTTTTAAAAAAAAGATTTACTTATTTTTATTAATTTATTTATTAATTTTACTAATTTTTAATTTTATTAATTTTACTTATTTTTATAAATTTACTTATTTTTATGCATTTTGGGAATACAGATTTATACAGAGAAGGAGAGACAGAGAGAAATATCTGGCATCTACTGGTTCGCTCCACAAGTGGCAGCAGTGGCCAGAGCTGAGCTGATCCAAAGCCAGGAGCCAAGAGGTTCTTCTGGGTCCTTTGCCTGGGTTAAGGGTCCCAAGGTTTTTAGCTCGTGTCTACTCCTTTCTTGGGGCACCAGCAAGGAGCTGGAAGGGGAGTGGAGCAGCTGGAATATGAACCTGCACCCATATGGATCCCAGCACATACAAGGCGACGACTTCAGTCACTAGGCTTTCGCACAGAGCCCTAAAATGGGCAATTTTAACATCTTTCTGATATATTGAAACTTTTAATACCATGAAATTTCTTTCTATATTTTGAGTACTGTTTCTGTCTTAAATACTGTGAATCTTATATGAATATAAATATCTTGCTTTCATTCTGTTTAATATTTACATAGGATTTCGAAAATATTTTACATAGATCTGTTCCTTTATTTTTGCTTGTGTTTCACTTTATACTCTATCTTTAGCTCATTTCATTCTCATTGTTTCAATATTTGAATTTGTACTCTATTGAAATAACACATAGTTATGATTTTAAAATTTAGCTTCTTCTCTTTTTAAACTTACTATTTGCTTTCTTTCCATCTTTGTCTACACCTGGATTAACTGTTTTCTTTCTTATATTATGATTTTCTTATTTTTATTTTTTATATTAGATGATGCTTACGTAGTTGATCAGAGTTGGAATGACTGAGGGTGAGGGAAAAGTGGGTGTGATTATTGTTTCCAAATTTTCTTTTTTTCCTCCCTGTTTCTGGGGGAAAAGGGTGTCTATAATTTATACTCTCATAGCTTAGGAGTTAGGCACCATTGTCTTATTCTTCTATTGGTTGGCTTAAACATCACAGCACACATTTTTAGCTCACTTGAGTTGTAGTAATTAAGAATCTAATCTAATTGTTTGAATTTATAAGGCCCTTTGTTTTCTTCCTCCCTGTCATGTACTACCACTGTTGTATAATATAATCATACATATTAAAATGCATATGTTTATATGTATAAATAAATATTGATATATTTAGCAATGTTATTGTTCTTTATGCCTTTTGCATGTTTAATCTACACTGTGAGATTATTTTTCCCTCTCAAATATAATTATTTTCCGATTTAAACAATGGTTGAGTAACAAATTTCTGTGTTTTGTTTCTGAAACTTTGTGTATTTTGAAATTGTGCAGAATTTGTTAAAAATGGCATTTAAGCTGCTATTTCCTTTCAGCATTTTGAAAATATGGTATTTTTCTTTTTTTTTTTTTTAAAGATTTATTTTTATTATTTTTTTCCTGGAAAGGCGGATATACAGAGAGGAGAGACAGAGAGGAAGATCTTCGTCCCATGATTCACTCCCCAAGTGAGCTCAACGGCCGATACTATGCCCATCCGAAGCCAGGAGCCTCTTCTGGGTCTCCCACGCGGGTGCAGGTTCCCAAAGCTTTGGGCCGTCCTCGACTGCTTTCCCAGGCCATAGGCAGGGAGCTGGAAGGGAAGCAGGGCTGCCGGGATTAGAACCGGCGCCCATATGGGATCCCGGGCGTGCAAGGCGAGGACCTTAACCACTGTGCCACCGCGCTGGGCCCGCTATTTTTCTTTTCTATGTCTTAAAAAGTCTTCGGAACTCTTAAGTGTCTCTGTTTTGATGATAACATCTTTCTCAGAGAGAGTTTTTTTAAGAATTGTTCTCTCCGCATCTTCACAAATGTCCAGAATATTCTCTTATAGGTTTCTTTTTTTTTAATTAGAATTCATGGTGATTATTTCACTTGTGGTTTGATTTTTTTACTGATGTGTGAAAAGTCTCAGTCAGTATACTTGAAAGTTAAGTGACCTGCCCATTTTTTTAGATTTCTCTTCCTTGTTCATTTTTCTCAATTTTCTCTCTTTGCTCCATGTTGCTATATGGAAACTTTCCTATGAGCTTTTTTACACTGCATTACTTTTTTCTACACTTGACTTACTGTGTTGATAAACTCTTACTGCATTTTTTATTTTCAAAATTTCTATTAATTAATTTTTGAATTATTTGTGCTTTAATGATAAAATTCTAATCTTGACTATTGTACACATGATTAGTTTAAAATCTGTATCTCAAAAGGGAGTTGGGAGAAAAGCTGGGAGGGACAGATGTCAAAGGGACAGAGGAAGAAAAGAATTTCATTGTATTCTGAGAATTGTATCTATTAACTGCATGGGAATAAAGACTTTTTTAATGCTGAAAACATGATGGCAACCACGATAAATAAGCTTATTTGGGTGGCAGCTTTGATGTTAACCAATTTTCACATATTTAAATTTCTACTCGATAAACAAGTTCTCATGATTATAAGGGGGCGGGGGACACTTACTTCCATTGTACTTCTGCTAACAGCAGACCTAGAACAACACTAGCTTTCATGGAATTGCAGCATGAATTTAGTTTTACTAATTGTATCTTTGTGTTTGTTTCAGTTTGGGTTTCAAGAAGAACTTTTTGTATGTGTCCTCTATGTTTTAAGTTATAGTCTTTGCCAGTGTTTCATTTCACATGGAGTCATAGTACTAATTTCTTTCATAAAATATTACACTAGCTCTATTATGTAACATACTTGTGAGGAAGCTGAGAAGCAGAAAGGTCAAGTAGCTTCTAAAAGGTTACACGATAAATGACAGCCAGGTTTTGATCAATGTTCAATTAACCCTTATCTAATACAATGTGCTTCTTCCTGTATTATACAATTCAGAATTTCCATACACGAAACTGGAGACCCTCTACACAAAATGTCCCCTTGTATAAGTTTTATTCATCATTCTAGTCTAGTGACAAATTTATGACTGTGATTACTTATCACAATTAAGTAGTACAGTTTGACAAAAATTTGATAAATTTTGGATGGCAAAAAAAATTTTTGCTCCACTCAAAAATTGACACGTATATTGAGGTGATACAACAAAACAGGAATTACTGGCCCCAGAGTCTTATTTTAAAAACACAGTAACATTACATATGTGTTTGCATGAGATACTAGAAATACATAGGAATCTTTATAAGCCTTAGTTTGACTAACAATTGATGCCCGAGTTGTGAGCTTTTCTTATTTGGTTTTAATACAATTTTATTTACTCATGGAACATTTTTTTATAATGCAATATTTTGAGACTGCTTTTTTATTGTTTTACCCCCATAGGGATGTACAAAAAATACAGTATTACTCCCCCTTATCACCCAAAAAGTATACTAGACAAAATGACTTTACCAAATATAATAAGACTATTTATGATGTGCTGCTTCATCTGAGTGGACAAATGCCACCAGAAGTCAATTCCAATCAGTCTCTACCTGTGGATATCACCGAACGAGTGACTCAGCTTCATCTACAACACTCCTCACTTCTCAACTTGCTCAGGTAAAACATGGGTCTTTTACTCATTGAACCATGTAATTGTGGCTTTTGTAGATGGATAATGTGTATAAATATATATGCAAATATAGTTATAGAGCTAGACAGATACAGATAGATAGCATGTGATATTGCTTTGGCTTTTGCTATACATACTAGTTGAGAGAAAGTAAAATATTACCTTTTGATCATAATCTATGTCAGTCATTCTCAAATTTCATTATTATCCCCAGTTGTTGGTAGTGTTTGTTTACAAGCACTTACCCACAGAGTTTATGATGCTGATTTGCATTTTAGCAAATTTCAAGGTGATGCTAATATTTCATGTTCATTAATTCATTTTCAAAATTCTGATTTTAAGACAGGATTTAATCCAGATTTAAAACATTTCACTTGAATTCACTGAAGGAAAAAGATAAAAACTGTACCTATGATTCATTAGAATATTATCAGAACATTTTCAAGTTATGGATTGGAACCGTTTGGTCCTTAATATTAAAATCCTAGGCTTGGGAAAAGCCCCATGAATAGTTGAGACACACAACAGGAAAATAATTGGCATCAAAAATGTTCGTGTTCCTCTGTAAAGATTAAATAGCAAGTGGCCAAGAAGTAGAACAGCATGATTCATTGACAGCTTGAGAGAGTCTGATGAACTTGTTTCTTTTGCTTACACTTGCAGCATCCTTGTCCACTAAACTCTCCACATCTGTTGGAAGTATAATTGCTTCATATTCCACAATTATATGCCACTGTAGTAACACTTATTACCTATGATTATTTGTGAAATAAGATGTGTTTTTCACTTTTGTTTTATTGTACACAAAATATGCTCCACAGCTGGCTAAAGCTATTACCTTAGTCAGGAGCAGACGTGGAGGACAAGAAAGAAGACTCTAGGATTGAGCATGTAAATGGAAAATTTGACATTCAGATTTTTTCAGTCTGTAGAAATATTATGTATTAAAAGTCAGGTGTGGTACTGAACAGAGTATTTTCATTAATTTCTTAGGGTTTTGCTGTCATGGTAATAATCAAAACTGTCTTGATTTTAGGCATAGAAGGGAGCTAGAAGTTTCTAAATCACTAAAGGAGATGGAGCAAAGATTGAAGTGGTCTGCCAGGGACATTGCTGGTTAAAACGTTAGTGAGACCTCACTAATGAGGCAGATGTGGTAAATCGTTAGACCTGAAACCTCAATATGAATGATAAATAATCAGAACTGGGAAGTGGCTGAATAAGTTATGGTGATCACAAAGTGTGACAATAGCAATTTGTAAGAAAATAAATTTCTGTTTAAGCTACCTAGTCTGTATTTTGCTATTGTAGCCTAAGCAGACCAATATAATGATATCTTTTTATGTAATTTCACTAATTTGTAAGCAATAATCATCACTATGGTATAATTAAATTGCATTTAAAATAATTTTTAGCTATTAGTAATTTGTGTAATGTGAAACTACAAAAGAAACAGATTATAAAAATCTTGTTCCCTTCATTGTAACTATGAATTTCATAAGACTATAAAACTACTATAACTTACATTTTAAAAATTCCAATGAAAATAAATGCACATGAAAATGCAACTCACATCCTTTTATAAGTAAATTTAATCACACAGTGTTTTTATATTTTTTATCTTTAAAAATGTCCACTCTTCTTTCTAATGCATTACCCTATGGGAACTTACAGTCCCTATGGGATTGCAGCTAAGAATGAAACCTTTTCAAAATACTAATCTAAGTTGTTCTGGAAGAGCACACTGGGCTGTAATAAAACAACATGGCTTTGGAATCAAGCAGCCGTATATACTAGCTCTTTATATTCTTATGGCCTTGCACAAACTTGGTCATCTTTCTTAACTCCATGTTCAGTGTATAGAAAATTGAGAGCAATTCCCAAACTTAACGGTTGATAAAATAATTTTATCCCTTACCTGAAATACAATAGATTATTTTGGGTAATTTAAATAAACGCAATTATGATTAGGGCTTCAATATACTATTTCTCTAAAGGTCCCCTAATGTATGTGGTGATTGCTAGCAGTATACTAGAAAATTCACTTTTATGATAACACTATCATTATAATGGAATATTTGAAAATGCTTTCTTCTTTCATTCTTTCTTTCTTCTTTCATTCTTTTGAATGTCTTTGTTGGTATGAAAAATGTCAGAAAGCTGGTATTTATCGGCTGTGTCCTTATGTGTGTTAGATGAAATGACAGCTTTGTTTAAATTACTATGTTTGAAATATAAAGTACGTGTATTTTCTTATAATTTTATCTCACGCCGCCCTGGTCTTAATTGATTGCTTTAATAAGGCAAACTTCCCAGTCTGACAAGGCAGAAGTGTGAATGCAGTTATTTGAGAAAGTTAGTTGTGCTCTCAAAATCTAATGGAATGTTAATTGTGTGTGAAAGCAGATTTGAATAATCAAATACATATTTATTGTATGTGTAAATACTGAAATCAAGCAAATTTGTGATAGCATCATTAAATCTTGATACTTGTGAACATTATTATTTTTCTAGCATGCTAGTGTCAATAATCCTAGTAGTCTTGACATTTTATGATGTGAGGTTGCAGGTATGGAAAAATGACTTGGGCATTAAACTGAGGTCATTATAAATGAGTTATTTTTTTTATCAGTAAATACATGCATGTAATAAGCATTTGTTGACATCGATAAAATTACTTAACATTTAGAAATTAGAAGTAGAGTTAATAAAAAAATAGCTCATTAATTCAAGACATGTGCTCATTTTATCACAGAAATAAATATTAAAATTCAAGATAGCCATAAATGTATTATCTTCTCCAATTAAAACTAATGATATACTAACTGAGAATTTTGGTACAAGTGAAATGTCTAGTTTCTGTAATACTTGAGAAACATTTCTAGCAATTCAGTTGAATTATTTAAAAATAATTTTTGAGGTTAAATTTAGAATATAATAACTCATTCCACTCAAATTTGCTTTAACCTACACAGTGTAAATTTGGAAGGAATATTCTAACAGAAAATACAATATGCAAAAGTGTGACTAAGTCAATTGTTAAAGTCAACTCTCTGAAACTATTTAGCAAACAAAATCCATTGATAAGATATAAGTGGAAGTATTTTCTTGTGGGCTGATAAAGTTAGACACAGAAGTTAAGACACTGCTTGGAATGCCTGAATTCCGTGTTTCAGTGCCTAGGTATCAGTCCCAGCTTCCTTTCTGATTCCAGTTTCTGTCTAACGTACACCCTAAGAGGCAGCAAGTGGTGGCTACTGTACTTGGGTCCTCTTAGATCTACATGGGAAGTCCAAATTGAGTTCCTGGCTCCTTGTCATTGTCCTGATCCAAGCCTGACTATCGCAGGCTTTTGAGAAATGAACCAGTGAATCAGCAGGTAGAAGATTTCTCTCTCCCTCTCATTCCTTCTCCTTCATTTGTCTGCCATGTGCATAAATAATTTTAAAATGTACTAAGCAATATAAGTATGCATTTTCTACTTCAGGTATAGTATCACAAGTATGCAGAGTTCACAATGTTTATTTATAGTTGTGCATATTCAGATATATGTGATGACAGACATTCAGTAAACATTGGATGAGTGTATTTCTCTATTAGATATTTTATTCTGTCCACACTTTTTGTACACTTTTGAAAATTCTATAATTTATTTAGAATTGCTTCAGATTCATTCATTTATTTGAAAAGCAGAGTTACAGAGAGAGTTAGATAGAGATCTTCCATCTCTTGGTTTACTCCCCAAATGGCTTCAATGGTCAGGGCTACGCCAAGTTTAAGCCAGAGACCAGGAGCTTCAGCCAGGTCTCCCACATAGGTGACAAAGGCCCAAATACTGTCCATCCTCTACTAGTTTCCATGCCATTAGTAGTTAGCTGGATCATAAATAGAAAACACAGGATTGGTTTACCAGCTAAGCCACAATACTGGCCTCTTAATGTGAGATAATTTAGTTAAAGTTTTATGCAAATGAGCATTATGTTTTAATGATTTAGATTTTTCTCTCTTAATTTTAGAGAACATGGGGGATGTGTTTCTCATATATTGCCAGAATTTCTGCTTGAACCAGAAGATTACAAGAAGTGGATTAAAATGAAAGTAAGAGAATACAATTTAAGAAGCAGTTACAAATTGCTAATTAATATTTAATGGTTGTTGTTAGAAGATAAAATTAAATTTTATACTTAAGAAATGACCAACATTAAAATTGTATATGTTGTATACTGTATGATGTCTTACTACATGCGTATATTATGTAACATTCATTGTAAATATTGTTTTCAGATATTTAGCATTGTTATAGTGAAATCATCCAAAATCTTCCATTTTTTTAAAGAGATGTAGTATTATTACCATTATGTCTAGTCGCTATACTGTGCGAAGCTTCCATTTTCGAGCGCTTGATTTTTATATTTGAAATGTCCTAAATCTATGTCTCTCTAGTCGTATGTTTCTGTGCTCTTGTTAATAATTCCTTTTGTGTTTCTGTGCAAAAATGATTACATTTCTCAAATATGTGAGTATTTCATTGTTTGAGAAAATTTACTGTTGAAGAATATTGCGGGATTAGGTAAATTTTTTTCTTATAAATTTTTGGAATATACATGTATTTCAAAGAAAATAATTATTCGGTTTCACCACTTTTCATTTCTTTAGCTTTAGAGCATAGAGAGAAATTAAGGAAACAATATATAGTTTGCTCATAATATACAATTCATTGTAAGGCAATCTATGGAGAAGTAATAGGGTGAGTGTAATGACAGAAGCACACCTACAGATGTGTAAAAACCCTCAGACTATTAAATTTAGACTGAACTCTCATCAGTAACTAGAAATCTGCTAAAGTGGGGCAGAAGTTAGAAAGGGGCAGTGAAATTTATGTGTAGAAGTTGTCTAGGAAAACCAGCTGTTTGTCCTCTGGCGCTAGGCTGAGTTTCTGTTGCCGACTCCAAAAGCTGGGACTCTTCCTAGACTCAGGTTTCATAAGTGTTTCTCAAGCCATTCTGCCAGTTACACTATTGGATGAGCTAATGTGCAGATATCATGAGTGAGTAGATCTGTGACACAAATATGAGAACTGTTGCTCTCATTGGTAGTTTACTATTATTGGCATATGGGAAATTACAACACCTGGTGAATGTATAAAAATGGAATGTGGATTTTTTTTATTCGAAAAAAAGTTTCATAGCAAAATCACCAAAATTTTGGACTTATGTATGCATTGTATCTTACTTATTTTTGAAATATTTTATTTCTTAAAGCCTTCCAGGACTGACAGCACGCCCACTAATTCCTCCACACCTGAGGAAGAATGTTCTGTCATAATAGACATGAATAAATTTGAGGAATTTAGTAAACGGGCATGGACAGATGTTTTCCTTCAAATATACAAGGTAACACTTCTTTTTGTTAAAAAAAAATCACTTAAAATTTTTTATTTGAAAGAGTAACATAAAGAGAGGGATTTTTCTTTTACTGGTTCACTCCCCAAATGTCTACAACAACTACAGTTAGGCCAGGCCAAAACCAGGCACCGGGAGCTCCATTTGCGTCTTCCATGTGGGAGGAAGGAATGCAAGTATTTGACCCATCACCTATGCCTTCCCACAATGCATGAGTAAGAAGCTAGATTTGAAGCAGAATCGCTGGGACTTAAACCAGCATTCTGTTACAGGACAAAGGTAACCCAAATAGCACCCAATGTACCACAGGTCCATGTCAATATTCCCACCCTTATTCTTTGTGCTGTTTTGTCTACCTACATGTTTTAGTTAATGTGTATGCAATACTGCCATAAAAGCTTTAAAAACACAGTAGTTTAAAGAGATTTTTAAAAATTCTCATTGAACTGTTGAGGAGTGATTTGGCTAATAACATATTTCTTCCATCTTCGTGCTTTAGGCTTTTATCCATGAGTTCAATTTTTCAGAACATGGAATTATATAAGGGAGGAGTAGAGAACAAGAATATGGCTTTTAAAGACATATCTTGGAAAATGTAACATTTTAATTTCCCATCCTGGTGGAAGAATTTAGTTACATGGTCACACCATATATCAAAAAAAGTTAAGAAATATTTTATAGAATGGATAGCTATAGGAATATTCCATCATTAATAGGAACAATGAAAAATAAATACTGTTGAAAAGCAGGCCTCTATCTACCTGTAGCACACCATAGATTGTAGCTATAAAGTTATTCTGGAGTGATATTTACCAGAATTCAAACAACTGAAGGTGCAATCAAGTTTTAATAATGTTTTGCAATTTACCTCCTATCAAATTGAATTTATAGATAGACTAAAAGCCATAAATTATTTCTTCACACCTAAAAACGAGAAAGTAAATACTATGACAATACAAGCAAAAAAAAAAATGAATGAGAACTTGTAGAAAAGAATATAGTCTTTGATCCTTGAAAAAGGTGTCAAAGAATAATATACATTTAAACTGAACCATCATCAATAACCAGGAATTTGCTAAGGTGGGGCAAAGTTGGAGAGAGGTGGTGAAATTTATGTGATGAAGGTGGTAAGTAAGTTTTACTAAAGAGTAGGATAGCAAAATTTTTCAAGACAAAGGGAATCCAATATGGAAAACTCTTGAGATATAGAATTGTTATTTTCTGATGAATAAATATGATTTGGGAAAAGAAAAACATAATAGGGGGGATAGGTAATAATGACAGAAAGTTGATAATGTTTCATTTATGTTAAAGAAAAACCATTCAGTAATACTTGCTAAGGCTTAGTAAGACAAACTTTATTATGATGACAATCACAATTATTTCAAAGACCATTGAAAAGGGATTTTGCAGTGCAGAAGAGAGCTTGGGCTCAAATGCAAATACAGCACGGGCAAATGGGAATTCATAGACAAGGACCAACTTTGGGGTTAACAGGTAGAAACATCACAGAGGAGATACCAGAAATGGGGGAAATTCTGCTTTAAAATCCTTGGTAAAAACAAGCCAAGGTGATAAGGACTGTTGTAAATATCAAAAGTGATCAGCTGTTAATGATAGGGGTTACTGAATAAATTGACTTAGCAGAGTTGTGTCTAAAACTGGATTTTATAGGCAAGTGCACAGAGGTGCCTAGGAGAAACTTTGGGAGCCTAGCTACAGTTTAGTCCAGAAAAAATACTTGTCACTGCATAAGCTAAACTAAAAAAATTCCTTTTTTGTTCTGATAAAAGAGCAAATGAAGCGTTCTAAATACAAGGGTGATGTGATGTGCTTTGCATTCGTTGGTACGGTATACAAAATGTTTGGTGACATATTTAACTTTCTGGTGCTATGATTTACGTGGTGCCAGTTACGGGAGAAAAAAATGCGTTTGGAGTAAAATTCAATTACATGCACTCAGTGACTCTTTGAAACTGGCTAAACTGTCAAAGATGACTGTAGGTTTCTTGGTTGGATACTAAGTAGAATTTGATCCTAGTTATTGGAATACAGGACATAGACAAAGAACAGGATTTGTGGTGAGGGAGCAGAAAGCAGGACAATGTAAGGGGTCATGCTATGCTAACTTTTTCCTACTATTTAAGTTGTCCTGCATACTTATGAGGATGATAAATGCCTTAGCCATGAGAAAGAACTAGGAGGCAAAATATGTTTGGGCTTCTTCACTGATTCAATGAAAAAGCCAAAGGAATGGATAGGACTATCCATTTGAATCAGCTGCAAGAGGCTATATTTATGCAGTGTGTAGTGTGTCCAAATCACAGGCAGCTCTAGAGCTATATTAGAGCAGACGTGTATTTGCAATTAAGGAAGAAAACGATGTTATGTAGAGGTACTTCACAAGCTAGAAATAGAAAGTTGTAATTTCAGCACAAGTCACTTGAAGTTGCAACTTTAATATTAATAGAACACATATATACACAAAGGAATTACTTTCCAAAATCTTGGCAAATAGTTAATGAAATGTATCTTGTTCCACTTTATTTGATTTTGTGTAATGCTGTTATTTCTGCTTGCTTAATCACTATATTTAGATGTAGTTATTTTCATGCAAGTCACACAGATTATTAATAGTTAAACAATGCATCATCGAAGCCTTAGAGAGGTGAAAACGTTTACAGAAAGACTCAAACTCCTAAGGCTGTTCTAAATGTATACAAAAAGGATTCCCACATTGTATAAAGGTAGATGCTATATGTGCTAAAGGAAATGTATGTCATGTTTTCACTGAAGAAGAGGAAAGGAAATGATCAGAAATGAGCATCTGAATTAGTTTGACCAATGTATTACAGTGTATTATCTGACATAACTTCTTTTTAAAATAGTGGTGCAATTCTGTCAACTGTTTTCATATTTTCAAAGAGCAGTGGTCTTTTTCATAGAGATTGTCCCAAATCTCCCATAATAGAACACAGTTGGAGTTTTTTCTAAGGGTACACAAGATGACAATCTATAAGGACATTAATCAATTGCATTTACATTACCCAAGAAGTATCTGGCAAAGTAGTGACTATTTCCTTCCAAATAGTATTCATTGGTTAGGCTAATTTTTCCTTTTTAGTAATTTTTTCCAGTGTCTTGGCATTATTTCTATTATCTTTGTTGCTTTTCATAGCACTTATTAACATCGCCACTTACTATGGTTTTCCTATTACTCAAATTCATGTGACTTAAGACTCTAGATATTCATACTCATTGCAATTGCTGGAGGTGATAGCATGGTGGCACACTGGGTTAAGTTGCTACCTGTTAAGTTGTGATGCCTGTATCCCACATCAGAGTGCCAGTTGGAGTCCCAACTGAGCTGCTACCAATCCACCTCCCTGTTAATGTGCCTGGGAAAGCAGTGAAAGATGGCCAAAGTGCTTTGCCCCTGGACCAATGTGGAAGATCCTGGTAGAGTTCCTATCTTCTAGCTTATGCTTTGCCCAGTCCTGGCTATTCTGGACATTTGGGTAGTGAAGCAGCAAATGAAAGATCTATTTCTTTGTGTATCTCCCTTTCACTGATTTTTTAAAATAAATTGATTTTTTTAAAAAAATCTTTAAAATTTATTTACAAAACACTGTTCTAAAACCTACTTTGTTCAGCCATAATTGAAGATACTGACCTTTTTTAAATCCTTCAATAAAATCCCCCTGCATTGGACACAAAGACTTCTGGAGAACTCATCTCAGTGCTGGTTGATTGCTAATCCCTCTTATCTTTCAATCTGTTTACGAAATATATTGGAAATATATTTGGGGGTATTATCTCTCCATCATCAATCATATAGGGATACTCTGCTTCACCAATAGTGTTCTTGGGTTTCTTTGATGACCAAAAAATACAAAATACAACAGACTTTATACAGCATGTTAGCTTTAAAAGGACGCATGATAGATAACAACATAGAATGCACAGCAATGGACGTGTGGCAGGCTTGTGACTAAAGGCATAGCTCCCAATGTTTCTTTCACTACACACATACTCAAGTCAGAAACGGTCAAAAAAGATGGGGTCGGGCCCGGCGCAGTGGCGCAAGTGGTTAAAGGTCCTCGCCTTGCACGCCCGGGATCCCATATGGGCGCCGGTTCTAATCCCGGCAGCCCCGCTTCCCTTCCAGCTCCCTGCCTGTGGCCCGGGAAAGCAGTCGAGGACAGCCCAAAGCTTTGGGACCCTGCACCCGCATGGGAGACCCGGAAGAGGCTCCTGGCTTCGGATCGACATAGTATCGACCCGTTGCGCTCACTTGGGGAGTGAATCATGGGACGGAAGATCTTCCTCTCTGTCTCTCCTCTCTGTATATCCGCCTTTCCAGTACAAAAATAATAAAAATAAATCTTTAAAAAAAAAAAAAGATGGGGTCTAGTGGGTATGATTTCCAGTTGTGCAGCACTCTCAGAGTGCTCAATACGCCATCTTAACAATGGTGTCTAAGTGCTTAAGGATACAGCCCTTACTTGAAGTTTTCGTTAATTTTGGACATACATCAATTAATTCCTATTAATTTCATGGATTAATAGTGTAAAGAAATGCTGTCAGACATCCTTCAGGCTAACAAATCATAAACCAGCTATCCATTCTTTACTTCCTTCAACATAATTCTACTTAGGATGATTCCCCAGAACAAATGAGACTATCTAAATGCTCTTAAAAATTCAGGGATGTTTATAGACAAGGAAAAGATGAAACTCGTGCTTTGTGTCAGTTGATTAAGGTGAGAAAGTCTTAAGAAGACAGTAAGTCAAATATAAATAATACAGTGTGGAAATAGATGTACATAAGACCCTAACAGGTTAGCTCTCTAATATATGTAATATATACTGTTAACAGCACAAAGAATGAGTTGAAGCAATTTGGAAAATAGAGTGATGAGAGGGAAAGAGAAAGAGAGACATACAGGGAAAGAGATCTTCCATCTGCTGGAATGCCCACCCAAGTGTGGTCAACATCTGGGGCTGGGCCGGGCCAAATCCAGAAGCTTCATCAAGGTCTCCTTGTGGGTCCAGGGAGACCTTTTCAATTCAGAAAGTCATGCAATAAATGTAAGGACAGAGTAAAATACAGGCTGCCTATCTCTTCCACAACCTATACCAAATGCTAGTAGAATGTATGTACCTTTGAGTCATTCTATATGTAATACTCTAGTAATGAAGTACACAGTCTTAATCCCAACTCTGCCTACAGTGTCAGTATCTCATATGGGCACCTGTTTGTGTCCCAGCTGCTTCACTTCTAACCCAGCTCCCTGCATATGGCCTGGTTCCCTGCATCCATACAGGAGACCTGTTTGTAGCTCCTGGCTCCTGGCTTTAGACTGGTTCAACTCTGCCCATTATGGCCATCTAGGGACTGAATCAGTGAATGGAAGATTTTTCTCTCTCTCCCTCCCTCTCACTCATTCTCTCTGTAACTCTGCCTTTCCAATAAAAATAAATATATTTTTAAAAAATCTTAACATTTAAAAATCAATTTATATTACCTTAAAGCATGTAGTATAAATATAGTGATTGGTGATATTTAAATATGCAAAATCTTTATGACATAGGATAAAAATAAGTCAGATTACAATGTTTTATATAAGTATCATCGTAGAAGTAAATCCTCTTCAATAGGTATCAGTATTAGAATTAGTTCTGGGGCCTGGCATGGTGGCGCAGTGGTTAAGGTCCTCGCCTTGCACGCCCGGGATCCCATATGGGTGCCAGTTCTGTCCCGGCAGCCCCGCTTCCCTTCCAGCTCCCTGTCTGTGGCCCGGGAAAGCAGTCGAGGACGGCCCAAAGCTTTGGGACCCTGCACCCGCGTGGGAGACCCGGAAGAGGCTCCTGGCTTCGGATCGGCATAGCATTGGCCGTTGAGCTCACTTGGAGAGTGAATCAGGGGATGGAAGATCTTCCTCTCTGTCTCTCCTCTGTGTATATCCGTCTTTCCAATAAAAAAAAAAAAAAGAATTAGTTCTGACTTGATAACTCACTGCCTTTAATTATAGTTTTATTTTCTGAGGTTTTGTGAGGTGGTGAAAAAATAAGGCCTTTCAAACCCTTCTGTTTTGATTGAATTGACATTCTATCAGAGTCATCTTCAAGTACAGTTTGTTAAACTGGATAATAGGCTCATCTTGTGAATTATATAGTGTCATACTTATGAAGTAAATGCTACAAATGAAAAGTTGAGTGTTGAAATGATTTTCAGTGAAACACATCTATTTGTTTTTCTTTCTCCAGTATAGTGGATACATTTAACCGGAAAATACTGGGACCTTTTTTTATTTACTTATCTTCTCATATTTTAAAATTTACTCTTAAATAATAATTTTCTGTTTCTACATTGGAATCTTTTTAATATTTCTTTCTTGTCCAATTTCAGGTCCTGATTCTTTCCCGAATTGTACCACATTGCACCAATGATATGCCCCCCAGGCATGTAAAAATTACACCAAAAATCAATCCTGATTTTACATCCAGCAACATATATTCCATTTATGAAAGGATTCTTCTTAGTTGGATGAATACAAATTATGAGGATGCTAGACATATTATATGGAAAAAGGGTCACAAAGGTAAGATTTTGTTTTTATTTATATAAATTATTATATAAATAAATAATGCATCCATGTAGAAGGAGCCATGATATCACAATCAGAATCCTTCAACTGATGTTTAGCATTAGTTCTGCCATCCTCAAAAAGGCTCTCCTTTTAACATCTTCAAGGTATGTTCCTTCACATATAAAATGAAAATAATGAAAGATGATTCTTTAAATTGAAGAATAAATAAAACATACAGATATGCTCTAGAACTGAAAGATCACCTTACTGTTTCTAGGAGGGTCAACTTAGATTTAGAGCTGACACTGCTCAAGCCTTGTATATGATTATATGAACACAAGTGAAATTGAATGATAAAATATCTTTAATCTTACACAAATATGAAAGATGATATTCAAAATCACAATAAGCAAGAAAGTTTCATGAATTGGGGACGCATGGAGAGTAGGTTATGTTAGATTCACATACTAAGACATGTAGGTATTCTGAGACAGATCAACACCAGTGTTTCAATGTGTACTACTGCTCTACTCTTGCAGGGTGAGACACAAATATCTACCCCAAGAGCCTTAAATTCCACTTGAAAAACTCTAATTACTAATGCAGTTATACCTTTAAGAAAATATCCCATTCACATGGCAGTTATGTCAGCTGTTTAGGTCACTCTCTGCTCAGCGTAGGCCAGTCTATCAAATATGCTTGCAATATCCAATACTTCCACTTTGTCTCCCATTTAAGCATAATAATCAGTTCTGTAATTCCCTTTATTAGTCTTCCAAGTTGTATTGTCTTCTGTAGGTCAATTCTGCTTTTAAAAAGCAGAGGTGAAGAACTATATATATTTCATAGCATTAAGCCTCTGAAACTTACATTTTATCTCTAAAATTGCATGCTTTTTATTTTCCTAGCAGAAAAAAATTTTTTCTCATTTACTTAATAATTATTCAGTAAGACATATTTTGACAATTTATTTTTTTTTTACTCTCAACAGGTCCCACTCCTTCTGAGAGATGGATAATAAATTTTGACAGTGACCTTTCAGATGGCCTTGTTTTTGCAACACAATTGGCAACCTATTGCCCATTTTTGGTAAGACTATTTTTATGCACAGCAGTCTTTTATTTTGGAGAATTTAGTGACTAAAACTTGGAATGGATCTTCTGTAAATGAACTCTTTCAAATTCATTAATTTTAACTTCACACCTGATTTTGTGTGGCTAGCACTGCCTTAATTCTTAAACTTCAATTGCAATATTCTATTACTTAGAAATGTTAACAACAATAACAAAAGAAGTGTTACCATTTAGATTTTTTGCTGAACTGCAGTGAACACCTTTTTTTTCCTGGTTCTGCACTTTTGTTTTTTAATTATTACATTACATTATGTGACACAATTTTTTAGGCACTGGGATTCCCCCTACCCCTCCCCCAACCCTGCCCCCATGGTGGATTCCTCCACCTTGCTGCATTGCCACAGTTCAAGTTCAGTTGAGATTCTTTCATTGATCACTTTTAAAGCAATAGTTTTTGTTTCATTACTAGGTTTGTTTTCTATTCCAGATCGAGTCCCATTTTGTAAATATGTACACTGAGCCTAAAAACTGTGAACAACGTCTGCACAATTGCCTGATTATTATAAATGCGATTCGGGATATTGCCTTTGACATGGAAATACAGGTAGGTACCTTTGTAGTATAAGGAGTATAATTTTGAGAACATACTCTAAAAAAGTCTGGCCTAGAAGAATAAAACAATTCCCTTCAATTCAACCACTTATTGAAATTCTTCTGTGAAAGCTCCTGGATAGATCCTGCAAATGTATAAATAATCAAATCACATTTATGCCTTAAATGTACTAAAAACTGATAATGGCAAGTATATATAGACAAGCTAATACAAGGTCTCATGGATTCTGCAACACACCTGGGAACAATGTAGCATGATATAAAGCAGCATTCAGTTAGTTTAATAAGGAAATCAGGAAAAATTACAAGGGATGGATAATGCACTCTAATTTGCTCTAATAAATTGATGATTTTGTTAGGTTTACTTTGTAAACTTTCTTAATGCTTTATTTATTTATTTGAAAAGTAGAGTTACAGACAGAGACAGACCAATGAGGAGACAGACATCTTCCATTCGCTGGTTCACTCCTTAAATGACCACAATGTCTCGGGTTGTGCCAGGCTGAAGGCAGGAGCCAGGAGCTTTTTCAGGTCTCCCATATGGGTGCAGGTACTATAGCACCTAGAAAACCTCTTGCTGCTCTCCCAGGCCATTAGCCAGGAGCTGGATTGGAAGTGGAGCAGCCAGGACAGGAATAGATGCCTATATTGGATGCTGGCATCACAGGCCACAGCATAGCATAGCAAATCCTCCGTAAAACTTCCTCTGATTATTAATGAGGGTACTGAATTTAGTTTACCAAGTCTATCTTTTTTTTTCATTATGGTTTTAGTTTATTTTTTGCATATTTTCTCATGTTTTGTTACTCTGATGAGAAAATACTCTCTTCAAGAGAGGACAAAAACCAATACAGTTGGCATTAATAAAGAAGTAATGATTCTGTGTTTGAAAGGAATGCCACATGAATATCTTTATTACAAAGAAATTTATTTAAAAACTTTCTAAGTACAGCTAACAATTACACATTTTGGGGGGATGTAGGTGGCATTTTAATATGTAATATTTTTATTTTTATGCCTAGATTGATGAAAGTATAACTGTTTTTAGTTTGTTTTCACTTAAATGTGAGAAAAGGTAAGGATGCTGATTTTTGATGTAGTATTTCAGGCCAATGTCTTAAAAAAATATACCTTTCTATTAAGATATATATATCTGAATGTATCAAACTACTACATTTTCATCCTATTACATATTTTTCAAATATGACATTTTGAGGCAAGTTTTATATCATTATTATGTCATTTTACTTAATAGACACTAAAACAGTATTCAACATAATTCATTAACCTGATTTCAGATTATTCTATCACTAGTACTTCCTATTTCTGAAACAAATGCATCTCCCCTTTCCTTCTTTGCATTAAATTCTTAGGTTAATTCATCATAAGGACCTCTCAGGGAAATATTTTTCACTTTGAAATTTAACATCTTAGAAGTTAAAGTTTGTGTTTCATTTGTCTTGTCTTAATTTACTTCCCCATATACATTAACCAATATTGTCTTTATGGAAAAATGTTATACCACATATTGTTATAATATGAAAGAGTTTGCAGGTCTAAGTTTTTCTCATATCACACCATTTCTAAAAATTTCTAACCCAGCAAACCTCTCTACATAAGCAGCACAGCTCCTAATATTTAACTGTTTGTCTCCAGACACTTTCATTAGTAATTAAGCCTTAGTCCTAATTGTCCAAAAAAAAAAAAAAAAAAAAGTCGAACAGACCCTTTTCTGTTTCATAGAAGGATCCAAGTGCCTGAAGAAATGTTCATGACAGATGACCAGAGAGGCTGTCATTATCTGAAAACTGCTGCCAAATTTCAGAATCCACTATCATGATTCCATGGAACGTATAAACTCTCCCGCACTGTATTCCCGAGTCACACCCCAAATAAGTTTAACTTATAACTTGAATACTTGTGATTAAATAATAGCAAATCTGCATTTCCATTTTAAGGAAGTATAGTGAATGTCCTGTACCCTGAGAATGACAGAGTAGCTATTTTATTCATGATGTTTTGTTATGTCTTTGAATACCTGCATTATAACAGTCCCAATGTTTAATTTTGGTGAATAATCCTCCCCACTAGCTCCATCTTTTTTTTTTTTTCTAAGAGGTCATGGCCCCTGAGATATGGGGCTGGGATGGAACTGATCAGGCAGCTGCATCTACGGGTATGTGCATTGGCTGGTGCAGGTAACAGCCCGCACCTGACCCTGTACTAGCTGGCACATGCAAGATTCAAGTGTGAGATCGCCCTACAGGAGGTTTCTTGGGGGTCTCTCCAGCTAGATGTTTGGACTCAAATCCTGGCAACAAGGAAAATCCCAATATATGTGGTCCCACCTTGGAGTACATGTATCAGGACTGGGACTATTCCTCAGTTGCTGATGCCTGTGCAGTGGATAGCGTGCCCAGATGCACACAGAAACATGACAGCCAGCTCATCCAGGCCTGCAGGGGACATCAGAGGATGACCAAAGGATGGAAAGCAGAACGGGTCGGAAAATTCTCCTGGCTAACTCTGCAGCTTGCTCCTGGGCCTGTGGATGCACTGATGTGGAATTTGTCAACCAATAGACCGTGGAAAGCTTTTCTCAACCATGGAGCAATGAAACAAACAAGTTCTCAGAACTATCAAAACCACTCAAGTAACACCCACAGAACACTCTTTCCACATCAGGGTCTCTAAGCCATCCCTCATCCCCAGATACTGATGTGGTTTGGCAGCAAATAGCAACCCCATCCTTCTCACTGCAGACATAGGAGAAAAGGGAAAAGGACTGAAACATTTATCCCACCCACCTTCCTCTGGTGCCTCATCCACCCCATCCAAATAGGAGGCCCATGTGGGCTTGCATCCCTTTCAAGTATGCAAACAATATTAAAGAGAAAGTGAAAATATTTCTTTCCTCATTTCCCAACTTTACGTTTTAGCTCCAAGTTACTTTCTAGTTGTTTGTTGACCATGCTACCATTCCTCTATAACTTTAACATATTTATCAAATATATTGCAACAGCTGTCACTCATTTAACTTGCTTATAATGTAATTTTATTTTCTCCCTTATCATTTGCTCATTCTGAAAGATTACTTCTCCACCTGTCACCTACAAGATCCCCCTTAGTTGTTGCTTAGTTCAGAAACCAAGTTCCTCACCCTGGCAATCCAAACCCTCCCCCATAGCTGTGGCACTTTTTGATCTTTTTCTGTTATTACCTGTCCCTTCTTACCTTACACATAATCTACACTGTATTTCTTCCCTAAATAAATACTATGCTTCTCTATATGAGATCTTCAAAAAGTTCATGGAGAATGTATATTATCTTCTAAATCCCATTTTCCATGAACTTTTGAAATATCCTCATATGTGTCCCTATAATATTGTACGTTCCTAATAAAACACACCCATTTCTTTTCGCCAAAAGCAAGAGGATGAGGTGGATATGAATGCACTCTCTCTCTGTCTCTTTCTTTCCTTCTTTTCTTTCCTCCCTCTCTCATTTCCTCCTCTCTGTCTCCCTTCTTAAAAAGCATTTAACATGAGGTCTTAATTTTTGGATGTATTTCTAGTATATAGTATAATCTTGATACAGTATATAGTATAATCTTCATACAATTTGGAGTTGTGTGATCAATGTTCAGCTTAGAAAAAGTCAAATTTATCTTTTAGCAGGTGAAGCTGTTACAATCCAAAAAAATATTAATTCTACCTATTATATGTATTTTTCATTATCATTGCAATCAGAAGCATTTAAAAATGATTCAGAGTGTTTCAATAATTGGTGTAACATTACTTTGCTTCTTTTTATATGTTTTAGATGTTTATTCTCAAATGATTTTTCTTTTTTCGTACTAGGCCACAGACATCTGTGATCCAAATCCAATCCTGATGCTAATGTTTTGTGTCTACATGTATGAGAGGCTGCCTTCGTACCTCCCCAAGAAAGTGGTGCCCTTTTATTGTACTCTACATGATACTGTGCTAAGTGAGGTAAGGGTACTTGGGGGGGCATAATACACATAGAGTTAAACACATTAAGAGGGGTTTTAAATATTTATTTTCCGGTGGTTGGCATTGTGATGTAGCATGTCGTAACCCTGCAATGCCAGCATCCCTCATGGCACCAGTTCAAGTCTTGGTTTTCTACTTCCAAGTCCCTGCTGATGCTTCTGAAAAAGCAGTGGAAAATGGCCAAATACTTGGGCCCTGCACACCTGTGGGAGACACAGGTGAGGTTTCTTGCTCCTGGCTTCCACCCGTTTGGGGAGTGAGTCAGCCACTAGGTGATCTCTCACTCTGTGTCTCCCTATCTTGCTGTAATTCTGCCTTTCAAATAAGCAAACATCTTGAAAAAATAAAATAAATATTTTCCCAACCCAAAATAAAAAGAAGGTTCTATAAGATATCATTACATTTTAATTGAATAAGCCTTAATGAAAAGGTGCTTCCTTTAGGCCAAAGGTCTAAAACTATCAAAGAGATATTTGTTTGATTATCACCACCTACAATTAAATTATGCATCTTTCTTTCCCATTACAGTTTTACGCAAAATAGCATTATGTCGTGTAAAAGATAGTTTGCCACTTAATAAGATTCACATTTATTTCTTTTCCTAAGACTAGATTATGTGTTTTTCCTACATTTTATTGAGAACAGGGATGATTTTTGCCACATTTTTGATAGAAGCTTTTCTATCTTTGGTCTTCAAAATATATGCCCTGATAATCTTGAATTTGTAATTGCAGTCTTTTTGAGAGGATAACTGTCTAGATTCTATGATTGTTTGGATTGATGGCTGATAATGATGTGGGTAAAAAATTTAGAAATACTAGGATTCTTGCATCAATAGGGCAAAACTTATTAAAAGGAAAGCTTCTATATTTTATGAGAAAATGTTGAGAAAGAATCATTTGGTTTTCATTTTCTTTCTCTGTTTTTGTTGTTAGAGATATTTCACTGTGGAGAATGTAAACAGTGTTTATAGTTGCTTATCAAGGGTTTGGGGTACTAACTAGCCTTGAGCTATAGTTAAATTGGAGAGGACCTTTGACTTAGAAATAAAATTTCTGAAGAATTAGCAGTATTTTGCTTAAGCCTGCAGGATGTAAGAGTCTCAATTAGACTAAGTAGTGATATAGTGTAGTGAACTATTCTTACTATTCTCTAATTCTGTTGACATATTGTGCTTCTTTATATCGTTTTTCTCACTTTTTAAAGCAATTAACATTAATACTAGCTAATGTTTAAACATAAACTTTATCTTGTTGAAAACAAATTGAAACATTTTGATGAAACATGATTTCTTTCCTCGTTTATATCTTAACTACAAGCAATGTTAATGTCATAAGTTTATAAAGGAGAGAGATACAACTTTGTTTTTCATATATGTGAACAGTCCTACTATAAACATGGTGGAACAGGTATCTCTTTATACATTGACTTTATGTATTTTGAACATATACCACACAGTAGGGTTGCTGAATTATACAGCAATTCTATTTCTACTTTCTAAACAAATCTCCATATTACTTTCTGTGGTGCCTGCATTCATATCAACAGTATGTAAAGGTTCCCTCTTTCTACATCTTGGTTAGAATACTTTTCTTATAGCCTTTCTGATAGAGAGAAGTGATATCTCATTGTGGTTTGGATTGGTGTTTGCCTGATGGCCAGCGATACTAAGCATTTTTTCATATATTTATTGATCTTTTTTTTCCCCTTTGAGTACAGTCCGTTCATTTCCTTTGCCCATTTCTTAACTAGGTTGGTTGTTTTTGTGTTGAGTTCTCTAAATTTGTGATATTTCTTGAGTTAATTCCTTGTCAAATAAGTAGATTGCAAACATTTGCTCCCATTCTTTACCAGAAGTCTGTTTGCTCTATTAATTGTTTGCTTTGCTGTACAGAAGCGTCTGAGTTGGATATAATCCCATTTCTCTATTTTTAATGTTGTTGCCTGAACTTTCAGTATGTTCTAAGAAATTGTCACCTACATCAATTTCTTGGATGGCTTCCCCCATTTTCATCTATCATTTTCTGTGCTCCCAATCTTACATTTAAGTCTTTGTTCCATCTTGAGTAAACTTTTGCATTGGAGACCTAGGCATCTCATTCCCTTCTTATAATTGTAAATGTCTAATTTTGTCACCATCATTTATTGAAAAGGCTACCCTTTTGATGATGTATGTTCTCATGTTTGTCAAAAATAAGTGTTCTGTAGCATGTGAATTAATTTCTGAGCTCTCTATTGTGATCCTTTGATTTATATGTTGGGGTGTTATTTGTTTGTTTTTTATTGGAAAGGCAGCTTTACCTCTGGTTCAGAAGTTTCTTCCGGGTCTCCCACGTGGTGCAGGGGCTCAAAGACTTGGGCCATCCTCTGCTGATTTCCCAGGCCACAAGCAGGAAGCTGGATGGGAAGTGGAATAGCCAAGTCTCAAACTGGCACCCACATGAGATGCCAACACTTAAAGGTAGAGAATTGGGTCATTGAGCCACTGCGTCAACTCGCTTATTATGTCTGTTTTTATGCAAGTACAACACTATTCCAATTATGATAGATTTGCAGTATGGTTTGAAATTAGGCATTTTTATGCCTCCAGTTTGAAATTTTTTCCTCAGGATTTCATTGACCAGCTTGAAACTTTTGTGACTCCATGTGAATTTTAGAGCTTTCTTTTCTAATTCTTTATATACTTGATACTTTGATAGGAATTACATTTGAATCTATAGACTGCTTTAGGGAGTACAGGCATTTTAATTATATAAATTCTTCTAATTCAAGAGCAAGCAGTATCTTCCCATTATTGTGTGTCCTTGATGATTTAACAATGTTTGATAATTTTTAATAGAGATCTTTCATATCTCTGGTTAAATTTATTTGTAAATATTTCATTTTTTCCAGCTATTTTCAATGCATTTTCCCCTCATAATAGTCTCTAAATTGAGCAGCTAGTGTGTCCTATTTATAAATTGAATTATGTAAGTTGTCTGTTTTAAATCCTACAATGGTTTTCCACTTCATTAAAAATTAAATAGATTTTGCTAATTTTCTTCTTCACATTTTTTGGTGAACAGGTGCTTTTTTGACTTACTTCTTTGAAAAGCTCTTTCCATGACCACTTTAGAGGCAAAACACACACACACACACACACACACACACACACGCACACGCACACACACAGGGTATTCAAAACTTTAGGTAAAGTATGTGTTATGAAAAAACTCAAGCCTGGATTTCAAAAGTTTTGCAAATAAAATGAGCTTTTTAAATTTAAATATTCATAAATTATCCAATGTGTTCTCAAACACTGTATTTTCTAAATTTAAATACAGAATCTAAGTTCTTCTGGTTAGTTTACTTTAGAAATAATAATTTCTATAATTAAAATGCATAAATTTTTACAGAACTAAGAAATAATACAGTTGCATGTGTGTTTTAAATTCATGATGTTTATACTTTTTTGTGCCTACATAGATTGTAGTGAAGAATCCCAGCCTAAAAGCTATTGTATATACTGCCATAATTGTTGGAAAAGATGCTGTTGATTTCTCTCTTCAACGAGCAGGGACTGTTGTAACAATTTCTCCGAGGTGAGCAGTTTTTTAAATTGTACATTATTGAACACATCAAATGCGGAGATTTAAGTTATTTTAATTATAATAAAGTAACTAGATTTTTATTTAATAGGAATATAATGAAAAGACTTACTTTTACATAGTAAAATACTCATACATGTAAGAGTCCTCACTAATTTGTTAAAGCAATGCTGACATCAAACATCTGGTTTTCTCTATATGCATTTAATTTTAACTTATTTTGCATGCATATGGTCCATAGAAAGAAGACTATAAATTATTTATGCAATATGGTTCTGCTTATTGCAAGAAACTCGTAACAGTATATATTTGAATTATAAGCGTGCATGTATATATTGCATTATGTGTTCAATATAGAAAATCTAGAAGCTATAAAGAGCCAAAAAATTATTAGCATCCTACATCAGAGAATTGAAATTGTCATCATTTTTCTTAATTCCCTCATAAGATATATGTGTTTAGCTCACAGATAGATACACACACAAATATATTATATATCAAGTGTATACTCCCAACTTGTAGTATTCAGTGAAGTCTCATTTTTATCTAATTGTATTCTCATTTCAGTTATTTAAAGATTATATATACTGTTTCCCCCCTCTCAAAATGAAATTTTGGGACCTGGCACGACAGCCTAGAGGCTAAATCCTAGCCTTGCATGCACCGGCATCCCATTTGGGCACTGGTTCATGTTTTGACTGTTCCACTTCCCATCCAGCTCCCTGTTTGTGGCCCGTTAACTCAGTAGAGGATGGCCCAAAGCCTTGGGATCTTGCTGGATGAAGCTCCTGGCTCCTGGCTTCAGATCGGCTCACCTCCGGTCATTGCAGCCACTTAGAGAGTGAGCTAGTGGATAGAAGATCTTTGTATCTCCTCTCTGTATTTCTGCCATTCCAATAAAATATAAAATAAAATAAAATAAAATAAAACTTAAAAAAAATACTCATAGGAAATTAAATATATATTCTCAGATTGACCAGTGGCATTTGCTATGCCAAAATTGTTAATGATGGCAAATATTCTTAATAAATAATATAAGGATAATGTGTTTTTGTTTTTGTACTGTTGTGGGATCTGTGGGGTCCAAGACCTCTGTTCTATAGAACAATCTAGATTCTGTTAGTGATTCCTTTCTTATGGTAGTGCCACACGCCCCTGGCTTGTGCTGTAGGAGTTATAGATAATATAATGTTTCCTCTCTAAATTTCTCTGAGTATTTGACTATGAGATCTCCAGGCAGCTTTCTTCATTAGGCTGCTAGTCAAGTGGTGCCTGTCTATTCCTCTTGCAGCTAGGATTGCCAGCTAAGGTGACCATGCATCAGGGATCCCACCTCAAGCCATAAGAGGCACTCAGGTGCTCAGTTGCTCTCAATGGCCAGGCCTTTATCAGGCAGGACTCATTCCAGATCTTCCATGTGAAATAAGGGACTCAAGTACTCAAACCTCTACCTGTTGCCTCCTGGGGTACACATTAGTGGGAGACTGAATAGGTAGCAGAGCCAGGACTCAGTTCCAGAAACTCCAGTATCTGAGGCAGGTAACCCCAGTAGAGTTCATTGCTGCAATCAAGTGCCTACTTCACTATATGTAAATTTTTAAAGAATGTTTAAACTTCTTTAAAGAGTGTTTAAAAATTAACTTGCCTACAGAGTATATATTTTTCAAATCACTGTATCCTTAACTTGGAATATAATGTCTTTATACAAATACCTCTGATGCTAATTCCTCTTCTATTGCCTGAATTATCTATTTTAAAGATAAATTCATTTCTTTCTCTTGGTTCAGTATTTCAGTCAAAGGATTTAGTCTAATGTCTTGTGACACTTTGTTCTTCATTCCTTCTCTCAGCCCAAGCATTTCTTTCTCATCAACTTCCTTGGGGATCCAGTTCCTTACCAGCTTGTGTAATAATAGTGCAGTAGAAAAGTAAATTATGTTTCTGTATGAAAAAAAATTTTGTCATTTTGTAGACTCCAATTTACAGTAAAAACATATTCTACTTTTATGTCAGATTGTCTGGAATTTCGTAGTGGCATTGGTGAGAGGAAAATTATCTCAATCTCATTCTTTCCTGTTTAGGATAATGTCATCCTGGTAATACATCCCATTTTAATTCCCTTTAAGTTTAATGATATTCTTCTTTGGAAGTTAATATGACTACTCATGTTCAGAGTCCATTGTGATATATAACTTATCTCATCTGATATAAAAAATAAATTCTGGAGACCAATGAAGATGCCACCTGCATTGCAAATAGAGGCTTGGTCTGATACAACGCCATGCTGGCCCCATATTTTGTTTCTTAAAGAGGAAATTGCTTTTTTTGTTATCAGATAATATATGATTATTTATGTGTTTCACATCCTGTTAGATTCTTTCTCAGTCACAATAAATAATGATTCTTTCCATCAGCTATGAGTTGAAATTCCAAGAAACAACATTTATATAGAAAAGAGTAAATAGCTATACCAGCAAATAAACAAAAACATTTACTTCTGCATCTGACTCAATGACTAAATATAGTTATACCAACAGAGCAACTGTTGTGAAAGTGAAAATATCATTTAAGAAAACCATTTTGTTTATTTTTTTCCTCATTATTCTCACTGGGCCATATGTTCACTGAGATTGTTATATTATAAATTTATTTTCCATCTATTTCAAAAAGCAATTGACAGTGGTTTACAAGGTATATATAATATTGATTTTAAAATGAGTACATCAGCTGGAGCAAAAGAAAATAGAAGATGAAAAAATAAAAGTGAACCATCTAATTATGAAATTCATGACTAGGAGCTAGGATATCTACATGGTTTACATACTTAATTCTGCAGTTTCTAACAAATTCAGAAAAAAATGTTAGTCACATTTTTGAGTACAGATGTTAAGAAAAAAAATTACCTGTTTACACAAGAATAGCCCAAATCTCTCTGGTCCTGAAACCTCATAAAAAGCATACATTGTTGGCAGGCTTTTTCCTAGTGGTAATGATGCCACTTGAGATAACCATATCCGATACTGGAATAGCTGGGCTTGAGTGCTAGCTATTGCACAGCCAGGGAGGCAGGAGGTAATGATTCAAGGACTGGAATTCTTGCTGCCTATTAGGGAGACTCAAATTGAATTCCAGAATCCTGGCTTTAAACTGGTGTAGGCTTGATTGCTATAGGCATTTGATAAGTGAATCAGCAGATAAATGATCTCTCAATTTGTGTTTCTCTAAATTTAAAATGAAATAAAAATGCACTTTTTAATAAAAGAAGAATGCTTTATTATGGACTGTAGTTTATAGAAGTAGAGGACCATTGCATAATTTATTCGATGAATATAATGTAGGTTATGATCATTTTTTAAAAGATGATTATTTGCAAGAGTGACAGAGAGGGAGGGAGAGACACCAAGAGTCCACAGCAGCCAGCTGGCCCAGACCAAAGCCAGGTGTCAAGAACGTTATCCAGCCCCTCCCTTATGAGTGGCAGAAGCCCGGACCCTCTTCTGGGTCTCCCACGTGGGTGCAGGGTCCCAAGGCTTTGGGCCGTCCTCGGCTGCCTTCCTAGGCCACAAGCAGGGAACTGAATGGGAAGCAGGGCCACCATGATTAGCACCAGCGCCCATATGGGATCCTGGCACATGCAAGGCGAGAACTTTAGCCACGAGGCTACCTGGCCAGACCACCCAAAATATTCCCAATTTTAAAATTAATTGAAACCCGTGAGCGTCTTCTCACAATTGTCCTTTTGAAAAAATGGGATTTGTAAAGCACAGGACAATGAAATTAACTCCTGGTGTTGCTACATGTGAGCTGTAACTATTCCACACAAAATGACTTTCAAAACATTTTTATGGTAGTTCTTTATTTACTTTTTATTTCTTTGAATGGGGAGGGGGAGAAAGAGAGAGGCAGAAGGTGAAGTAGCCAGCCTGGTACCTGATCAGACAGTGAGAAACTGGCTGGTGACAGACTCTCGGGGTGCAGAGGGAGGCAGGTGAGAATTGCTTTGTAGCAGCTCTTCCTGAGTCTCTTGCTCACATGTTGTGGGAAAATAAGTCATGGTGCTTTCTGTGGAGACTTGCTCAGATGCAGTAACGCCTATGTGGCCAGTGTGGAGTCACGCTGGGTTGCATGGAATATCTTCTAAACCCATAGTCTCTATTATTGTACTATCTGTTATACTACGAAGTTAAAGATGAAGGGAAATGGACACTTTTTTTCTTTATTCCTTTTTTAAATTAAAAATTTCTCTCAAATAAGATGTATGCCACTTATCTACTATTGTTTGCTTTTCACGTTCGAATTTTATTTTCAACCATGATTTCAGCGTTTTTTTTTTTTCTCTTAGAATTTTAGTTGAGAAACTGATGTTCATTTTTTAACTATAAATGAGTCAATTGAGGGGCAAGGAAATACCATCAGCAACATTCCTCCAAAACAGAACTATAGTGTTCATTCTTGTAAATATCCAAATTCAAAGTGTACCAAAATCAAGGTTAAAAATTTCACATAGATAGAAAAAGCAACAAAAATCGCATAGGGAACAATGTATTTTGAATCTTTAGATTGGGTTTCAAAAAAAATAAATAAATAACAGCTTACTTCCTCAAAATACACATATCCTAATTGCTTTTTAAAAATTGAAATAGCGTTTAAAATAAATTTCAGAGCAATTCACAGTCAATTGCATGACATGTTTTTTTTGTCCTGCATCACATATAGAGGCCAGAAATTCAACATGCAGCACACATGCTAAGGGGATAATTACAATCAGGGTTTATCATTTTTTCCACGCAGGCTGTAACACCCACAATTCCAAGTCAGAAGGGACCCCGGACCCAAGTTATCTCCTTTGGGAACTCCACTGGACAACACAGGTGTCCTGCATAGAGCAACAGAATATCTGTCAAATTGACACATTCCCTGGGTTAAATATTCACTACTTTCATGTAGAGGTTAGGAATCCTGAGAAATTCTTAAGTGAAATTTTCTACAAATGTGGAGGTTGGAACAACTCTCAAATCATTAATCAAATTATCATACTCTCTCCCTTCTGTGGTACACCACTTCATCAGTCCAGAAACACAATCTATTAAAACTTGATTCTTGTATGCTTTTTACATCCATCAGTCAGCAGTCGGTCAGCCTCCACCATAGTGAGCACCTTTGGTTTCCAAATTGCTTCAAATGTAGATATGTAACGTTCTGGGTAGGCGAATCTTCCTCATATAAAGCTATATTCACCCAGGCACTCATTAGCAGTGGGCCAATATTTGTCAGCAGCTCCTTCTCAAACTATGGGTGGTAATCGCTTCACCTGCATAGTACTATAACAAATCAGTTCTTTTCATTCTTTTTTCTGCTGTTTAAATGATTGCCATTTTTCCCCCTCTGCCCTGTGCATCAGTGTTTTAACCAAAGATCCAGTCATACCAAACTGTGTGGGCAAATGCTTGCATTGGCAAAACTGCCCATTTCGGCTCATTTATGTTGCTAAGCAACTGTGGTTCTGTCACATGCGCACCAATTTTACAATTCCCTGCTGCTGAAAAATGAACTAGGAGCTTTCCAGATTGGTCTCACCATTAGCTTTGTCACCAAGCATAAAGTGCAGCATGCTGTGCCTTGCTGCTGCCCTAGTGAGGCGAGACCATGTGCCTGCAGCAGCAGGAGACTGCAATGCCGTGTCCAGCTGCAGTGGTGGGCAGTGCTTATTTTAAAAATTCTTAGTCTTTATCGTGGTTTTTTTTTTTCTTCCTTGTGACCAGAAGCAAACAACGTAGCAAGAATTTGCTTCTGCGGTAGCAAGAAATGTACTATGAATTTTATCCATAATACACATGAAATTTCCTATGGCTCACAGAAAACCTAATATTTGGTATATTATTTACTACAGCTTACATTTAGGAGTAAAGTTTGTATTTTATGGACTGGTCAAGATATCTTAACTAACGACAGTAACTAGATGGTAAAATTCTTGTACCTACAATTTTTTTTTTCATTTTGTTGTCACACTGAGTGTACATTGTAAAGCATAAATACTAAGCACATGATTTATTAACAAAGAGGCCCCTGTTGATTCCTTTTCTTAATGAGATGTTTCATCTTTTTTCCTTTATTAAAAAGAAATCAAACTAACATCACACTGAAGTTTACCAGTCGCTTCCTCCATCCTGCTGAGGCGTCACTACTATTAATATCAAAAACCAAGAATGCGAGAGGAGGTCCTACTATGGCTTTTGCTCTTAAAGGCCAAGTCCGCCATTTTAGAGCCCTAGTAAGTAAACTTTATCTATTTTATATGTATTTGCTTCTATTCTCAAAGTGTCAGGTAGTTTTCATTCCAGGAGATCATGTTTTGCATTGTTGTTAAATCAAGGCTTCTGATTTAACTTAAACCTGTGTCTTTGTTTTTATTTTGATTAAGAATTGATTGTTCAGGGCTAGGATAGTGTTGTGGCAGGCTAATTTCCTGCCTGCAGTGCTGGCATCCCATATGGGCAACGCTTTGAGTGCCAGATGCTCCACTTCCGATCCAACTTAATGCTAATGGCGTGGAGAAGCAGCGTAAGATAGACCAAGATCCTGGGACCTTGCACCAACATGGGAGACCCGGAAGAACCTTCTGGCTCCCAGCTTCGGATTAGCCCAGCTCTGGACTTAACGGTCATTTGGGGAGTGATCTAGCAAATGGAAGATTTCTTCCTCTTTCTCACCCTCCCTCTGTGACTCTAACTTTCTAGTAAAAATAAATCTTGAAAAATTGAATGGTTCATGCAACAAGAAAGACTGCTTTCCTCTCTGATAGGAATATTCATCAATATATCTTCAGTGTCAAATCTATTATAAAATTAATGTTAATACTAGCAGTTATTGAAAGATGATATTCTCACAGAGTTCTAAGTGTTTACATCTCAAAATATACAGAAAAAAGATTTTTTAAATCTGTAAAGTTATTGTGACATTGTCATGGATTTTTATAGCTGTTATCTTGTTTAAATATTATTTTCCACCATGGAGGTATGCTAAATGAAAGGCAAATTTATTATTACCAGATTACCATATGGATTATAAACTTAAGTATGCAGAGGATAAATAGGAAATAGAAAGAATGACTCTGAAGAAGGATGAATGGTAGAGAGTTCTATATGGAGAATGTCAAGAGGTTCACATGAACAGACTAGCATATTAGGTGATGCCCAGGAAAGATATGGAAATTTGTCTATCACATGGATATTGTGATCTTCTGATTTCCTCCTGGATAATGAGTACTTGCATTTCCCAACTCGCTAATAAACTCTCAGAAATAAAGATACTGCTTTGCAACATATGGTTAGGAACTGTCGTTGGTTTTAGCCTGCTAAAAAGCAGCATGGGCTGAAAAGGTGACACCTGAAGCACATGCAACTCTGCTTCCTTCTTAGTTGACCAGGAAATAGTTGAGTTAATAAAAGACAAAAAATAAATCAAGCTAAGAATACAATCAGCCCAAAAAATGCAGAGCTCCTAAAACCTTACCTCCATAGAATTCCCTTGGATAATTTGAAGATTTATTTTATATTTTTTGCTTTTTATTTTCATGAAAATGTCAGGGCAGCCACCACTTATTACAAACACAGGCATGCACACTCACACACACTCTTACAGATATCCATCCACACACAGCCCTAACTCTTCCTTGTATCATGTGTACAAGGTGTATTTACCAAGGAAATTTGAAAATGCGAAGTCATACTTGTTCACTATCAAAATCAAATTTGAGGAAAAACAGTTTGGGAGACACTATTTTTACAAATAATTTAATTACTAGCACAGAACTGTAGACCAATAGAGACAAAATATTTTTTACATGCTTTCTTACTTAAATTTCAGCAGTACAATGGTTGTGGAAAAAAGGGTATTTTATTATCACTGTAATATTAAATTTGACAGTTTGTGGTTTTAAGCTTCAATTTCATAATTAAGGATATTTGTTTTGTGTTACCATTATACAGTAAGATTTTCCTTTTACTTTAGAAAATTTTGAAGTGCCAAACTCCATGTTATCAGTGGAAGGAAATAACAATAAAAATCAAAAACCCTTTTCAAGTGGCAGGCTATTTCAAGTAAGTCAATATTTGGTGTAAGTTCATTAGAAATAACTGTCTACACTCTTGAAAAAAATATGTAATTTTCTGTACCTGCTCAGCATAATTAATTTAGAGGAGAAATTAACATGTTTACATTCTTACAAACTTATGATATACTCAGGTAAAATAGAACTTATAAATAATGAAACTAAATTAGCTTTCCATGGACATTTACTTGATCTTATCATATTTATACATGGTGTCTATATGCTTTCTGCTTGATAATACAGTGTTATTTCTATTTATTTAAAGAGTACAAATAACACTTTTCTCTCTGGTTATATTCCATCTGTTAATCTCCAAAACTGAAATATTGATTTAATCAAAAGTTATGTTTTTACCTAAGGCATTATGATTGAATGAATGTTGCATAAGAAATGTGCATGTATCAGTCTGAACATTTGATAACTACAACACAAATGTGAAATAAAAAGATAATATGATTCCTAATGATTATGTAGTACAATGGAAAAATAACAGAAATTTACACTGCACTATTTAAATTGGAAACGGTTTGCTCCAGCTTTACAAATCAGATCCTCACAACCATATCTTCATTTATTAAAAATACACATATACGTTTTATTTTAATGTTGTATAATTTCCCTTCATCACCATTTCCTAGGGTTTTGGTATTTTTTAATGGATAATCTAAGTGATTCTTGATAAGACAACTATTATTTTATTTAGAAACGTATTGATGATTTTGTGGCTTCTGTCTGCTAATGAGGACTTTTTTTTACTGTATATATCATATGTAAGAAACTAAAAAGTCATAACATGTGTTATAAATCTAGTATTAAAGTATTCCCTAAAATTAAACAAATTATTGCAGTTCTTCAAAGAGAAGCATGATGTATTAGTTTTATATTGCTATGTCAGGAATTGGAAGAATACCATAGATACATATTTCTCAAAAAATAGTGATGTTTTCATAAACCTGTTTACATTATCTCAGGTTGAGTTAAAGCTGTTGCTTTTATGGAGGATCGTGTGATTTGTTGGGTAAGATTATTAACTAGGGAATTTTGTTTGTCTCTTCTTTCATTCTTTGTATGCACATGGTTTTCAAACTTGAACAATGGGCAACTAAACTACAAAATGTGAAGCTACTATTAGAACTTGTAAATCAATATTTTATAATGGGCACTATATTATCATTATATTATTATTACTTATTTTAATAGGTATTATTTTATTATTCTAGAAATTTGAAGTACCATAATAAAATGGGGTTAGGTCAGGGGCCTCACATAGTTGTTAAGTTGTTGCCTGAGATGCCTGTACCCCTTAATGGAGTGCCTGGGTTTGAGTCCCAGCACCACTTCTGCTTCCAGCTTCACATAATGGACACAATGGGAAGTAGCAGGTACTCAAGTACTTGGATCCCTGTCTCTCATGTAGGAAACCCAAACTTTTCCTGGCTTCTGACTTTGGTTTGGCCTCGTCCTGGTTCTTGTGAGCATTTTGGGTTTAAGATTGCAATCAGTATATCTACAAGTTACGAAGTTTATGTTGTTAAACTTACAAAAATGTTCAGAACTAGTTATTAACAATCTTGTGTTACTAAATGTTGGCCTGTGGCACTCAGCATCCCATATAGTCAATGGTTTGTGTCCTGGCTGCTCCACTTCTGATCTAGTTCCCCTGCTTTTGGCCTGAGAAATATCTGCTGACTCTGACTTCATCTTCCTGATGTTTCAGACCCTGGGAGGCAGCAGTGATGGCTTAAGTAAGAGTCCCTGCCACCTATATGAGAGACCACAGGCCCGAGTGTTATAGGCATTTGGTGAAGTTTCTCTACATGGCCCTTTCTCTTTTTATCAAATATATACATAAATATTTTTCAGTTATCATAATTAGCTGCACATATATTCTAAGTTAACTTCAGTGAGATTCACAAAGTGTTGTCCTTACATAATTATTACAAAGCTTTTCTGTCTTTTTTTGTGGTATTGTGTCATACATGTTCGTAATGGTAGAACCCGACAGTAATTGCTATTGTTGATATTTTATATTGTTTATATGATTTTGATAAAACTGAGAAAGTCAAGGCAAGTATATGAGTTTATTAGTGTTATCACAGCAAAATATTATGAACTAAATGTCATAAAACAGAAAATGTTCTACAGTTTTGGGACCTTGGAAGTCCCAATTCAAAGTATTGACATGTTTGGTTTCTTCTTGAGGCTTATTTTCTTGACTTGTAAATAACTGTTCTTTCTGTGTCTTCAACTGGAAATGTATATATGGTAATATATAGTAATATTGGAACTCTGGGTTCTAATTTCATACGCCCAGAGCTTGAGGTTATTTATTATTCTTACTGCTTGCTGACTGGTTGTGTTATTTCAGTGATATCTATGTTCTCCTGTTCAAGCCACAGCACATTCACGATGAAACTTCCTATGTTGCTTGTCAGAAGCCACAACACTTAATATACCCAAAGTCACCCTGGGATGACTGGCTTTGACAGGGCTCCCTTTGACTTAATCTTTTTCTGACTGTATTCAGCTACCAAATTCCATGAATCCCAATGCCCTGAGGGGCATAAATTGATGCTCAGACTAATCTGATTAAATTCACACTCTTTTGGAATACCATCATCTCTAAGTCCTTGTTGGGATTTGTTCTGACTCCAAGAGGACTCCTCCCTAATAGTCTCTTGTCCTTATTTTCTACAGAAAGCTGTCAGGTCTATGTTTCACTTGCCTCTTCATTCAGTCTCTCGATCCCCCAGCTGTCTTTCAGTAGGACCTGTACTATTTTTGAGAGTACACTGTGGCTTGAACTCCTTCAGGAGTTGTTGAAAATGAAATCAGTTCCTTCAGAAATAGACTTGGAGTTTTCTCTTTTTATGGCCTGATTCACTCTCAGGGTAAAATGACTGTTGTGTCGATTTGGTGCTAGCACTAGGGACAATGTTGCACTTTTTTGTTTGTTTGTTTCTGAGTAAAAACCCCATTTTAGTTTCAGAGTACCAAGTGGGGATATACAGGATTTCTTGTCTGGCTTCTCCCAATTTAGAATCACAACCCTAAAAAGTAGGGCAAGGGAAATTGGGGTTCCAGTGCTATCAGCAGGGACTCATACTACAGCATGTCTCAGATGTGGGTGCTGCATAGAGAAAGGGAACCCTTTGGCCTTTTTCAGCTTGATTTTCTCAGACTCTTTTCTCAGCTATGTAGATTGGGGGAATGATGAGAAATCATTGAACTATTCTTGCCAAAAGCTTAACTGACCAATTGGGAGCCCCGGAGAAGGGTAACCTGTATCATTAAACAGAACAGTCTAGCAGTCTTGTTTTTTAACACATGATCCTGGATTCAACAATACTGGAGAACTGTCTGAAAAATGGAATCTTAGACCAACTCCAATCTAATTAAATTGGAATTTCAATTTAGGACCATCTCCAAAGGATGTGTTTGTATATTAATATTAGTACAATGTCCCAAGTTAGCAAACTGTGGACAAACTGTATCCAAGCATATGGAGAACTTGATTTAAATGGAGTCTTCTGGAGCCCCGTTCAAGACTTACTGAGTCAAAATTTAGGCAAGTGGCACCTCAGAAATGCATATTTTGACCATTTGCCTAGATCGTTGATATGTACCTTGAAATGTGAGAATCACTTACAGAAAGAGCAGTTATCAAATAATTTTTTCATTTTGTTAGATAGTATTTCACTTTTACAATTAATATTTCTGTATGTGTTATGGAAAATGCATTCATTATAGTTCAGAAGTCACTTTTTAGGCAGTGTATAGGGTATTATTTTATATCAAAACTGTATATATGCAGCAAATGAAAAACCTGATATTTATTATATTGTCTTAGTCTTTTAATGTTTTTGTCAAATTGTATTATTCTTATGACTGTTTATAATCAGAACAAGTTATTAGTAAAATAAATTTCCCACTGATGTACCTTGGGTTCATAAAAAAATGAAGAGCTATTAGAAAGGTTTTCTGTTTCTTAATTTTATATGATTTTTAAATCACAATAACTTATTTAATTTTAAACTATTGTCTGTAGACAACATATTTTATACATTTGTCTAATTGTAACTTTATAATGATGTGAATGTATCTAGAAGATTGCCATATTTGTCGCAAAGTACTTGATTTGCATGTTAGTACAGTTAATTTTGTTCATTAAAATTTTTAGCACTTAAATATCCCCAAAAAATTCTTACGTGAAAAAGCAGATTATCAATCTGAAACAAAGATATCAAATCTAATATATTGATCATAAATATCGAGCTAAAACACAGGAGTCAAATTTTATGCCAGCATTCAAATATTAGGAGAAAAGAAAGTATTGTATTCTGTTCTGTATATGTTGTCCTGCTTGTGTATGTGTATTTTATCAAGAATGAAATAACGTAGTAGGTGTAAAACACTGGTCTGTTTTCTATTGTAAAATTAGTATGGTGGGACTCAATAACTCTTATAAAACAAATAATTCATTTCAATAAACCGAGTTTGGTTAATCTGTTAACAACATTATGGAACATTATACTGTTCTCTGAAGGTAGAATTATGCATTGTTGACAGCACTTTTCTTGATATCATTCACCTACTCCTAGAGTACCATTTTTATACCAGCATCCTCCTACAATGTAGGCAGGCTAAGGCAGAGCAAATAACATACTCACTTTCACATTTTCCCATACATCATCACATACCTCTAAGTTTTTTGAATGAACATTATCACATTGTGAGGACTGAATTACTGTGTGATCCCAGAAAACAGTTATGAATGCACAGATTAGCTACTTGCATCTCATGAACACTCCTAAAAGGAATACCTTCTTTGGGAATAAGGTGAGAAATTATGAAATGTTTATGACTCTGGGTATGCCTTAAGATCCATGAGTGATTTCCTCTATGTTTGTAGAACAGAATTTGGGCAGTTACTTATTTTGAAATTTTCTTGCAATAAAGATTCAATGTTGCCTTCATATATAAAAGAATATTAGATATCACACATGTTCATCCCAGATCTTTCCCTTCTTTCTATCATGCATATTTGTTAAGTTGTAGAATAAGAACACATGGATATTTTAGCTATTTATTTCTATTCAAATTATGTTTTACAAATGATGGAGAAGAAGCAAAAGAATGTTTTGGGCCTATCTTAATTTTGTTGAGGTAGAATTAAAAGTAATTATTTCCTCATTTGTTTCAGTGTCATTTTGGTTGAATCCCCAACGTTTTTGTGTAAGCCATCACAATTATCAGAATCTGGACAGTTTGTCAGCTACGGGTAAATATTTTATGCTCCGTAAGTTTCAGAGGGATAGTTCTAAGAAATAATTTGCAGTCAAATGTTTATCTTTTACTAGATTCATGTAAGTAAAAACTGAGAAACTACATACTTGATTAAATATAAGAGATCTTCATTAGCAATGGTAATCATATTCCATAAAATTGACACAAATACCGAGTTAGTGAGCAATAAACTATTGCTCCTTGGATAAATCTGCCTGATGATATAGATTATAATTGTAAATCCTAAGACAACTGATTCTGGAAGATTGATTTTTTTTTTAATTTCACAAAAAGAAAATAAGGTTCAAAAGTGTGTGATGACCAACAGGTGCTAGAGCAGGGCTTCAAACCCAGAATTTGATCTCAGCTGGGAACTGGAACAATCAGTGGCTAGAACTGTTGCCTCTCTTCACATGTCCTTGAACATTGTAGAAGTGACACAAGTATTAATGTAAGGGCTAAAAATATATTTTAGCAACTAGGAAAAGTTGCAAATATGAAATGAAGTGGAATAATAATTCCATTTTACTTATTTAATCTATTTTATGAGCTCTGTGGTTTGTAAAGGAATCCTGATTTCTTACGATAGAAACAATTTTTAAAATTTGGATTGTTCTCTATTTTTTATCTACATTAAATGATAGAGTAGTTATTTAAAATGAAATATTTAAAAAAATCTATTCCCAAGATTAAAGAAATTTAGGCAGAAAGAAAATTGTATAGGTCTTTATTATAATTAGATTCAAAATTCTAGAATTATTGAATACAAGGATTCCAAAGCTACAATTACAGATATCATCTTAATGATATGCTTCCCCAATCAAAACAAAAAGGAATGAACAAGTATAAAAGAATTTCACGTTTAATTTTAATCGAAAATGAAACCTTGCAAGTACTAATCCAAAATAATTACTAATTCAGCATGAAGTACAGCTGAAGAAATGTGTCTCCAGTAGTCCCATTGTAGTTGATTCTTTTTCACGTAGTCTCTCCTATTTTATTTAAAAATATTATACTTCCCTAGTTCTTTCATCAAAATTTCCTGGGACAAAACAAAACAAAAGCAACTGAAAAAAAAAATAAACAAAAACCAGTAAAGGTGCCAAGGCATTAACTGTAACTGTTCAGTCAAGGATAACATGATCCAGCATTGAGCAGCCAGGCTCCTGCAGATCAGCTCGCTCTCAAAGACCGTCTCTCAGTTCAAAGGCAAAACCCACAACATTTCTGAAGAAAAAGTGGTGGTCAGTTTAAATTATTTCTTGGTTTATCATTTGAGATTAGCATGGACCGATGGCTGAATCCCAAATCCATACAAATTTTGAGATTTAACAATCCCCAAAGGACAAACATCATATATTCTCTCTGATATAAGGCAACATTCATGGAAAATACAAAACAAATATACATATGAGCAAACAAGTATATACATATATTATGATAGACGAACCAAATAATGCAGACTAGCATACTGAGAAGTGAAAATATGTAGCAGTAGGCATCTCAAATCTGGAATAAAAGGAGGACTCCCAGTGAAACAGTGAATATATCTTGACAATATGATAGACCTGTGTCTGTACCTACAATTCTGTCATTTGCTTAAATAGCAGAATGTTAAACTTGTAGCTGTTACTACAAGTACTACTATTATTACTACTGTAATAATATAGAGGAAAATGATAGGGGGATGAACAGAGACAAAGGGGAGGGCACGGGAGGAATCCCTATACCCACAAAACTGTCACGCGAAACAAAACAATTTTTTCATTTAATGGGTAAACAATGCAGTCACTGTGGCTGCTTTAATGGGATCCTCACTACTTGATATAGCACCTCCAAATAATAGCAGGCAAATTTTTACTTATTTTCTCAATAATCAGCAAGAATATTCAGAATTCTGATCATCAAACTCTTTCCTGGGCAGCAGAATGGAAGAAACACAGGAATAAGAGTGTGTGTGCCCTCTCCCTATTAAGCAAGCTCTCAAAAATACCACACAGCGCTTTTGCATGTAGCCCACTGGCTAAATATTGATTGAATAACTAAACTTAGATGGAAGGAACACTGAGAAACCTCACTCCTGCTGGCCAGCATTTTGATGCAGCTGGGTTAATTAAGCCTTTGTCTGTAATAGAGGCATCCCACATTAGGGCTGGTTCAAATCCCAGGTACTCCACTTCCTGTTCATTTCCCAGCTAATGTATTTGGGAAAGCAGAAGTTCATGGCCCGAATCCTTGGGCTGCTACCACCTAGGTAGGAGACCCTCGTGCAGCCACTGACTCCTGACTTTGGTCTGCCGAGCTCTGGCTGTTGCAACCATATGGGGAGTGAACCAACAAATGGAAATCTCTGTTTCTCTTTCTCACTCTTGCTCTTACTCTTGCTGTCTCCTCCCCTCTAAGTCTGACTTTCAAATAAATAAATAAATCTGTAACAAAACAAAGTTCCAGGTATACAGAAAAACTTTAAAAATATGCATTTTAAATCACAAAACCAGAATGAATTTGGCATTATGTTTTTGTGATTCTTTAATATCATCTGTCAGATAGTAAGTATTGCAGTACTAAAACTCTAGTCTGATCACAAGATTTAATCATCAGATAATACATGAGAACAAGAAAAAACTGACAGAAATTTCTGTATATTAACTAGATTTTTTAATTTAAAAATTTATTTTTATTGGAAAGGCAGATTCAAAGAGAGAGAAGGAGAGAGACAGGTCCTCCATCCTCTGGTTCAACGTTCCCCAAATTACCATACCAGCTGGTGCTGACCCCATCTAAAGTCAGGTGCCAGGAGCTTCCTCTGGGTCTCCCATGTGGCCGTAGAAGCACCAAGACTTGGGCCATTCTCTGCTCTTTTCCCAGGGAGGATAGGATAAGGGAGCTGGATTGGAAGTGGAGCAGCCAGAATCAGAACTGGGCTCCATATGGGATGCCAGTACAAGAAGATTTACCTGTTGAGCTACTGCACCAATCTCACTAACTGGAGTTTTTTATAGGTTTTTAAGAATGTTCCATTTTTCTTCTTTTTATCCATACATTTACATTCAGCTGATAACATGTGAGGAAAAGTACTGTATGTTATTTCTAAGTGATAGCTTTAAGAACAGGTGAGGAGATTTCCACGGTCCTTTCTCTTGCCATAATTTTATAGAAACATAAGGAATGAAGGCTCTTTCACCAAGGATCTGAATGTACTTTCTACCTAAGGTTGGACATGTAGTATGGGCAAGAAATAAGACTTTTGAGGCTGGCTTTGTGGCACCTCATATTACTTTGCTGTCTGTGAAGCATTTGGTATTAGAGTGGTGGTTTGAATTCCAGCCTCCCCATTTCTGATTCAGCTTCCTTCAGATACATCTACGAAGTCAACAGAAGATGGCCCAAGTACTAGGATCCCTGCTACCCCCTCTGCGAGATGGGGACAGAATTCCTGGCTGCTGGCTTCAGCTTGGCTCAGCTCTAGTTATTTCAACCATTTGGGGTATAAACCAGCAGATAATCTCTCTCTCTCTCTCTCTTTTTCAACAACAACAACAAAAAAAAAAAAAGAAAGAAAAAAAAGCCAAACATCTATTGCAATAGGAAAGAAACGCATATGCTAATCTACTAAGACATGGGCTATGACTATATAATGAGATAGCCTAAACTGATACGCCTTCTCAGATTCACTTTAGTTAATGTCTCCTCAAATAATCATTTACTTCTTAAATGAGGAGTAAAATGCTGGAATTGTCTTTCACTTGACATAAAAAAATGGAATCTCATACTTGAAAAATCAAAAATGTCCTATATATGAACTGCTATTTAATCTAGAGATACGCATAAAAAGACACTTTCATAACTGCAAGGATTATGAAACTTTATATTCCTTACACATTTTACTTCATGGAAACATGACCCTTGAGCATAACAAGAGCATTAAAGAAATTCATATTGTAATCAAATCCAGCGGGATTATCAGACAAGGATCAGCACAGGAAATTGATTTTAGCCACACTTCAAAATTGATCTGCAGAGCAACTGTGCTCAGAAACGAGTACTTTGTCAATTGTTTCTTTTGGTGATATGACTTTATGGTTTTCTTCAAGTGATATTGAGTTATTCAAGCATTAGAGAATTTCTAAGTAGCACTTCAAGCACTTTTCTCTGTTCTGGAGAAATATGGGATAAATTAGACATGTGGCCATTAAGAAGGCAGCCTTCAAGTAGAGGAGGAAATGGATATCTGTATCAGTGGAAATCGTTTTTAGGGCAGAGCATTGACTGTTAAATTGCATATGTATAATGCTCTGTGGTGTAATTGCTTAGGAATGTCATTATTTAGATATTACAGAAAAAATTTCATGAGGAGAAGATGTGTAAGGAGAATTCTTTTTTTAAAGAATGATTGCATAAGAAAGTCAGATCTACAGATAGAAGGAGAGACAGAGACAAAGATGCCCTATCTGCTGGTTCACTCCCCAAGCTGCCACAACACTGAACCGAAGCCAGGAGATTCCCTCAGGTCTGCCATGGGAGGCACAAGGTCCCAATACTTTGGGCCACCCTCAACTGTTTTCCCAGGCCACAAGCAAGGAGCTGGAAAGGAAGTGGAGCAGCCAGGACATGAACCGATGGCCATGAGAGACTGGCACATGTAAGGCACGGACTCTAGTTACTAGGCTATCACACCAGGCCCATATAAAAAGAATTCTAAGGTGCTTATAAAGTTTTCCATGCGTGCATTATACTGCTTTGTTTTCCCTTGTTGTCTGCAACTTTGGATCCTAAATGAGTAAGATGTTGAAATCCAGAGCCTAAAGAATTGGGATCTGAAATGAATAAGATGTTGAAATTCAGAGCCTGAAGAATTTTCCCATAAGAAAAAGAAGCGTTGGAAAATGGAATTGCAGAGGCAATAGGCAGACAGACAAGGGGAAACACAAGGCATAGGTGTAAACACAGGAGCTGAGGGGTGAGCAAGAGGTACATGGGCTTGAACGAGGAGGGAGAAGGGAGGTATGATTGTCTACTTAGAATTGAACCTACAAAGTACGTGATATCTATTTGCTTTATATTAATGAAAATTAAAAACAGAGAAGTCCATAAAAGAAAAACAAATGTTTAACAATTTATACATCTGCCTTATAATTATTTATTGCCTTCCTTTGAGAATTCACAAATAATGAATTCCCAACAGCCACCTAGATGAATGAAGGCCTCACAGTATGTGTTTTTTCTTTTTTTCTGGGTCTTGACTCTTGTTAAACCTTAAAAAAAAATTGGTTCCTATAGAAGCAGGATTTAAACATGTTGATTTCCATTAAACTGAATAATTAGGAATAGTTATTTGAGTGTATTATTTCATTAGGACTGCTGTAACAAAAATATAGAGTGGATAACTTAAATCACCAGTATATATTTCTCATGATTGTGGAAGATAGAAAGTTCCAAGTCCAAGGAATGAACTTGTCTGGTTAAAGCCCACGTCTTTATTCATGGATTTTTTACTGTATTTTTACATGACAGAATGGGACGAGAAAACTTTGTGGTTTCCTTTTCAGGGACACTACTTCAATTCATGAGGACCCACCCTCTGGATCTAATCTAATCACCTCAAAGCTCCTTCCACCTCCTAACCCCATCACATTGAGGGTTAAATTTCAACATTGGAATTTAGGGGAGGGAGCATAAAATTTTGTTCTATAGCAGCAGCAAATCTCTAAGGAAAACAGACTGAATTGAAGACCATCAAATTAGTAATCCTCACAATCTTTAAATTACAAGTTTTCAACTTTAAAATGTTTGTCAGACCATTTTAAAATTTCATGAGGCCTATTATACTTCATATAGTGATATTTTCTAAATGCATTAAATAAGATGCAAGTATTAAACAGTGCATAGTTTGCTCATATTTTTATAATACAATATCATGGACTGCGTGACTTAAACAATAGAAGTGTATTTCTCACTGTTTTGAAGGCCAGGAAGTCTGAGATCAAATGCCACAATGCAGGTTTCATTCTGGGACTTCTTCCTAGTTTTGATAGGACCCCTATCTGCTTGTGTGCTCACATGACCATTTCTTCATATGAACACAAGGGGAAAGAGAGGAAGAGCTCTGGCTAGTTTTTCTTCTGATGACAACGCTAATCCCATAGAATCAGGATCCCACTATTACAACCTCACTCATTTTTTTTTTAAGATTTATTTTATTTTTGTTGGAAAGGCAGATATACATCGCGCCGGGCCCAACCTTACTCATTCATAATTACACATTGAGATCCTCTATCTCAAAATACAGTTGCATTGGAGGTTATTGCTTAAAAATATGAATTTCAGTGGGTCATAATTTAGTTAATTAAGCACAGGAAATTAATATTCTAATAAATTATAAAAATGTGTTTAGTGTAATAAAACATTTACAAGAACACATTGGATATGATCTTGTGGTAGGAGTAATATCTGTATGCTTTAGAGGTAGTGATCAATGGAAATAATGTCTAAAAATATGTTCCAGGGCTGAATTGTGCTATAGAGATGTCTATTTAGGGAATTAAGTTCTTGCTCCTAGCTGTGGCCTGGCATAAGCCCTACTGCTGCTGACCATGGGGGAGTGAACCAGCAGATGAGAAATCATGCTCTACATTTCTCTTATTTTGTCTCCCCGTCTTTCAAATAAAAATTAAGTTTGAAGAACTAGCAAGCTTTATTCTCAACAGGATCATTGGGCCCTTCTTTAGGCAACTCATGAACACAAGAGACAATGTATCTAAAACTTGATCTTTTGATGTATTTCCCCACCATGCATAGAAATGAAGCTTGAACCTGATATTTTGTTCTTTGGCTCAGACGTAACTTTGCCTTGGAATAACTTCATGAAAGCTTATGATGAAGACCTTTCCACCTGTTTGAATAATATGTCAGTCACTCCAAAGAGTATTTATTCCAATTCAATGACATTTCATTCATTTTACCTTAAAAGGAGTCTCACAGCACTACTTTAGAGTTAAAGGAATGTCATCTCTTTGTACCTCAAAAGCAGATTTAACTTCCTGACACTGACCCACTACTAGATTGCCAGGAAATACATTATTGCCTATTCCAAAGTATTTTATATTATTGTAACATATTTGATGCAGTTTCTTCCATAAAATGAAGTGCTTCAACATGCTTATTGTAGCTTCAATATTAATCTATGCACTTGTAGAAAAACTGTGTAAGAAGTAACTAAACAGTAAGAAAATTAACTTCCCTGCTTAACTGACTTTGGAATATCCATGAATCAGATTTTGTAAATAAGTTGAGTTTAGCATTCAGTTTTTAGAAACATTCATCAGATTTTTTCGAAGTAAAATTATTAGGTCAAATTACTTTCTGATATCTCTAGTAATTATATTAGTCATTAGTTTTATCAAAGAGGTAATACTAATTTATAGGTTCTATTTGTATTTGCTATGAGAAAATAGGTAATTTTTTTTTTCTGGATTAAAGTAGTCCTGAGTCGGATGAAGCAAATGTTTGGTTTCTTCAAAAAGACACTTTTACACTTGTTCCACAAAATAACAAAAAGAAAAATGGTGTGTGATCTACAAATTGATCTGCTTTACTGTGCACTATGACAGACATGATTAAATGACTTGTTATTTGAAGAATTGAACCAAATGAGCTTTAAAGATTATCTGTGGATATTTACTAAGTATTTTATCCATACTTCATTATCTAGTTGAAGAAATATAGAGAAATAATAAATATATAATGATAAATCTAATATAAATAATAATATTCTTTGTAATCCTTTCTACTCTGTTTATTATATCCTCTATAAATGCTAAAATATCCATCTTTGATGTTTATAGCAGCCTTAAAGTGTCTATCAAATGCTCAAGTTATATAAAATATTACATGTTCAATACTTTCAAAAAGGTTGTCTGAGCTGCTACTAAGAATGCCTGTGAGCAGAATTAAAGCATAGGATAATTGCAAAAACATAAATTCGAGAGACAAATAACCTCATTAATGAGGTGAAATTAAGAAACAGTGTTGTTTATAAAAATCAAGCAGAGAAAAATTGGGAGTGTTTAAAATAACTTGGAGATAGTTCATATTTTTACAGCATCAAATTGAGGCAAAGCAGATGCCCAAGTGAGTAGGCATGGAGATTCTGTATTCTCGGGGGGGGGGGGGAGCAGGCAATCAATATTTATAAGCTTACATATTAATTGGCAGTTTCTTGTGCAAAGTAATCATGAATACTAAAAGAGGAACAGGAAAACCTGGAGCCTTTCAAGGAAAGCAGTTGCTTCAATCTAAGCTCAGTTAATTCATTTTCAGAACTCTGACTGCCACATACTCTTTGTGTTTCTGCATTATGGTCATTGTCATCAAATGTGTAATTCTTCATAGCATTTGAAAGGGAAAAGAAATCATCTTTTACCAATTATTTTCAAAACATTGTAGAAATATGACGGTTATTTTTAGTGTTTTCTTAAATTTTTGAATCTCTAAAATGATATGACATTAAAAGATATTCAAAATATACCTATGATATTTGCAAATCATATTGCAGGTAGCCATACTTTTTTAGGACTCTAATTGAGACAGAATTGTTTTTGAGTTCTTCCATCATTTTTGATGCTATTTTCCTACTTTCTCGTGATAGTTCTGGAGTAAATGACAGTGAGTGTGAAACAGCTAAGGGCTGTCCCAGTGCCCCGAATTGCTTAAAGACATGTAAGTACCACAAATGAAAGTTTGTTGTTTGTTCTGATATCTAATGTGTATATGCAAAGCATGAAAGGAAATGAGACATTCAATAAGTGATAATCACATCATACTGAATGGCAAGCCTGAGGATTGCTGGCAGAACAGAGGCTCAGGTGTCATGTTTTCTAACTTGTCTCCTTTGACCCCTGAGACTCAGCACACTAACAATGTCTTTTAGTATATGGCCTTTATGCCTCTTTTGACTGATTCTGATTCTGAGCTGTTTAAACTTATTTAGGTGACAAGTGTCACAAGCTTAGCACTGTAAGTGAAAATATAGATTTTCTTTTTAATGCAGTATTCTATGAAAGATTAATAGAATGGATAGGAAAATGAGTATGGAAAGGCTCTGGTTCTCCATGGCAACAGAACAAATCATCCTAAAGTAGTGGCATAAAACAACAAAAATCGATGATGATGCTTATTTCACACGCTTCTGGGGTGATTTCACACAGCATAGGATCTCTACAGCAGTTGCAGTCTGATAGGATACAGGAGCTCACATCATCTCAATGGCTTCTGCACTCACATGTCTGATGATTAATACTGTCTTCTAGAGGGGGCCTTCACTGAGGTTGTTGACCTGATCACCTACACAGGACCCTTCCATGAGTCCCGGGCTTCTTTATGGACGGCAGCTTTGCTCTAAAGGCAAATGATTCAAAGAAGATAATTAAGTGGAAGTTGTGTTGTATTTTTTGATCTAGTGTCCAAAAGCACATTGCTTCACTTCTCCTGAATCCCACAATACTGTTTGATATGAGGTCACTAAAACTAGCTACCATAACACCATATTCAAGGCCATATCAAAGAATAGATGGCCTTGTTTCAGAACGACCAAAAAGAAAAATATGAACATGTTTGCAGGTATAAAACAGGTCTTCACTGCCAGTTCAAGTTGTATGCTCTGCCATGTGTACTCCATATGAGCAATACTGAAACCCACAAAATATTGGAGACACATGAGCAACTCCTTTGCTATATATAATGATTCATTTTCAACATGAATGAGGTTCCCTATGGAATGAAATGAACTTTTTCTTATTAAGAAGTCATTAATTATGTCATAATTATGTATCATTTTATATCAACTTGTGAAATCACAAATGTGTCACCTTCTAATCTGGTTGCAAGTGGCTTTGAACTTTTCAAAGATTTATTTATTTGTTTTAAAGGTATAATTGCTGACAGAGTGGGAGAGACTGAGAACTTTTGTCCACTGGTTTACTGCTCAAATGGCTACAACTGCCAGGGCTGGGTTGGGCCAAAGCCAGTACCCAGGAACTTCTTCCAAGTCTCCCACGTGGGTGCAGGAACCGAAGTACTTGGGCCATCTTCTGCTGCTTTTCCAGATGCATTAGCAGGCAACTGGATCAGAAATAGAGTAGTTAGAACCACCATACAGGATTCCAGTACTGCAGGTAGCAGCTTCACCCACTACACTATAAGGCTGGCCCTCTGAACATAGTTTTATTGATATTATACTTCACTAAACTGAATCAGCTATTTTATTTGAATGGCAGCTATAGCATTATATCTAAGCAAGTCCTGTCATGTTTTGGTAGCAATTAGATCCAGTTTCATCAAGGAATTCTTTTGCTCTATGCATAATATGTACCTGGAAGTGAAAGGAAGTTCAAATCTGGAGCTCTTCTTCCTTCCCTTCGATATGCATTTTCGTTACTGTGTTATCATCTTGACCAACGAAAAGGTGAGAACAACTGTGACCTTTGCTTTTAGCATAGGCGCCTCCTTACTAGAGTAACAGATCCAGACAACTTGAAAGCAACAAGAGACAGAATGTAGAAAATTTCAGTTCCCAAATTATTAGACCATTAAAGAATGCATGAAGAGTTATATTAACTGTGAGTAAATTTCATAATGTTTGCAAAGGGTAATCGCTGCTTAGACCTTGCTGAAGCTTCCTCAAAAGAATAGACAGGGCTGGGTTCTCTGTATTAATAACATATAAAATGCAATAATAGTATAGGAATAGGTGTTCAATTTGCCATTTACACACAGAAGATAACAAGTTCATTAAGTACGTAAAATGCAGTTTAATTTTAAAATTAACACCTTAGTGGGGCAAATGTGTTTTAATAATAATGCTAAATATTGTTTTTAATTCCTTTAAGAGTGTTCAGCATTTAACTCATCTCCTCTATATATAAAATTTGTGAAAAAAATAATAATTGTAGTGTGATAGTAGTTTAATCAAATACTTTATCATTCCTTTCAAATTAATTTATAATGTAGCCCTAGAAAATACTAGAGTTCATTGTCAGTGATGTCAATTTTATCTTTTGAAATAGACTATCAGAATATTATTAGTTTTTTATTACCTAAATGTCATCTAAATTAATCAAAATATATAATATACTTAACTTGGAGCCTTAACTTATTAAAACATGATTTTTCATTACATATATTTTGTCCTTGTCAGAGAAAATATTAAAGAACAATAATCTTGAAATTATATTGTAACCAATTAATAAATAGTGTCACAATCTAAAGCATTGCATTGAATTATAATTTCTTATGTGGGGAAATTCATCCATTAATTTATGCATTCAATTATATTGAAAAATGCAATTACACGCTTAAATAGATCATCCAACATTGAAGCTCACCTAGTTAGAGTTCCTGTTCTTATTAAATGTGTGATGACTCCTTTGCCATTAAAAACCACCTGTTGAAAACTATAAAGCAATTAGGCCTCTATTTGATAGCTTTCTGTAGAAAAAAACAGACACATTTCTGCTAGCAATGCTATCAAGGAAAGGCCATTTGTTTCATTTTGACTGTTCCAGTTGCTCTCTCAAGTAAAAAAGAAAATTATTTATGTAACAACTATTTGAACATACAAATAGTTTTACAAAACTTCCTTCAGTGTTCATAAGACTCCTTTCCCTGGAAGGAAAACCCATAAAACCCTAAGAAGTCATAGTATCAGCTTCTAGAAATTCAAAGACAAATTTATGTTTGAGTCTGAACTGGGACAGATTAAATGGAGTAACGTGAAGCAGAATAAAGACTGCGCCCCAAAAAAACTGCTTCATCTGGGAGGAGAGGTTAATAGATTTCCCTGCCCTGCGCCCAGCACTGCAAGGCACACAGAATTCTGTTGACTCAACCATTGGTTTCTGTCCTCACCATGTTGCCGAACATGTAAACATCTTTGTCTACTCCTGAGTTCAGAAGTAACATACCACCATGCATTGGTTGACTTCACCTGAATGGGGTCGGTAGAGAAGTCAAAAATAGCATGCATGCCACCTGGGGTGAATTAAGTGTGTTTACCAGTTGTACTCATTTGTTGTGGCTAAATTAGCATCCTCTACCACTAAAATTTGAGCTTTTTCATTGAGCCAACCCAGTGTCTCCCCTTCCCCTGATAGATTTTTGCTTAAGGATTTTCTTTCCTTCTCTTTCTACAAACCTTGATGAGAAATAGTTGAGATGATAGCCCAGGCATTGTGGACTTGAAACCTTGGATGGGAGTTAGCATTGTGCAGCTTGAACAGCTGGTACATCTTACACCAGGGCTCCACATACTGCAGTGACTTTCTACCTTGCTTTGTCAAAAGAAGTTAACAAGACCAAGTCTGCCCACTCTCAAGTACAAGACCCTGCAAGCCTTTCCTTGTTAATTCATGGTCTAAAGCAATTTAGTTCACACTACTATGTGCCAATCATTTAAATACTGTCTCTCGTGATTCAGAAATTAAACTGGTGACCTCTAATATGTATATGTTGAAATAGTCTATAACAAATGTGCAATATTTTTCTGTAATAATTAATGTGCAGAATTCCATAGTGTTGATTTTTGCTAGCTTATTCAATGTGAGGATTAAAATATGAAATCATGTTACAGAAAATATTTACCTAATTTTATACTTAAACAAGGTAATTTGAGTTTTATGGAAGATATATTTATTGCCTGAAGGATTGAGTATTATTTTTAAATGGTTTCTTTTTTTTTAAGTGTATTTATTTGAAAGGGTAGTAGAAATGGAGAGACAGACAGACACAGATCTCCCATCTGCTGGTTCACTCTCCCAATGCCCACCACCACACCAAGGATTTATGTTTTACATGGGTGCAGGGTCCCAAGGCTTTGTGCTATCTTCCACTGCTTTCCAAGCCGTAAGCAGGGAGCTAGATACATAGTAGAGTGTCCAGGACAAAACCTAGCATACATGCAGGACTCTGTCGCTGGGAAGTGGAAGATCAGCCAGTTGAGCCAAAGTGCCAGCCCCAATATTTTTTCCAGTTTTTTAATGTAGGTACTTAATGCTAAAATCTTTCCTCTTAATACTATTTTTACCACATACTCTAAGTTTTGATATTGTTAAAAATTTCATTCAAAATATAAATCATGTGATTATCTCAATATCTTCCTAGAATGCAGTTGACACATTAAATATGACTGTTGCAAATCAAAATAGTTTGATATTAAAACAAAAAATAGACATATACACTAATGGAACAGAATAGAAATCTCAGGAATTAATCTATGCATCTGCAGTCAACTAGTGTTTGAAAAAAAACCAGCAAAACCATTTGTTGGAGATAAATATTGCTAAAAACATTGTCTCTTCAATAAACATTGCTAAAACTTTGAATTTGCACATGTAGAAGCTTGAAACAAGCCCTACCTTATAACCTGTCCCACTCCTGGAGCTATGTCCCCCCCAAAATAATAATATCAGCCTATGAAAGTTTCCTGGAATCCCATGTTTATAGCAGCTCAATTCACAATAAGATATATGAAATCAGTCTAGATGTCCATCAGTTGGTGATTAAATACCAGAAATGTGATGTATATATGTATGCACACACAACGGAATCACTAGGCATAAAAATCACAAAATTCTGACTTTTGCAATAAAATGGATGCAATTGGAGATTATTGTGTTGAGCAGAATAATCCAAACACATAAAAGACAAATTTTGCATATTTTATTTGTGGAAGCTAACACGTAGAGTATAAAAATTGTCTCTATGTCATAGCATCTTGTATTTGTTTATAAACACGGCTTCACTGATTCATACTCTGTAAAGGACAACATACTCTTTCCCTGTTGTGATCATTTTCATGAATCACTCACTGTGTAATATTAACATCACTATTTTCAAGATAGTTTATGTGTGCAGATGATACCTACAGTTGAAATGAATGTGGCAAAGTGATTTTAAAAAAGTGTCAAAAATGTAAAATAAAATATTTTTAAAAAAAACCTAAGTACATTTTAAAAAAGGAAAATGCCACCAGAAATCTGAAAATGAGAATTTTTACCTAGTTGGCAGTTATTTTTTCTTAGCGATCCTCAAGTATATATAACAAATTAAAGATCAGTAATTACTACATTCCAAAATTTATGATATTCTGATGGAACCTTTCTTTAAAGAAATTTTTAACATTTGTAACATTGATACTAGATTAAAACAGTTTTAGTTTGTTGTTTAGTCTTTGCTGTTCAGTCTTCCAAATAAAGTTGAATTCACCAATGAAATAAAGTCAGTTTGCTAGGTATAAAGAAAGTGGACCCCACAGAAAAGGCACGATGCTTACACTAATGGTAATCATAGTACAATGGAGAAGAAAAGCTTGCATTGGTCTGGCCTATTTCACTTAGAAGCTTTGTATGGGCAGGGGAGAGATGTATTCTGGAAAAGATTCTGAGAACATGATAGTAAGAAGCTATACTTGAAATTTAATGGACACAGGAACTACCAGTTCTACAAATCGTATTGTGGAAGTGACAGAAAATGAGCTGAAAGGATAAATAAGAATAATTTATTAAGGAAGGCAATGTATTTTAAGCTCAATTACTTGGTAGTGGTGTTCCTGTTATCATGAATGAAAACAGGAAGTCAATGGAAACATAGGAAGCATCTAATTTCATCTTTGTTTCAGAAAGCATCTTTGATGCCAAAACATTAACTTTAAAGAGACAAAATCTTATGCATAGAAATTGTCTAGAATACCTTTTGCAATATTTTACCTCACTCTATACACCTCTATTTTGTATTGCATGCTGTAATTCTGTTGAGCAATGTCAAGGAATGCCATTCAATTATTAGCTGTATCACCATCGCTGTCATCTCTATATCTCTGCCTCTGTCACTCTGCTTTTCAAATTAGAAAGCCAAGCAAAGCTTCATGTCATTTCCATTCATCTTTAACTATTTCACACTACTGTCCTTGCATGGTCCCTTATCTTTATTTATGCCTCTCTATTTAACACTTCTTTACTTCATGACTAATTGTTCTAAAAGATTTTAAGGCCTTCACATGATAATTTGGAGAGCTCACACCCTTGGGAACTCAGATTCTCTGCAAAAATAAATTAAAGGATGAAGGGTAACATTACTAGCTTACTTGTGCATTTTAGAATAATAATTAGAAACTAATAGTAAGTTAAGAAGTGAAGCAGAGATTTTACTTGCTTGATCATACTGTTCAATATAGCTTCACAAGCATATTTGTATCAGTAAAGATTGATTTCTGTCAGTTCCTTCCTGGGTCTTAAGCAATCAATCTTTGTATCTGCTTGCACACAAATTTCCCCTACATTATGGTATGGTTACACTTCAGCCTCAACTTTTTCCACATTTTTAAATTGTACGTTTTGGAGAAAAATGTGATGCATTATTTCTTTGTATCATATTTAGTGTTTTTTTAAGTTTCTAACATTTAATGTTGTTGTGTGCATGTGTTTTAGATTGGAGAAATAGTATATGCTGTGGAAGGAAAAGGTGAGATCCCTTTGCCTTCTACTTTCCTTCCAATGAAACCATCAACCCCAATTGACTACGATATTTCTCCAGAAGAAGGTATGGTACATGTTTTATTTCATTCATGATGTTAGAGGATGAACCTACTCAGTCACCAAAGCATCTTCAAAATAAGTTCGTTCAGCATGTAATTAGATTTTGGAAGGTCCTCTTTTAATTTTATTTTTGTCAGCACCCATGAAATAGAGCATCATGTTACCAATTTTAAAATGTCAATGATTATTCTTTTCTAAAATTATTACACTTCAACGAAATATTAAAATTTTTAAAAATGTTTACTCAGCAAAATTTCAATTTTTCCAGTGCTTTGGAAATTAGTGCCCTCTAGCAAACTATGAATTGTTTCATTTGAAACCCTATGCTGCCTTCTAGTTCCAGACAATTAATTCTTGAAGATTTATACATTTTAGTGTAAAGTTGTTAGTGAAAGAAAATGGCAACTCTTGTCATTTATTTGTATTCCTTCTCCTTCTTGTCACTGATGGGAGTGCAATAATTATTTGAGATTTTTAGGGTGTTGATGATTTATCTTGGGAGAGAACTATTTTGCTAGGAATGATTCTGAGAGACTACCAGAGAATTTGTCTCATGCAATTCCTTACTGTTCTCCTCACTAATTTAGAACTAATAAAATTACTCATTTATTTTCATTCTGTTTAATGATCATCACTTGCAGGTTCATCTTGCAAACCACTCAAATGAGTACCGGATGATGACATCAAAATTCCAGGCATAAAAATTTCATGTATTCATGAATGTTTTTACTTCCCCTAGTACAAAGAAAAGAAGATCCAGTTCTGTACTTAAAGTGCAAACTCCATGGTATTCTGGATATGAATCTTAAATTGCCACTGACTAACGAGGCCAAGGAAAGGGCTTTGGCTTTTGCAGCGCAACAACAGATGTCAAATATGGAGTATGAGAGAAGACTACTCACGGGCACTCTGGAGAGCAGTAGTGTTCGTGTGGCCATCGCCCTTTTGGGTCTGACCAAAGTTGAGGTGGGAATGAAGAACTGCTGATGCACTTAAAATGCTTTCTCTTTACAAGTATATAATTAACACTTGTCACTTAAACACGATAGTGTTTCTACACAAATTATGTATATTTCTTTTCTCCAGAAAGATAGTTCAGATTTCTTTTTTCCCATTCTCTCTGTTTATGACTGAAACAAGGTACAATCTGTTTTTATATAGCTTCAAAGCATCTCTTTTAATTGCAAATCTTCTCATATTTCTCCTCTGTACAGATTTCTCTTCTGGTTTTGCAGCCTGTGTCAGACAAAAGCCTGCACTGTTAGGATGAGTCAATGTAATCGGCTTGGCCAGTCGGCTTCCTCCCCACCTCTCAGCTCCTCCACTAGACCCTCTTCACTGGTGCCACGCCCTCAGCACAAGACTCTTTGTGAGTCTTTAGACAGTCCAGTCATGCTCCCCACAGCCTTTGAACTACTACTTTCCCTAGACATGAAGGTTGCCAAGGGCAATTAGTTCATATCTCTGTCAAAATGCTTTCAGTAGACTTCTGATTTAGCTACTTACACGTTTTTATATAATTTTTCCTTGTTTTAGACTTGCCTTATATATACATTTTATAAAAAGAAAATATTTGGCATTGTGTAAATAACGTGTTGCTTTTATTTATCAGAATACTAGACCCAGTGCAGCCTAATCACAGATTTCTAAGAACTCCTTGATGGTATTTTAAAGATGATCTGGATTCTAGGCTGTGATTGGCCCGAAGCTTTGAAGCCCTTTTACTTACCTATTCATATTGTGCTTCTAAGCAACTGATAATTCTCTCCAGCTTAATTTGTAATGCATACGTCTATAAAATAAAATCAGAAATGTTCATATTCAGCCTTCAGTACAATTACTGCTATAATAAGTTTAATGAGTGGCCATTTCAAACATTAAGCTATCAAAATTATCTATAGTTCTCTCTCCCTATCTCCCTAGTTTTCCTTATAAATTAATTTTTCCTCAATCAAAATTCTTGCAAAGCAATCTTTTTAAATTAAAAAAAAAAGTTGAAGGAGGTGAATTTTGTCCACAGCCATGCATACCATTATGTGTATACATGCAGTGTGTTTTTCTTCATTTACTTTAGCTTTCCGTCTTGATTTAGCATATTTGTTGGATTTACTGTTGCACTGAATATACTGTGTTTTGTATTATTTTGCTTTTCCCTTTGCCTCTTTATGCCATCAGAGTACGAATTCCTAGGAATTTAAAGCTCTTATGTAGTGTTGTCTATTCCTTAGCATCCAATGCATAGTTTGTGCCTGATAACCATCTAACTGAATTTTAAATATGCCTAACAAAATAAATGTGATTTGTAACTTATTTCAGTTATACTTGGAGAACTGAATTTATTTTCATGGTCTCATCTGAGGTAGGGCAGTATCTAGGGAAGTGTATGAAAACAGCAAGTAGTAACCCACGTTATTATACGATTAGTAGTTGAAGGAGCTAAAAATATTAAAAATTAGATAAGAAGGATTTTTTGTGCATTTTAGTTTTGTGTATGTATTCACAAAACTTTCATTAGTGGAAGAAGAGAGCTCAGATTCTGCTGCCTATGAGAACTATGAGATGTGAAGGAGTTCAGATTTCAACTCAAGGAGGAAAGCACTTTCTCAATGCTGTTCACCAGAGGAGTCATTTCCTCCCAAGACTATCAATTCCTCCTAGTGAAAGCTTTAGATCAGGGAACACTGAGCATTCCATACTACATCGGTCCTCTGGAATGTATTACTTCTGTCTTTCACCAAGTATGTGATAATGTCTCTAAAGAAATAAACAAATTCAATCCCTTGGTACATATTTTCCCAAACTGTATTCTAAGTGAATGATATTCTTTGTGTTTTGGATATAAAGATTAAGAAATTTACATTTCATTTTTACTGTTCATTTCCAGTCTTTTGTGCTGTTTAATATTTCAAAGTTGAAGAAGCCCAAATCTGTTTTATATTTGACTGAATTGAGCCTTCCAGAACATTTTACTATTCCCAAGAAAGTCTATATACCTCAGATTCTAGAGCCTCCAACTAAATTGACTCAGTCTGAAAGAATCCAACCTACAACAAAACCAGGTAATCAAAAATGTCTGCACTAAAGTGTCTACCTCTGTCCAGGTATTTAATGGCAAGAGGGTGTCTCTGGAAAACAGCATGCCATTTGTGATGTACTGTTACAATCTTAAAGGAATTATTTGTGATGATAAATTTTTAATATCTTTTGAGATAATAAGATAGCAACATGTATTTTAAAGCATTGCTAGTATTGTCAATAAATAGATTATTGATCTATTCATTCATTTAGTAGAACCAATCTTTCCTCTGGAAGACTCACAGATAAAACAATAATTAATATGCCAATTATATAGGATAATTCAAATTTCAAAAGCGTTTCATTTTGAGTAAACATATGACTAAGGCTACATAGAAAAGAATACAATTTAAAATTTATTTAATTATTTATTTGAAAGAGTTAGAGAAGGGGACAGACAGACTGAGATTTGCCATCCACTGGTTCATTCTCCAGATGACTGTGATGGCCGAGGCAGGCCAGGCCAAAACCAGGAGCCAGGAGCTTCAGCTGGGTCTCCCATGTAGATTCCGGGGCCCAAGCGCTTGGGGCATCCTCTGCTGCTTTTCTAAGGCTGTTAGAGAGCTGGCTTGGAAGTGGAGCAGCCAGATCTCTAACCAGTATCCATATGGGGTGCTGGCATTGCAGGTGGTCAGGTTAGCTGCCAGACTAAAACATTGGCCACTATGCATGTCTGAATGTGTATGTATACACACATTATATATATAATGTACAACACACACACAAACATATATATATATATATATTTTTTTTCTTATCTGTTAGTTCACTCACCCAAATGACCATGGTGACCAAGACTAAATAGAAGCTGAAGCCAGGAGCTAGGAATCAAATTCGATCCTACTAGCTCTCACTGTGACACTCTTAATGAGATGCTACATGTTAAGAATTTAAATGCTAAATGCTATAACTGATAAATGTAGCTTTAATGTAAGGAATATTCAGTTTGATAAATGAGTCACTTTGCTTCTTATTGTTTTATATCTATGGACATAGAGGCCATTGTTTTTTTCCCAGTGATTTTTTTTTTATAAAACTGTTATTGTTTCTGTTAGATCTTCTCTAGCAACACATGTCTACAATAATATATTTAGGGAGCCATTTAATCAGAGATCTTTATAAGCCTTTTACACTAGTTTAAACCCTGAGAACATCCTATTTATTGGCTTGCTAGCAGCTCATCCAAACTAATTTCCATACTTAGTAAATCAAATTGCAAGAACTTAAAAATGAACACAAGGCAATTAGAGAAAGCTTATGGTGTTCAAAACTGAACATGTAGGGCCTGGCGTGGTGGCCTAGCGGCCAAAGTCCTCGCCTTGAATGCGCCCAGAATCCCATATGGGCGCCGGTTCTAATCATGGCGGCCCCGCTTCCCATCTAGCTCCCTGCTTGTGGCCTGGGAAAGCAGTTGAGGACAGCCCAAAACCTTGGGACCCTGCACCCACGTGGGTAACCCAGAAGAGCTCCTGGCTCCTGGATTCACATAAGCGCAGTACTGGCCATTGTGGTCACTTGGGGAGTGAATGATCAGGCGGAAGATCTTTCTCTCCATCTCTATTTCTCTCTGTATATCTGACTTTGCAATAAAAAAAAAATAAATCTTTAAAGAAAAAATGAACATGTAAAACATAATGTTAATTTGCTATCAGCCATCCCTTGTTTCCTTCCACATGGAGGGGTTAATTAAGAAAATGAAATCTTTTTTCAGTTCATTTTTCTGGGAAATTTTTTTCTTCCTAGAAAATTACATATTAAAAAGATAACTTTTTAGTTAAAGTACTAGCAAACTAGAGCTCTTTGATAGATCCTCTCCTAATTTTCCTTAAAATAATCCATGAAGACATAGAGACATTCAAAACTTCAACAGCAGTGGGAAGGAAAGATAACAACCAGCCATTTATATGAACCTTATGAGGAATTACTGCTAATTACTGAGCTGATGTGGCCAGATTGTAAACCACATTTAATAACCTCCACAGCCATAAGATCATTTAAGACATAATTTAGATATAAAGAGGAAAGTCTTGTGCCATGATCTGCTTTTTCCTCAGAAATATATTTTCTACATGTTTCAGAAAACCAGGAAAAATATTTTATTGCATATTTCCTCCCACATAGTAGGTGTTCAAAAATGTTTTTTGAATGAATGAATGAATAAATTCATGAGAAATGCATTCCAAGGTAACCAGAGTCTTGCTTTGCTTATTGCTCTTACAGACTATTAACTCTTCCCTGTTTGCAACTTTCCAGGGAGAAGGGAGGCGTTGGGATTCAAGTAATGGCAGAAGGCAATGTGGAGGAACATCATTCTGATAAAGCTTGTATAGAATTTCACCTGTAGATCTGGTAGTATTGATATTGGTGGCAGAAATCCAAAGAGTATGATTTTGATGGTTTAGGAAAAACATTTCCTAAAATGTTTATTTTCCCATAGATTATTGGAAAACCATCAGTAGGTGCAAAAAAAAATTGCCTACCTGATGTAACATGTGACTGCTTGTTTGATACAGGAGTTGATTCAAGGGCTATGCAGTGAACTACCTCCAAACTGAATCTAAGAGACCACTGCAATGTGAAAGGGGACTGAGATCCTGTCTAAGTGATTGCCTACAAAAGATAAATCTCTCCTCTTTCTAGAAACAAACAAGAAAAACAAAAAATTTCTTACAATGTCAAAAGACAACATTGTGACAGAAAAATTCACATGTAAGATGGACTACAGTAAAGAAACAAAATAGAAAGACAAAAAATTTGGAAAGTAATGAGAGAAAAAAACAGGTTATTTTCAAAGAATAAAACTTACACTGGAGGCAGAACTGCCAACAGTAGTAACAGGCCAAAACACAATAGAATTTTAGTGCTCATGCAAATAAAGTGTCAGGCCAGAAATTTTTATTATAGTAAACCATCACTCAAAACTAAGGATGAAATAAAAGCATTTTTCTCTCAATACTGTAATTGAGACAATACTTACATATATCTGCTGAAAGAATATATGGAAGGCATACTTAAAGTGACAGAAATTTAATTCAGAGAAATAGTTGAGATCTAAGATCAGTAAATGTGGGTAAATCTCATGAGTTTTACCTACAGAAGAAAATGTATAATTTCCAAGCAGGTAGAACCATAAAATAAAGAAATCCTGATGAATCAGAATGCAAGTACAGAGAAAAGCTAAAGAAATAATAGAGGAAACAGGAGGAAAATGGGGTGTTAATGATAAATGCAAGCATATAACAATAAATATAAACAGATTATAATCAGCTGGTATTATTATAATGTAAAATATAGCTTTATACTTTTTATAAAATTACCTGAAAAGATATCCAAAAATATCTTAGAGGCATTTACTAAACAAAAATACCTGGGATAAATATATTAATATTAGAATATATACACTCATACCTCATACATATATATATATATGTACATATATGAAAAACCCAACTTATTTTCCTCTAACCACATATTGTCAAAAATCTGAAGAGAAAATGAACAAACACAAAAGGAGAAATAAACATGTGCTCAATTATGATGAAAGGATCTTTTTATAGCTCTCTGTAATTGATAGATTAAACCAACAGGAAACTGGTAGGACTCTAACGGACTTGAACAACAAAATTAGTAATATGAAGTTTCCAAGCCTAGCCTGGTTATGCTGAAAACAATTGCTAATCTATGTCATTTACTTTAGATGGCATTTTGAAGTCTTTTTCTCCTGTGCTTCTGACCTAATCCATATGAGGGACTGAGTGACATTGTGGCCTGAGAGAGCCTTCAAGAAGAAATTCAATATTTTCCATATACCTGTGCCCTGCAGGAATATCTGAGGGGACTATGGCAGGAAAACAGTCTGCTACATTGTACAATTGGAAAGAGATTTAAGATCCTGGTGTGATGGCTCAGTGGCTAAATCCTTGTCTTGCACATGATGGGATTTCTATATGGACACCAGTTTGTGTCCTGGCTGCTTTACTTCCCTTCCAGCTTCCTGCTTGTGACCTGGGAAAGCAGCAGAGGATGGCCCAATGCCCTGGACCCTGCACCCACATGAAAGACCCAAAGGAAGCCCTTGGCTCCTGGCTTCAGATCAGCTCAGCTTTGGCCACTGTGGCCATTTGGGGAGTGAACTAGCAGACGGAAGGTCCGTCTCTCTGTCTCTCCTTTTCTCTGTAGATTTGCCTTTTCAATAAAAATAAATGAAATCTTTTTTAAAAAAAGAAAGGACTTTGAGAGCACGTGACTCTAAAAGAGAGTAACGGCATCACAGAAAGATTCCCAAATTTCTAAAGGTCAAAATGGTTTGCATCTATGGGAGCGCAAACACCTGTGGATAAATATCTTAACCTGGAGATGCCATATACTTATGCTATCCTTACTTACAGATACCTTTAGCAAGAATTTCTGTTACAACTGATTTTAAAAAAAAATGTGATAGAAAAGGCATGACAATGCATAATCTTTAGGGACACTGTCCACGAACATGCCATAAAGTAGTGTCCCTTGATTTAACTTTCAGACTCAGAAATCATTAGAAAATTAACATTTTTAGATAGAAAAAAATTATACATAACTTAAGGTTTTTGACAGAAGCTTTGCACTTGTGCATTTCAAAATTCATTTGTGCACTTAAATTACTGCTTATTTTTAAATGGCTAGATTCCTTATCTTGATAAAAATAATAATCTTGAGAGCACAATAGGGGAACCTTTTGTCTGTATGTTCTTGCTCAACAAGAAGGGTTCAGGGAATGCTTAGCATTGCAAGACCCTTGCTCAAATCTTTGGTGTCTCTCCTTCTCTCCTTTCTCTCCCCGCCTCCTGGCTATCTCCTGGGAGCTGCTCTCCCCTTCCTCCTTCTTTCCACTTGGACCTGGTCACTTTGCAAATGAAACTCCTCTGTCTTCAAATATGGTTATCTTATAACAAATATGGCTATCTTCTAATTGTATCTATGAAAACATAAAGTATTTTATCTTTCTATTGACAAAATTTTTTAAATATTTAAAACATGAATTATATTAGCTATTAAGGTAAATGGTAGAGCAAATATTATGAAAAAGATAAATTAGATATGCTTCTTTTTGTGTCCCTTGCACATTAACTATGAAAAAACTTTCTAGCAGCCAGGTTGGTAATTACTTGGATAACTATGTATGACTGAATACTCCTAAATTATAGAAGTTTGGCAAGTTGGGCCCGGCGCAGTGGCGCAAGTGGTTAAAGGTCCTCGCCTTGCACGCCCGGGATCCCATATGGGCGCCGGTTCTAATCCCGGCAGCCCCGCTTCCCTTCCAGCTCCCTGCCTGTGGCCTGGGAAGGCAGTCAAGGACGGCCCAAAGCTTTGGGACCCTGCACCCGCGTGGGAGACCCAGAAGAGGCTCCTGGCTTCGGATCAGCATAGTATCGACCCGTTGCGCTCACTTGGGGAGTGAATCATCGGATGGAAGATCTTCCTCTCTGTCTCTCCTCTCTGTATATCCACCTTTCCAATAAAAAAAATAATAAAAATAAATCTTTAAAAAAAAAAAGAAATTTGGCAAGTAATAATAATGTTTAACAAATAATTTCATATATGCACGTTATTTCTCAGTCCCATGTTAGATAGAGCCATGTGATTATGTATGGCCAGTTAAAGTAGTAAACATTAATTTTAGGCAGAGCACTCAAGGTCCCTTGAGCAATTTTCCAGATATTCATGTTTCCCCCTGGAGTGTTCAACCCAGGAGGAGAATTGTTTCTAATGATATCGATGCAAGTCAGTGATATTGAAGCAGAGTGAAAAACCTTGTCACTTCTGCCTTTTTAATTGTATTTGTATCCTTTGCCACCTAACCTTTGAGTCTGATCGTTAATACTTCATGCTTGTAAACAGTTAGTCATTAGATGGATTCTGCTTGCTTCCGGTTTCCTCAAATAGGCCCTTACTTAGAAAAATGAGGAGACATGCACAGAAATAATGATTGTTTCCTTGAGGATTTGAAAGAGCAGTCGGACCAGAGACTCCTCTCTTCAAAGTTAACTGATCAGTGAGAATTTCAAGGGGCTTCTTGAACTCCTGCTGACACTCAGCTGTCTTAACCTTACCCGTCTCCCCTTTTTCTGCTGCTTGTATTTTAACAGGGCCTTTCACAAGGCACAAGGTGGATAGTAGTAGTCACTCTTTATGATGCATCATTACTTTCAAAACACTCACTTTCCTCGCTTTAACACTTTGTCCTTGAGAGTGGCAAGCATGGGGCCCTGAGTAACCTTATGAAGTAGACTTTCCTCTGATCTATGAAGAATATATGCTGTATTTGGTAAATAGAGTGACATGAAAAGCTCCAGAGATTCGGGGATGGTATATTTCTTCAACACAAGAGTCTCTTCCACCTTATTGGACACAATTTAATACAGTAATATTAGATATTACTTACCAAAATGAACTTTCACTTTTATACCATTGTAAATGATTGTGTTGTAATTATTTTTATAGTTTCAGATGGATCTGTTCCACTTCATTTAAAATTTGTTCCTATCTGTCCTGGTCGATATCCGTGTAAAATTTTGTTGATATCAAGATATGATGTGCGTGTCTATTGTATTGAAGGCATAGTGAATGATGAAAATCCAGAGGCCACATTTCAGTTTGTAACACCAGCGTTCCAACCGCTTACCCAGAATATTCCAATAGTAAGTATGACTTTTTTCTAGTGTTCTTCATTCTCATATAGGAAAATTTTAATCTACTTTTTTTCTTTCTGAAACCTTGATACTTTTAGTCTATGAACCAAACTGACAATGAATAGGGGAAAAACCCACACCAAATGTCTTAACATGCAGAAACATGGATGCCATAGGAAACGTACAAAATTTGAGAAAGAGGCAAAATAATTCAAGTTTATACAGAAACTAAACAATAGGAAGGGGATTGAGCTTCTGGGAGGGAGAGAGTAGCGTGGAACACAGATACCCAATAAAGCTTAAGCATTTTGCACTTTACCAGCCACCTCCTGCCTGGTAATGTACAACAGAACCCATGCAAACAGGTACATTCTTGTACAGAACGCAAAACAAGATCTCATCCCAGAATGATATTTTTCATTGCAATAAGCACTCTCACTCTCCTTTTGGGACCTTCCAAACACCCAAGGTCATGGCAAAGGTCAGGTTATAGAAATGTGCCAGAAATGTTTCAGAAGACCTAGTCTGACTGTTGCCACTTTGGTTGTCTGGGCTGTCAAATTCCTCACTGATTTTTATTCACAGAATCAAATCTTCGAGTTGTCCATGTCCAAAGTCCCATGCCTGGTGTAAATGAATATCATTTTTTAAAAGATTTATTTATTCCTATTGGAAAATCAGATTTACAGAGAGAAGGAGAAACAAAGAGAAGGATCCTCCATCTACTGCTTCACTCCCCACATGGCCGCAACACTGGAGATGAGCTGATCTGAATCCAGGAGCCAGGAGCCTCTTCCGGGTCTCCATGAAGGTGCAGGGTTCCAAGGCTTTGAGCCATCCGCAACTATTTTTCCAGGCCACAAACAGGAATCTGGAAAGGAATTGGAGCAGCTGGGACACGAACCAGCCCCCATAGGGGATCCCCACACATTCAAAGCAAAGACTTTAATCACTAGGCCATCTCACTGGGCCCAATGATTATCATTTATACAGCAAAAATTCATTTTTAGACAGATAAAAAAAGGCAATTAATTTGGCAGGGTCCTACAGTAAGGCCCAGCAGGAACAGGGCAACTGGCTCAGCCAGAGCAGTAAGTAGTTAACCATGGCAACTAGGAGAAAATGGTTGGATACTAGTTGCCTTATTGTTTTCTGAGTTCTTCTCTTAAGTGTCCTTCTTATGAGAGAATCTTTCCCTGCTTATCCTGGAATGATTAGTGTAGAAACAACAGGTCTCCCCAAAGGTGAGTTTGAGGCTCCTTTGTATGAGAAAAAGAAGATCCAATCCTCGCCTGTTTTGAAGGACCATCTCAGCTAAGAAATCTAGAATGTTCTCCAGGCAACTGAGAGTATCTTGGGCTTCCTGCATGTCAAAATCCACTTGCTGACTAAGGGCTTTAAAATTCTGGTCTCCAATTATGAGTGGCAGAACCTGCTGTTCCAAGAGAGACAAGCAGTGGAACCAGCACTGGAACTGCCCATCTGACCCTCCATGATAGACTGCTAGAAATGCTCAGAGAAGCCCAACCTGCATCCCTATCACAGGTTAATACTTGAGGGAGGATGTGCACTAGTATGCACAATTCTCTTGGTGCTCCTAGATCTGACATAAATAGAAAAGAATTCAGGCAAGGGGTGATGAGAAATACAGGCAAACCAGTTTCCAGGAGGGGCACTAACACATGGAAGGACTGGTTAGCAAAACAGTTAATATGACAAGAACTAGCACAGGAGTCCATAGAAGGACTATTTCTTATTTTGAAACCCTTAACAAGACACAGGTTCCCTGACCTTGTAAATCGCATAAAGTCAAATAGACTCTAGTATCCCTAACTTAAAAACTGTGCCTCCTGGGCCCAGCATGGTGGCCTAGCAGCTAATTTTCCCTCCTTGCACACACCGGGATCCTGTATGGGCACTGGTTCTAATCCTGGCAGCCCCACTTCCCTTCCAGCTCCCTGCTTGTGGCCTGGGAAAGCAGTTGATGCCTTGGGACCCTGCACTCATGTGGGAGACCCAGAAGAGGCTCCCGACCCTGGCTCCTGGCTCCTGGCTTCTGATACACTCAGCTCCAGCTGTTGTGACTGCTTGGGGAGTGAATCAACAGATGGAAGATCTTCCTCTCTGTCTCTCTCTGTATATCTGAGTTTCCAATAAAAATAAAATAAATCTTTAAAATAAAAAGTGCCTTCTGGTTCCACAAAACTGAATTATCCCGATGTCCCAGTGCCATTATGTTAGGTTTTAGGATTTTAGGGTTCAAAGAAAGAGAGGAGGCAACTGCTTAAAGTAGAGAAGCTTTAGTTAAGGGGGCAGAATGGAAGAAGGGTAAAGAAAGATCCAAGCAGAGCCTGCGCAGACACAGGGCAGGGCATTTGAAACTAGGCTTCCTTCCATTTAAGGAGCTTTGCCAGGGGAGGTGCAGAGCACTGCAGGGACCCCGATGAGGCGGGCGGGGCTCTCGGGTGAAGTTCACAGCACACTGTGAATGTCCCTAGGGACAGGGTTTTCCTGGGCAATACACATTCCCCTGGCCTTCAGCTTAGCCCCACCAGTCTCATCAGGCCCGGGGAATTCAAGCGCAGTGTTCCAACACCTTTCACTCTGTTCCAAATTGTGTTGTGACATTAACATTTGATTAAGATGGGTTCATAGACACTCAGATTAAAGAAAAATTGTAGTTTGACTGTTAGTCAAAGTAACAAAACAGCTTGCTTACAAAAAGGCAGTGTAACAATAAGGAACTATAAAATGACGAATTGTCTTTATTCATATGATTACTAAAAACTAAGCTTTCTTAAGCATAAAAATATTCTGATATGTAATCTGTTGTTTGAGGAATCCACAAGTAGAACACTTTATTTTCCTTAATTAAAAATAAATCTTGTTCTCTACGATCATTTTGTCATTTTAACAGCAAGTAGAAAGTCAGACAATGGGATGTTGCTCTGCCGTTCTTGAATAGAACTATTAAGCAGTGCTGTTCTACACTTTAAAAAAGAACATGTAGTCACCGTTTATCTTATTTCATGTTTTTCATTGTCTTCCTTGACAAATATTACTTGCAAATGATGATTCTTAAGATATTTAAGAACACATTATATACTTCTATGATTAAAAGGACCAGGAACTGATTTTTTTTTTCTTTTTTCTTTCTTTTTTTTTTTTTTTTTTTGCCAATCAACACCCAAGGCTGCTTGGAGGTATTGTTACAGAACCAGCAAACTGGTCTACTCCCCTAACATGCAGAAAGCCAATCGCTGACATGAGGGTGGTGGAAGAAAGCAGGCGTTTATTATAAAGGGCAGAGCAGAAGGGACAATTATTAATTCCCAAGCTCTCTGAGGAGTTAGCAGTGAAGGTTCTTATAGTTTGAAATTGGCCCAGAGAGGTACGTGATCACCTTACGAACAAGTTCCTGGTTGGTCATTGGATCACATGACCTTCCTTTGATTGGTCAGTGATGCAGTGCTTTTTAGGAAATTTATGATGGCCAGGTGAGTTCCAGTTGATCTGTTGATAAGTCAGTGTAGCAGTCACATCCTGCACATATCTGTAATCCCCTACCCAAATCACTCTAGGACAATGCTGACCATTGATGTTTGTACCTATTGCAGAAGCAAAGGACCGCCTGAGTCCAGTGATTAGAAACTTGTAAGGTTAGCTCGGTCACTCCCGTAAGTCAGTTGAATTTTGATATTTTGCACCTTTTTTCATGCTTTAGGCTAATAAAACACGCAAAGAGTTAAAATGTCAAGTTATTATAGAAGGCGATTGGTTTGATGGACCTTCTGTTTTACACATGGAACCAGGAGAAACTGTACAATATCCCCTGACATTTAACCCCATTTTAGAATGTGAGATTCAGGTATGAACTCCTTGTTTTTTCTTTCTCATACATTAGTATTTAAATTTATCATTATGTGATATGCTTATTTACATTTTCTTCAGAAAAACTGTTTTCTATGAAATTTATATTTTTAGAAATTGAATATTTTATTTTGAAATATTCTGAAAGTAACAATGCCAGACTTTTTATGCAATATGTAGAACAAAGTAAAATTTTTGCTTCTTTTGTTTCTATTCATTAAGAAAATTCATACCCCGGAAAATACTTTTCCTAAGTTCATATTTTTTACATGAAAGTAAGCATAAATACAGTTGCTTTTTATTTGACAATTCCTATGTGAGCTTTATACCTGTTGTGGTCTAGGTTTGGGTCAAAGATTTATTTTCTATGGTTTTATTCTTACTTAAAAAACATTTTAAGCACAGCCACTGACATGGCTGAACCAAGTGGTAAAGTTTATTTAGAGGGTGAGGAATATAGACTCACATGGGCATTGTCCAGGGAGAGTGGGCCAAAAAGCAAAAGGATAAGGGAGAAAGACTGCTACCTTCTGCCCTTGGAGTAAGTCTGCAGGAAGCAAGAGAACTAGCAGGTACACAAAAAGCCAAGAGTTGGAGTGCCGTGATGAAGCACGCATGGAGGCACGCAACTAAGATAGCAAGCTCCTCCCCAACATGGGCTTTTATGGGAGCTTGAGAGAGGGAGTGGCTATGCAACCATGCCACACCACCCCACCCCAGGTACCAGGTGATGATAAATGAATGTCATTTGGCTCACAGCTGGGCAGAAAGGAATACATAGGCAGGGGAAAGTGTGGCTTCAAGTTCCTGACTCCGAACTAGCTAGCTGCCTGCCTAGACCGTAACATAGCTAGAGAAAGTTATGTCTTTTAGAAAGTAAAGAGAAATAAAGAGCTTTTCTTTAGAAGTTTTCCTGTTAAGTATTTACATATACAGACTGGAAAAGTCAATGACTAATGCCTGTTTACAAATTCATTTCATTAACCAAAGTCAAGATTAATAGCATAATAGAGGTTATTTGATATCAAACTATGACTCCTATAGAGCTCAAATTAAGCTCTTTTTTTTTATAGGGTAAACTTATCCTACAAAGCGAAATAGATGGTATGGAACGTTTCTTTGCCGTGACAGGAATTGGGAAAAAACCACTGGCCCTGGAGCATTTTATTGTGAAATGTCAGGTGGGGGATGTGGTAAATAAATCCATAATAGTACCTAATAAAACAAGGACTATTCTGACATTTAAGGTAAGATTTACATCATATGTATTTTATTTGAGGAAATACACATAATAAAAGATGTATTTCTTAATTTAAAAACAGCCTTAAGATTTTTAATACAAAATATGTAGTACAAATTTACGAGCAAGTATTCTAATATTTAACAGTATTGTAGAAATGTAAAGAAATGTAGAATTATTCTCATCCTTAGTTTTTTGAAGTTCTGAAATCTGCCTTCCTCACATGATTTATTTAAAACAATTTGCTCCTTTCTTTATCTCAAATTATATGTGCCCAATAGGTCCCTGAAAAAAAGTTTTTAACATCTATCCATCATAGGTACCTGAATTCAGTTTTAGAATGAAAACAGGAGTTTTAGAAAGCTCTGGGTTTGCCCTAGTATTTTTTTTTTCAATTTTGAAAAATATGTGCTTTATGGTTTTATTCCTCTTTCCTTACTAGATTGCAATTGCAGTGTACTTTAAAACAGAAAAATTTAATCTTGGCACTTCTTTCAATGGCAACTCAGCTGTAGAATCCAGTCCACTCTCTTTGAATTGGCTCCCACTGTCCTTCAAAAGTTTATCCATGCTTATCTGTTCAGCCTCATCTCTTGCCAAGTCTGGCTCCAGCAATACTCAGGCCTTTGTAGATTGTTCCTACAGGGTGGATGGGGGTGGGGAAACAGGTGGGATGCAGAGGAACACTTGGGTTCTTGTCTTACATGAAAGAAGAATTTCCAATTCAGTGAGCAAAGCGGGATTTATTAAGTCAGAAGTCTCCCACTGCAGCAGTCAGGAGGAGAGCTCTAAGAGAGGAAAGACCAGAATGTTTTTGATGGTTTTTTAAACACAACTTCCAGGAGAGAAAAAGATGGAACAGCATCTAACAATCAATTCAAGGGTTGAAAAAAAACAAAAATAAAAAACAAACAGCAAAACAAAACCTCAAAGGGCTTGAATCTGTTAATCTTGTCTAGCTTGCTCAAAACAAAGCCAAAGGTGTGAGTAGTAACTTCTTTCTATTCTCATGATAAAATGAAAACTCAGACACTGAAAGCTCAAAAAGCAAGGAGATTGCTTTCTCTTCATAAAGCTGGAAGCCCAAAAGAATGGGAATTGGCACATGAATCTGGCAGCTTTGGGGGAGGAACAAGCACTTTGTACCTTCTTAAAGAGACTATACCACTTCTTTTCTATACTGGTGAAACTGGAAAGTTGGGAGTGGGATTGATATTCCAAAAACTACCTATCTGTGGTTTTTCTCTTGGGGTTGCACTTTGATCTTGCTAAATGTAGCTTTGGGAATGAACAAGCATCCTGCACACTTTCAAAGAAACTTCCCCTTTTTCTCATTTCACCAGGGACATGCCCCTGTCTATTAGCCTTGTGATGGCTACATTATGCTTCCTTTTTGTTGTTGTTGCCTGCAAATCTTTATCCACATCCCCTATCTTCCATCTCTCTCTCTCTCTATTTTATTTTGTTTTATTTTTAAGAAAATGTCTTAGAAGCCATTTTTCCAAAGAATACTTCCTACCAACTTGCATTAGAGAACTTTTGTTTGTTACTGTAGATCTTTTTTAACATCCCCACAATTGTATCTAATTTTTTATAATGTGATTATCAGATTATAAATTATGAATTCATACAAGTGACTAATTGTCAGCATGTATATGGAATAAGCACATGGCACAAGATGACCAGTCTTCCAGCAGTCTGGGTCTAATACAGCTTAGGGGGCTTAGAGGTCAAGAGGGGAGGGCAACTGGCAGAGCTGAGTTGTTTTCAAGCTCAGAGGGCCTTCAGTTGGAAAGGAATCCAGGGAATGAAGTGGAGAACAATACAGGATGTGGGTTTGAGATGGTTTGGGGGATGTAGGGGCAAGAGTCTCCTGGGGATTGGGTCTGTTTTCACTGTTTAAGGCTGGGGAGCTAAAATACCTGAGCTAATATCGTTATTGTGTTAATGGCTATACAAAACCAACTTGGCAGTTTCCTGACTTAAAAAAAAAATGATCTAGGTATGAATGCCAAGTTCATACTTTTTCTCAAGATGTGTATGTAACTCCAGCCCATCATTTTCATTTTACTATATTCCCATCACTGTGAAAATTTGCTACTGACTTAAACTCAATACATCATTTTCAAGTTATTTCCCTTGTTCTGTTTTCCATATGATGCTTGTGATGAAAAAATAAAGGGGAAAAGTTCACAGAAAATGTGATGAAAAGATAAATTTATTTTGGTGTAAAAATTCAAATTTATATCATTTTTCAATGTGTTTTTGAAGACCTCTGGTATGTTCAAAAGTATTTTAATATGAAAATTTTATTGTTACCAAAACCATTTGAAATTGAAGGTTGAGACTTCCTTAATATATAAAATAAATTTTAAAAATCAGAGAATGTAACTGATATACAAGTAAAATGCTATGAAATTTTGCCACAATGACAAAGTAGAAGAAACTATACATATGCGTTCACATAATGATGGTGATATGTTCTAAGAAATGCATCATTACATAGCTTCATTAATTATGCAAACATCATGAATGAACCTATAGAGCATGGACCAATCAGTCACTCCACATAGCCTCTAGACAGTGGTAAATACAAAATGTGTGAGGTTACTGCTGGTGTAACATGACATACTGTTTATAGCAGTTTTTTTTTTTCTCTTAAGCATCTGAATATAGCTTAAAAAATAAAAACTATATGCTATGTAGTATATATGAACTACTAACATAGCTATTTATGAATACCAGTTTTGTATTATAAATAATCCATGTATGTACTGCACTTTTATGACTGGTATATTTTGATAGGTTTGTTCATACCAGCATCACCACAAACATTTGAGTAATGCAACCTTCTTTGATGCATCATTATGTAGCATCATTATCAGTGTCATTAGGCAATACATTTTTCATCTCTATTGGAATCTCATGAGACTGCCATTGTATATGGTTGACATAGTTACACAGTGCATGATTGCAGTTATGCAATTAGGAATATAAGAAATATGGTACTTAAGCAATGAAAACACTGAAAAAACTGTCAAAATCAAGCTTTTTAGAGATTTGTACACTCAAAAAAAGATTCAAAACAATCTGACAAATATATATCAAACAGAAATTGTGAGTTCTGATGATATCAGGATGATTTATGGAATTTTCACTTGGCTTGTCCCTATGTAACTCCCCCCAGCAGTGCCTTCCTGTAACTGTGATATATGTTTAAACCAACAGCCTTGCAACTGAGAGAATGGACAGACAATACGGATAACAATTTGACCTGTCCTAGAGTTCTGTAGCAACACCTCACTACCGAGGTGTTGTTATTCTTTGGTTTGTCTTAGAGTGTTTTTTCAAAAAGATTCAGCAGCAATACTTTTTTATAGAAGCTGTCTGAGGCTAAAATAACAATAGTAACAAATAAGAAAAACTTACAAGGAAGATATGGGATGTCCTTACGGGATTTTAAAAGCTCTGAACTACCCCCTAGCAATCAAGTAAAGTACGTATTCGTTTAGGGTTGTGTGTGTGCCCAAGGAAGATTTGAGAGGTTTTAGTTTTTCATATCTGCTGACATAGAAACACCACGTGCACTGGCAAGGATATAGATAAAATGGAACTCTTGGACACTGGTGTTGGGAGTGTAAATTCAATGAAATTGGTCATTTTGTACATCAAATTGCATAAGGAAAATCACACATAATCTGTATAGGATATTTAGTTTCTAAGTATCAATGATTTCTTTTTTGAAAAGCATATTTATTTGAAAGGCAAAGTTATACAGAACAGGAAGGACTGTAAGATAGATCTTCCATCTACTGCTTTATTCCTCAAACAGTTGCAAAAGCCAAGACTGGGCCAGGACAAACTCAGGAGCCATGATCTCCATCTAGGTTCCTATGTGGGAGTAGAGACACAAGCACTGGGACCATCTTGTGTTGTTAGTAGGGAGCTGGTTTGGAAGTGGAGCAGCCGAGGCAAACTCGTTGGTCTCTAACATTGACCCGAGTATGAATTATCTTGATAGAAGTAGCAACAGAAAACAAAAATGGTTCCTTTTTAAGTTTCTTTTTCTTTGTTCTGTGTTTTTCGTAGGAATTTTCTCATATTTTTTTCTTCTTCTGTACGTATTATTTCTCCGACTTGCTTTTTACCAAAAGCAAATACTTTTAATTGAGCAATTTGAATTAAATTTGCGTTTTTTCTATGCTTTCACAAGTAACACTACATTAGTACACAGAAAAAGCTTTCATGTTGCCATTTTTCTCAATTATTTCTTGTAGGTAACATCAGATCTTCCAATAGTGTGGGGAAAACAACAAATCACCATTGACCCAGATAATGTAATTCCATACGTTCTACACATGTGCCCTTGGAAACGTGGTGTATTCAAAGGTACCACATCTATTAAAATATTATTACTAACTGCCCTACACTAAGATGGAAATATTACAAAAAGAATATATATATATATATATGTGTGTGTGTATATAAAGTTTATCTTTTCTCTTGCACATTAGTGATCATCAGTGAAATTTAATTTTCTGGAGTCTTCTAAATATTCAAGTAAAATGAATACTGTGGAAAACTATACATGAATTTCAAACCTTTTTGCAACAAAACAAACATGAATTTCAATCCATTTTCCTACAAACTTTTTGCAATTGTCTTGTACATTTTGATTATTAGGTTTCTAAATATTTGAACTTTGGGGTATATATTTTATACCTAATACATATTATTAACTTTAGTTGTGGAACAAATTCCTTTAAATAGAACTACTTAGTTAAGGATATTTACATTTAAAATCTGATAATACTTTGAAGTATGCCAATTTATGAACCTGGTAACTAATATCTATGAGATATGTGTTTCCAGGTGGGCATTAGAAAAATCTCTACATGAGCTTTAATTGATATATGAAAAACAGGTTAAAATTATGCTGTGTGTGAAGTTTTCTTTCTTTGTCTCTAATATTCTGTTATTAAAAAATTACCCCAGGTCATAAAAGGGAATTACTTCAGGAATGAAGGTGGAAGGTATTCCTACATGGTTTTTTTTTTTTTTTTTGGTTGTTGTTGTTTTAAGTGAGAGAGTTAAAAGTGTAGATGATAGTGAGTTAACAAAGGAGTTATGGTTCATTAACAGAATTAGTCATCCTGTTTTGGAATGACTTAATTACCTTACTATTAGCTGAATATTGCAGAGGAAATTATTGTAATGTAGGCATTTGAGCACAATATTAGAAGAATAGAAAGCATAGACATTAATACTTTTTCTGCTACCTGGAAATCTCAACCTATTATTCCTGTGTACCTCAATAAAAAAGTGTTCAAGTCTGTAACTAGCAGAGAAGGCATCGTGAGTTATTACAAAGAGGAAAGTGTAGACAGTAGACAGGATACCAACACCAAAACAATAGAAGCAAAATTTGAGAATACCATCACAGTGATATAATTATTACTATGTTGGAAGAACCCACCTGCCCATCCTCATTCATTACTTCTACTTATTAAAATTCAAATGATACTACAGCAATAGTTGAAACTATCTTCCGAAATCTTTCCACCACTTTTGAGAAGTTTTTTTTCATACAACTCATTAGTAAACCTCCACGTGATAGATTTGTGTTATAAGCCCTTTATAGAGCCTATTACATGTATTACAATGAAGTAATGCTTTTAAAGATGTATTTATTTTTATTGGAAGTGCAGATTTACAGAGAGAAGGAAAGATAGAGAGAAGGTCTTCCATCTCCACTGGTTCAGTCCCCAAATGGTTGCAATTCAGTCAGAGCTGAACTGATCCAACCTGGAGCCAGAAGCTTCTTCTGGGTCTCCCACATAGGTTCAGGGTCTTAAAGTCTTGGACAATCCTCCCGGCCATAAGCAGAGCGCTGGATGAGAAGTGGAGCAGCCAGGACATGAATCAGCACCCATATAGGATGCAGGCACTCAGAGGCTGAGGATTAGCCAGTTGAGCCATTACACCAACCCCGAAGTAATATGTTTTACCATTTTATTAGTTAATCCAAATGTGAACTGTTATATTGAAATTTAATGTTCAGGTTTCATTTTAATTGCCAATTGCAGTTTTAACAGTTGGTGGGTTTTCTTTAGTTTTTTTAATCATCAGCTAGTCTTTACTGAATAAACAGTTTTTTCAGAACATTAATGATTATTTTTCTTAAAACTCAATATAATTCATTTTCCTCTTCTATATGAGGAGGTTCAAAACATTTATGGAAAGTTTAATTAGGAGATGATGTGAATTTTTCATGACTCTTTAAAGTCCCTTCATAGAAGGCAATGTATTCTTTTACTATAAGGAACATACAAGGAACTTTAAACGGTGGGGGTATCATTGAATTGAAAATATTTTTGACCATATATCTATTGGTCTATGAATCCTGTTATTGAAATAGATCTAAGGAAAAATAGATAATTCTATTTGACAAGTACATCAGTCAGCTTTTCTTTAACTAGAATATCTGAGAATACTTCTTGAGCAGAAGAAATGTGTTTCAGCTTAACGTTTTGAGGATAATGGTTCAAGATTGGATAGCTACGTTATTCTGGTATCTGGTAGATGCAAATAATGGGAGAGTATTTATGGAGCAATGGTCACCTAGTAAGACAGGAGACAAGGAAAAAACATTCTCATTGGATCATGGAACACCACCCTGACCGCTTCATCCAATCCGATCACTTCCAAAAGGCTCCACCTTAAAACAGCAAGATTGAATCAAACCTCCTCCATAATCCAGGATTTTGGAGCTAAAACCTCTGGGTACACTGAGGAAGCCAAGTCTGGTGTAATCCATAAAAACATGCTCTCACTGATTAAATCATGTGTTGTGGGTTTTTTTTTGGGGGGGGGGGCATTTTATGAGCTAATGAAACTTGAATACTTATCTTCCCTGATAATACATAGACTCTTACACGTGCTGTGTTAGGGTGACTCAGGAACCTTGATCATGACTCTTTTCTAATTGGCTGGAACTGGATTATAAGTTTGTTATTTAAAATATTTTCATTAAATGCAAAGACAGTTACAATATGACACTTGCCTTTTAGGAATTCATATATGTGGCAATAGGCAGTTCATCTTGCTAACAGTACAGTGATATGTCAGAAGTTTAATATGTCAGAAGTTTAATCATGTCACTGTTTTAGATATTTATTTAAATTTTTATGAAGAAAGGAAAACATGAACAAACAGGAAAGAGAAAGAGATCTTCCATAAATTGGTTTGCTCCCCATTGGGCTGGGCCAGACTAAAACCAGGAGCCATGAGCTTCTTCTAGATCTCCTATGTGGGAGGCACGGTCCCAAATATTTACGTCATCCTCCACTGCTTTTCTCGGGCCATTATCCAGGAACTGATCAGAAATGGAGCAGCTGGGACATGAACCAACCTCCATAAGGGATATTGGTATCATAGTCAGCAGCTTAAGTGACTGTGCCACAAAGCCTGCCCAAATGAAGGGAAATATTAATTCCCATTTGGGGGGTTTGAGTGGGTTTCAAAAGAGATGATTGATTTTATCTAAACCCTGCTATGTTAATGACTGAATGTATTAAAATATGACAGCTTTCAGGGCCCAGGTTGTGTATGTCAGCTTAAGCTGCTACCTACCTGCAAGGCCAGCATCCCATAGAAGCACTTGTTCAAATACTGGCTTCTCTACGTCTGATCCATCTCCCTGCTGCTGCCCCTGCAAAAGCTGCAGAAGACAGGCTGAGAACTGGTTCCTGAACCCATGTCAGAGATCTGGATGGAGTTTCAGGATCTTAGCTTGCACCTGGACCAGTCCCAGCTATTATGACCATTTGGGGGGAAGAACCAATGGATAAAAATATGGTTTCAGAATTAAGGTGATGTTGGACTAATAGAAAAAGTTTGAAAAGTTGCCTCCCTTTCTATTATTTTTAGTTGTTTATGAAGAATTGTGGTCAGTTCTGCTTGAAATGCTTTGTAGAATTCAGCAGTGAAGCCATCTAGGCCTGGGCTTTTCTGTGTTGGGAGGGCTTTAATTAATGATTCAAACTCTGCCTCAGTTATACATTTATTTAGATTTTCTGTTGCCTCATGACTTAGTTTTGGCAGATGACATGAGCCCAGGAATTTATCCATTTCTTGAAAGTCTTCTGATTTGTTGGTATATGGTTGCTTGTAGTAATTTCTGATTATACTCTGTATGTCCGTGGTATTTGTTGTTACGCTCCTATTTTCTTCTTTGATTCTATTAATTCTTGTCTTCTTCCACGTTTTTTTATCAGTTGGGCAAGTGGGATTTCTATTCTGTTTATTATTTCCTTATTTTAACCCTTATTCAGATACACGTATTTTTACTTGGCTTTGTAAGTTTCAAGCCAGAATAATTTTAATACCTAAAACCAATATTTCATTGTAGAAACCAAATTCCTCACTAATCTGACATCTTTCGCCTGTGTGTTGCAGGTAAACTTTTATTTTCTGTTAAAACCAAAGAAGATGATGAGTCATCTGATGAGCTATATAAAGATATTGAAGGCTCCATGGAGACTTCACTTCCAGATCTTCCCCCTATCTTTGTTGAGGAAAACACAGGTAAAATTATTAAGATTGAACATTTCATGGTCAGGCTATGTAAGTGTACATTATAATTCACTTTTAAGTGAACTGTATGCTTTAAATGCATAATACATAGGAAAATTTGCATTATTTATATAAGAATGTTATTGTATATAGTATCAGGATTAACTCTGTTCAGCTCACTTTCTCAATTTCTACTGTCATTACTGTCAGTAGATTATAGTGCTTCACGTTTAAAACTTATTCCCTCTTTATAAAGTGAAACCCCTAATATGTTTTCTGTTCTTAAACAAAAATACTGTAAGTTTCTGATAAAATATTAACAAATATACAATTGCAGCAGTTATATACTTTTATTTCAGTGTACAACATAGCAATCTCCCTCAGTATGCTAAAGAAAATAATGTATTGTAAAGCGTTATTTGACTACTGTTAACTGTCATGCCTTTTTTTTTTTAGCAAAGCTCAAATGCAAATGAAATGATATAGAATTGGGAGTATTCAGGAAAAGTTTCGTAGAGAATGAATGAATGAGTTGTTCTTTTATGGATTAGTAGCAGGGACCATAGAAACTATTACAAAAAAAAAATTAATCCAACTGAAATAAAGTTGTAGAGAAAAAGAAGTATACACCAAAGAAGAAAGTCTTATTTTAAAAAGCTTTTTGTTTATATGAAGGGAAGAGATTTTGTGTAGTCCATATGTACAGTGATAGTTCCCACCTTTCTTCCTCCATCTTTCCTTTCTTACTTTTTTCCTCTCTCTCTCTATTCACTTTGAATATGCACCCATATGAAATGCTACCTGCTGCATTTTAGCTAGTGGTTTTACTCACTATACCGCATTGCTGGCCTTTTTATTTTTCTTTAAATTTTTATAATCACATACTTTCAGGTTACTTTATACTTACAAGCTTAATCCTCCATGAATTAAAGATTCAACAAGTAGCAAGTAGAAAAACTACAGTCCCTCAAGAGTATAGGCAAGGGATATAAAAAAAATCTCAAAATGTCAGTTTCACTCATATACACAACTTTTTTAGTGCTCTATATAGTAATCATCACAAATTAGAGAAAACATCTGGGACCAGCTCATTTCTCTAAGTACAACTGACTCCAATTGTATCCATTTTGTGGTGAAGACTAGAATTTCATCCTTTGTTTTTATTATGACTAAAATCTTTATTGAATGAATATGTGATAGGATTCCTCAGAGAAACAGAAACACATATAATGAGCTCTATCTACCAGTGAGTGAGAGACAGGATTTAATCGATTGTCTAATGTCAATGCGATAACTGGAATGTCCAAAATCTTAAGCGCAAGTCAGTAGGTTGAAAGCTTAGACAGAAGGTGAAATTTCCAGTCTTAGCACATGCTGGAAACTCAAGGTTTCTGTGGTGCGATCTTGAAGAACAACTGTTTCCTTGAGAATCTCAGTCTTAACAATTAGGGCCTACAAAGGGTTGCATGAGGCCCATCATACTATGGAAGGTAACTTTCTTTACTCAAAATCCATGGACTACAGTGTTGTTACATTTTAAAAATAGATTCACGACATGTTGGCTGGTATATGACCATATTACTAAGCAGTATAGCTACTCAAATTAACACATGAACTTTAGCATCACAGAATGCTTGAATTAGTGGGATTTAGACAATAATTCAAAATGGTTTAGAAAGTAAAGAGCAGTTAGAGCTAGTTAAGTCACTGCAACAGTAACTTGGATTTAAAGTGAAGATAACCAAGTGTTTTTTTGATGGTAATGGGGATAAAAAAATATATTACAGAAGATGGAAAACACCTCAGAGATTAGCATGAAATGACTGTCCTGAGAGAAGAATGAGAGGATTGATTCCAAATAATAATGAGGTTTGTCTGTATCTTGGTGAATAGAAGAATGGTCACAATTTAAAACAATAATCACAGAAATTTGGAAGATTGAGAGGGGCCTGAATTGTGGCGCCGCAGGTAAAACAGGTACCTGCAACACTGGTTGCCAGTTCACATCCCAGCTGCTCCACTTACAGTTCAGCTAATGGCCTGGGAAAAATCAGTGGAAGCTAGTCCAAGTGTTTGGATCCCTGCCACCCACTTGGGAGACCTTGATAAAGCTCCTCGTTACTGGCTTCGGCTTGGCCCATTACAGCCACCTGGAGAGCGAGCCAGTGGCTGGCAGACCTCTGCTTTGCCCTCTCTTTGCCACACTTTCAAAATAAGTAAAGAAATCTTGAAAAAAAATATAGAATAAGAAATTCTTGGTGATGATAATGCTCAGTACAATTTTGCATTTCCTAATGTTGATGTGACAAGAACTTTATATGGCATTATGCAGTTATCAAGTAAATCCTTGTATGTGAGACTAGGTAAAAAAATAGATTTAAAAGTTTAGGGCTCCTTTCTGAAATCATACCAATGAAATTCAAGAGTGGATGAATACTGTGAACTGATAATGGTAGGAATTAAACCCTAACCTTGTCTAGGGCAGAAGAGCTATGAAGGGAAGGAGTAAAAGTATTTAGAATAATTTGGCAGAAAATGATGTTATGTTAATGCTGAAAAACACAATCATGTCTAATGAAAAAAATTAGGCTGCATGATGACAGAATGCAAGGATATTAACAACTGCAAAAATGCATCTAATAAATTACAAACAGCCCCAAGTTTTCAATCAAGCCTTGTCATATTCTTACTCACACAGGATCAACCTTTCCATCTCTTATAGTATCCTGGATCCTTTTTCACAAGTCACTCAATATCACATTTCTTTTCAATTAGAGAAATTATCTATCTCTCCCCTCATCAAACAAATGGAAGCAACAGCTAAATAGGAATTTTAAACCTTCCAAGTAGGGAAACGTGGAAAACAAGTCAGTTTTAATGAAAATCAGGACAAAAGAGGCAATCTCATGCATTGTAATGGAAATTTGAATTGATACAAAGTTTTGAAAAGAACATTTACAATATGTCTAAAATTTTTTAAGAATTCCTCATTTCTTTTCATAAAATGACCCACTTTAAAAAGTTTGCCAGAGATAAAAGAAACTAAAATATGCACAAGATATTTTATGTAATAGATCACACGCAGTTAAGCATCGCAGAATGCATGAATTATAAATTTAGACAATAATTGAAAATGATTCAGATAAGGAAGAACAGTTACAGCTCTTATGTAATCTATTATGTTGAATAAGTAAAGCAAATTTAATGGTGAATTTTTGAGTAATATGTGTATATTTACATAAAAGTGTGTATCAATGATATGTTCCCTGTGCATCCAGTATATTCATATGTGTATATGGATATTCATATCCTTATAGCTTCACTGCTATATTTAAATCAAGTCTGTACATTTATATAAAGATTGAGTAGCTTTCACTTAATTATGAGATTATAAGTGATTTGTATATTTTTCAGGAATTTCTCAAATTACTATAGTGAATATTAATGACTTTTATAATGAGAAGAATGTTTAATAAGGTTGAACATTAGAGTTAATGTTCAATAGTTATTATTTTTATATTCTGATTAGTAAACTATCCTGATATTACTCTATGCATTTGATGCACATTTGTAGAACTGTAGGAATTAGATTAACTGCTTCAAAATGTTGCCACATATGATAGTCACAGCAATTAAAAATAGCAGACATCATTGTCCCCAGGGTGATTAATTTCATATATGAACTCTGCTGGTCCATGGTGAGCAAATATTTGGTTAAATTTAATTTGAATGTTTCTGTGAAAGTGTATTTTGAATGAGTTTCATATTTAATTCAATGGATTATGAGTACAATAGATTACTTTGCATAATGTGGTTAAGTTTGAGTTTCCTCGAATCAGTTGAAAACCCCAGTAAAACAAAGGCTGACTTCCTATAATATATTGCAGAAATTAGATTTACAAAGCTTCTATAAATGTGTGAACCAGTTTTTAAAATCTCAATCTTTCTTCTCTGAATACATGCACACACACACATTATGCTGCTCTTCTCCTCAGAATAGCCTTGGCTGATATAATACCCATTCCACAGATGAGCAGACTGGCGCATTGCTTTGCTAAATTTCACAGGAAATTATCTAATTTGTCGTTGAACCCTTGTGTTCTGATCCAGAGTCTTTTACTGCTCTCTGTACTAACCAGAGTCACAAAGAAATCCTTAGCCATAGATACTGTTTCTCTGAATGTCTCTTATCACCAATTTTTTGTTTTTGATAACAAATTTATTAAAATAGGATGGAATGGGGTGCAACCAATACAGAACAATACAGTGCAGTAAAACACGATGCCGTGTAATATAACACAACACAGTGCTATTCAGTGCTGTACAATATGAAATAGTGAAATGCAATGCAAGGCAATGTGTTCATGGAGAAGATTTTTAGAAGATGGATTTGTGAGCTTCCCCTAGTGTAGACCTGTTTTTTTATAACTGGGGACTGTGAAGGTTAGTAATCTGGCAATAATTGTTCTTGAAATCTTTTAAACATTGCAATACTTAACATGCATACATCTGCATGTGTGAATATGCGTACAGTTTCCTGAAATTTGGAGGACATGTTAAACCACGAACTAGTTCAACACTGTGAAACCAAAGAATTTCAAAGAACCGGTACAGATTAAGGGGGGAATAGAAATAATATGGGCTTGATGCAAGCACATCCGCAATATGCAGGGCCTTTATGGGGCTCACACATTCAGTTTCAGGGTGGACAGTGTACTTTAGACATCACCAGCTACAAATTTGCTTTTTTTCCCCCCACCCCATATGTAAATATCATTGTCCTACCACTTAGTCCCTAACCCATACTGGCTTTTCCTGGGCAAAATTACTAGGATCCTTTTACCTACTTCCAGGAAACCTAAAATCTTATGTTCCTGACCTTTCTGCCTTGACTACATGTTTAAACTGTTGAAAATAGACCACTGGGAACTGAACACCTTATTTTTGTTTTTAAGAAATTTCTGTGAACAAATATGTGAATGATTTGTCAATTACAAGAAATATTTCTTTTTAATTATTAATTTTTATCTTATAGCATGAATAAGTTTAACATAATGAGCTACTGGAGCAAATACAGTGCCAGGAACATTTATAGGCTGTTCTTGTGGTCACACCCTTCTCTTAGTGTTCCCAGGCAGTAATAAAAGCAGCTTTTCATCCTTTCCCTGGCTTTCTTGAGAGTTTAAAAAATGAAAATCTTTCGTGATTCTCAAATTTATATGTTAAGAATGATATTCTGCAATTTATATTACAAAATGTTTTATTTTTCAGCTGATGATTTTAACAATTTAAAAATCTGGTATCATCTTGAAATACAGAGCTCTCCTAGACCACCCACAAAAGTCATGGAAATAAAATGTGTTGCTCTGGTAAGTACCTGTTACATGTTCATAGGTCGTCTTTTTACAAATCACTTGAGCTATTGTTGCATACTGAATTACTATCCCTAAGAATATACATATCAAAGGATTATGTTGAAATAAATTATTCAATTATAGCAATTTCTTTTTTAAAATCTGTGCCACAGATCTTAACTGTACTGGAGAATATGTTTTTTATTATACTATATCCCATAGTGACTGCATTGATTGACATTCTGTTTCAAGAGTGACTAGAGTAAATTTAACCCCTGCTTTTGATCCAGATAGTGATGTAAAATGAATTATTCTGGGTTGTGTTTAAAATATTTTGTAATTCAGTGGCTTATTTTGATAAAGCTGTGGCATTTTCTTGAATGGACACTGATCTTCAATTTGAAATTCAAATATCTGAGTAATAGACCAGAAACAATGTTTAGACCAGAAGGACTCGTTTCAATTTTCTATCTTAAACTCCAGGAAAGATTTCTAGTGATTATGTAGCTGGTAATATTTTGTTATCCTGCCATATCTCTTTCCTTTACGTTTTGTTTTGTTTGAGGCTAGGAAGGTTTCTAGCAGGCTAAGTATTGTTACAGTATTATACAGTATGTCAGGTTGCCTAGAAAACCACTAAACTGTGACATAATCTCATCGTTGAGTTACTGCTAGAGCAAACATTGGAAAAATGAAACCCATAGTAACAATTGTACTGGTGACAAATATAGCTTAATTTTTTTTAATTTTTATTTTGAATTTTTGAATTTTATAGTACAATTTTGTAGAGACTGGGATTTCCGCGCACCCCCCCCCCATCAAACTCCCACGCCCCGACAGATTTTCTCCACATTGCTACAATAGTATAGTCCTTCAAAAGGAGTCGTGATTCCATCAGTCTGTTATTTAAGTGTGTCCCAACTTGGCTGGTACAATGTTAGAAATTTAATTCTGTGAATGGTTGCCTACCATCTAGTTCCATGAATCTTGTATAGTATTTACTGTTGGAAAAAAAAAGTGTTATTATTTATGAAAATTAATCAGTGGAAATATAAAAAAGTAATGATTATGAGATATATTTAATATTGGATCCAAAAATACAAGTAAGAATCGGTATGGTGGTATAGCAGACTAATCCTATCATGCTAACATCCCATATGGGTGTTGGTTCTAGTTCTAGTTGTTCCACTTCTGATCCAGCTCCCTGCTTATGACCTGAGAAAGCAGAGGGCAGCCTAAGTACTTGAGCCCGCCCCTACACTCACATAAGAGACCTTGGAAGAAGCTCCTGGCTCCCAGCTTTGGATCAGCTTAACTCTGACTGTTGCAGCCATCTGGGGAGTGAACCAGAAGATGGAAGACCTCCTCTCTATCTTTACTTCTCTGCAGTATCTGCCTTTCAAATAAAAACAAATAACTCTTTAAGACTTTTTTTTTAAAAAATTAAAAAAGAAATGAAAGTAAAGCAAAAGGTCTCACAATGGTTTCCTTTACATTTGCTTCAATAAATCAATGACTCATTGTTGATGATACTAAAAGCTGATTATGTTTGTTTTCTAATTTTAGGAGACAGTGTGCATTGAAATACCTATCACTAATCCAAAAAATTCTGTTGTTCATATGGAAGTTAAATTAACAAGTATTGCTCTCAATGGAGCTTTGGAAGTTACATTGGATCCACTAGATTATACCAACTATATTGTATGGTATTGTCCAGCAAGCACAGGTTGTAAAGAAGAAAGGTATTACCTGAGTCTAGTTTTATTATTAATATTTTGAAATTAAACTTTTTAAATGATTTCTTCTTTATCTGTGGTAATCATTAAAATGGCATGTAAGAAATTAGCAAGACTAATTCCTACCATTATATAAATGATGAAATTAAAACCCAAAAAACTAAGCCACAAGCCCTTTCTCCACCCAGAATAAAATGCATCACAAAGTAGTTTTGAAATATTGCTTTTAAAATCAACCATATCTGCCAATTGGATGTTTTTGTGCTAACTTCACCATACAAACTAAAACCACTAACAGGGTTTTGTTTATTTCTCTCCGCTAGTGTGATTTTTCAGCCTATAATGGGTGAAGAATTCTGGTACTTACTGAAATTTACTGTGGAATTACCAACACCAGTAGCCATGCCAGAAGTAAAGTGTGATCTTGGAGAGTAAGTTTTGTTTAGCAGGGAAAAACAATACTTCATACAAGACAAAAAAAAGCTAACCTGCACTAGCATTGTTAGAATGTTGTGGCTATGTTAGCCCCAGGAAAAATTCAGGAGGGATCCCGTTTATTCTTTTGGAGGTGTGCTTTCTTACTGTTGAGGATCAACAGAGTTCAGGAGCTGATAGAAAAGAGAGGGATCTTACAAAAGATCGGTGAAGGCAAAGTGCAAGGCAAGCACCAGGCAGCTGTGAACGTGTACTTAGACACTCAGTTGAGATTGTATTGCCTTGAGATAACACACCATAGTTAGCTGCTTGAGTTCCAAATTGCATGTCTGCAACTGAATGTGGTACTGGTGGTAAGTGTGGGTAATGAATGAAAGTACCTGTTGTAAAGAGTTTGTGAACTAGAAGGCAAATTAGTGCCTTTGAGTTAGTTTCTTTCCCTTAACATACCAGAAAGAGTATTTAATTCTACCCATATAAAATATTCAGCTATCATTCCAAGTAACTCATTCAGGAAATAATCCAATAGAAATGAACAGGAGAATAGAGGAGGCAAGATAAGGAACCGGAAGAAGCCAAGCATGAGCACCAGTGCGGGTTCACTCCTAGACTGATCCTGTAGACAGTGACTTGTGTCTGCAAGGGTTTGCCCTCTGTCTAAGCAAGGGAGCTGTACCTTTTAATTCCCATCTTCTTGCACATGAGGTTGAGTATTTAATTATATGTTTAAATGTCATTTTAGTGCAACTTTTTGAAGTGTCTCAAATATATTTCACTATATAATATGGAATGATATTTCACTACACACACAAAAAAAAACAATCAAGATTAACATAGTATAATGACATTAGTTCCTAACATGATAATTCTTACATGAAAACTCATCAATTTCATTATCTTAGTTTTGGAGGGCTGTTATATCAAGCACTATAAACAGGATGGTATAGGACAACATTAGCTGGAGCCAATGTGGCATAGTGGGTTAAGCTGCTGTCTTTGATTCCAGCATTCCATATGGGGCACTCATTTCAGTCCTGAGTGCTCCACTTCAGATCCAGTTCTCCACTACTGTACTTAGAAAAGCAATGGAAAAATGGTCCAAATACTTGGGCCCCTGCTGCCCATGTAGGAGATACAAATGGAGTTCCAGGCTTCTGGATTCAGCCTGACACAGTCTTAGTAGAAGGAAAATCCTTCTCTATCCTTTCCTTAACCCTGCCTTTCAAATAAATGATTCATTCTCTAAAAAAATTAAAATAAATGTATTGGCTAATGATTCTGGAGATTAGCAGTCCAAAACCATGTTACCATCTTGGCCATGCTCTTTCTGAAACTTGTAAAAGAAAATCATCTTCAAGAAAAAATGATTTATTTTTGTTGGAAAGTCAGATACACAGAGAGAAGGAGAGAGAGAGAGAGAGGATGACCATCTGTTGATTCACTCCCCAAGTGACCACGGCAGGAGCTGCGCCAATATCTGAAGCCAGGAGACAGGAGCTTCCTCCGGGTCTCCTAAGTGGGTGCAGGGTCCCAACACTCTGGGCCATCCTTGACTGCTTTCCCAGGCCACAAGCAGGGAGCTGGATAGGAAACAGGGCTGCCAGGATTAGAACCGGAGCCCATATGGGATCCTGGTGCATTCAAGGTGAGGACTTTAGCTGCTAGGCTACCACACCAGGCCTAAGAAAATCTTCCTTTAGCTTCTGCATTTTGACTAGCTGACATAGATGACAGATTGACAGCATTGTATTGTTTTTGTTCAGTACATTCTAATATTTACTTCCGAATGCTGTATGATCTTTATGTCCTAGATACATGAATCAAAAGCCACATTACACCCTATAAATATATCCAACTATTATCTGTCAGTGTATGTTTGTGAGGACGCAGTTCAGCCCATAATGGTTATCAACTTCCTGAAATTATCATTGAAGAAATAGATGATTGCCACCAACTTACCACCTTTCTTTTGCCTCCCAGCTATGTTTCTCAGATAATCTCCTTAGAAAATCCTACATATGAAACTTTAGAAATGCGTGCAACGAACAGTAACCCTGCAAATTTTATTCTGGATATCAATAAAAATTCATCTGTAAGTACTTGTAGAAATGCGCTGTTACTGTAGCATTTTCCAGTTCTTATTTGTAGACACTGGTGGAGTATTAATATTTTAATTACTCATAAACTTTCAGATTCCTAAATTTTTAAAATAGATTTTCTCTTCTACACATCTCCCCTGTATTTTAATTGATCACAAAAATGTTAATATGAATTTTGAAATTATATGATAGAGATTTACTCATTTCACTGAATTCTAGATTGTTTATTTTTTTACTTTAGTGTTTACTTTTGTGTGATTTTTTTTCTACAAACATGCTTTTGAATGGATTGTTGTTATATACTTGTAGAGTTCCAAAAGGCCAGTTCTAATCGAGTCCTTCCTAAGTACCAGCCTCCCCCATGTATACTTCCAGACCAGGGAATAGCTGTGTTCCTCCCCGCTTCTTCCTCTACCCATTTTCTCATTCTTGGGATGTAGTGAAGGGTTTGCTTCTTCAAATGGTACATGGCAAAAAATATTAGTAAACAATAATTGACTTGATTTAACTCGTATCTCAATCGTAATGTGAGCCTAAAAGGGTTGATATTAAATATATTATTCCCAGTGGAAGTTTGATTATATACAATTCTAAAGTGCTTAGTATATGTGATGGAGTCATTGACTTCCTTTACATCTGCATAGTTGTAACTCAATATAATATTGTAAAAATTCAACTTATTCCAGATCCTACTTACAACGCGCATATGATTGAACAAAGAGAAAAATAACACTGCACATTAGAGAAGCATGCCTTTCATCTAGGCTTGGGAGCAGTTGATTTGATTTGACACCATCACTGCTGCAACCAAAGTCTCTGGTGCTTTAACATGTTGCATGAAATGGACAATTAATGAGCTCTTAAGTTGAATAAATATTTTTATTATTGAGCTTCCTCAAACAGCTTTAAATTATTAACCACGCCTTTCTTTTCTCTGTGATTCCATGTAGTCATTGTTTGGGGGAAGAGCATCACAAAACATGATCCTTTTGCCAATATCGAGAAAGCAGGAATAGTGAAAACAAATCATGTGTTCAAGATAATATTTTTATTACACAAATCTCAACCCACATATGCCTGCCTCTCAAAGATTCTGCCTCAAACTAAAGTGCTTGTTTTGTTTCTAATTTGCTTCTTTCTGAATTTACACAGGTAACTTTACCTCCTCACTCCAGCAAAAGCTTGACAGTTTACTTTTTTCCTTCTGGACTTGGTAGAGCTGGTCATCAAGCTTGTATCAGTTTCCACTGTAAACAGGTAAGGGTGCACTTTGAACCAAGTCAAGTTAATTAAATTTCAGAATCAATATATTTAAGTCATCCAGCTGACATATTTTATAATCAAAATATATTTGTTATAAATTGTAGAAAACTTTTGAAAAAGTAAAATATATAATGTATACACAATCATCTGAAGATGTATTTTTAAGTCTTTATATGGCTTACATAAAGAAGAGTATATACTCAGATTTAAAATACAGATTTTTTTCACATTCAATTCAAATGTCAAATTGTAGGCATATACATTTATTTTCTGACTTGAGTTTTACTACTCAATTTGCAGGGGACTTAAACATAAAAATGTATAGAATACAACCTTACAAATGCTGTGTTACTTTTTCTATTCCTTCTGTACAGTGTTCCTGAATGATAATAAAGTTTTAGCATACTGAATATTTTTTCTGCATCTCCAAATGTGCTACATGATATTCAAAGAGTTATTTCAATTCATTCTTACTAAAATCTTATAAAGAAAATGATGTTATCAGTTGTATTTTGTGGATCTTGGATCTGAAGCATTTAGAAATTAAGATCAGTTTACTAGAAAAGGTTGAGCAGAGACCTGAACCAGGCACATCAGACTTCAACTCATCTTCATGAGTGCTTTCCACAACTAGCTCCAATTGGCCAAATGGCGGTACCTCTCTGGCTGTCAATGCAAAATTGGTGTAACGTTTTACATTTAATATTTTGAGTATTTTAACAGTATTATTTAATATTAATCTAGTATAATAATACATTTTAATGTTAGTGTAATATATTACTAGTATTTATTTTTAAATATTATTCTTGTCTTCCTCTAATCTTCTTTTTAAGATTTATTAATTTTTATTGGAAAGGGAGATTTATAGAGACAAGGATATACAGAAAGATCTTCCATCTGCTGGTTCACTCCCCAAATGGCCACAATGGCCAGAGCTGAGCCAATCCAAAGGCAGGAAACTTCTCCAAGTCTCCCACACAGGTGCAGAGTGCTAGAGGTTTGGGCTTTCCTTGCTGCTTTCCCAGGCCACGAGCAGGGAGCTGGATGGGAAGTAGAGCAGCTGGGACAAAAACCGTTGCCTCTATGGGATCCTGCTGCAAGTAGGTGAGGATTTAAACCCTGAACCATGGTGCCAGGCCTACTTCTTCTAAATCTGATGAGGAAGAAAATAAAAAGAGGAATGTACTTAATCTAAGGGACACGAGGAGCTCATAAAGCCTGATATCTGGGGAATAATGAAATAAATATAAAGTGGGTATCCACTTCCCAGTGTAGGCTCTATGGGAACTGAAATGTCCTCATCTCAAAACAAATGTGATTTCTTTCCAGAAGCCTTGTCTTGAGGCTGTTAAATTTCCTAAATAGTATCTGACTTATACATGACTGCAGCTAATAGTGTGCAAGGATGCTTGATGTTCAAAAGCATGAAAGAAAACAAAGAATAATAACCCCTTTGATGCAGAACAAAAAAGTATGGTAGATTATTTGTTTATACACAATTTTACCAAGGCTAATCTTTTTTTAAAAATTTTACTTCTTTCTATTATTATCATTTTATGATACAGTTCCATAGGTCATGCAATTTCCCTTATCCCCTCCCCAATTCCCTCCCCCCTCAAAGAGTTCTCCTATATCATTACTATAGTATAGTTCTTCATACACAGTCATATGTCCATCATTGCGGGCATGGGCAATGGCAGAGAGTCCAGCATCCTATTGTCAAGATGCAGTAAACAGTTTCACTAAGAGTCCATCTTTTTCTGGAAGTAGAGATGCATACTGCATTGTGTCCTCACATCTGGATATGACAGTCTCCATTACACAGTTACTGTACATCCCCTTGAATGAAAAGCCACAATACAAAATGAATAATAGGAAGAAAAATAAAAATTTACAATGCCATGAAGTTAAATAACATGCTGCTAGATAAGATAGTCTCCATTACACCAATACTGTACATCCCCATAAATGAAAAGCCACAAAACATAATCAACAAAGGAAGAAAAAAAATAACATAACCAAATTACCACCTATTTGTATTAACCCTGAATGCAAATGGGTTAAACTCATCAATCAAACCTCATCGATTAGTAGACTGGATTAAAAACAAAGCCCATGTATTTGTTGCCTAGGAAACATATGTCACCAAGAAAGATCAATGGAAACTATATCTTATGATTTTTAAATTTTTTGTTAGTTTCATCTCTTCAAAACACTTTGCTCTGATTAAATTCTTCAATGACTCATACATCATACAGTAGCATCATTTTCTTCAAGAAGGTTCTTGATTTTCTTTTTCATTTCTTCTGCGACACAATAATCATTCAGTAGCATGTTATTTAACTTCATGGTGTTTGTCAATTTATTTTTTTTTCCTCCTGTGGTTGAAGGCTAATCCTTCAAGTGGCCACTTTATAGCAATATTAGAATGCCTTCATTTATTTGTTGGGGACAACTTAGCTGCTTGCATTTCTGAGTAGAACAGTGAGTGCATACTCAAGGATAGGCTTTCATGTGAGCAGGGTTAGAGTCATGGTTAGGAATTTTCAGTTCTATATCTGAACAACTTCATAGTAGCCTAAAATTTAATGTTTTATTCTTTATTATCTGCAAAAGAACTGAAACAAGTAAATAATAATTTCAAATCTTTTATCAGTGGAAAAGAATTGCTTGATTTCAGTAACTCTGATCATCTCCTTCCAAGGTTCAGAACTCCTAAGAATTCATCTATAATGAAATCTGACTCAGTGCTTCATGCATTCAGTCCAGTCCCCTTCAACCTTTCCAGTATCTGTATAACCTGTGTGATTTTTTATCCCAGAATTATTCAGGTCTTCCTCTTTGATTTATTTCATCTTGTTGACATTTTTTACAAGCAGAATCACATCATCATAAAGTATTAATTGAATGAACTTTTGAAAAGTTATTGTGAAAGAATAGACACCTATAGGGTGCTTTTTTTTTAAGGCCTTAGAGTTTGTTTCTAAATCTAGCAGTTGCAAATACCTTTGTGCGATTAGGAAGAAGCCCACATAGAATTGTGTACCTCTCTGCTTTAACTGATTAAAAATCAAAGAACTAACTGATGAACCTTAAGTCAATTCTCAGCAGAGGTTATAGGCTAAGCTTTAGCACTTTCCGATGATGCCTCACTGCAGAACTGAAGAATATAACTGGTTTATTATCAACGTCACTTGCTGCTGGTTTATATCTCTATGAAAAGCTTTGTATTGTAAAAAGCTAACTTTAGGCTCAAGTTATTTGTGCAGATTCTGAATCTAAAGATTAATTGGTCTAGAACATCACAAATGCAAATATTGTGAACTCATTATGCCACCAGAATTTTTTAATGAGCTTTGTTACTGAACACCAGATTAAGAACTATAATTGGGCCTGGCGCAATAGCATAGTGGTGAAAGTTCTTTGCATGCACCAGGATCCCATATGGACACCGGTTCTAATCCCAGCAGTCCTGGTTCGCATCCAGCTCCCTGCTTGTGGCCTGGGAAAGCAGGACAGCCCAAAGCCTTGGGACCCTGCACCCGCTTGGGAGACCTGGAAGAGTTCCTGACTCCTGGCTTCAGATTGGCTCAGCTCCAGCCATTGCAGCCGCTTGGGGAGTGAACCATTGGACAGAAGATCTTCCTCTCTGTCTCTCCTCCTCTGTATATCCGCCTTTCCAATAAAAACAAATAAATCTTAAAAAAAAAAAAAAAAAGAACTATGATCAGCAGTGTGGTAATTGGGCATTCTCTTTTCCCTGAAACATTCTGTTCTGGGATTTTCTTAGTTTCCAACATGTTTAACTTTTACTTTCAACCAGTCATCCTTGTTCATTTCATTTATTCTTGATTGTGTGATCGTGTGTGACTCATTTCATTTCAAAGCCTAAATAGCAAAACTGAGGGGAAAAGATATATAATCAGAGTGATTTTATAATCCAACGATAGTCTATGATTTTTCTAGCCTGTATTTATGCAAAGCTCTGTTGATTTTCAGCAAGCTTCAGTCCTTTGGAGCTATCTATTTAGAGTACAATCAGATTTCCTGTCTTTTACCTCCACTTCTTTTATCTTTTAGAAACACCAAAATTGGGTCTTTAAATGTTTACTCTCTAAACAGTATAAGAAGTTAGAAATAAAAATGGGCTGAAAAAAATGTTACTTCTTTAATTCACCTGTTCACAGAATTGCTTGCTAATTTCCCTCTCTGTATTCAAGCAATTAAGTTAATCAATGATAGGATGACAGTTGAGTATCAAGTGTTCAATAGTAGGGATGCGCTTTAGCATAGCAACTCCAGCATTCCAGGCCACTTAAGAAAACATTGAAACACAAACTTCTTTCTGTAGTTTGGCTCATTCCTAATGGTTTAAAGCAAACTAGTTTCATTTCAACCAATTGGTTAGAATCAAGTTATGATATCATAAGTGAAAATGTAATAAAATTTTATTATTATGTTATTAGAATATGTGACCAACAGTAACACCGTTTTTTGAAAATAATATGTAAATAAAACTCATCTTGAGTCCTGTAAGAAACAGCATTTTATGGATTTCTGTCATCATATAAAAAAGTTATCCTTATGTTATTGGAATTTAAATAGAAATATCTATATAGTGTGAGATAGTAAACTAGGAAATTTTTAAGTTGCTTATTAATTTTTCTCAATGATCTCTTCATCTACAACATTAACAAAGTTTTTTTGATTCAGAATTGTAACTCATCTGGCCCTCACTCCTACTTTGTTGTACTTCCAAAGGACTCTTGTTCTAATCTGAATGAATACAAAGAGATTGTTTTGAAACAAACTTTCTTCTAACCTTGTGAAACTCAAGTAAAAATATCTACTTTCCTCCACAAAAATGTTTATGCCATTTGTCAATATTTTGTAATAACAGGAAATGTACTGCACTAGATGATGGGAATAAATAATGTAGTATGCAGTTACACGTATTTCCATTAATGAGAATTTAGTTTCTGTCTCACCTCCATTGCCTTTATGTGACAGTTATCTGGCTTTCATTTAAAATGCACTCTAAAATTTTGGAAACTTCATGCTGTGTTTAGCATCCAATTTTCTTTAACTAAATTCATCTTTTTAAGAAACACCTTAGAAAAAAGTGCAAGATTTTCATTAATGTTTCACCTTTCTGTTGGTACAAATTTTATTAAAAGTAGGCCCAGCATGGTAGTTTAGTAGCTAAAGTCCTTACCTTGCATGCACCAGGATCCCATATGAGCTCCAGTTCATGTCCCAGCTGCTCTACTTCCCTTCCAGCTCCCTGCTTGTGGCCTGGGAAAGCAGAGGAGGATGGCCCAGAGTGTTGGGACCCTGTGCCTGCAGTGGAGGCTCCTGGTTCCTGGCTTCAGATCAGCTGATCTCCATTGTGGCCACTTGGGGAGTGAATCAGAAGATTGAAGATCTTTTTCGCTGACTTTCCTTCTCTCTGTAAATCTGATTTTCCAATAAAAATAAATAAATCTTAAAAAAAAAATTTCTTAAAAGTATTGAAATCAATTATTTAAATATTAGTCTTTTAGTCCTTTTTCCTTATAAAAAGTATATAAAGTGGTTTCAATAAATCCAAAAGACTTTGAAAAGAAAGGAAACAAGGAATATTAAAACTTAACAGTAAAGCTTTTCTTATCTGATAAAGTTTTTAAGTGTATTAGATTTGTTAAATATTGCAAATAAAATATATTCAATTATCATAAATATGTCTTGGTCGCTTGTCTTCAAACAGTTCAAAGAATGGAATTTTCACCTCTCTGGAGTAGGACTATTCCCCAGGACTCTGGACACGCAAAGAGTAATAACACCTCTCGGCTATCATTCATCTCTCATTATAAATTTCCAAAATCCCACCCTGGAGTGCGTCATCATTGACATCATACTAACAAGTATGTTATTTTTCTTACATTTTACATGCCATTTTGAATATAACACTCAGAATTATTTTTTTTTCAGAGATTCTAAACATTTTGGAAGTAATGGACACTTTAGAGATCTGTTAGTTCAACAGTATCACTTTATAACAGAAAACCAAATTTAACTGAAATACGTTGGTAAAATCATAGCTCAAAAGTTGTGTAGTCAGAATCAGAATTAGATGTCTATGCATCAGGATAGGTCCTTCCAATATTATCTGTTAACCAAAATGTGTTATTTGTTAGATTTATAAGATTTCAGTTATGTTGTTCAATATCACCGTGCACATTCCATAAAAATTTGTAGGAATTGTTTCTTCCTTTTTTTTATAAACAGACAATATAATTGATATAGATTTTGGTTCTCCATAGAAATGTCCTTTTACTCATGTCATAGTGATGATTAATGCTTCAAAACAGTTGTGTGAAGTGTTTGGTCACTTTGTTTGAAATGATTTAGTCATGTTCATTGGAAATAAAAATTATGAGTTTTCTAACCACATTTAAAACCTAAAATTTGACATGACCCACAAACCATTCCAACTACCACTAAACTGTTACTAGTACAATTTTTGTTCCTGTGGTACATGTAGTTAAGTTTTTTGCTGTAAATGGCCAACTTATTCCCCCAAATGATTATACTACTGCAATTCATGCTGCCATCAGGAGTACATTGTAGATATTACCTATTTTTCTGAACTTTTAAACTCCTAAGTAGTCACATTTCTCTAATTGTATATTATGATCATTACGAGTTTTTGCTATTTTTAATTAATGCTGAAGTTCACACTTTTATCGTTTACGTATTGAAGTTTTGATCTCTTGATTATTGTTTCACATCGTTGTTACAATTCTTAATTTAAGAATATTATGTGTTAAAATTGTTTTCATAAATATTTATATTTGCTAAAATGTTTTTAAAATTTATTAATATTAATTGTACATATTTATGGGATACAGTGTGATATTTCAATATCTGTATAGCCACTCTGCTGGTCAAATTAATATAACCTACATTTTCACTTTCATTGTTTTATGATTATAGACTTACAATTCCTTCTTTTTATTAGTGCAGGAGATTTGTAAGGGATTATTGTGAACTATAACCAACTCACTCTTCTGTGTAACACAAGGAACTTACACCTGATATGTAATTCTGCTTTGTTACCAGCATCCAATTTCATTGTAACGTCTCTAGTAACTACTGTTCTATATTCAGCCTGAGGCATTTTTTAACTTGTACATATGAGTAATAACATTTGGTATTTGTATTTCTGTGTTTGGGTTATTTTACTTAAAACAGTTTTCTCCAGTTCCATCCATTTTGCTACAGATGGCAAGATTTTACTGTTTTTTTCACAGCTCAGTAATATTGACATTTTCTTTTTCCATTATTTTGTTGACGGACACCTTCACCGATTCCATTGGCTGTTGTGTATGGATGCCCAGTAAATGTGGTGGTGCACATATCTGAAAAAATGATGACAAGCCCTTTCAAGTATATACTCAATAGTATGATTACTAGATAATATGGCAGTTCTATGTTCTATTTAAAAGAATCTCCATACTATTTACAAGAGTGGCTGTACTAAATTACATTCCCATCAATAGTGTTATCTTATGGTTACATTTGCTTCGATGAGGACAGTCCTGTAGTATTTTGTATAAGTTGACTGCAGGCTCAAGAAGTCAGCAGATTAGAGTGGAAGAGCTTTGGACATAGTCATAAACACAGAGAAGCAGTCAGGGCTGAGCAACAGGAGAACATTTGTTGATTCTGGACTGGTAAGGTTAAGATAAAAGAAACATGAATGTGGGTAATTTAGTACACAGTAAATGAGCTTTGGGATTAAATTTCTGTCTACTGAGGAAAGGAGACATAGTAAGAAATTTGAAGAGGGAAATGGTGGTTTGTAATAACTGTTAGAGGGAAAGGAAGATGGGGCTGACAATACTGAGGTGTCTAAATTAATGTGTTTTGTTGGATTGGAAATCATAAGTTTAGATAGCGATCCAAAAATATTGTGAAGTTTGTACCAACCTTAAGGTTCAGATTTTTGATGTGGAAGATCATGAGTTAGAGTCATGAATCTTTTCAGCGAAAGAAATTTTTAGAGGCAGGCAATAACTTCATAACTACGAGAAAGAAAAACACAGACCTCTAATATTTCAGTGGGCACTCTCTTAGTTTCTCTAACTCTCTCGCTCATTATTCTTTGTGAAAAGGACTCCTCTTCCTTTTTCTTGCCCAAGAGGTCTCCCTCTTTGTCATATTCTCCTCTGTCTCTCTTTTGTGGACTCTGTATTTTCCTAGGCATCATCTACATACCATTTTGTGTTTTTGTTGCTCGGTAGCTAAGCTTCGTAGCTGGTCCTGAACCGTTGAAGGCCTACAGGGAAACAGGACTGATGAGAATGAAATAATTACCATGTATGCAAAATATCATGATTAGAAAAAGTAACACACTAATATCCTCTCATTTAAATAAGGTGAAGTTACTTGATACCATGATAAGAATGTGCAATCTCTTGTTATCTCTCAATCTCTTGTTATCTCTCAATCTCTTGTTATCTCTCCAAAGAAAATGATGCAAATATTCCTGGAGATGTTAGCAATTTCAGAGGATCCTGTCAGAGAAGGCAACAGCAACACTCTTAGTACCAAGAAGTCAGTTGCTTGTGTGAAAGATATCACAACATTTCAGATTTTACATTCCTTCTCTTCCTCCTCCATTTTCTCTTCCTCCTTCATTCTTGTTCCTCTTCTCCTCCTCCTTTTCCTTCTCCCTTCTTTTTCTTGTTCTTCCCCTTCTTCATCTTCTTCGCCCCCATCTCTATCTTTCCTTCCATTATCTGCTTTCTCTCTCCCCTCCTTTATCCCTGCACCAACTAAGACTAGCATGGTTACTCCCGCTACAGGATATCACAACAACTTGTGCATACTTGTGTTTAAAGATTTGCCAGAAGTTTCTCTTTATTTTACCTGTATGTTTGTTGAATCTTGGTGTATAAGGTGTGCATGTTAGTCACTTTTACAGGAAAAATTAAAAAAAAAAAAACAAAGCAAGCTTTTAAAGCTTATCTGCTGAATGATTGGAACACTAACAGAATGTTAGCATTCTGGTGATTTGGGGAGAGCACACAGCAGAAATAAAGTGTCAAAGAGCTTTTGAAACAAGGAACATTATTTTTGGAAGCAGTAATTTTTTTTAAGGAGATAACCAATGTATCAGCAAGAGAAAAAATATTACAGAATTGGCCAATCCACCAATTTAATGAGTTTATAAATGCAGTTTTCTTGGAAAAATAGTAAAATCCGATTGTATCTGTACATCTTACATGTACTTAACCTATTTAAAAATGTTTCACTATATTTATGAAATGCATGTTCTTTATCTCACTACAACAGGTATTTCACTGGTCTTTGGGCCCTGTTCAACTATCAACAATTGTTAACTCTTGAGTATTTCCTTGGCCTGCAGAGCCTGTTCTGCTTGCCTGCCTACTAAAGACTAGAGGTGTTATTGAGTTAATTTTCTGTCCATTTATAGATACAGTTCCTGTGTCCCTGGGCAGTATACCTTTGAGATGTATATTATCCACTGGTTCTGAGAGTTCCCCAGCTGCCTTGAGCCTCACACGTTCACAGTACTAATTGTTTGATAATACAACAGGCACTGAATTCCTTCCTTTTTGCCCCACTTCCTTCTGCATTCCAAAATATGCTTCCTGATAGCACTCAGCAAATAATAGCTTTTGAAGAAACTTCAAGTTAGACAGGAATTCTCTGAAAGAGGCATTGTATCTGTCTTCAAAGTGGGAAAAAATGGAAGAATAGAGAGGCTTGGCAGTTTGCTCGTGATCACATAGCTGTTAAATGCAGGAGCTGAATTTAAAAAATAAAAATCCAAGTCCAGAAAGCCAGTTCCCTGAATCACTTTGCACATGGCTTCTCACATAACAGACAAAACTATTTCTCACTAACTGTTCATTGAGGTATATGCAGAATACATCCAGGAAGTTGTTCAGCTGAAGAAATCGTGCCACTAAACACAGGAGAGATTCACAACCTATTTCTTTGACTATCCTAAATTCTACTCATATATTATTGGAAGGAGCCAAAAAACCTTGTAGCTGAAATGTGTCACACCCTTCCCAAACCATTCAGCCCATTAACACTTTGCTGTGATATCCTTACCTGCAATATCGCATGACACAGGGATAGTCTAAGTCCTTCTTGTTACACTGCAGTCTTTTCTAAGAAACCTTTAGGAGAACTTTCTTTCAGTTATAAGTATTGGCAAGAACTGATGTCTTTGCTGAACATTCTTCAGAAACTAATGTCACCTCATTTTTCTCCTGCACAATAACTGACAGAAAAACACTTTGGCTTATCCAGTAAAGGTGACATATCTCAGCCATAACTGTAGGTTAAAATTTTGTTACAATTTTCTCAAAAAATATTTCTAATTAATCTCCTTTCGCATTATACGCTTTTGTTATATTCTGAAACTTGAGTTTTATAGTCAGATAAATTAGTATCAAATATATTGTCGCTTTATAATTTATTTAGATTATTAGCTTCAGTTTACCCATCACAAAAAGCTTCTTTTTTCCCATAGGAAACTCTACTTGCTCACAAGTACTTTCAATATTTTCACATAAGGCATAGATATTTAAATATTTGGAACTTCTTTCACATGATTCTTGATCAGTAACTCCCAAAATTCAATAAGCAATCCAAATCTACACTCATTTATTTTCCTTGGCTGTAAGGCCTTATGGTCACAAGCTATTCCAATGCAAATTATCAGAAGACTGTTATTTATCAAAAACATGAATCTTGTCTCAAAACATTTTTTAAATAACATACCTCCATTAAAATTTTCAGCACATTTCTTTCAATTTGTGCATGTTGATTTTGGGGGGGAATATACACATGCAACATTACCTCTATATTTTATTGTCAACAGAATTTTATTTTTAGAAAAAGCTGTATGTCAAGAATAATCCATTTTTAAATGATGATTTCAAATAGGCTTTCAACAAAATCACAAAGATTTTTTAGTTGATATTTAATACTTTTAATGTTATAAAACTTAATAATAAATATGTTCTTCAGAAATAGTTTAAATTTCATTTCAAAATAGACATTAAAAATATTTATCAGAGAAGCTTCCAATTATAAGCACTTTCATTCTGTTTCCATCTGCACTGCTATTTTTCTTCTGGAATGCAATAATAAAGTTCAATAACTTTTGTTTTTTAATTAGGTCAGGAAGATTCTAGGCAACTTGTTGCTGATCAATGCTGGGACAGTTTCATGCATGAAACATCTGCCTTCCACATTAGTACTATGAATCGTGTACATGGTAAAAGATTTTTATTTTATAGTATATTATTGTATATTCCTTTGTATTTCAGAAATGATGCATATTTTTTCAAATAAATATTCAATGAAATTATAGTTTAGAAAAAATTTAGTTAGAAGTAAAGAATTATATAATATGCATGCTTGCTTATTAAATATTTCATTTTTGAAATTTTGAATGATTGAATAGTATGTTTCCTAATACATGTGTGTCTTAGTCAAGAAAATTTTTAAATATTATAAACAAGTAGTGTGATAAAATATTCATACTTATGAAAAAATAGCATATCTTTGCAAAGCCAAATATTACTTGCAAATGTATTACAAGGTACACATATTTTCTGTTACATATTAATCATGCCATTTGAGTATTGATGAGTATGAAACAAATCTTAGAAAGGGTGAAATTGTGAGGTCAGTATTGTGATGTAGCATGTATAGCTGCTGCCTAAGATGCTGGCATCAGCTTGGCTCAGCTCTGGCCATTGTGGCCACTTGGGGAATGAACTATCAGATGAAAGATCTTTGTATCTCTCCTCTCTGTAAATATGCCTTTCAAGAAAAAAAGGGGTGGGGTGGTTGGCTCAATTCACTGTGCCTTAATACCAGTTCTTTTTCTCTTCTTATTTGAAGTAAAATTCCTAGAAAGAGATTAAGCAAAAAGAAAGTGGTTTTTGGGGCCCGGCAGCGTGGCCTAGTGGCTAAAGTCCTCATCTTGAACACGCCAGGATCCCATATGGGCACCAGTTCTAATCCTGGCAGCTCCACTCCCCATCCAACTCCCTGCTTGTGACCTGGGAAAGCAGTCGAGGATGGCCCAAAGCTTTGGGATCCTGCACCCATGTGGGAGACCTGGAGGAAGTTCCTGGGTCCTGGCTCTGGATCGGCGCAGCACCGGCCATTGAGCTCACTTGGGAAGTGAATCACTGGACAGATCTTCTCTGTCTCTCCTCCTCTCTGTATATCTGACTTTGTAATATAAAAAAAATAAATAAATCTTTTTTAAAAATGGTGGGGTTTTTTTTTGCTTTTTTTTTTTAATTTGAGAGGCAGATTTGCCGAGATGAGAGACAAAGAGGGCAAGTTGTTTAACTGCTGGCTCATTGTCCAGATGGCCATAATGGCCAGAGCTGAGCCAGGAGCATCTTCTGGGTCTGCTATGTGGGCACGCAGGGTCCCAAGGACTCGGGCCGTCCTCCACTGCTTCCACAGAAGAGATAACTGTAAAAAGACCATTAGAACAGGCCATGAACAGAGATCTGGATGGGAAGTAGAACAGCTGGGACACCAACTCACTCCCATATAGGATGCTGGTCACTTGAAGGTGGAAGATTAGTCTGTTGAGCCATAGCACTGATCCAAGCATGAAATCAAGTGTACCCAAAAAGAGCACCAAGAAAGGAATAATAGGGGAAGGTTAGAGTGATAGTAGAGATGTGACAGCATTAGTATATTTGTGGTATTTTGGGAGATGTAATGTAACTTTGTAAACTTAACATTTTAATTTTAATTTTTGGCATCTGTAAACTAAAATATGTTCTAAACCAGGCATTGTGTTTTATCTGATACATTCTTAAAAAGAGAAAAAAATCACCAAAGTTCTTGTATGATGTATACAAACATTAAATTTCTCATGACATTTAGTTTTCATTGAAAAAAATACAATATCAATCTCCAATTCTAAAGTTAATTAAAATATTGTATCACCTCAAATCTGTTTTTTGGTTTAAAATTAAAAATTCTAGAAAACATAAAGCATATAAGAAGAGTTTAAAATGAAAATCATTATGATCTGTCAAATATAACTGGAACTCTCTTATATGTCAAAAATTCAGTTATTTCTAAAGTAAAGTTTTTACTGACATCTAGATGTGTATTTAACTCTGAAAGTAAGATCTAATAAATATGATTTCTGATAATTCTATGAATAGATAAGGAAATAAGTACACATATGGAACTGCCTACTGTCACCATCTCTATGGTAAAAATGTAACCGTATGGAGAGTTTAGATTTATATTTTTCTGTTGTCTCAGGAAAGAGAAATGAATTCATTTCTGAAAATATTCTTTCAGAATTTCCCTGTTTTGATAGGGCATAGCTGTGTGTTTTTGCCACTTTTTATTCTTATATTCTGTGAGTTATAGTGGATGGAGGTAGGAAAGATATTATCTCTATTCTAAATTTCAGCTTTCAGATCATTCTTTCTCTCACATAAAAACTTCTCAGTTTGATCTTTCTGCCATTCAACAAAATAGCTCAAGTTGCAGCACTGCATTTGTTAAAAACCCTTGCTGACTTCGATATCTCCATAAGTGACCTTTTCCATAACTGACCTGCTTTCTCTCAATTACCTTATTCTTCAACCAACATTAGCCATGCCAGTGTTTATAGTCCAGACACATTTCCAATAGCTTTAATCTCTCTATCTCAGTTTTAAGAATTCCATTCTCTTACTGCCACCTCCTGTCTTTCACATGAATTCTCTATAGGACTGTATTTCTGGTAATTTCTCTTAACCTTATCCTGCTCATGGTTTTACTTTACCACATCACTTCTCTGGTCCATAGCATATATTCTCACCTTCATTCCTTTTCTAACTATTCCTTCCTCAGTCTTGACACATGGCATGTTAAGGAACTGCAAATTTTTGCAATATTCTTGCAGAATTTCAGGAAAAAGTCTGAGTTGAATAAATAATTTAGTTGAAATCAGAGGCCTGATTGAATGCAGTAAGCTAAAGACTTTATTGAATGAATTTGAGAATGGAAGCCAGGTAACCGAGTCGGTGAAGGTGAGCACTGATCAACAGCATCTGCAGAATGTGAACAACAGATAAAACATAAGCTTCTAAAACCTAAACAGAGACTCCCTAAGAAGGAGCAATGAACTATTACTTGTATTGTCAGATTTCCAGAGGGAAAGGAGAGAGTAGTTCTGAAAAACTACTCAAAGAAATCATGTCTGAAAACTTGTTGTTGAATTTGATGAAATATATAACCCTTCAATTTCAAGAGACTGAGTAAACTCCACTCAGTTTAAAATGAAAGTGATCCACGGCAATACATACATCATCATTAATTTCTGAAAACTAACAAACAGTGCTAGAAGGCAAGCAAAGGGAAACAGCACATTGCTCATGGAGAAGCCCTGACGCAAATGGCAGGATATTTCTCAGTTGAAACCATGGAGCCCAGAAAGAAGTGGCATACATTTTCAAGTGCTGAAAAGAAGTTAAGTATAAACTGTGTCCAGACACTATAGCCTTTAAGAAGGAAGGAAAAATGTACAGACTCTTAGGTAAAGGAGGAGAAAGTCACTTTACTACAGGCAAACTAGTCTCTGAAGTATGGGCTGAAGAATGTTTTCTAAACAAATAGAAAATAATACAATAAGAAAGATGGGAACTTTAGACAGGAAAGAACATTAGCATGAGTAAAAATAAGAACTAATGTAGTAGACCTTACTGCTTCTCTGGTCCCTTATGTAATATTTGATGACTGAAATGAAAATTATAACACTGATATGATGATATAGATAGAGAGATAAAATTCAACAATTATATGTAGAATGTAAAGAGTATAACATAATTTAAATGGAAGTAAAATGCATTGACTGTATTTTCTCGTTTTCTGTCTTCCCTCTGGAATCTGAGGTCATGCTGATTTGAGAGGACTTTTCCCCTTCTAGGATTAGCCCATTCCCAGAGACCTAAGGACTCATCTGTAAGAGCACCTTTCATCTGCAAACCAGCCAGTACACTTGGGGGAGGATAGCTTGCAGGTACCCCTGCTCAGCAGATCCTAAATTAGTTGCCTGCCTTTCCCATATCAAAAGGATTAACACTGGGACATCAACATATGATTCCATTACTTAGGATGGTTAAATACATCCAGGGACAAAGTGGTAGAAAATCAGATAATCCTGTTATCTGGACTTCTAAGATATGGGAGATAACCTTAAAATAATTTCCAACTAACATCCAATCTAACTGCAGATGGCATTCAACTTTCACAAAACTAAGGCATACTTACTCCCTCAGTTTCTCTTTCTATCCAAATATATGTAAACACACACACATATAGATAGCTATACTTCTTAACCTTCCTCACCAAGCACACTCTCATGCTTATAATTTCCTCTGAAAATTTCTTTCCTACCTACTAGTTCCTGCAATTTACATTCTGAATTAGTCCTTTAACACTTCTAAGTTAAGAGAAAAACAGCTTTTTAAAGAACATACTATGAATTGGAAATTGTCTTCAAGAACTCAGTGATTAGTGATATTTAATGGTGTGTTTCTGATAGCATAAAGCATGCCCGTATCTCCAGATAATTGACAGGCATGCTTATTTAATTATATTGGCAGCTGAGTGCGGTTTTACGTTTTTAAATAAAGCTTTCCTTCCTGTTAAGTCAGATGACCAATCTTCCACCCAACTGAACTCGGGTTCCAATCATATAGATTTGTAATTATGATTTATGGCGTAAAGCAAATGGGTTTTGTAGCTCTCCCCGAATGTCTGAATACCTATTCTTAAGAAAAAAAACCTATAACCTGGAATTTAACTCTTTATGCTAATGGAATGTTTCTATGAAGGTGAAAAATGAATCCATTAAATAATTTGTAACTGTCTCGCTTTGTAAAATGAAACACGGGGAAGAGTACAATTTCTTTCTTCTGTCATTTTATGCAATTTCTTGCATCCAGAAATACGGGTAAATATGGTGACAAAGAAAGTACAAACACTTAAGAGGTTACAAAATGCCAGACCTTTACAAGAGGTTATTAGTAGATGGAGTCACTAGTTTGGTTGAGAGAAAAGGAGATAAACTGGTAAATTGTGTTTGATAAACTTTTGATGGACTAGTATTTTTTTAGCGAAATTTGCTACGGTGTTAGTTCCTAGAGTGAATTGAAATCTAATGCCTACTAATGAAATCCAACACTTCTTCCCCTTTTCTCATCTGATAATCTTCCTGTCTATCTCATTAAGAATTTAGAGTCAAAATAGATTCATATTGGTTCTACCATTGCATTAGAAACCTGATTTTATTTAAGTCCATTTACCTCGCCTTTTCCTCAGTTACATTGGAAATGTTGTCTGTGCACTTCAGGCCAGCCCTCCTCTACTCAGTCTTTCACCCATTCAACTTTGTGGATCTTTCTAGTTCTCTTCTGTGTCTTCTATAATAAACACTTAATGGATTATTCCAATTAGCATATGCATGCTGTAATAGCTCCTAATGTTAAAAGATAAACCTCTCTTTATCCATTATGCTATCAGTTACCATCCCAGTTTTCTGATTCTTCTTGATAGGGAACAAATTGAAAAGCTGTCTGTACTTATCGCCCTCACTTGTTTATACCACTATCGTTTGAACCTGGGATAATCCAACTTCATACTCTGTTCTGCTGATTCTGCTCTTTTGTTTCATCAGTAAGCAGACTCTGCCAGTAATAATGATCTGTATTCAACTCATCTTGCTTACTGCATGAACTCTGTTGACACAGTTGATGTCTCACTGTTTTGGAAACAGTTGACCCTCAAGACTCAATTCCCCCCTGATTCTTCTATTTCTGTATTAAGCCCTGCTCTTTAGAGATTAGGCTCAGTCCTCTCTCCTTCTAGTAACTGTCCACATTCCGTCTGATAGGACCTCATTGGGTCACAAGTAAGAGCTCCACTTCTAAACTGATAGCCCCAGCCTGGACATCTTCTCTAAATCCAGGCTCACACCAATATCTATTATCTCTCAATAGCCCTCCTTTACATTTCTATGCTGCTTCTCAAACTTCCTTTGGCACTCTGCTCAGGTGATACCACTTGTCAGAGAAGACTTCCAGGAACACCTGATATTAGTATCTGGGTCATTCTCTACCCCCTCATTGTTTCACTTAACACCATATATATTAGTATCTGATTTAGCTCTTCTATTCTCATCACCTTCTGGAATCCATTGCTCGGGCAAGCAGGAGATTTGTTTTCTTCACTATTTTGTTTTCAGACTTATTATAATGCATAAATAGCTTCTAAAAGATCCTGTGAAAGAAAAAATGATAGTATAAGATAAAAGAATACTATAGAAAATTGATTTATCTGGATATAGCTTTGCCATAACAAAATTTGGGTGCCTATGAATATGTAAGCTTTCCTTTTAATAAGAGAAAAAAATTGTGTAGAAATTTAAGTAATTTTCTCAGCTTCCTAGAGCTTAACTTTTTTCAGATTCCCAGAGCTAGTGAATTATAGAACAGAGCTTTAAAGTTGTATAGAGGAAAAGTCATGGTGATGGATCAGTAAGATATAATGGTTTTATCCATAGTAACAAACATACTCAATGACATCTCATAATTTTTTGCCAGGAACTTTAACTGAATTTTTCTTTTAAAAATATTTATTCATTTATTTGATGGACAAATTATGCAGAGAGAGAGACGGACACACACATAAATACACACACACAATGAGAGAGCTATTTTATCTGTTGGCTTACTCTATAGTTACAGCCATGGATGAGTCAGACCAGGGTCTTCTACATGGATGGCACAAGTCCAAGCACTGGTAATCTTCCACTACCTTCCAAGGATCATTAGTAGGGACCTGGATCACAAGTGCAGCTGCTGGGACGTGAATGGTTTTCATATGGCATTTTAACCCACTGCACCTCAACACTGGACCCATTAATTGAAATTAAAAGTAGATACTTTATAAGAAAAATATTCAGTTTCTTAACATTAATTTTATAATCTTGGCCATTTTTTTTCAATTTGTAAAGAAAAAAATATATACTAGGATATTGGGGTGAGAAAGGAGCATTCAGGCAGTCTATTACAGAGATGGGCATTATGACCAATGCTGCTGTTTGGCACTCCAGCATCCTGTATCCAAGTGCCTGATTTGAGTCCTGGATATTTTGCTTCTGACAGCTCCCTGCTAATGTACTTGAGAAGGTATCAGCTGATGCTCCTAGGATTTTGCTCCTTGCCACCCATATGGAAGACACAGATGGAGTTCTCAGTTTCTGGTCACGTGCCTTGAGTATTTGTGAAACCAGAGGATGGAAGATTCTCTCTCTCTCTCTCTCTCCCTCTCTCCCTCTCAAATAAATAAATAAATATTGGTTTAAAAGACATTCCAAGCATTCATGCAGACCTAGTGGCTATACCCTCTCCTCGAATGTGCCGGGATCCCATATGGTGCCAGGTTCATGTCCGTGTCCTGGCTGCTCCACTTCCCATCCAGCTCCCTGCTTGTGACCTGTGAAAGCAGTGGAGGACCACCCAAAGCCATGGGACCCTGCACCCACATGGGAGACCCAGAAGAAGACTCCTGGCTCCTTGCTTTGGATTGGCTCAGCTCCTACCATTGTGGCCACTTGGGGTGTGAACAACCAGCAGATAGATCTTTCTCTCTGTATCTTCTTCCCTCTCCATATGTGCCTTTCCAATAAGAAAAAATAAATCTTTAAAAAAAAAAAAAAAGAACACTGGGAAACATTTTCGATTTGTCTTCTGTTTTTCACAGTTGGGAATAGATGCTCCTTCCTTTCACACGTAACTGGTTTTGGCTTTTTCGTGGATGAATCAATCAATGAGCACTGTTCTGCCAGTACCAAGCAGGAACCTGGATCTATTATGGTCTAAAACACAATAAACAAGGAATTAAAGAACAAAAATTGCTATTTTTTCTCCCCTATAATATGTGATAAGATGTGGAAAGACTCATGGGTTTTATGGTTCTTTCATTGCTCTGAGAAGCACCAGTTATTACTCAAAAATATTTCTTTAGTCTCTCCAGTCTCCTCCAGAGAAACTTCTTACCTCCGGATAAAACACAGCTTACAATGTAATTTAGCATAATGTATTATTTTTTCTCAAAAGCAATTTTGAACACTTGATGATCAGTAATTAGGTGATTATTTTCTGCTGTTAAAACTAATTCTGTGTTACATTACATTTTAAACTATTTTTGCATGTTTTACAGGAATATCTCTGCCTCCTAGAGGAACCATAGATATCCCAGTGTTTTTTGTACCTAAAACTATGAAATTATACAAAACAATGATCATTATTCAAATGATGAGAGCTAATAAAGAAAATTGGCACATAGACAATTTTGATGAATTGGATGAAGACACCAAAAGGTAATGTTAAAGACAATGAAGGAGAATGATCTCATTTTTGACTGGCACTGTTGTAATTTCTTTTACAAAAGGAGTAGGCTCGTGATTTTATACTCTAAAAAATTACTGGATTTCCTATGTTCAGAGGAGTCAAACTTATTTGGCACATGGATATGTATTTATGTAATTACTAATTCAAGTCTCTGAGTGACAAGAAATTGTATCCAGAATATCTTTATCAATATGTTGGTCAAAGACATAGAAAGGGACTCTTGTTTAGAAAAAAGAAAGCGACTACCAAAACAAATGTTCAGCATCAGGAGAACATCCTAGAATAACTTGTTTGGGCAAAGACTTGTGAATTGAGTGCTCGCTAGTGATGACGCTGTGCCAGATGGATGTGGCATCCTTCTGAGAAATTGCCAGGACTAGGGACTATTGTTCTACTGCCAGAATGCAGGTAATTTGCACTCTTTCAGCCTACCTGTAGTTTTTTCAAACTTCAATAATGGTGCAGAAACTAAACGTGTCTAGTTTGTTAAAATATTTTTGAGACCCAATGCAAAATGAGGATGAGATTACCCCTCTTCAAAATTTACTAAGAATTCCAAGATATTTATGGTGTTGTATGAAATAAGCACAGAGCCCTTCTAACTGTAGGGTCTTGCATGATTCCTCATGGCACAGGCACAACAAGCTCTGTTTGCACTGTGTTGTATTTTACTAAAAAAACACAATCTTCTACAATAATAGAAAAAATTTTAAATTTATTTTATTTTTATTTGAAAGGCAGAGAGACAGAGGGAAGAAACAGAGAAAGAGATCTTCCATCTACGGGTTTATTTCACAAATGCCCATAGTGATCAGTGCTGAACCAGTCCAAAGCCAGGAGCCAGGACTGCTATGGGCCTCTCATGTGGGTTCAGGAGCCCGAGGACTTGAGCCATCCTCTGATGATTTCGCAGACCATAAGCAAGATGCCAGACTGGAGGTGAAGCAGCTGGGACATTAACTGGTGCTTATATAGGATGCTGGCACTGCAACCAGAACTGCCCGTTACACTATGGCATCAGCCCCAAACAGAAATATCTTATAGGACTTATACTCCTGGTATTTTGTGATGGATTCAGACTAAAGCTTCCAAAAATATAATTCAAAGAATTTTGTTTGTTTTGCACTGTGCCTGTCCTGTTTGGAATATAATCTATGAAGACTGTCATTAATCCCAGTTTAGTCATACCAAAAAATACCAATAGAAATATTTTGGGGGCCAGGAGTGATAACCTCTTGGCTAAATCCCCACCTTGCATACGCCAGGATCTCATATGGGTGCCCACTCATGTCCCAGCCTGATCCACTTCCTATCCAGGCCTGGAAAGGCAATAGAGAATGACCCAAAGCTTTGGGATGCTCCTGGCTCCTGGCTTCAGATAGGCTCAGCTCTGGCCTTTGTGGCCACTTGGGGAGTGAACCAGCGGATGGAAGACATTTTTGTCTTTCCTTCTCTTTGTAAATCTGCCTTTCCAATAAAAATAAATAAAACTCAGAAAGAAAAATATTTTAAAATAGGGGGGGAATTCTTATATTTTAACCTACAACTTCTGATGATTTTCTTATAGCTTTCTTTGTGATGATTTTGCAAGGTTTCCTTTGACATGTTAAATCAACATTTTCAAAAAACATTATGTCATTTTCTCTCTGCTAAAATTTAAATAACTAAATTATATTACTAACACATTACTGGATTAATAAGTAATGAACTATTTAAGGCTAATATTTAAAGCACCTTTTTATCCATTCTTCTTATTTTAATTTCTCTTTAGAAATTTGGTAATACGTAGTGAAGACATTCCAGATATACATTGGGTGTACCCTATTATCGGACTCCCACAGGCACCATTCCCAAAAGGCCCTCAAGGTAGGTATATTCTAATATCAGAAAATCCCAACAGTCCAATGGACTTTAAGCATCTTCTAATCCTATTTCTTTTTTGCCTGGATATGAACTTTGAATTCCAGTTAAAATAAGTAGTGCAGTGACCATCACTGCTTTAGAGAGTATTGCGACATAAACATAATCCCAGTAACTTTTCCACAAAACCCAGCTATTTCCTATGATGTTCCTTTTGGTGAACTCAGATACCAACTCACTTGAAATGAAATTAACTTCAGACATCTTTACCCATCGAGCTCTGCATAGATCTGCAAGATCTACATGATTCCAACGTCCTTTGTTTTGAGTTCACATTTAATCATATTTCAGCTTTTGTATAATCCTGTTTCATCTAAGAATTGTCATGTGAGTTTGCTAATTCATCTATTTAACTGTCCTAGACTTAAAATTTTTATGATATTCCTGCACAATCAGTTAGAAGATACCTAATTTTCCATGGATATTTACTTGCTACTCTGAGTTAAACACAACAGAACTGCCTGCCTTTAAATGACTTTGTTTTTCTCAATTTCTCCATATGCTCCAGACTTCTCTCATGTTTCTGTGTATTCTCTTCCCTCAAACACTCTTCTCTTTTTCTGTAGTTGACTTTTCCCAATGTCTTTCCAGAATTAGCCTAACAAATGAATTCCCTCTTAGACAACTATACAGTGAAAGTTAGTGTTCCAACCCCTACCAAACTCCAGCTATAGCAAATGGGCATCTATTTTGGTTCTCTCCTTTGAGCCAAAGATTTGAGTTAAAACAAGCCTGGAAACTGTGCTTATTCTTTTTCCTTCCCATGAAAATCTTTGCAAATAGAAAGGATTAGACTTCCATTGAAATAAAGTTCGTCACTACATTCAGAAAGAGGGTAAACTACTAAGTTTTGTTTGTAAATAAATTATTTCTCTAGATACCTTAGTTATAATAGAAAGCCAAAAGTACATATTTCCTTACATAATTTAATATTAACTAGAGTAAATATCCAAATACACAGCTGTATCTTTGACAAAATTCATTATTTTACTTGAAGTATTTTTTACTCTTGAATTTAAAAATCTGCGCATGCATAAATATTTCAAATATACTAAAATGTCTTCAAAATGTTTCACAGCATGTGAAAAAATTTCTTTTCTTCCTTCTAGAAGGTAGTTGATTTTATACTTTTCATAGAACCAAACTGTTTAAAGTTTCTAATATGCTGTTATTCTATCAAAGTGATGTAATGAAGCCTAGACACTACTCTGTTGGAGTTCTAGTAGATAGAATGTTGCAGTGCCTTTTGCACACACAATTTTGTTTTTTTTTTCTCTTAGTAAAAGTTTAAAACAGACTTTCCCAATCTAAAATAAAGTCTTAGGTAACCTTAAAACATAAGTTTCTTACATGTTTTTCTTCAAAGAAAGTGAAGATAGTTCCAGAGTATATCCCTTTGAGTCTCTTCCTTAGTAGTTACTTGATTTTTAAGTTAAATGTGAGTTTGGTGAATTACCTCTGTGAAATTAGCATATTCCAGTAGTAATATTCAGTATCTTGAGATGGACTGGTGTTGGTTATTAAATAATTTTGCCCCTAATATAAAATCTGTGCTTATAATTATTTTCCCTATAATGTCCTTGAGAAGCAAGGGGTATAGTTTTATGAATATATATTATTTACTTTCTGTGCAGTCTGTATTTTTTTTTATTTAATAGCTCATCAGACAGAATGTACTCTTTTCCTCACTCAGCTGTATCATTGTCAAAGTTTATTATTTCATTCCTTTTTCTTGTCTCTGTCACTCAGATTATTCTCAAGCCCAGGATACTTTTGTTATTTTATAAGCCACTTTTTCTCTTTGTGAATCCCTGTTTATTACTGTCCAATGAGGCAGATAATTGGAAAAGGACTCTACTTGTCACAAAAGACAGTGGAATGTAAATCCATTGTGATTGAGTGATACTTGCATTGCCAAGGCAATAAGTTCCCAAGAATTTATAAGACAAACCCGATGATATAGTAATTATAATTTTGATCACTCTAATTTCTAATGTAATGCTTTGAGGCTGAAGCTAATTGTAACAGGAAAAGTTTGTACATTTCGCTCAGCCATTCAGCCTTTTTATTTTATATCTAACTCTGTGCTTTTATTCTACATGTAGCATATTCTTTCTAAAATATTAAACAAAAGTAAATTTTATAATAAATTAACTCAATCATATTTTATACTGCAAGTATGATGTGCATTGTGAAAACACTTATCTAAAGACCTCACCTAATTTTATACTTTATGGGAATATATTATTAATGCATATATATAGTATATGGATTGCTTGATGCATTTCAGAAGCCTTTTAAAATATTATGATTCCTCTTTTTCTTTACACTCAATTTACAGCTTATCTGCTCTTAACTTGATAAAACTTAAAACAACTGATGTTGCCCTTTCCTTTGGAAAAGACAGGTGTTGCGATGTAATGGTTTCGCTACCACTTGGAATGCTTGCATCCCATACCTTAGTTTCCAGTTCAAGTATCACCTCCACTTCTGTTTTAATACAGCTTTAAGGCAGCAAATTATAGCTCAAGTACTCGTAGCCATCCATAAGGAGACCCTCGTGGGGTTCCTAGCTCTTGACTACAGACTGGCCTAATCCTACCTACTATATCTAGGATTTGAGGAGTGAATCACAAAATGAAATGTATCTTTGTCTCTTTTTCTGTTGTTCTGCTGTTCAAAGTAATAATATAAAATATAAATAAATGATATATTTAAAAGAAATAATCTTATTTATGTGAATTGCAGTACATATGACCTCATAGTAGTGTGGATGGAATGTCAAAGGAATACATTAATATTCTTTCTTTATTATATAATTAATAATTTTAAACAGAAACAGTATTTTAATGTTTCGGAAGATGACTGATGGCTTCACACACTTGACATAGAAACATAATTAAAATGAGTATAAATGTTTAATGCTGTATATTATTAATACTTGATTTCATCTTAATTTCAGATGATTCATTGCAATTGTATTTTTACCTATGGAAAGGTGTATTTTTAAATTTAGAGATAGTTAAATATCAATTTTAAATGTTTTAACTAAATATCTTAAACAGCAATTTTAAGATGTATGCAAATACATAATCAAATAGAATATATTTTAAAACAATTTTACAGAATAAGGCACAAAGTTTATTTATTTATTTAGAAGATTGTTTTTGCTTGAAAATCAGAGTTACAGAGAGACACTACTAGACACTAGACTGCTAGACACAAAGCGAAAGAGGAAGAGATATCATCCATTGGCTTTCTCGTTCCGCAAAAAGCTGAAATGGCCAGAGTAGAGTTGGTCTGAAGCCAGGAGCCAGGAGCTTCTTCCAGGTCTTCCATGTGGATATAGAGGCCCAAAGCCTTGGGCCATTCTCTACAACTTTCTCAGGCCATTAGCAGAATTTATTTTTCAAAAAGTATTCAAAGGCATTTATTATAATAGTAGAGCTTGATATCACCACATCGAATAGAAAGATTTTATAAGGTAGGAATTACCACTTCAGTTACTGATATAATCATCAGTATTTAAATCAATTTCTATATGCTAATAAAATCTTTTCTAATGTAATGTTTGTCCTATAGATTTATCTTTCCACATGCTTTTTTAAGATATTCATTAATATCCGTGTTTGCTTCAAAATGTAAATCTTTATAGGTATTGAATATTAAGGCCAGGTGCAATGGCAAATCAACATATGCCAAAGGAATTAGTCAAATTAACTGAAAAAATTTTTGTCTTGCAGCTGTCATAAAATGTCAGTCCAAGAAACAGGTGGAACACGCTGTAGAAGTTACACTGACTGGTCATTTTTTTGGACCAGATCCTACCCCAGAGTTGACGGAATTTTCAGTGATTCCAAAAAAACAGCCATATAACTTTTGTGGAGATTGCCATGGTAAGAAAACCACGGATGTTAAGAAAAATCAAAATAAAAAGAAACTCAGTTTCCTGGAATTGCAAACTGCAGATTGCTCTGTTAGAGGAAGATCTCTCTTTTCATTTCCAGTAGGGTATTCAAGTTGGTGCTTAACAAGTACTTGGTTGTTATTTTTATTTTCACATAGTGATTAACTACAAAAATGACAGTTATGTTATTGGTGTTATAAGACATAGATTTTGGTGCTGTCAACAGTCAGAAGAGGTACACTAACAGTTGTCTTCTCTTCCTTTCAAAGGAAGGAAATCCTTTTCCTGATATAAAGAATATGATGGAAGTCATTGCTAGGTTTGAATTTAGGAATATAACCCTGAGTCTTTTTTGTCTGTTTACTTACTTAAAGCAAAAGTAAAGTATCATAGACATAATACTCAGATAAAAATTGTATTGTAAGCTTTATTGCATATGTTTATATTATATACCAAGTTTTTATGTAAAATCACTATCTCATTTTTTTATAAATTAAAACAATTTAAAATATGTTACAGTTTAAGCATCCCAATCCAAAAATTCAATCATTCAAATGCTTCAAAATCTTAAACTTTTCAAGTGCCAACATGATGTCTCAAGTAGAAAATCTTACATCTGACCTATTGTAATATAGTCACACATCAAAATATAGGCATTCTGAAAATACTTTATATGAAACATAAATGAATTTTGTGTTTAGACTTAAGTCTCATCCCCAAGATCCCTGATGATAAAAGTGAAAATATTATGAAATCCAATAAAGATACAAATCCAAAACACTTCTGGTTCTAAGCACTAGTCATCAGGGAAACACAATTCCAAACCACAGTGTTGCAGCACCTCACGCCTGTCAGCATAGTTATTAAAAAAAAAAAAGTATTGGCAAGACTGTGCAGAAATTTATGGAGAATGTAAATTGGTGTATCTGCTATGGAAGACCGTATGAAGGCTCCTTTGAAAATAAATACCCCAAATTCCAATTTTGGGTAGTTATCCAATACAGTTGAAATCATGATCTCACAGAAACATCCTTTACTCCAATGTTCACCGCAGCATTAGTCACAATAGTCAAGGTATGGGAACCATCATTTAGATTGATGGGTATTTAACCCATTAACAGTAGAATGGATAAAGAAAATACGGCATATAGATGAAAAGGAGCAATATTTAGCAATCAAGAATATGGTATTTCCATTATAGGTGACAACCTGGTGAACCTGGATATTATAATAATTGAAATAAGTCAAATCACAGAAAGATTGATATTATAAAATACTGTTTAAGTTATGAATTTTAAATAATCAAACTCATAGAAGCAGAGTTTGATAGTGATTTCCAGGGACTTTAGGCACTGGGATGATTTTGTTCAAGGGCTATAAGATTTTAATCATGTGATAAATAAGTTGTGGGATCTGTTGGCTATCACTGTGTCTAAGGTTAACAATGTTGCATTGTGCAATTGAATATTTATTAAGAAGGTAGATATGTAACACTAAGTATAAAGTAAGATAAAATGCTTGTATATAGAAACCATATTTTTAAAGATTTATGTATTTTATTGGAATGGCAGATTTACACAGAGAGAGAGAGAGGGAGAGAGAGAGCATACATGTGCCAGAGACCTTCAATCTGCTGGTCCACTCCTAAATAGACAGAATTGAGCTGATCTGAAACCAGGAGCTAGGAACTTCTTCTGGGTCTCCCATGTGGGTTCAGATTCCCAAGGCTTTGGGCCAACCTCTGCTGGTTTCTCAGCTCACAGGTAGGGAACTGGGTGGGAAGTGGAGAGCTGAGACGTGAACCCAGTGTCCATATAGGATGCTGAGTGCTTTAACATTGAGGATTAATATGTTGAGCCATAACATTAGCCCCACTCTTCCTGAATACTCCCCCTATGGCAAGTCATGATGAAAATATATTGAAGCTGAGATTTTTTCCTATATATTTTCCCTTCTTTTGTGGAAATAGGCATCTCTGTGACAACTTGATATATAGGAGGTAAGAATCTCAAGATTCTCTTCCCATCAACCTCTACCAAATCTGTTTCTTGAGACCAAGAGAATTACCAAACCTTATAAAATGAAAAGACAAAGACCTCTCTGCTGTTGCCACTTTGATTCATCACACACTTTTGAGTTAACTAGGATTTATGCAATTTATATTTAGTCTTTCAGCAACAGCGTAGCAAGAATATTTGCTACTAGATATTGTACCCAGCTCCAGAAATGACAAAAATTTAACAAGACACGGGGGTTCAAAATAATACACCTGTACTATTTTAATCAAGGCATTATTCTACTTGGATATTTCTATACTTGGATTTTGAGACTATGCTTTACAATGCTACTTCTATAAGATAAATCTAGACAGGACTGAAAATTGTGGTTTTTTTTCCTAAGTAACTTTAGGTTCACATGCTTGTTATAGGTTTCTGGGGATCACTTCGGGGACTTTGTTTGCGTGACTTTTGACCTGGAAGTGGTTTATGTTATAACTGCCTATCAGTTCATGCCTCTTTTATTTCTTAAGTGTTTTCCTAAAAGTTATTTTTTTATTGATCTGTTATCTTCATCATGTCTGATTTGCTGATTGTGATGTCACACTGATCTCAGTTCCCTCAGTTCCCACTAAGCAAGTCATCTTACTTTTTTTTTTTTTTTTTGCATGGTGTAAACTGTCATGTAGTATTTTGTCTTTCATCACAAACAATCCAGATAAATCTGTCATTGGGCTTCCTGGATCCCTGTTTGCTTCCCACTTTCAATCTGTTTTCTCTGAATAATTCACTCTATCAAAGCTCTTAATCTACAGCTCTTAGTAGAATTATCTTGAAAAGATTGTCAGCCTTTTGCAGTATTACTAATATAATGGTCAGATTTGTGTTCTGAGTTTACTCTACATGGTAATAGATTTCACATCTGGCCTTATTAATATAGCATCTCTGGCTGTTCCTTTTGCATCTGTGTCTTTGTTTTCTCCTATTTGACCAATATCTAAATATTTGAGTGACGCAATATTTCTATGCAGACCTAGTGGCCCATACACTTTCAATGATGCTAATGACACTTCTTTGGCAATCCAGTCTTGTGACAAGTCTCTAGTCCAAGATTGTGAAGCCCAAAGTCGTGTGGCTTGGATTCCTCCATTTAGTATAAGAACTCTCACTTAAATTAAGGCCTTCAAATGAATTGTTTCTGTATGAATACAGAAATTGAAATAAAAATAAATAAATAAAAGAAATAATAAGAGAAACTGTTTTAAAAGTGTATTTAGGTGTCAGATGTGGAAAAAAATCATCTTCACCATAATCATGAATGAGGGCCTAGTTAGAAAATTTAGTTAAAGTAAGCACAATAATCATTATATCAAAAGATAGAAAACAGTCTATTCTGAGCAGATAAGAACTTCATTGTATGTAAAAGCTACTTTATTACTTGCCCAAATACACCTTATTTTGTTCACTATAGAAGTCATTTCTTCTTTTTCTTGTGTATTAAATATCCAATTTTCTGGCTGTAGATATTCTAAATACCCTGTATTTTAACTTTTACATTAGGATTAAAATAATTTATGCACATTTATATGGTATTACATTATTCTACATTTGTATATGTATTTATTTTTGCCAAAAATATATACTTTCACATGTTTTCATATTGCTTTTGGGCATCCTTCCATTTCCATTTGAACTCTTCATTAGTATTACTTAATATAAAGCAGGTCTAACAGTTATAGTTCAAGATTTTTTTTGTGTGTGTGGTCTCAGAAAGTCTTTGCCTCTTTCTAATTTTAAAGATCAGTTTTGCCAAATATAGTTCTTTGGTTGTCATTTTTTTTGACCCTTTAAATATTTTATCCCATTTTCATTAAACTGCTAAATTTCTGCTGGGACATCATCGTTTTATGGAAGCCCACTTAGGTGATGATTCAATTTTCTCTTTATATTTCAAAACTCTGTATTTCCTTTTGGTTCTTGACAGTTTAACTCTGTGTCTTAGTGTAGGCTCGGTGTCCTGTCCTACAGACAAGCGTGTAGCAGCTTCTTTGGGAGCAGACCATACAATCAGACCTAGGACAAAGTTGGATTATGCTTTACCCTCTCTGTTCCCCATGTGACAACTCCTGAATTAAGTGGCTTTCTCTTAGCACTGAAAAGTGTGTGCTGAATTCTGGAACTTTTCAAAAAGTAGTTTCATGTGTTAGTGTTTCTGGAATTGGTGATGGAATGAGAGTTTAAAGTTCCTATTCACCAAATCTACAGAAAGAAGGCAATACCACCAGTTAGAGAAAATCTATGTAAGGGTTCACTCCTCAAGTGGCCACAGTGGCCAGAATTGAGCCAATTTGAGGCCAGGAGTTTCTTCCAGGTCTCCCACATGGGTGCAGGATCCCAAGACTTTGGGCTATCCTTAACTGCTTTCCCAGGGCACGAGCAGAGAGCTGGATAGGAAGTGGAGCAGCCAGGATTAGACCTGACTCCCATGCAAGGCAAGCATTTAGCTACTGTTTACCATTTTGTTGACAACACCTCCTCTAGAGGGTCCCAGGGAAGATTAGACTTTGCCTCCAATAATGAATTTGCTACAGTAGTTCCAATTTCTATTGATTTTTATCTGTAACATTGTAATATACACAACTACATTCTTAAAAATTGATGAGTGGGTTAGGGGACATTTGGCCTAGTGGTTAAGATGCCAGTTAGGTTTGTATTGGAGTACCTTGGTTTGACATACACTTCATTCTCCTGACCCCTCCTTCCTGATAATTGCAGATCATGGGTTGTAGTGGCAATGATTCAATTGATTGGGTTCCTGCCAGCCTTGTGGGAGACCTGGATTGTATTTCTGTCTCCCAATTTTGCCTCAGTCCATCTCTGGCCAATGGTCACAACCATTTTGAAAATAAATCAGCATGTGGAAGCTCTGTTGTCAAATTAGTGGATGATTTTTAAAACTTAGGAGCTGTGTTTAGCATAAAGATTGGTTTTGGCAAATGATGAACTTGTAATTGTACAAATCTTGCATAATTTTTAACCACACAATCTACATAAAATACCTAAATAGATTTTCTTCAAATTCAAAATATACCAAAAGATGTATTGCTTACTTGGTAATATGACTTCACAAGTTAATTGTAGACATCATCATATCAGTTTTAGAACACAAAGAAGACTAACCATTTATTAAAATTATGTTAAATATGATTGTCCCATTTTCCCTTAGGAGCTTATAGTAATATATTTTGTTGTAAAAGAAAAAATATATGTGTATATATATTGAAAAATATGCTTAGTTTCCTAATCCTTTTCTTCTCTCTGAATATGTTGACTGCATTTTGTACCTAATGGGCTTTAGTATGAATGGAATTACTTGTTTGGTAGCTATAAATCTCTACAAGGCATTGATGCTCCTGAAACTAACAGTAGCTTCTCAATCTCTAATTCAATTCTGACACCACCATTCCAACGAAAGTTTCTATAATAAGCTAAAAAAATAGATGCAGTTTTCAACTACAACCAGATATATGCATTCCCTCATCCATCCCCTAAAAATGCATTATGAATAGCATAATCCTTAATTTCACAGTCAGTTAAATTGAAGCAAGTTTTCATTTTGATTTTCCTAGAAATACCTCAAATACGCGAATTTGAGTATGAAATTCTATATGACTCTGAAATGATGAAGTGTAACTTGACATCCTGTCTGTCTTTACAACTGATCAAGAAATCTTACAGTATCAAGAATGAAACAATATCATTATTCTTTGCTGTGAAATTTGCTCCAAAGAGACCGTTGAGGTAAACATATTTTCCTTTCTCTATTCTCTAAGAATTTTATGGTTCATTTGAATTAAATAAATGTTGCTTTTTATTCCCATATTTCATTATTTTGATACTACTTGTTTGATATTGCAGATAACAATCTTTGAAGCTAGATTAGTTCTAGATATTAAACTATGAAAAGTATCCTGATGAGGAAAAAAAATAGCTCAAATGGTTGGAAATCAAACTGCATTCAAGCATTCTGATGCACTCCCTGATGTTATCAGCCTATCATATTAACACAAGAGAAATTTGTTGTCTAAAATATCGAAAATAAAAATTTACTTGATGATGTACTTTGGGGGAATCACAGCTAATGGGAAAATTAAAAGATGTTTATTTTTATATTCACTCAACTTTTTTTGTAATATGCACTTTCCATGAACTTTTTGAAGACAACTTATATGTTAGCAACATGATGCCGTATTGATGCTACATTTCAGAACCATTTCAAAGGATAAAACTATTTAGACTATGTCTTACATTACAACTCTTTTCAGTAGTTTTCACCACCCAACACCATAACATTCACATCCTGTTAGTAAGACATAATGGATCTATGGGAATAGTGGGCTTTTGGTGTCCTTGGAGAAACCCCTTGTATTTGCTTTGGGGGAAGTATGTTAAGCATGTAGAAGTTCTATATGATATGTGACATCTGAAACAGAGCTGTTGGTGTGTGTACAAATATAATCACCACCTGATATACACAAAATACAGCATTCAGTCTAACAAAGAGAAAATAAGTAAAAGTATTCTAGCTTTAATCATTTCTGAAATTCAACTGTGCATTTATACATAGCTGTACATATTTAAAGTGGCAATGAATATGTGATCCAATAACTAAGATACAAAATTCATTTTCAGGATGCAGTAATAAACCTACAAAACAATGCATTCTAAGTGCTGCTATTGTTCACTCTGAACTTTTCTTTCATTTTCATAGTTTTCTGCTTCTGTTTTACTATTTCTCTTTTCTTAAAAGATGTATTAAATATTTGAAAGTCAGTTACGAAGAGATTGAGACATAGAAAGAAATATCTTATGTCCATAGGTTCACTCCTCAAATAGCCCAAATATCCATAGATTGGCCAGGATGAATCGACCCAGGAGCTTCATCTATTTCTCCTTTGTGGATTGCAGGGACTCAGACAGGGCAGCTGGGACTTGAATCAGTGTCCTTACGTGATGCTGGCATTGCAGGCAGCAGCTTTATTTGCTGCACCACTCTGTCAGACCCTCTTTGTTAGTATTTTTCACACTTTATTAGTATCTTATTAATTTGGTGATATAGAAACTTCCAGAAATAACCAGATGGGGAGCAAAATAATCATTGTTGAATATGGGCATAGCCTTGGTGAATTTATACTCATTCAGAATTTTGTGGATTTAGACTTTCTTGGTGAATATTTAGAAAACTGATTTATGACAACATTGCTGCATGAATCAGATTCAGTATTATGTGATGCTCTAATATAAGTTATGAATTCTGTTTCATTATATATGTCATAGGTTTGTTTACCTGAGAGGAGAGGGTTAGAGAGAAAGAGAGCCCACACTTGCTGCTTCCTTCCTCAAATCCAGTTCTCTCATGTGGATGGGCAGGGCCTGGATCCATTACCGGCTGCTTTCCAAGTTTGCATCCACAGGATGCTGGAAAAAAACATGGTGCCAGGGTAAAATGCAGACCCTCTGATGGCGATGTACACTTCTCATAAAGCAAATCTCCCGATAGGCATAATACCCAGCTCCTGGATCCTTGCAGTTTAGTATGATATACAGGCCATTATTGGCTAAATTATACTGCGCAGTATTCCACTGTTTCTGTGCAACACACTTCTTTTTTTTACCAGAAATCTATTGCAAGAACATTTTTTAAATTGTGGCCCAATCTTTTTGATAGTATATGTAATGCCGTGATGGACATTCTCATATATAGCTGCTTTTTGATATCTTGGAAATATACTTCCAAATGAAGTTACTAATAGTGAAGCTGCTTATTTTATTGTCTGCAACTCCCAAATTTGGTAAATGTCATCCAACTGCTTCCCAAATGGTTGAGGTTAAGAGGTCCCCAAACTGTTCAGCTTTACTTATAGGAGGGTTTATATTTTATTTTTCAATCCTAATTTGTTATTGCTCCCAAATCACAACACATATGAGTCATTTCCATCCTAAGTAAGCAAACATATGAAAAATTATTTTTCAGTTGCAGCTATTGCTGTATTTATCCGCTTTTCATCACAGCCAAATGCTTTGAAAGCCTGTCTCTATTAACTTTCTTACCACAGTTGCTGGTCAATCATATGCTTTTCTGCAAAGATGCATCTGATCTTTGTCAATCAGATTTCATTTTTAAATGCTTCAACTTAAGGCAATTACATGGGGTTTTCAAGTTTTCACAGAAAATGTAATTTATCTATGTAAAGAAAGAGTCGACAACACTTTCTGCCAGTGCTTCATCTTGACAGAAAATCGCTCAAAATATCTGTTAACATAATACTTGGGCCCATTCACCCACCACTTCTTAAGAACTGTGATGTTCTACAGAAATTTTGGATGGTGTGGCATAGTGGGTTAAGCAACCACCCACCATGTCAGTGTTTCCTATAAATGCCAATTCAAGTCCCAGCTGCTCCACTTCCAACTTCCTGTTATTGTGCCTGGAGAAGCAGCGAAAGATGACCCACTGCACCCATGTGGGAGACTTAAGAAGCTCCTAGCTTCGGCCTGAACCAGCACCACACTGCTGGTTGCTTGCATTTTGGAAGGAATCAGAGGGTGGGAGGTAATCTTTCTGTGTTTCTCTGTGTAACTCTGCCTTTCAAATAACTAAACACATCTTTTTTGTTTGTTTGCTTTGTGTTTTTTACGAAAGTAACTTTGAGTAGATTGGATACCTGAAAAGCAATTGCCTCAAAGGAAGAATGATAACATAAACTATGAAGCAAAATCATTTGTGAAATGTAATTATCAACTACATTTTCTTAAGAATTGGATGTTCTGTTATTTTTGCTGAAACTGTAGGATTTGCTTACATTTTGAACTTAGATAGGAATTCACTATCTTTGTTCCCTTTGCTTGATTTTCTGTAGCACCCATTAAAATCTTTTGTGTTCAAGGGCTCATATCACACTGAAAATTGAATGCTTAACACAAGGAATTTGGAAGTTTCCCATAATGCTGATTGCTACTGATCCTGATGTGGACGACGTTATTAACATTAGAGGAATTGGTTTATTTAAGGAATCTGTTGTTACCTTCAGGCTGACAAGTCAGACAAGGTAATACATAGAACAAATTTATGTAAATTCATTTTGTGAGTGTAATTTATGCTAAAATGTGGAACAAACTTTAAGATGGAAAATCTTGTAGATCACATTTCAATGAGTAAGTCAGGATAGTGCTGCTTCCAAGATTCAAAACTTTACACACATATTAAATTTTGGCTTAAAAATTGAAAAATATAGTAGTCAAAGTGAATACCAAAGGAAGAAGCAAAAGTAAACAATTGGATACTAAAATTTAGGGTAATATTTATATTTTTATGTAGGAATAAAACTCAGTGAATGTTTTCAAAAATAGATGGATGTTTTCTCAGTAATGTTGTATGAATATCAAATGGTTTAATTACATAGAAATGATTCTAACATCTCTTTTCTGCCACATTTACCTGTTCTACCATAACTATCTTTGTTATACTTGAGAATAACACAGACAGTATAACAATACTTTGGTGAGTCCAACATAGAGAATCTTCTAAAGCTTTTTTGAGACATGCATACCACAAAATGTGTCCATTGTAAGTATATATCTCAATAATCTATTGAAATTATATAGTTTGTTGCCATAACTACATTTTAAATTTAGAACATTTTCATTTCCCCCCACATTTTCCTCCAAATTCTTTACAAACAACTCCCAGTATAAGATTCAGATTCAGATTATTTTATTTATTATGTTTAGCAACATTTTAAGCAGACTGTCTTTCCTCCATTGGGTTGATGTTGCAGCATTGTCAAAAATCAAGTGAATGTGTCCAACTTCTTATATATATGGCTGATATCTGAAATCTTTACTATATTCTACTTACTAGCTCATACAATGTATGGTGCATCTCTCCATTTATTTAGAACGTCTTTGGTTTCTTTCCATTGTATTTTATAATTTTCATTGTATAGCTCCTGTACAACTTTTGATACATTTGTACACTGAAATTTATTGTTAGAATGGTTGCAACAATGTTATAAATTTTACTCTCTACCTATTTATTTCTAGTGTGTACAGAGATACAGTTGATAGTCATGTGCTCAGACTGTGTATATATTTTTTGATTTTTTGGATATTGTCACTAGTTGGAAGAATTTGAGTGGTAGCATTCCTATCATGGTGAGTTTCAGAGAGGGCAAATTTATTTTCTCTTCGTGAGTCATTTTTTCCAGGGAAATTGGTAACTACCTGCTTCCCTATATAAACTTGTTCTTGACTTAGATTAGATGGCTTGATTATGTAAATAACCTATTGAATATATGCAGATTACTTCTCAGTCCAGAGGAGGCTTATCTAGGTATGTATAAGCAATGTTAAAGATCTAGAAAGCTAGTGGAGAATATAGATGGAAACAACATAGAAAAGCAGACTAAACTAAATTTATTGCTTGAATATTCCCCTACAAACACATCTCCGTTTTCTTTAGATTCAAAGTAAAATAACTTCTGAAAAGGAATTATCCTTTGCCGTGGTGATTACTTTTTCTTATTTGCTCAGGCTACTGTACAGGAAGAGTTGGAGGGAAAATATGCAAGGAAATACTTGAAGTGATAACCTCAGTATCTCATGAATTAAACATGTAAAACATGAGTGTCTCTAGGAAAAGGGAACATGGGAAAAGTCAAAGGCTGATGTTTCAAGGAATACATTTCATTTTATGTTTTCACTGTTTAAAATGACCACACTTTATCAAGGGATGATTTTCAGCATGATGTTCAGGACGATGAAGTGTTATGAACAATTAGGATAAAAGCACAACAGTATCTTTGTATTTAAAAATATGTGCGTGTAAAATGACTAGTAGCAACAATTTTGAGACATTTGATATTTCTTATTTTTTTCTGAATGTCTTATTTTTCACCCATGTAATTGCACTTCAAAAGTGTCTCTTTACAATTGAGTGAACTTTATGAATTACATGAAAGCTTATGATGTACATCCTAGGAAATGAGAATGTGCAATCTCATGGTTGTCATCACTAATTGCAATTCAGTTCTGTCAGAAAGTGGGAATTAGAAACAAATCCCTAACAGTATAAGTCAACTATTTTTTAAATAAGCAAATAGATCACTGGATATGGAAATTTTCACATTATAAATTGAATATCTACTGTAGATGAGCATTTTTACTAAAAGAACTGATATGGCTTGTGTATATTTAGAAATATCTGTGTATATATATGCATATGTCACGGGCATAATTCAAGGATGCTCAAAAGGTTCATGGAAATTGAGTTAAAATACATTTGCTGATGCAAGAAAATTCAAATCAGTGCATAGTTTTTCCATAATGTGCATTTCCATGAGCTCTTTGGTGATGTTCCACACGTACATGTAATTTCAGAAATCTTTAGTGAATAATGTTACTCCCATGACATAAATCATCTCGGATTCATCAACTGCCTTACACTACAGCTTGGAACTCAATTTATTGCTAACAATAATAATAAAGCTACCATACTTAAAAATGATGACATAAAAAGAACAGTTGATTGATTTGTTTGTAAACAATTTTCTCAAGGACTTTCTACCGAAATAATGACTTCCAACTGTTCCAGATGGAGGACAAAAAGTACTTTTTAAAATCCCTAAAGCCTAATAATTTTTTTTCCTTTTTGAAAATCTTGTCTCTCCTGTAAAAGATTAGCCTCATTTTTCCAGAGTCAATTAATATTTGAGCAGCAATTTTAACTTTCTGAATACAATTATTTTTATCTTTGAGAATGGCTGCCACATTCTTATCATAAATACAAGGAATTGACTATTTCCCCATATAGTTATTTATTATGCTTAATAGTACTTTTACCAAGAAAATGAACTAGAAAGAATTTACATCTAGTAAATATCAACTGTGTCAAACTTAATAAAATGAGTCCACTTAAGTGATTATTCACTACCGCCAGCTTTGTTATTACCTTGCTTGCTTAACCTAAGAACAACACAAAAATAATAGTAAACATTTGGTGTGTGCCTAAGTATTTAGAATAGATTGAATTATTTAATACTTATGATACTACAACATGAGCTCCATTGTTTCCAATTATGTAAACTCATAAACACACACACACATACAATCATAATTGCACAGTTAAGAATGAAGTTAGTTGCCAGATTTGGATGTGCTTAAGGTTATTTTTAAACCATGCACATCCTTTGTGTTCAAAGTTCCATTTTCATCTCGTCTTCATTTGTGCTTCTTTCTTTTAAAAAATCCATAAATGAAAACTTAAGTCAATAATCATATTCCTGCAAACCATTAGATAAAGAAGAAGAACCTGTTGTAAGTCACAGCAACCCAATAAAACGGAACTGCTGGAGTTATAGTTACATATAGATGAATATAGACCTTCACATGTTCAGAAATCACATAGTCAAGATGATGTAAACAAAGATAAAGAAAAGCAGCCATTCTTGACCAGGGCCAGTAACATCGCTTTAGGTGGTGTTTGAAAATTGATGGAGAGTGTAGACTAGGCATGGAAAATAAACCTTATGCCATCCTCAGAACTTGACAAACTACCTAAGCCCGCTCATTGAAAAAGTATTGCCTCACTATTTCCACTCAGCATTGTTGATTTCTCTGTATATTTCAGTAGCTTAGTAAAAGATGTTTGTATCTCATATCTATTTACTCATTTGACATTTAACAGACTGAACTGAATTTTTTTCAATTCTATATTACTATATTTTGGGAAGGAACTAGTATGATAACAACATGAAGCTCATTCCATCATGATGTCCCCTCCTATTCTGTGACACAGTCAGTAAATGACCCTGTAGTAATCACCCTCTCCCAGAACCTAGACCTACCAAACTGGCTGTTCAATGTTACTTACCCCTGCACCATCTCTGGCGTGGTCCTAAATTGCTTTCATACCCACACAAAGGATGTGTCCATACTATGACCACTCACAATGTCTGCATCACACTGTCTTTGATGTCCTCCTCTTTTACTGCTCACTCTTTCTCACATACTTGCTGTTGTTTTTTGCATATATCTCTAAACTTTAAGCATCATAGCACCCCAGGAATTTAATCTTTCTATCTAAGCTCCCTTGCTTGAATATCTCACCAATCTGCTGCTTTCACTATCCATGCTCAGTCTTTGAATATTTTATAATTCTGCTAAGGGTGAATATGAACTGTGATGCTAATTAAATAGAAGTGACGATGATGCTGGAATACTTGCCTACTGCCCCTTGCAGTGTACTTCACTTCAAGCTTACACAGCCTTACTTAAGTAAAATGCATTCTTGCTTTTCACTGATGCTTTTACTTTTGCATTGGATAACTATATAGATCAGAACACTCCTGAAGAATTTCATGCAACTCTTTCTTGTTACCTCACATAACCTGTAGGAGACCCATTCACATCGTTTACAGCAGAAATCACAAGTGCCAGTCCCTCCCCCAGCGCTGCCTTTTTTAATGAAACCAGCTTTCCTTCTGCTTCTAAGATGCATTAGCTTTACAGGTTGCTTCAATTTTTAACCTGTCCCAGAATCAGCAATGGTTGACTTCTTTAATTTTTTATCTAATTTTTAAAATAAAATGTTGGTTTTCATTATTGCTTTTAGGGTTTCTAAAACCACAATAACTAAAAGAACACTTTCCTGAAGAGGCTCAGGGGTAGACTAAGCTCAGTGACTTGTAACCTGATCCTTGATTTGTGTAATTTAAATGGATACCTCTGTGAAATTGCAGTCAATGTGAGAGTATAATGTCAGTGCTTTCATGAATACCTGATACAGTGTAAGCCACCTGTGTCAGTACCAGGGATTGGATCAAGGGTGTGTAATTGGAAATAAGGTATTTAAAAAGCTTTATCTCACAAAGAAAATTCAGATCATTATATTAAGCAAGCAAGCTTGAATATCTTAGCAGCAAAGCTATAATAATAATGAGTGCACTGGTAGCCATCTGGATGACAGAGTCTTGCAGGAACTGAGTTTAAGAATACAGACTAAATATACAGTGTATTTGGGGGTGAGGGGAGGAGGGGAGTCTATAAAAAA